CTTGAGGGTAGGACGTGGGAAGTGTTTTGTTTCTTTTTTTTCTTATTTTTATTTTATTTGTTAGTTAAAGTTTAGCTCTTCATTTATTTTTATTTTTTATTTTATCAAGATAAGACAAAATATCCCAATTTTTTATTAATTATTTTTTAATTATCTTTCCGTTTTAAATTTATTTTTACACTTTGGTGATTCCTTATGCCTGTTTATTTTTGTTTTCTAATTTTTTAAAAATTTATATCAAAATATGACATAATGTCCCAATTAATTTTTTGAATTATTTTTCTTTCTAAAGGCGTGGTTTTACGACATAGAGAATGAGGGGAAGCTATTCGACTTTAAAGTCTGTAAATTAATTTTAGAAAAGTATTCTGATGAAGATCATCGCCCCAATAACTCTCAGTCGGTAGGCATCTGAATCTTGTAATAACTTCCAGAACCCCGAACTTTTGATAATTCATTTAGATATTGAACCTAAATCTTTTTCAGGCTCTATAATTAAAAACGAGAGGTGAGAGAAGGAAAAACGCCAAAAAAGGGAAATTTTGCGAAAGACAAAATTGACCGAAATACAAAAAAGATTTATGAATAGGCTATTGATCAATTCAAGACCTAATGGCCGTATATCTCAAATAGAGGTTCAAGTACTAAACCAACTTCCTCATGTACCCTTTAAAAAGACAAAGTAACAATATTTTCCCTTAAAATTCAAACACCCATTCAATTATATTTTAAATAAAAATTTTTTAAAAGATTTTATCTTCAAAAAAAGGAAATTGCTTTTAAAAGGAATTTAAGGGCAATGCCGAGAATTTTACAAAAAAAAAGTTTTCTTTACTCTCCTGCTGAGATTAACTTTAAAATAAAAATATAAAGAAAGGCAAAAAAAGTTCTGTGACTTTTGCCGGAATTTGGCAATTATCTTTTAAAATAAATAAATAAAATATCCTTTTTTAGAAAATTTAATAAAAAGAGCAATTTTGTGTTGTTTGAAATTTAGTAGTAATTTTTATTTTTAAAGAAATGTATTTATTTAAAGATTGTGTCTAATATAAATGTTTGACGTTTTTAAGTTTTAATTATTATTTTACAAACAACAAGCTTGTAGAATTATTTGCTGTTAATTTTATTTAATATTTTCCGGAAAGTTTAGTATATTTTCCATTGAGTATTTTCCTTTATCTACATTTAATTAATATTTTTCCGGAAAGTGTACTACGCAAATATAATAGAGACAATTTCAAATATTTAATTAATCACTATTTTTTTTTTAATTTTCTCCAATTTACTAACACACAAAGTTCAAAAATTCCTTTTCCTTTGTTTACTTTAATTGTTTAAATATTTACTAAATAGTAACATTTTTGCAAGGCTTTTTCCAATTTTAAATCTTTTTTTATTTGTTTAAAAGCTATAAAATATATTCTTTTTTTTTTCTTATTTCGTTCCTTTATTTTCTCATTCAACAAAAAAAGATTCTCTTTTTCTTTTTTTAATTTCCGTTTGAGAAATTTATTTTATTTTTTGATTATTTTTTAAATAAAATTAAAATTAAAAATTGAGAGCTTCAAATTAAAAAAAAAGGGGGAAGAATTTTAATTTCCTTTCTTTATAGAATAAGGTTGGCGGATCCGAAAAAAGGCCGGATATCCGGAAATTTTCGGTTCGGATACCGGATATCCAAATATCCGAAGATTTCCAACCTTGCTATAGAATTCTATTATTTTAATAATTATTTTTTACCTTTAAATATTATTTTTCCGGAAAAAGTCTTCGGAATTTGTCAGACAACTTGGAGAAACAATAGAATTATGAGAGACAATACACTTAATAGAGATACAATTATGCGTATTTAATTAAATATTTTTTTCGGAAAGTGTATGTTCCAGTTAATCTCTCTTATAGTAAACCTACAAATATTAGGACAGAAATAATATGCATATAATTATTTTTTGAAGCCATAAATTAAAAAATTTAGCAAATAAAAAATATTGTTTTTAACAAACTTTTTTTATAAAAATTAAAAAATATTATTTTTAATTTATGGCTTCAAATAATAATTATTTTTACATTTTTTTAAATTTATTTTTTGTGATTCATTTTCTTTTGTCCTTTTAAAATAATATTTTTTTTAAATTATTTTCCTTTACTTTTAAGAAATTAATTTTAAAATTTTTTTTACATTTAAAATTAAAAAAAAAGAATTTTTCACTACATTCATCCACTGAACATACAATCTCGATAGCACATCTCCCAATAGCGCTTCTTATTCTTTACTACGTCAGAGCAATTCAATCCCAAACTGAACGTACATGATATCGATATTGACTGTACTCCTTTAGGGCCCAAAAATCGTAATTTATAATGATGTATAATTTAAAATCGAGGATATCGGTTAGTTTGCTATCCTTCCCATTAGTCAAAACCAACTTTTAAAATACTTAGACAGTTCCCCTCACCCAATGGTCAAACAACTTTAAAATAGTGTACGTACAGTAAATATTGTACATAAATCCGTGTGTAGGCTAAGTCCTGAGTGTATTCGGGGGGTATTTTGTAGAGAACTCCGACTGACGTTAACTTTTAAAAAATTTTATTTATTAAAAGAAAGAATCATTTCCATCATAAAATGTCCTTAATTCAACAAATATAAATGTCAATTTACCCTTTAATAATTTTGTTTATTGCCAAAATGCCAATCTTTTTTTATGTTTATTTTTCACTTTTTTTTTTTGCTTTTCAACTTAACAAAAAATTTTTCCTAAACAATTTAATAAACCTCCACACAACTTAAGTGCCATTTTTAATATTTATTTTTTCCGCTTTTTGATTTTCTCAAAAACTTTTTAAATGGACACCCTCCTGTGATTTTCTCTCTTTTTCTCTTTCAATTTCCCCCACATTCTCCCAGGACAAACCTCCGTCCTGACAAAACACCTATTCCGTATCGGTAGTACAGTACGAAATTCCGATTACTTTTAAATGCATGAGGCTAATTCAAAAGCTAATTCAAAAGTTTATCGCCCCTAGCCGCCGAATAAACTTTTGAATTAGCTGAAGGAATAATAGCTATATTTATAGTCAGCTCTGCTTTACTGTGCTAATCAAGACCCAATAGCCTTATAGTCTAATAAAGTTTTTAAATAACACAATATCGATAACATAATTCGAATTTATTTTAAATAAAAGTGGAGGGTGTTTTCACTCCAATGTCTCAACGGTATTTTGTCGGACGGTGTTTTGCCCCTACAAGAATTACAAGTAACTCCCACCCCCTCCCCTTTTAAAAACCAATTTACATATTTTCCCCCTACATATTTTTTTAATATCCATAACAACTTGTATATTTCCTCAATTTATTTTTTGCCATTTTTCAATTTATTTTTATGGCTATTAAATTTTCGGAAAATATTTTTTTATTAGATTAACACCTTATTTCGTCTTATATTTTTATTTTTTTTCCTAAAAATTTTTTTAAAGAAAGTTTTTGAGGCACATAAATACTTGCCCTTTTATTTTGTTGTTGCTTTTTCCTGATATTTTTTTTTTCAATAATTATTTATTTTTTCTCGTCCTTTTATTTCCTTCTCGTTTTTCATATATGCGCGAAAAATGCAACAAATAAATGCTAAATAAGTTTTAATAAATTAGAGAAATATGTAAATAATAGAGAGTATTATACTAAATATTAACTTAATAAAAAATACAAAACTTTCCGGAAGAAAAATCCGGAAAATACAAACAAAATAAGTAGTTTCCGGAAAAGAGAATAGGTATGTATAACCAACCGGAGAGAATATCTTTCCGGAAAAGTGCTATAACCTTCCGAAAAGTAAAATCCGGAAAATACAATACTTTGTTTGTATCTAAATATCTATAGTCAATAATGTTACGAATTATTTAAATTATTAAATATAAAAATATAACCAATAAAAATATAAAAAATCTATTCAATGCTTTGTTCTTCACACTTGGTCGCATCCACTGTTCCAGATGTACTAATAAACCCTTGTTAGTTAACCAAAAGGAATCTCTTTTATTTTTATTTCTTTTGAAGGGAAAGACATTTTGATAATTTTGGTTATTCTTTTACTTTTGTAAAAATTGTTATATTAATTACAATATTACATAATTTTTATTTATATGCGCTATCACTTAATATAGAATAAAAATATTGTCTCTCTTAAAAACATGTAGTCTCTCATTATATATTTCCGGAAATAGTCTTTTACTCTCCTTTCCGGAAATAAAATTTTTATTTATTTACAGTCTCTCTTATTAATATACAGTCTCTCGCTATTTTTCCGGAAATACATCTTCCGGTTGTTTATTTTTATTTTTCTCTTTTCCGGTTTTCTCTCTTATTATTTGTACTATTTAAGTGCATTTCTTTTTCCTCGTAATTCATTTTTAATTAATTATTTGTTGCATTTTATGCGCGAATGAAAAAGAATGTAATGAGAGTGTGAATATTTCAAACAAATATTTCAACATTCAGCTTTGTCAGTATATTGTTATGAATAAAAACACAAACAAGTTAGGTATATAAGAGGATTTAAATTTAAGATATAACCTCAAATAAATAATCATTTTTTGGAGTTCAGTCCACCTTCTGACCTAAATATACCTTTTTGAAACTTGAGTTTGTTCAAAAATCTTGTAGTACTCCAAGATCTTAGATCTTAATACACAACAAAATATATTACTGTACAATATATTATTGTATTGCTTGGAGGATGTTTATGACTTTGGTCATTGGATGGTCTTTTCTAATACAATTCAGATCTCAACTTCTACATATTGTCATTTAAAGTTGATTAGGGTCAGGGGATTTGTCTAAGCGTTACTTCTCTCAGTTTTACACACACTTTTTTCATTCCCAAGGGTGTACGCACAATCGAGGTTCGACCAACTAACCACTCAATTAATTTAATATATTTATCATATGTTTAAATTTTCCTTTTATGGCATCTAAAAAATTTACACATATTTTTTATAAAATTATGCCAATTAAATATTTGACATTCCTTCCACTCCTTTCTTTCCTCCATTTCCGCTTATTTCATTATTATTTTTTGTTCGCAACTCTTCCTATCTTCCCTCCCCTCCCCCCCCCTCTTCCCTCAACTTCACACCTTCCCCCTATTTTTTACTTTTTTAACTCGTCATTTGTTATTGGCACAAAATCAATATACCCACAAGAGTTGGCTTCATTTGTATTTTATATACCCGAGAGTGATGGCAGCTGTTTCGCGCCTCCCTTCCTTTCATATATCCCTTCCTTTTGAGGGGCGCGACATTTGCGATCCCGACATTTGTGAAACAAGAGCAAGTGAAAATTAAAATTTCAAAAGATTTTTTATTTCAAGAGATTTGAATCTTGGACCGACTGACTTGATCCTTTTTAATTTCTTTTTGATTTTTGCTCCTTTTTAAATTCGGTCAAGACAGTTTGTTTTCAAATGACTGTTCTCATTTGTCGTTCTCTTCTCTCCCCCTTTCCCCTAACTTTCCTATCTCCCTTTCCTTTCCTCTTCACGTCCCTTTCCTCTTCCTAATACCCAACTCCTCTTCCAACTCTTCCTCCAATTCCCCTTCAAAAACTCCCTTCCCCCCTTCCTCCCCCTATTGTCAGCCAACTTTCAAAAAATATGAAATAGGGGCATTCCCCCCTTTCCCTTTTTTTACTCTTTTTTCTTTAGGCGTTCCTTTTTGGCGGCGCGCATTTTACCCCAAAAAGAAAGAAAAAAGAGAGAAAGGTACTAAAAAGTATCCGATAATCCGCCGGCTGTCCATTGCACGCATACAAACAATTAATTTGTCAGTATCTCCAATCCCTTTTTTTATAAAAAAAATTATTGGCTTAAGAAAATGCCAAACAAGAAAAAATAGAAAATAATATTGTTTGCATAATTATTTTTTATAAAATAATTATTTTTATTTTATTATTTAAATTCCCCTCAAGGAAATGCTTGCTCTGATTCTAATTGTTTTTTGAAGCTTTTTTTGACATTTTAATTTTTAAGGGATTAACAAACATAGGAGGGCCTAACACCCTTAGGACTAAAGAATTCTATCTTATAATGAGGGTATTTAAATAGAGAGTATATTTACTTTGGAAGCTCCCCTCCCCTCCCAACTTTTTAAAAATCATATCTTAAATAGAGGTGTATCTACTATTGGGGGTATCTTATAGCGAGGTCCGTATATCCAAACCAGTCAGACCTTTACTGTTACGTCCGGAACTTGACAAATTAGACAAACTCGCTGATAAAAATCCCAATAACTCTTTCCCAATAATTTCCAAATTAATTAATTCCTTCTCTAATTTTTCTACAAAAATTAATTATTATAAAATCCCAGCACATATTTATTTGACATATTAACACTCCCTCTCCCCCCAAAAATCTTTTTTAGTCTTATTATCTAGTTAATTCCCTTAGGCATTCATTGTCGCGTATTAAAATCATCTTTGGCCTTTTTTAAATTTCCAAATTTAGGTTGTTCTCTAAACTTTTTTGTAAAAATTTATATTTTATTTTTTAAATGTTCTTTTATTTAAATAAATAAAAAAAAGAAATTCATCAAATGAGACAACGACCACCCCCATATTTACAACAACAAAACAACGATAATTATGAGGATATGTTGCTTCCCTCTGTATATTCAACAGATACGTCGGCGGTGGTTGAGGCAAGTAAATGAAAGAATATAATCGGTCCCCAATATAAGATACTACTCAATACAGTGGACTTCATTATAAGAGACTCCCAATTCGGATCTCGATTGTAAATTCACCCGAAATTGACTAGGGGAGACTGTAATTACACACTTCTATCTAAATTATGTTTTTAGTATTCGTTTTGCCACTAGTTTTTTACTCATTATATACCTCATTATTTGATTTTCAGGTCTAAGGTTATATCTTATAGTGAGGTCTAACTGTATTTCTATCTCAACAATAAATATATTTTTTTCCTAAAAATATATTTACCTATTCCCCTTTTTAAGCAGCAGAAAAATTTTTTCCAATTAAATAGCTTAAAGACATAAAAGAATTTATTTTAAAAATTAGAAAAGTAGTTGTTATTATTGATGACCTTTCAATTTTAATTAAGAGAAGATGAAAGTTTTTCCAAGAAAAAAAAGTAAAAGGAAGTGGAGAAAATTAAAAAAAAAGGAGGAAAAAATAAAAATAAATTTCCTTTTAAAGTAGACAATAAAATAAAATAATTTTTTGAATTCTCAAATAATTTTTTTTCTAAAAACACCAAAAACCCCTCATTTTATTCGGATTCCCATACTTTTCTATTTAAAGTTAAACACACTACCAACTTAACCACAAACAGCATTACTCTCTTTTCAAGTTTTTTATTAATTAATTAATTAATTAAAATACACAAACAAGTTCGAATAAAATAAATTTTTACTTGTGAGGGGATTGTTTTTGTTGGTGTGTATGTTTGGTTAAGTTATTAATAAGCTTGGGTTTTCAATGGAAAAAATAATTTTTTCAATTATTAATTTTTTAAAATTATTTATTAAAAATTCCTTTCTTTTAAACTAACAATTCTTCCTCAAGTCATTTTTACGTCAATCACTCAAAACCACAAATCAAAGAATTTTTAAAGAGTTTTTTGATCTTTTAAATTTTTTTAAAATATTTTTTTATTTCATTGTAAAAATTAATTATTTAGCTAGAAAATTCAAAAATAAAATTCCCTCCTTTTTTGAAAAATCCACATTTTTTTGTCCGCAAAATTTATTTTGGCTCTTGTCCAATCAACCTTTACACGTCCAATGGGAAGTTTAAGCGTCCAAACAAGTTTTTATGAGTCCGGTATCATGTTGTGTAACATAACTCTGTGGAGTAGAGCTTTCTATTCCCATAGATTTTATGGTACTAAGGTGAAGAGCCGGGTACTTATCGACATTGATTGGACGCATAAAAATTTGTTTGAAAGCTAAAACAAGAAAAATAACCCTCTTATTCCCTTTTAACTTTTTTTCTTTCAGAAATTCATCTATTCCCCACCAACAACATTATCTTCATTACACGATTTTGGTTCTTCTTCCCATTTATTTTCCCCTTTTTTGGCTATGGCCGAACCCGAACCTTTGGGTTTATGGCCAGGTTTGGCTATTGGCTCTTTACTTTTTGTGCTTATACTTTTGTGTGTTCTCGGGAATTTGTTGGTTATTTTGGCTATTTTGATAGAAAGGGATTTGAGGTCTAGGCCCCAATATTATTTGATATTTTCTTTGGCTGTGGCTGATTTAATGGTCTGTTTTTTTAATTTAAATAAAGTAAAGCCTCAATATAAGATACCTCCTTTAATCTGAAAAAAGTATCTTAAATTGGGAGGTATGTATTGCTTAGACAATCTTCCCTTCATCCAATGCCCCCCTTAGAACCTTACTCCTATTTTTTAATTATTTCCCCACTTAACCACAAAAAATACCAGTAATGGGTGTCTAGTATTGGGAGTATTCTATTATTCTATAGCCAATACTAGTTCATTATAAGGTTCACTTTTTTAATTCCTAAGAGTGTATATTGTAGTGAGCTCTTTGTCTTTAATTATCTTAATTCTTATTTATTTTTAAGGTTGGTCTTTTAATTACTCCTCTTGGTGCTTGGACAACTTTAAGGCAAAAATGGGAGATGGGTGTTACTGTCTGTGATTTTTGGATTAGTGTAGATGGTAGGGTTTTTTTGTCTTTTGACTCTAATTGTCGGGCCAGATTAGGGCAGTAACGAGGCCATATTTTTAGCCATAACTTTTTTTGATTCTTAATCGATTTGAATAATTATTATATCATTCGAAAGCTCTGAATGTGGGGATTATTTTAGCTGACAGGATTAATTTGATCGGGACATCCTACTAGAAATTGCAGCCAGATAACTGCTCGCAATCGCAATTTTTGATACTTATTTGACTACAACTTTTTGTAAGACTGTCTCATAAATCAATTCTGTAAGGTAAATAATCCTCATATCCAGAGGTTTCATTGACACAAAAATTGTTTAAATCCGTTATAAATAAAAAAAGTCGCCCAAAATATATCCCTCGAGACTGCATGTAAGGGGCTAATAAAAATTAATTTAAAGTATTGGTTTGTACTTCTTCAATTCTTCATTTGGTAGCTATAGCTTTAGATCGTTATTGGTCTATAACAAATATTTATTATACTCAAAATCGAACTCCACAACGAATATTTACAATGTTATTTGTTATTTGGGTATTCTCTTTGCTTATTTCTTTAGCACCACAATTTAAATTTTTACATTTGAAAGGTAAAAAATAATTGAATATTTCGTTTTGATTAAATTTTTCTTTCAAATTTAAGATAAAGGCTTTGTTTCTCGTGTTGAAAATCAAAAAATTTGTCTTATTTCACAGGATATTGCTTATCAGGTGATTATTCTTTTGTCATTTTAGCCCATTTCGTTATGTTATTGGGGAATGATCTCCATGGTTAAGTGGCAAAGTTGTATAAAAATAGGAGTAAGGTTCGATCCCGCTTTTTTTCAATCCAGCTCCCTCTTTTTTTGTTTCCTAGTTGTTTGTGCCACAATTTAAAAATTTATTTCTTTGGTTAAGTGGGAAAATTTTTATAAAATTGGGTGAAGGTTCGAATCCACTCATGGTAAAATAATTTTTTCTTGGGGTTTCCCTTTCCTGTTTTTAATTTCTAGTTTAAATTAAAATATCCTTAGGTATTTTCAACTTCAACTGCCTTCTATATTCCTCTTTGTGCCATAATAATTATTTACTACAAAATTATGAGAGCCGCCAAAAAGCGTTTTCGACGTGAAAGAGATAGAAGAACATTAAATAGAGGTGTGGTTGATGATTCTTCTGTGCCATTAAAAACAAGTAAACAAATGGATTTTGAAGAACAAAATGTTTGTTTTATTTTGGAATTTTATTTTCTTTGGTTAAGTGGGAAAATACTATAAAATAGGGAGAAGGTTCGAATCCGCTCAGGGTAGAATCATTTTTTATTGTGTACTTTCTCAGATTGAATTGGAGAGTGAAATTATAGTGATTCAGACCTTTCGATTGGTTTAAAAAATTTTACAAATCGGTCAAGAATTAAAAAGTTATGGTTGAAAATAAGACCTCAGGAATTCCTTGTATTTATTCTACATATTTTAGTCTTCACCAACTACACAAAAATATACAGCTACATCGGGTGAAAAAAACAACAATAATTATCCGACGAATTGTTCGCCTCCTATTCTTAATAAACAACAAAATGGAAGACAGTTTTCGGAAAATAATAACAAGGTAAATTTTAGTGGGCTTATGGAATTCGAGAGTGAAATTATAGTGAGACTCAATTGGCCCTTTTCCGTATTTTTGCGTTCTTTTGATTTAAGAATAGGCATACTGTAATCAGATTAAGAGGGAATATAAGAAATGTAAAAGTAAAATGACAAAAGGATAAAAAGAAGAAAATATGACAAAATGTCTGATTTAAAAAAAATTTTAGTCAATCCATGAAACTTCACCAAAAAACAGCAATAATAACAACAATCCATCAGAAGAATTTTACCAAAATAAAGAAAAAACAAAAAAGCTTTATTCAAACATAGCAAGTCTAGATATAGAAGAAACAGAATTTAAGGCAAACGAAAATTTAAAAAATGGAATAAATAATAAAGGAGAAGAATCTAAACAACAATTAATTAATTTTCCAAAACATTTAAAAAATATTGCAGAGAAGGGAAGGAAAAAAAGAAGTGGGAAAAAAGAATCTGTTGAGACTAGAAGGGAAAGAAAAGCTTGGAGGACGTTGGCTATTATTACTGTAGGTTTTTTTGTATGTATATTTTGGAAGAGGCGGTTGAGAGGAGAAAATTTAGCGTTTTTTTTGAATTGGATTTAGAAATTTTTGAATTCGGAAAATTGAATTCAGAAAATTCAGGCTTTGAGATTTTACGTTAGTAGACACTTCGTCAATACAAAGCATCTGCTTGGGGATGCTTTGTAGATCCCCTCCAATTTTTTAAATAAAATTTAATAATTTTTCAAAGGGAACATTCTTTTGTTGTTGGACTCCTTTCTTCGTTCTTTCCCTCTACCGTCCATTCTGTATAAATTTAACTGGCGAAAGTGAATGTAGACATATACCCCCTTTAATGGAACAAATATTTAATTGGCTAGGTATTAATTTTTAATTAATTAATAAAATTCCTCTTCTTTAAAAAAGGTTATTTAAATTCGGCATTAAATCCAATTATTTATACAATATTTTCTCTTGATTTTAGAATGGCTTTTAAAAGAATTTTAAAGAAGGCGCTATTTTTTTCTAAACGATAAATTTTTAAAAATTTAAAAAAATAAACGGGTTATTCTACAAAAATAAAAGAAATACAGTCAAAACATAATTATAGAATATCACTTCTAAAGCATAAAATATACTTATATAATATACAATAATACTTTTTATACTTGAAAAAATTAAAAAAAAACTTTTGAAAATTTTTTAAATCAGAATACCTCTATTTAAGATAGGTTTCTTAAATTTTGGTAGACCTTTCGGTCGGATACATAGAATTTAAACAGCCTAAAGGGTGTTTTGACTGTATTTTTCGATATATTATTTATAAAAATTGCTAATCAATGCCAATACTTAAAAACAGATTTTTATTTGCATAAATTTTTTATTTAATTTACAAAATTTTGGTATTTTAATATTTACATATATATTAAATATACCCGAAAAATTGGTCAGAAAAATGCTAGAGCGATCCCAGAAAAAATTTTGAAGAAGTTTTGGGGGTAATTTTTATTCAGTTTTTTTTTTCAAAAAATTGATCTTGGGATCGCTCTTTTAAAAATACAGTCTGACAATCAGATGCGCAAAACCCCCCCCCCCCCCTGCGGAAAAAATCTCGCTTGTACGACACCCATTCTCGTTAGAAAAAATTTTCTAACGTTTAAGCGAGATTAACTTAAAAATGGGGTCTAATCTAGCCTGAAAAAAACTATCGTTAAGGTGGATTTGTACAAGCCATGCTAAACAATATATAAAATATTACATAATGCATATTACTGGAATAATATATAAATTTTTTAGGAAGTTTTTTTTCTGTTTGTTTGTGGCACTTTGAAATTATAAATATATAAAATGTCAATTAAAAAATTTTTTGTCTTTCATGTGTCGGTAACTGCCCCATTATTAGTATCAGAAGGTTGAGGAGAATTAATTAAAGGCGAATCAATGCTGTCGTTTATTTCCTTAAAAAATCTTTTACTTATCAATTTAATTTTCAATTTTCTCTTATCCTATGGCCCAAAGATATTAAGACAAAACAATATCGACATAAATCGAATTTATTATCTGTAAAAGTGGACGGTGTTTTTACTTTGATCCCCTGACGCTATTCGGTCGGAAGGTCTTTTGTCCCACTCTGGTTTTGAGTTTTGCAATTTTCTGGTTCTTTTTTATAAAAAAATGAGAGAAATGACTTCACTAAACTCAATCTTTCGGCCCTGGCCGAAAGTTCTTTTTAATTTAAGAAAAAAACACACCTGTGCCATTCTCCTGCATTGCCTCACAACAACAAAACCAATAATCAAAGAAAAACAAAAACTACCAAAAAGTAACAAAACCCAACCAAAAATATAAGAATAAAAAATAATTTTAATTGGAAGTTGAAGTTGTTCTCTTGTTTTGGAGTCAATAATTGCACTTTCATTAATCCAAATAATTGGAACTATCAAATCACGCATATTACGAGTTATGCTGTTAAAAAATTTTTATTGTATGTAAATTTGAAGAAAATAAATTTTTTCACTTGACCGAGGTAAAATAATTTTTTCTTGAATATTTCTCAGATTTTTGCGCCCTAATCTAAAAAACTATTTCAGTAGTTAAGTGGGGAAATTTTTAAAAATAGGGTGAATGCTGTACGACTGAATTTTGTACGCCTCAAGACTGAAACGGTTCTAGAGTTTTTACTGCGAAAAAACTGCAGAATTTGACAGATAAGAAAAATTTTTTTTGAAGATTAAAAAAAAATTTTTTTTAAGAAACCTCAAATCTCCTCTAAGCATTCCCAAATTTAATTGAGATTTTTGTTGTACCCCAACAACAACACCCGTAATCGGTTCAATATCAAAATAAGAATAATCGTTTTTAATTGAAGGTAAATTCATTCCTTCAAGTAAAAGAGCTGAAGGAGCATTCAAAAAATGAGAATTGGACCATAAAATGCGTGGTTGGCCTGGCAGGCAAGTTGACATATCGAGTAATCCTGAAGGGGCACATCCACCTATTTTAAAAAAAAGGAAAATTATTAAAAGCAAAGTCTAGCGGAAAATTTTTTAAAAATGGTTTGCTTTCTAAATTTGTTTAAAAAAAGTTTTTTTGCTAATTTACTTAAATTCTTTAATGTTAGAATAAAATTTAAATTCAACAAACTTTTTTGAATTGAGCTATTGTGGAAGTAATCAGCAGCATTTGGATTACAGAATCCTTGTATTTGTTGCGTTTCAACATCCAAAAAATTTTTAGGTTGTGAATAACGAAAAACAGGAATTCCAGAAGTGAAGGCTGTGCTTTGCTTTTCTATGTTGAATGATCTAAAATTGAAAGAATAAATTTTTTGTCAAAAATAAATTTGCAGACATTTTTCTAATTTTACGGATTTTGAAATTTTCCTTAAAAATCTTCTATAAATTCAAGAATTATTAAATATCCCAAAAAACTATCAAAATTTATTTTTAATAAATGTCATTTTAAAAAATTAAAAAAAAACATATTTTTAAATAAAAAAATCAAACCTGCAAAGCTGTCCGATAAATCTGCAAAAAAATTAATTTAAATTTTTAAAACAAAAATTATATTTTTTACATTTCCAGTTTTTCACTGTTATAAAGGCTTGGTTTAAAAAGTTCAGCATCTAAAAATTAAAAAAACTTCTTAGAAACAAATATAGGTGAACCTCACTGTAAAATACCCTCGGACTAAAAATAATAACTTATGAAGATGTACCGTAAATGCTTAAATAATGTCCCCCCCCCCTCCCTTTTAATTATCCCATCCAACGGGAGGTTGAAACAATAATTACTCTGGGTAACACTATTTCCTTAAATTCAAAGGGGGCGCGGGTCCAAATCCTTCCTATGCAAAATTAATCTTTCTAATAAATTAGAAAAAAAAACCTGTTCCATTAATCATTCTAGCCTGTTCTCTATACCAACTATTATTTTTCAATTTTCCTTTCAATCCATTCCAAGAATATACTTTATCTAATAAATTAATATCGTGTAAACCGGTGTCAACCTTTAAAAACGGAAAAGAAATAAATTTAACAAAAAAAATTTTTAAACCTCGTAAAGTCCATCGTCTGTTCCGTTTTGCTGAAAAATAAAAAATTAATTTTTAAAAATTTAAACATTATTTAAAAAATAAAATTATTATCCGTGAAAAAATATAAAAAAATCCCCCAAATCTGGGAAACCTCCAAAAATCGAAACACGAAAAAAAAATTAGAAAAGTTCCAGACGGGAAAAAATTATTAATAAGTAAAAACCCTAAATTCGGAAAACCCTCAAAAAGTCGGAATCGAAAAAAATTTGAAAATTTTTAAAAAAACATCAAAAGCACCATTAAAATGTTTATTTTCCATCATTTAATATCAAACCCACCACAAAAAAATAAACACTTTCATTCAAAACCCCGGTCACTACACTCTCAATCACAAACTCTCCCATGTATCAAAGATATTTTAATTAATTAAACTTACCCCATAAAATAACCCAATCCTTTCAGGAACATTTAAAACTTTACAAATTGTCGGAACCAGAGAACAAACATTTTTAATTAATTCATCTTCATATCCATCAAATAACAATTCGGCTGCTGTTACATTAATAAATATTTTCTCCTTATTTCGAATGAGGAATTCGATTGTTTTTCTAATTGGATATGATAGTCCAGTTGTTATATCGACTATTTTCTTAAAAAAAAGTTTGTTTTCAGAATTATTAAAGGGGAAAATTTAACCCCCTTTATTATTAAAAGGGGGGAGGGGGGTAAATCTAACCGATTTTGGTATCACCCAGCTCGAAGAGCTCATAAGCAAAAAAGCTCTGGTTTGTCGCAAACTAATCTCTTAAAATAATTTTTTTCCATTTTGTATAATTTGTAACAAATTCTCTGAGCTTTCGTAAGGAACAACCAATATCCAAAATATACTGACTTTTCAAAAGATTATAGGTCTGCGACTAACAATAAGATAGTCGTATAAATTAACTATACCATTTTTTAATATTTTTACCGAAAAAATCCCAGACTTATTCAAAAATAATAAACAAAAAAAACCTGAAAAAGTATATTCGGAACAAAAACTCGATCAGACAAACTACAATTAGCACACGATTCATTAGCATTGAAAAAATAACTTTTTTGGTTACGAAAGAATAAACGAGTGTCATTTGAAGAAAAGTTAACGTCTGTTTTGTGCAGTAAAACACTTGAAAAAATTATAAAATTAATTTAAAAAATTAAATTTAGAGGAATTTTTTTAGGGAACACACCTTTTTCTTTGCTTCACTCGGGAAGTAGGAAATGGGTAATTCATGGTACATAAATAGGACTGTTATCTGTGGGGAGGAGGTAGCAAAAACAAGTAAAGTGTCGAAAAAACAAGAGGGGATAAATAATAAGTTGAGAAAAAATTTAAAAGAGAATAGATCTCGGAAAGCTAAAATCCCCTAAATTTAAATAAAAAATAAAATTTCAAAAAACCTAAAAGTATAAGGTCCTTTTTCTTCAAGAATCGGCCTTTTTCCTCTATTAATCACGTCATCAACATTTTGAGTTGAAAATGTCCAAATTTGAAGTTTAATGTCATAAGGAGGATCGCGGAAATTCTTCAAAACAATATTATCTGTCCCATTTTGTTCTCTTCCCAAAAACGTTTTCTAAAAAATTTAAAAGTTTAGAAATATAGTTGGTTGGACTTTGCTTAATATCTATGTCAGTAAAAAATTTCAAAAAATCCGGACGGGAATCAAACCTCCGACCTTTCAATAGCTAGCTAGAAGTTTACAGGTGCTCTTAAACTGCTGCTTGGATAACGGTCCGACTATCTTCTAGCAAAAGAACCCCCTCTTACCAGTATTTATTGTATTAAAAAATTTAAAAATAAACCTCTTTAACTTGACAGTCAATAAATTTCGGAACAAAAATAAACGCCAAAAATCCCAAAACAGCAGAAATAAGTCCAATAACAGCCAAAATAATAAATAAACAAAATCGCATTGAGCAAAAACCCATCTGCAAATTTAAATATATTTTTACTAAAGGGAAAGACGAAATTTCGTTTCAATCCGAAACAAAAAATTATTTCGTCTCGGATTGAAAAAAAAAATTTTCCCCAACACCCAGATACCTGAAAAATTTGTAAAAAATTAACTAAAAATATAAAATTTTTATTTTAAAGGAAATCCTTTTTTAATATGTAAACAAAAATGAGGCGAATTAAATTTAAAATTCATTCTCTTTCAATTAAAAAAATAATCACAATTTTTAAGAGCAACAAGTATAAAATTAAAAAAAAAAGTAAAAAGCATTTTAAAAAATGTTTATGAGAAATAAGAAAATGATTTAAGTAATAAAAATGTTTTAAAAAAGAAGAAATTAGTCATTCCTTTTATGACAAAGAAAATTTGTGTTGAGTTGTTGTTTATAATGTTTCATAAAAAATTAAGAATCGAACAAATAATTTAAAAAATAAAGTCTAAAAAATATACTGACATGAGTTCAAATATGTAAAAATTCTTTGCCGGAGACAAAAACTCGTAGAGATATATGTAGGCCCCTAGATTGAAAACCCATAGGGGAGGCAATCTGATTTTTGGGGTGAAAAATTCGATTTTTTTACCTTATAGCTCATTCGACTCGGCTCGACAAGCTCCATCAAATGAGCGACAAGCTCCTTCAAATAATATTTGCATACTCGAATTTCTGACCACTAATCACACCTATGAGGTTTCAATGCGCGTGGGCCTGTAACTCGGCCCTACCAAGTCAGATCACGTTGATTTTTGTACCATTCGACTCACATCAGCTTGAATTGAATTTTTCACTCCTAAAATTATGGTTTTTCAATTTTCAGGAGCCTACATCTCTGTAAGTTTTCGTCTTCCAGATAAAAGGAACTCAGCTTCTCGAAAGGAATTGATCGCCCACGTAATATAACCCTCCACTAATTTGCTGTTTTCAAATAAGATCTAAAAAACTAAAAGTCTATTTTTTTGAGCGACAATACAAATGAAACAAGGCAATTAAAAATACTTAAAAAACGTCAAAAACTAGATTGGACAAATGTTTGATGGCCATTTGGAATAGCTAACGGAGTTGGGGAAATAATGGCACGTCCATTTGAAAGATGCCTTTTAGTGGATCTGCTACGACGGCATTTCTAGAAAATAAATTTTTTAAAAATAATTACAAAACCTTAAGTTAAAGTCCCTAAAAATAGATCGTCTCTTATAATGAAAGCGTATCTTAAATAGCGAATATCCCCCAAGTAGCTTCCTCAAACATACAATTAGTGGAAAAACACATATAAACTATCATAAATAGAAGTGTTTCTAATCTTGAAGTATTACATCAGTATAAGATACCCCTAATATTAAAGCCCCTTAAAATAGATCGTCTCTTATAATGAAAGCGTTTTTTACTGCCCAATTCCTATGTAACTTTTTACATTTAAAAAATGTTTTAAAAGAAAAACCCTGTAAAAAACAAAAGCCAAAACAGCAGATATCACCATTAAAGAAATAGCCATAAAACAGATTGAACCAACTTGAGCTGATTTTTCTACCAAAAGAAGTTTTGTTTTTATCAAATCGAGACTGTCATCATCCACATGAATCTTTAAAAGAAATTATTTTTTTAAATAATTTTAATTAAAAATCAAACATATTCATCAATTTCAAGCACAGGAACTACGCTGCTACGAAAATTGACAAGTTCACTTTAAAAAAATTTTTCAAAAATTAATTAAAAAGAAATTAAAAAATTTTTGGCGCTGGGTTAGTTTATATGTCCAATGGACTTTTATGCATCCACCGAACTTTTATTTTTATTGGACACATAAACTAGACCAGAGCCAAATTTTTTTTAAAAACCTCAAAGAAAGATTAGCTCCTTTCCACATAGATATACTTATCAAAAATCTTCGATGTGCTTGAATTATTGTACCCAATCTAGGCTCTACATCAATCTCAATTTGGTCACGTTCTTGAATTGGTGGGAATTGAATGCCTTCAATAGATTGCTGAACATAATTTGGAGAATAAAGAAAATTTGGTTGAGAAATAACAATTGGAGGCTCTCCTTTAAAAAATATTTAATTGTAAAAAAAATTATTCTCCTCTCATAAAGTTCCTGATTAGCTAGGAAATGCCAGAATACTCCAATCCATTTATAATACTACTTTAAGGTAAATACTATTTATTATAAGAAAACTAACCAATTTGACATCTACTAACATCCAACATTCCAACAGGTAAACAATCAGAATTTTGTTCTTTAAATATTCTCTTTCCTGTTTTTGATTTACAAAATCCCTTATTTGACGGCAAATTCCAATCCCAGGCATCTTTTGGCATTATAAAACGATAGAGAGGTACCCCAGCATATTCAACTTCTTTTTGAAAAACCAAATCGATTGTTCTTAAAATTAAAAATTTTTATTTAAGGAATAAAAAACCTGCACAATTCAGCTACAAAAACTGGTATTACATCAGTTTTGCTTACATATGGAGGCATTAAAGTTCCATCGGTTCCTTCAATTCGAAGTGATTGTGGCGATTCCCACCAACTTTCAGGCTACAGGTTTAAACATTATTTTGTTCAATTCAGTGATGGCCTGTCGTTGCTTTTTTCTCAGGCCTTTTCATCTAACCAATCAACCCGAAACGCCGATCCAGTCTACCCAAATATGCGGCCCGTTCTGTGGACTTACCAAGGACGGACACAAGAGACTAGTTCGGATCTACGGGTAGACCAATCAGAGATTTAAAGATTTTAGAGTAGGATAGTTACTAAAATGAGAAAACCCAAACCACAATATTAGCTCGAAAAATGCCCAAGTCCTAAAACCTTCGTCAAAGCCAAAAATAATTTCCCACAAAAAAACTAATAATTAACCAAAGATGTCCCGTTGTTCCATGTAATTATTCTTCCCAAACTCTCTCCATTATCTTTGTGTCCATCTTCCACTTCAAAAACACCGGTTGACGTACCATTTTTCTATTTCATTAAAAATAGTTCAAAATTAATACAACAAAATAAAAACCTTATAAAAAAGCCCAATTCTGTCAGGCAATTCAAGTATTTGTTCACAAACAAAATTAACAAACGGCAACGAACAAACTTGATCAATAAAAGGGTCAGCATATCCGTCAAATATTAGTTCCCCAACTTCAACTTCCAAGAAAGGAGTTTGGACAAGTAAAGCAGCTATTGCCGGCTTGGAAATAAAAAAAAATAAAATTTTTGTGACCAAACATTTATTGACTAAGTGAAAGAAAATGTTCAGGTTTACATTTTGAAAGAGTTCATCTCGAAATATCAAAAACCCAAATTTTCGGTTAAGGACGATTCAGTATAGCCGATTCAGTATCCGCCGATTCAGTATATGGCCATAACTTTCCTGATATTCGACCGATTCGAATAATTCTCATATCATTCGAAAGGTCTCGAGATTCGACATCTTTTTCATAATTGGCCCGATCAGATCTGATGATCACAAAAAAAGTTACAGCGTGAAAACCGATTTTTTATGCCTGCAAAGTCGTTTATCAGTGATAACTTTTCGTAGAGTGATCAGATCAGGTTAGTCCAATTGTGAAAAAGATGCAGCACCCCGAGGCCTATCAAATCATATATAATAATTCCTACAATATTGATCGAGCAAAAAGTTATGGCCAAAAAGCCCAAATACTGAATCGGCCAATACTGAATTGGCGATACTGAATCGGCGATACTGAATCGTCCCCTACCCCAAATTTTTCCTAAAAAAATTTTGGTCAGCTTTTTTAGCCAACTCACAAATCAGAGTCCGAATGAGCGGCAGGCAGACATTTGAGGACAGACATATGAGGACGGACATTTGAGGACAGACATATGAGGACGGACTTTTGAGGACAGACATATGAGGACGGACATTTGAGGACGGATTTTTGAGGACGGACATTTAAGGACGGACATTTGAGGATACAAAATTATATACAAATTGGCAAAATCTTAACAAAAAATGCCAAAAATTAATGAAATATTGAAATAAATTATGATTTATTTGTAACATAAAATGAAAAAGAGCTTAATTTTAGTAAAAAAAACTTTATTTTGCTTGAAACCAGAGAAAATCGTCATTTCAGGACAGAAAATAAGGAAAAGGTATCTTGTGCAATTTCAGATGGACATAAGACATTTTGGGAATGCTTAGTGGATTTTGAGTTTTTTTCAGTGGAAGGTTTTGAGGGCTTATGTTCAGAGGGTGTTTCGAGGCATATTATGTTTATAGCTCGACGAATTGGGTATTTTACTCAATTGGACATTTTGAGATTAGGCAAAAGATAGATGTTTTAAGGGTTTGCTCATTTTCGGGTTTATTCATTGGGACATTTTTTCTTACTTTAAATAAGCTAGGATTTCCCCTTTTCAGCGCCGCAGGCGAAAATTTTGGAAATTTCTGAGGACAATCCCCAAATTTTTTCCACTTTTTTCTGAAAATTTATGAAAATTCACAAAATTTTGGCAAAAATTTGCAACAATATTGAAATAATTTGCAAAAAGTGCCAAATATTGAAATAACGGGAAAATTGGCTAATTTCGTAGTTATTTTTTATTTTTTCCATATATCCGTCCTCAAATGTCCGTCCTCATATGTCCGTCCTCATATGTCCGTCCTCATATATCCGTCCTCATATGTCTGTCCTCATATGTCCGTCCTCAAATGTCTCACCACCGAATGAGCAACCAGTTTTTGTTAGAAAATCAAACCTCATTATAAGATACCCCCCTCCCTCTATTTATAAGTAATACTGGGGGAAACCATTATAAGAGGCGATTTTTAAGCCCCAGGGGCCCTACGATTATATAATGGGTTGTCAGATAAATAATGAGCCCTTTGCGCATAAATTATACAATTTACTATAACTAAATAATGAAATGAAATCAAAAAACAATTTAATGTCCATTATTATCTATCACTTCTTGCCCCTTGCTTGGCAGTTTTAGAATTCCCATTTGATAAAATTTAGTGGCAGATTTGGTATTAAGAATGTTGGCAACCCAAATTTAGCTTGAGCACAGTTTTGGAACCTCACCTCCCGCAAATGATTTTTCATCGAACGAAATAACTGCTAGTAAGACGGCGCAATATCCGTAGAACAAGGAGGATCAACTAAAAGATCCCATCCGAGTGTCCCCGTGATCTAGGCTCGAGTTGCGTTCGCGCGATGCAAGCGTGCAGTTTCCTGTTGAAAGACAACTTTATCATAACGAACCCCGCAAGCAGTGAAACCATCGATGGCAATCTGAACTATGTCCAATATTGTTTTGTAGAGTTCGCCCGGCAATCCATTGCCCTTTAGGAGTTAGTTCCCAGTGTAAAACCCCAAATTTAGCCCAAATTTGGGGTTTTTGGCTTCTAGGCCCATATCTCCATCACTGAATTTTTTGTAACATCGCTTAATTGATGCAAAAGATGCCCAATATGTACCCTACAAGGCGGCATCTTCTTTTTTGGATTGAGTTGTACCTAGACCGCGTTTGAAGCAATACAAAATAACAGTCCGAATTTCATATTTTGAGGACATAATTTTAAAAAATATTTAAAAAACTGCAAAACTCAAAATTTATTTTTTAAATGGTTCTGGCTAGTAGAAAAAAGCGCGAACTATCGACTCTAGTAAATTTAAAATAATTCTAACCAAAATTCGGATACCTATACATAAAAAAAGACTAAAAATGCGCAAAGGGCTCATTATTTATCTGACAACCCATTATTTTCAGCCCCCGATTATATAAGTTTTTACCCTCATAGCCGGTTTAGATGCTGCGTCAACAAACTTTTGATAAACCAAATTAGGTATCCATATTCTGTTGTAAAGTGAACATTCTTTACAGGAAGCTTCTTCCTGAAATTGAGAAATTTCATATAGAAAGACCAGTCTTTCTCCTTACATTAAATTTGTAGTATTGAAATGTCTCATAAATAACAGATCCATTCCCCCTTGAGTGAATTCTTCGTTTTTGTGTTTGATCAAAGACATAAGGGCCTAGTTTTGTTACATTTGGAATTGATCCTTTAGTGACTTTAAAAGAAATAAAAAATATTTGAAAGAAAACTCTACCTTCATCAGGGTTTTTAACTGAGAATGTGTACATATTTGAGCGATAAAAATATTGAGGGTTTGACCATTTGTCGAGCAATATTGTCCCTGTATCCAAATTAGATGTCTGAAATTTTTGGATAATTTTATTTTAGAATTTTAAAGTTGGGAGGGGGGGGTCGAGAGGCGCCGAAACTAATTTTAAAAAGCGGAAGCGAAACAACAAAAAAGACGAAACACTACAGACGAAACATGAAAATTAATTTAAAAATGTGAAAGGCGAAAGACGAAACTTCGAAGTAAGAAGGGAAATTCGAAGAATAAACTGGCACCCCTTAACGTTTAATTATAAAATATCTCCTTCCATCTAAACCCTCCTCACCTGTCTAATATTAAATTCAATCATTGTTTGAAGAAAAATAAAAGTTGCAAAAGAAATCACAAAAATAATTAAAGAAATTACGAAGGCAGAGAAAGTGAATAAATGCCATCTTTTAGTATTTTCAGGCAAATATTTATAAATTTTCTTTCCTTCCATTTAAAGAAAAAAATTTTTTGCTAAAAAATTTAAAAACGTAAAAGGGAGAAGAAAAAAAATTTTTTTTAAAGAACATCAATCAATTAATAAAAATAGGCGTGGGAGAAAAAGACCGCGCGAAAAATGATTGAATGAAAAAAAAGAAGGAAATAAGGAGGAGAGAAAGAAACTTTCCGGAATTAATAATTTTTCCGGAACAAAATAATATTTAGGTAATTAATTCGTTTTCAGAATTTAGACAAATATTTAAGAAATATAAGAGATTTCAGAGAAATAAAGAAAATCCCTTCCGGAATGATTAAATATTAAAATTCTGATTTTAAAATTAATTCTGACTTCTTTTCCAGAAAACATTTTAGAAATTCTGATTTTTCCCTTTCCGAAAAACAAATTAAAATAATTTCAGAATTTTTATTAGAACATCAATCAATCAATGAGGAAAGAATAAAAGGGAAGAAAAAGCGCGGATAAATGGAAGTGCGTGAAAAAAAAGAGAAAACGAGCAGAAAAATAAGAATAATTGGAAATATTTTTAAAAATAAATTGAATGTGCCCATGTATTGAGGGATTTTTATTTTATTTTTATTTAAAAGGGGAAAAAGTACGTAGAATTTATTTTGTCTTCTCTTCTACCCGGCCTCTTCAGAACTTGATTTAAAAATAAATTCTAAATTATTTATTGAATTTAATTAAGTAAAATGAGTAATTCTGCGCATAATTAATAAAAAAATAAAATCAAAAAAAATTTAGATTACGCTAAAATTACCGTGATTGAATAATTATTGACAAAGTTACGATCAAAAATGAACTCCCATAGAGGTTCGCCTGTTTCGGATTTTAATGTAGGGGAGGTGGCAGAACGGAAAAGTTCCAAAATTTCGAAAAAAAAACCGAAAAATTTTTTTCGTAGCTAAAAATCTTTCCTTTTTTTAATTTTTAAAACATTTTTTTTTCAAATAATTTAAAAGGCCTCAAGTTCCACCCGCAATTTGTTTTTAAATTTTAACTGGTTTCCCGCGCATTTGATAGAAGAAATGGCCGTCATCGTTATATAAAAATACTTTCACACATTTACTATTTTACTATAGAAAATTGATTGGGCGTAAAAACTAATTTTTTTTTATTTTAAAATATTTTTTAAAAAATAAACAAAAAATTGTTCTAAAAATTAGGTCAGTTTAGGTAGGGAAAAGAATAATTAAAGAATTAAAGAACAGTTAAATTAAAGAACAGAGCAGGACGTTGTGAAGGTGGTTAACATTGGGGAATTGCAAAATAATTGTAAATTTACTCGAAATACATTGCAAATAATTTAAAAAAATTTTCTTTGATTGTGGATCAAAAGATGTTTGGTTTTTGACAAAAATATTTTTTTCAAAAAATTCTTTATTTTTTAATTAAATAAAGTACAAAAATATTTAGTAAACACAATTAAAATCAAAATAAAATTTAAAAAGTTCTCACTCAAAAACAATAAAAAATGTAACAAAATAATTACAAGATTGTTGTTAATATTACGTAGTAAACATTAAAAATTTAAAAATATTTTTAACGTAAAGAAAGTATGTACTTTGCGGACTTTTTAATATAAAATTTAAAACAGAACTTGAAGAGATGGACGAAATTTTTTTTTAATTTTCATCTCAACGAGACAGAAATGAAAAAATAAATTTCATTTTTGCGAAACGAAAGCAAAACCAAACTTTTCGCCCCTCGATCTTGTTGTGTCCGCGCTTGCAGAAAGAACATAAATGAAAATAAATAACCCAACATCGGGTTGGATGGTGGCACAGTCGGTTGTGCTTCGGTCTGGGCTCATTCCTTGATGGTTCAATTCCATCTCCCATCCAAACAATTTTTCCACAGCATGAACATCGGACATGACAGATCTCAATAGATAAATCGGGATTTTAATAACCAAGACTCTTGAACAAGAGCTCGTCTCTAATTACAATTCATGGTTATTTACGGTTATATTTAGGGCTGTCGTTTTCGAGTCGAGCCGTTGTCGGGCTCGATATTTTTTCTAGCTTGGGTTTTTCGAGCTAAACAGCCTCGGCTCGCTCGATCTTTCGAGACTTGGGTCGAGCGAGCCGCCAACCATAGCTTTATTGTCTCACAATGTAGTAGCCAGCTTTCACTTTTCAAGTGGCCAATCACCTTTCTTACTAGAGTTGTCGATTTTTGGGAAAGCTTCGGATATCAGGAACCGAAAAATCCTCGGTTCGGTTCTAGAACAACACTCTCTTTCCCATTTATTAATTTTTAGCATCCTTGATAATTAAAAAAATTAATTTAAAATTGAAAATAAGTTTTTTAATCAAATTAAAAAAAAATTCCCAGATAAAAAATATTAATTATTACGCCTTATTATTGTTATTAAATACATATTAGGGATCGGATTTTTAGGAATCATTTTTGTTAAAATAAATAAACCTTAAATAATAATTCAAAATTTTTTATATAAGGACAAGAAAGGATGGGAAACAATGACAGAATAAAAAATTGTTAAATATTAACAAAAATATTCTGTGATTAATAATTTAAGAAAAATTCAAGAATATGTTAAAAATATAAAATTGTGATTCATAAAAATATCGGTATATTTTCTTGAATAATTACCCTAAGTTCGAGAAAAGGGTAATTATTAGAACTGTGCATATTTCCTCCAAAATAGCCATCCCTCTAAAATAAGCCCCCACTAGAGGAAATACGGCAAGGATTTTAACCAAAAATGTTGTAGTAGTTGGTTGCAACTTGAGAATGGACTGGGAGGGTCTTATAAGAAGCAAGGTTGATACCTTGAAAAATATCGATTTACAAGGACGAGATTTTCGTTTAAAATCTTTCCTTGACCGATCTCTAGTAGATAGTTTGAGAAGCAAGTTGAATTTAACAATTTTTTTCGTTTAAGGGACCTATTGTCATCCATTTTGGCATTGTAGCATGTATGTATTTAGATACTTATTCTGTTTTATAACTCATAAAAATCCGATCCCTAATTTAAAATAGTAGAAGGAAAACACGTATACATATATATCACAGTATTAAACAATAATAAAAGTGAAGAAAACAATAATACACATACGTGATGGGCAAAAATATTATTTAAAAAAAGAATATATTTATTTAAATAATTTTGCAAAAAAAGGGAAAAAATTTTCAAAAAAATTTTTATTTAGGTTCCCGAATAAATCTTTAGAGCCTACTGTTATGGAAAGAATGACTTTGAATAAAAATTAAATTAAATTCAAAAGCAGACCCAAGGAAACCAAAAAATCAGGTATTTCAGTTTCGCTATCTTTTTTTCGCAACGGACTTATAATGGTCAGACCTAGTATAAAGTTGGGTTTGTCGAAATTTACAAAAATAAAGTTTCAAGTTCTGATAATAATAAATACTATAAAGGAGGCCCAAAGTTAATTTTTCCCAAGTTTATTACTAAAAGTTTTTAAGTTTTCAAGTTTATTTTTTTAATGTATTCATTCAAGTTTGCCTTTCTCAGATTTAAAGTTTGCAAGTTTATTCTTCTCAAGTTTTCTAGTTTATAACCGGAAAAGTTTCAGGTTTTTAAATTTTTAATTAATTTTTAAATTTCCAAAGTTTTTAATTTTTCTCTTTTTGCATAAAAACAAAGTTGGAACGAATTTTTATGTGCTCTTATATAAAGAGATAAATAAATTGAAAGAAAAAAATAAGTTGGTAGGCAAAGAGTGCGGCAAAAAATAAAAGAAAGAAAAAAAAAGTTTTTATATTGTGCTTTTTATATTCTTTAAAAGGTTAGAAGAGTTTAAATAGAAAAAAATATTTTTATATAGGTAAAATTGGGCTTTAAAAAAACAATCGAACCTTATTTTTACGTACTCTTCTCTTGGAACATAAAAATTGTATATTATAATTACGTATATTTAATTTCAGAGGATGTCAACTCTTAAATGAAGGTATATCTAATATTGGAGGTATCTTATAGTGAAGTTCATCTAGTATTTAGTGTATGTTAAATCGAAGTGTAGTAAAATTGAGGTTCGACCATAACCATTTAAAACAAAAAATTTTGGCTCTATTCCAGTTTATGCGTCCAATCGACTTTTATGCGTCCAATGAAAGTTTATGCGTCCAATAAAAAGAAAATTGGATTTTTCTTGGTATTGCAAAGCTAGGGTATGGTTCATTAACATTTCTTCATGTTCGGGACCTACGCCCACTGGGCCTGGGACCATTTCTTACCCTATTCCTTTAAATTTCGGAAAGTTATAATTGTTTTTCCGAAATTTTTAAAAATCGGCTATAACTTTGCGAAATTTAAAGGAATAGGGTAAGGAACGGTCCCAGACCCAGTGGGCGTAGGCCCCGAACATGAAGAAATGTTGTGGAACCATACCATAGCTTTGCAATACCAAGAAAAATCCAATTTTCTTTTTATTGGACGCATAAACTTTCATTGGACACATAAAAGTCGATTGGACGCATAAACTGGAGTAGAGCCAAAATTTTTTAGGCCCAAACAAAAGTTAGGGAAAAAAACAATTTTATAGGTAGAAAAAAGAATGAAAGGAAAGAGATATAAGTAAAAATAAATATTTTGTGTATATTATTCGTTTCTGTATTAAAAATATATTTATTATGGAATGAAATTATATTAAGGAGCACCCCCGCTTTACCACAAAGGCATGTTAAATGCCTCGATTAATGTCAAAAACTAAAAACGTCCAAAACTTGGTCTTGAGGTCAATTTAAAAACGACCTATGTACATATTTGGTTAATTTTTAAAATAGGCTCAAAGATAGCCAAAGGTATAAAGCCAGTATATATAACCTCCACGGTAAGCGAGGGATATCCTCAAAATTATTATACTTTTGAAGAAATAAATTATAAATTATTTTTTAAAAAAAGCCAATAAATTGTGCATTATTCCTCACCTTTTCTCAAAGCCCCTTATTATTTTTAGCCTCCCCTTTGTATTCCTTAAAAGTCCAATGTTGATAAAGATTGGAAGTGTCACAATTATTCATTAACAATTTACTTGCATCTTTTCCCATTTCCAAACATTTTCCAGAAACTACATGCAATAATTGATGTTTCTAAAAAATATTTTTTTCTTAAATTTAGAAAATTAAGGAATTAAAGAATTTTGGTGTAAATGAAATTTTAATCACCAAAATATAAAAATTAGGGTTCAGAGATTTGTGAATCTAAAATAGCAAGTTAGTCTAAGCTAAGGAAGGAAGAGAAATCTAAAAAAGGAAGATAAAATATGCTTCAGATCAGAACTGTGCGAAAAACTCAAAAAAATTATACGACGAAACCAAACAAAAAATTATACAAAACGTTTCGCACTCTATTATGTACTTCGGGTCTACTAAAAAGAGGCGCGCTAAGCAGCGCTCAAGTCGGTCAGTAGGGCACCTCTACGTGCGGTGGTGGTGACGCTGTTATGAGTACACACCCCCAAGAAACAATTCCTATTCGAGCCTACCAATTTTTAAATAAAATAAAAAATTTTTTATTTTTTAAAACAAACATCATGATCGTAGCGCCATTCTTGATTTCCTTTCTACAAAAAAATTTTTTTAATTTTAAATTTATAAATAGAAAGGGGATTTTTATACAAATGCAAATTTTGATTAATGCATATTTTGATCAAAAATTTATTAAGATTCTGAGATAAATTTGAACCAGACAAGATAGCTGCGCTTAAATTTGCTCCCGTGACATAAATTAATCAAAAGCTAATAAATTTAAAATTTATGCGCATAAATTTTATTTTTCTTGCATATTTTCGTGCAAATTTTGCATTTTTAATGCAAAAAATCCCCTTTATACATATTTAAATAAAAGAGACCATGCTATGACAAGGAAAGATGATAACATCCTTTCCAGCATAATCAATACAAGACTCGTCTCTACGAATTTCTCCATCTTTACTTAGCATCCAATACTTAAAAAATAAAATTGTGAGTTTAGTTGAAAATTAAATAATAAATAAGGTGTGGGGTTCTACACGAATCGATCGAGAAATGTATCTGCAAAATTTATGATTTAGTCTCGGAACTGATCATCCTTACTAGGGTCGAGGTTTCAAATTTTTCTTTAAATTGATTTCGTGTCAGAAGTCGAGGGATTCGGGTAATCTTTTTACTTAAACTTTCCAATTTTTTTAAAAAACCTCTCATCACTCTCGTAGCAAAAGCTTTATATAAACACTTGCCTTTTTTACTAATACTTTCCAAAAACAACAACAAAAAACCTGATTTCCCCCTTGATTATGACACCAATAAAGTCCCAATTTTCGAGTATGTCGTCTTTTATTTGCCCAATCGAGACATATTTTTGAACCTCCTCCAGCACACCGAACCTAATTTTATTTTTTTCAAATTATTCAACAAATTCTCCAAAAATATTTTTTAAAAAGCAAGCGACGAATATAAAGCTTTTGCTATCCACCAGCATTTTTTTAAATAAAAGAATTTTTCCCAAGCAAATATTTTCAATTAATTGACACACTCTTCTAACTCTCCTCCACACAATAAGATATACTAGAGACCAGTCTGGAGGTTCAAAGAGAAATATGTATTTTGGAGAAAAATCTCAATTATGGTGTGGTTTGCGTCTTACAACAGGAGACTCTCTCTCTCATATCAATAAGGAGGAGATACGCAAATCGACTTTTTTAAAGTAACCCTACCATAAGCCAGACCTCACTACTTAAAGACATTAACAACTCCCTCCCTCTTTCTCTCTGTTTTTTTACCTGATTCCCTCCTTGCTCATGGCAAGGATAAGGCACAACAGGTTTATCTCCGGCATCCTCCCCAACAGCAGAATCAACACAAGATTGAGGAGGATTACCCCCACCACCTTCCAAGGCACTATTACCAACCCCATTTCGAATCTGAAAAAATACAAAAAAATACAAACTTGATTCCCGCCTTGATTATGACAAGGCCATAAATTTATTGGCTTGTCCTTCTCGTGTCTTCCTATCGCACAATCGAGGCAACGCGCATTGTTTTCTATTGCGGCATTTCGAACCTAGAAAAATAAAAAGCTAAAAATAAATGAAGCCTCGACTGTGAATTTTTTAAAAAATTTGAAGCAAAAATTTGTTTTTTTTTTCAAAATATCAGAAATATTAAAAAAAAGCCTGCAAATTAGCTCTAAAATCAGCAAAAAAAAACTACAAAACACCAAAAGCTGGCAAAAACACGAAAACTTATTTCTAAGAAAACTCGAGAAGAATTCAAGCAAAAAAACAATTTTAAGCGCAAAGCATTAGAAAATTTTTTTTAAATTTATATAAAAAACAGACCTCTCCTTTGGCAATAGCTTCACCAGGAATAAATAATTCTGGGAAAATGTTGTCCAAATACCATTTGAATGTTTTACATTGTAATTTCTAAAAAGAAAAAAGAAAAGAAAATAGAAATATTATTTTAAAAAATATAAATGGATTAGAAACGAAGCCTCGAAAGAATTTTTGCAGATCCGAACCTTGGACAGATTCGAATATCCGAAAAATACCTGGAAGTTTCGGACCGGATATCTCGCGATTTCCGAGAGGATTTCCCCACTCTGTACACCACGCATGTTTTCCTGATTTTGGTAACCAATTATAGAGACAAGGGTTTCCAATTAGAATCGTTCAACTGTTTCAGATTTCTGGGGCTAGTTTACATAATCTTTAAAAGAACAGAGACAATTGAACCTATATGTGGTGAGCGAAACGATCAAGAAATTACAAAGAGGTTTCAGATTCGATTATTACCTGGACACTAAACCTAATTTACATTAGTTTCTTACCTAAAATCTCAATCTAACTCAATTCCTCCCTTCCCAAAAAAATTAAATTTTAAATTAAAAAAAACCTCTCTAAGTTGTTTCCGACTAGAAATATCTCCAAAATCACCCAATTGATTATTAATCCTTTCATAATAATATTCTTTATATTCATCTAACCAAACTTCTGCCAATCTTATAGAATTTCTTTTAAGGACATTTACTCCCGTTCTCCATTTATAAGGTGATCGTTTTCTAAAAATGTGTCCAACATGTGAACATGGAACAATTTCAAGACGTCCACCACACATCCAAATCTTTTAAATTATTTTTTATTTAAATATTTTTTAAAGACACAATCAAACTTTACTATAAAATTACCCTTGGAAAGAATGTGTATATTAAATAGAGGGTATAGCTTTGGCAGCACCTCTAAACAATGGTTATCGTAAATTGAGGTATATACATATAATATTGAGAATTTATCTTATAGTGAGGTTTGAATGCATAGGTAGGTAAGCTAGAGATCGGACCAATATCCATTTCGGATCTCGATTGACATCAGAAACAGTAAAATAGACCTTAAATTTAGGGGTCGTGGGTTATTTTAGAGAACGTATAATACTGTGATGACTCTCATTATAAGGTACGAATTTTTAGGCCTAACATAAAGAGTAATTTATAGTGAGACTCGACTTTAATAAAATATTAAAAAACCTTAAAAGAAAGTTCCAAATTTTCACCACCCCAAATATCAAAACCATCATCATAAGTTCCAAGTTTTTCAAAATAAGCTCGATCAATAGAAAACAATCCTCCAGCCTTTAGAAAATTATTTTTTTAGTTTATTTAAATTTTTCAAAATCATTTTCATTGAAGAAACTTTTATATTTTCCTTTCATTTTTCTTCAAATTTTTTTCCTTTTTTCTTCCAAATAATATTTATTTTTTCTTACTAAAATTAAATTTAAAATTTAATAAAAAATTAAAGGTTGAATCTGGATAAGGTTCGAGGGAGTTCTCCCCAATATCAAAACGCAGAAATACCAAAACCTAAACGTCACTGAAATACCAAAATGTGGAAAAATAACAAATATAGGTATGCCCAAAAACGAGAAAAGCAAGTTGTTCTAATAACGTGGATGTTGCTATAATTTAGCATTTTTTTGATTTTATGTATGACATTTCAGTCTGCTATTATGGCCCAAAAACACGACAGCAAGAAAAAAACCAGTTTTTGATCTGGGCTGCCCAAAACTCGAACTCGGATCCCATTTAAAAATTAACAAAACAAAAATCAAACCATTGTTGGAGAACGAACAGGATCAATATTTCGTCGATTTTTGCGGTCTCTTTCAGGAATAGGATGCCAATTAAATTGCAAGGACCAATCAAAACCTTTTTTAAACAAAATCTTTTTTTCTAATTTTTCAAAAAAAAAACCTCCAACATTAGTAAAGAACGCTTTAGAATAATGATATTCAAATGTATTATCATCTATTACATCAATAACTGGACAAACTACAGTTGTTGGATCTTTTTTTATTCGTGCAAGAAGTGGTTCTAGCCATCCTAAAAAGGAAAAAGAAAAAATTATTTTTGGATAGATAATCCTTGCTTTGGATTAAAGACGTCTCAAAATCTCGTGTTTCGAAGATTTTTAAAACAAAAAAAGCTCTGTTTGGGAAAAAGGATTTTAAAAAAGACAAGATAAATGTAGGCTTGGGGAACACCCCTCCCCTCTCTAAAAAATCAGGTTCTGGATTCTTTATTTGGTAGGAGGGAGACCAGGAGAAAAGGAGTGTCTACAATTCGAGGAAATACAACAACCCCATGCCAAGATTCCCAGTTTTTTAGCTACTATAAACACTGAAGTAGATTGGGTATGCTATTTTTGCTTCCATAATTAAACTTCAAAAAATTCCCAAACCTTCCATACACTCGCAATGGCTGTCCAAATAGGTTATAACCTTTCCATTTGCTTTAGTAGCACCACGAAGACGGGCTCTAATCAAACCTTCCCTCTTTTCCAAGCGCATAATTTTAACCTAAAAATTCCAAAAAATTTTTTATAAAAAAAACAAACTTTTGGAAATTGCGCCATATATTCCTCCAAAGGTTTTTTCAAATGTTCCATATCAGAAAAATCATCTACCAGCACAACATCCTTTAACAATTTGTCTGGAGTTCGTTCAATAACGCTGTGTACTGTTCTCAACAAAACAGACCAAGCCTCATTATGAAAACAAATTACAACAGAAGAATCAGGCAAATCTTCCGGATATTTTTCTGTTTTACAACTTAAAAATTTGTTTTAAGTTTCCAAAAAATTAAAAAAAAACTCTTCATCAGCCGTAGCTGGAAGCGAACGATGAACTGAGATCAAATCAGAAGCATATTGGTTAAAAGCATTATTGACAAATCCAACGTCATATTTCTTCTTTTCTTCAGGAGTCAATTTCTAAAAGCAAAAAAGAAAATAAAAGAAAAAATTTTCAGACAGATTTTGTTGCGGAGAAGCTGTCGAATATGGATACAAAACGAAAATATTAGATTATATGTCATTCGAAAAAGCTCGGCGAGCTGAATCAAATGACACCAAAATTATTCCGCAGGAGCAACATCAACTCAACAAACTATTCCCGAATGCCATATGTATAATTCAAGTATTCTCATTTGGTAGCCATACTCGACAGGTTTACCAAAATTGTCAACAAAATAAATTAAAAACCCGCCAACATTTTTCGAGAAAAATAAACAAAATTTAACCTCTTTATCAATTTTGACAGCCTTCCCTCCCTCTCCTTCCTGATTTGGATCTCCCTTCTTGTATATTGGAGATTGAGGATCGAAGAATACTTTCCTCGGTTTTGGAATATTGCCAACCTAAACAAAAATTCTTTTTAATTTTTAAAATTAAAAAAAACGTCTTGATTTCCACTCTTTTCTTCATCCTCTTTATGTTCCGATTTTTCCTTTATATCGTCTTTAACGGCCAAAGGAGGACCAAAACTTAAAAAAAATTTATTTAAAAAATCAAATTAAGTAAAAAACCCTCTAATTTGTTGAATATTCTCTTTAATTTTTTTATATTCTTCCTTAGCTTCATCAACATGTAACCTCTCGATTGGCTTATCATCGACTATTTGCTTAAATATTTTTTAGTTAAAATTTTTAATTTGCGGATGTTTGCGGACAAATTTTAGAAAAGAAAAAATCCGCAAAAATAAAAAAATTTTGCGAACAGATTTTAGAGAAAGATTTAGAGAAGGATTTTAGAGAAAGAAGAAAATGTCCGAAAAATCTAAAATATCTTTTTGCGGACAGAATATCAAACAGATACAAAACCCCCCGCAAAAACCCCACAAAAATTAAAAAAAACTTACCACATTAGGTTTATTAAAAAACACAACAAAAAGTAGCCAAACAACAGGAATTAAGATTAACAATTTAAATATTGTAGATCGACGCCTAATAGTTATTATTTTCATTGGAATGTTGCCCAAAAATTATTTACAAAAAAAAGTAAATTAAAATAAATAATCTAATAAATCTACTGAAAAAAAAAGAAAAAATTAATTTAAAAGCTAAATAAATAAAAATTAAAAAAATTTTAAATTTAAAAATTTTTTAAAAATTTGAGGATATTTGCGGACAGATTTTGTGAAGAAAAAAGTCCGCAAAATAATTCCGCAAAAATTAATTATTTATTTCGTTGTCATATTGACAGGCAAAAAATTTAAAAAAGGGACGGGATAATTTATTGGAATATCTCGGATACGTATACCAAAATTTTTATTTATTGAAACGTGTCTTAGCTTGCCTTTTTGAGTTGTTTATAAAATTTTTAAAAATGAAAAAAAAATCGACTAAAAAATTGGTTTGAATCATTCTAATTCCAGGACGTTGGGCGCGCACCTCAGAACTGACACTTAGCTTAAACTTAGTTTCCTGAAAATTTTCACAAAATTTTTTACCCAATTAAATCCTCCAAAATTTTTATCAAATATTTTAAAAGTTAGTGTCGATAAACCTCGAAAAACTAGAGCATTTTCGACAAAAGCAACACATTTTTGGCCATAATTTCTGAAATTCTGGTCCAAAAATTCTGAAATTTTTGGAAAGATAGGGGGTTATTATTTCAAAAATTTTTTTGATTTTAAGTAATCAATTGATTAATTTATAAGCTCTCGCGCCAACTTGGACCCGCGCCAAAACGTCCTAGTCCTCCCTTAAAAAGGCTCACCAACTCCAACTATCTTTAAAAACATTTTTATAAATGAAAAGCTTTAAAAAATATGCTTATTACTCAATCCACGTTAAACAAAAATTATTCTAAAAAAGCAAAAGAAAAATATTATTTAATATTGGGATACACGTTGCAACCCAGTCATTAAAAAATAAAAAAAAATTTTTAACATTTTTAACACCTTTTAAATTTTGCACAAAAAAATAAATAGAACAACAATTTTTAAAATAAATTTTTTAACAAAACCATTATTTCTCTTTACAAAAAAATACTTCGGATTTAAAAAAGATTTTTTTCTATCTATTATATTAAAAAGAAAAACAAAAAAAATCTTTCTTTATGGGAAAGGAAACATGTTTTTGTTGCTTCATTTTTGGCCAACAAAAAATTGTTTTTTATGTAAATTTTTTTCTCCCTTTTTTTACTGTTAATCTAATGCATATTCCTTTTTTAAATTTTTTGTTGATTGTTTTTTTAATATTTTTATTATGTAGATTAATAAAATCAATTTTTATAAAAACGGTCGAATATCGATAAAAGGTCACCCTTGGAATCGAATTAAATCGACGTCCTTACAGAAGTGAAGTGTTATCGAGTTTAAATTTTTACCGATTTTTTCAACAAAAATAATTTTTTTCGATAGGAAGAGGGTTTTTTAAAGGTCTTTCCCTCTTCAATGGGAATACTTTCATTTTATCCCTCCCACCTTTTTAATAAATTTTTTCAAATTATTTTTGAAAAAAATCCAAAGTATACCTCCCACAAAAATCAACAACAACAAAAATTACTTCTAATTATCCAAATAAAAATAATCTCCAGATTTTTTCTGTTCTGTATCAAGTTGAGAATCTTTTTTATTTATTCTCGGTCTATGGCTTTCCGCATCCCGTCTAAATGTAATATTTAATTGACTTAAAAATTGATTCATTCCAGTAACTAGATTTTGAGGACTGAAAATTTTAAAAGAAAATTTAAAAAAATTTTTAATGTAAAGACAGAGTAACACCCTAAGTCTTCGGGGTCAGGTGTGTCGGGGATCGGGATTTGGTGGGGTAGAGGCTTTAAGGTTCGGGTCTGTTATGTCCTAGGTTAGCGGTCTTACCTAGTGACAAACAGAATAACACAGGAATAGAATATAACGTTTATCCGAATAGTAAATACAACAATAGTGAAGGTGGCAACAGGCTAGAATGATGTAGGACAGACGGCGCCGGACGACCCAGGTGTCGACCGAGACTGATCTCTAACGACTCCTTTTATACTAGACCCACACATACCTAACAGGGTCGGGGTGGTCAGGAGAGCTACCCTATTTTATAGTAAGGCCCGCCCCTAGTCCCTTTCCATTATCCAAAAAGAAATAAAAATAATAAAATTCCAAACGAATTTGCTCTCGCTTTAATTGCTGGTTGTCCATCAAAAACAATTACTCTATCAGCCAAATATGTACTCATAATAAAATCGTGTTCAACAACAAAAGCTGTCTTTTTTGCATGAAGTACAAATCTTTTTTAAATTATTTTTTTTAAATTAATTTAAATTAAAAAAAAACCTTTTAATAACTTTAGCAGCGTGTAAACGCTGTTCCGAGTCTAAATAAGCACTTGGCTCGTCAATTAAATAAACATCTGCTGGGGTTCCAAGGCAAAGGGTTAAGGCTTTAAAAATAAAGAATCTTTAGTAAAAGATTTGCCCTCACGCTAGCGATAGCTAGAAATAATTAAGTGACAACCGGGACAAACAAACAAATTTAAAAAATTACACAAACCTACACGTTGAAGTTCACCACCAGAAAGATTTTGGACCTTAAAAATAAATTTCAAAAATTTTTAAAATTTCAAAAAAAAAACTTCAAAGTCAATAATATTGTCAATATTTAAAGGATTTAAAACATCAGTTTTAAATGCTGGATGATTAAAAAGTCCTGGTATTTTTGTTAAAAATAAATCTCTGACTGTTCCTTCAAATTTTGGAGCAATTTTTTGAGGTTTATAAGATATTGAAAGTTCAGGAATTTCTCCTTTAGATGCTGTTGGCTTTATTTGGCCAGCTAGAAGACTGAAAGAAAAAAGAATTAATTGAAAAGGATTTGGGAAATATTTGGATACTAAACAAAAATTAGAACTTCGGACTAGTTTTAGATTCGAATATGAGGACTAGTGAATAATTTTAAAAGTGGAGGATATTCTCTATCTCCCCACATAATCAAAGAAAAATCACACCCATTTCCTTAAAGATATTAAAAAACATTGTGTATATACCGAATAAACGTGGTTTTTCCTGTTCCATTTTCTCCAAGCAAAACAATAATTTCAGAATCAGTAAAATCCCCCTTTTGAATTGTCAATTCAAATTTTTTAGTTTGCCCAACTTCATATGTCATATCGGGATAAACATAACTAGTTGTTCTTTTTATATCTTCACGTTCCTCTGATACTTTAAATGAAAGGGAAGAATCTCTAAAAAATTAAAAAATTTTTAAAGTTTTAAATAATAGTCTATTTGAACCTATTCCGGATGTTTTTATATTTTTGTCACTTATTTTGGTCATTTTTTGAAAAACCTTACATTTTTTCAAAAATTAAAGAAAACTTTTCTTAATTATTATTTTTAGTGATAATTTTGAAAAATAAAAACTCCTATTTGTCATTTAATAAATAACGATCTCTAATAATGGGGTATAGCTGTATTTTTATTTCTTACCGAAAACGCATATTTTCCGATGCAATAAATCCTAAAATTTTAAAAATAAAATAAAAATTTTTTAAATTCCCAACCATCCAAAAATTGATTAATTCCTTCCCGAACACCAGAAGGATGTGTTACAACACCATAAGCACCAGGAAATCCATATAATAAACAAATATGGTCAGAAAGATAATCCAAAACTGCCAAATCGTGTTCAACAACAATTATATAACTTGAAAAATAAAAATTAATAATTTTATATTTCTGTACAAGAAAATGTTTGCAAATTGCGAAATAATGGATGGACATGGACTTATTATTTTGTCATCTCTAACCAAAGGAAAAAATCTTACTTTTTTGCGTCAGACGATATTGGAGGACGGGAACTATTTACTTTAACTACCCACCCAAAAAATTTCCGGGAGATTTATTTTTAGACAATACATATATGTCAATCGAAAGAGCTCGACGAGCTGAGTCGAATGATACCAAAATCAGCTTGCTTTGACGATTTTGAATAAAATTACAAGCAACGCTGAAATCCATCACCGACGCCCACAGGTTTGCTCCGACCATTTTGAGTCAGAGCAAACTTGATGTCATTCAAAGCAACTAGCCAAGCTCTTTTGGCGGGGGCATCTAAGATATGTCCAACCTTTGATTGACATATAAATTGTCCAAATTTAAAATCTCCCGGTAAAATTCTTAGGATGGGTAGTTAACGTAATTAAGTTCCAGAAAATGATCGGGAGACTATACAATGGTAAAAGAATAAATTTTAAGTTGGACCATTAAAAAGATAAACAAACTTTTGATCTGTCAACAATTCCCTAATTACTCTTGCAGCTGTTAAACGTTGTCTAACATCTAAATAACTAGATGGCTCGTCAAACATATAAATATCTGCTTTTTGTATTGCTGCTACTGAAATAGCAAATCGTTGCAACTCACCTCCAGAGAGTTGATTGACTTCTCGGTCAAGTAAATGGGTTAATTCTGAAAAAGAAAACAAAAGGAGCTAATAAGGGGAAGTAAGATATAAGAGAACCTCCTTATCTACGGGCCCGACCTCAGTAAATAATGGCAATATCAATAAATTATTAAAATTAGCTTATTGAACTTATTGTTAAGTAAAAGAAAAATTATTGTTGGAATTATAATTTATATTCTCAAAAGCTGTTAACGCCGAGAACGGAGCCATTTCTCACTATTTTTTCAAAATGGCATAAGTAAAGAATTCAACCTCTTAGAAGAGTAAACCTCAAAATGTCCCAAGACTTTTTTTATTAATTAAATGCCGACGTTCTCAAAACTTTAGTTTGCCGATTGTAATTATTCCAATTAGACGAGATAATCTTTTACTTTTCTATGCCACCCATAAAATTAAATGCAAACTTACCCATATCCTCAATTATTTTGTCCAAATTGTCACGTTCAGCTCGTCCCTTCAACAAATCAATAACCTTTTTCTGTGGAGACTTTTCCAAATATCTTTTTTAAAAATAAATTTTTCTCTTTAAAAATTAAAAAAACCTCGGAATTTGGTCAACATATTGAGGCTTAATAATTGCTTTAAATTTTTCTTCTAATAATTTAATAAAATAATTTTGAAGTTCAGAGCCTCTAAAATATGTTAAAATTGACGGCCAATCTGGCGGACTCTAAAAATTTCAAAAAAAACTTTTTCAGAATTTTAACAAAAAAAACCTTGAAATTACCCAAGTTAGGCTTTAATTTGCTTGCCAAAATATTTAAAGCAGTCGATTTCCCAATACCGTTAGTCCCTACAAGTCCCAAAACTGAGCCTAATCGAGGCATTGGTAAACGATGAAGTTTGAAGGAATTTGCGCTGTAACGATGGGTTGTTTCTTTTTCTAAATTGCTTGGAAGATTGATGATTTGAATTGCACCATATGGGCATTTCTTGTTAAAAATAAAAGTTTTAAGAGGTGAAATTTAATAGTAAATTTATTAAATCAATTTTGGAGACGATACCTGACCTTTTTTTAATGGAAATTTTTTAATGCAAATTTAAGAATCAAAGCCCGGGAATTTTTTAGCTCCCTGGATTAAACATGGACTTGGCATATTAAAGAATTTTAATCAAAACCTCCCGTATCAATATAAGGGTCCAAGTTCAGGCATGCGTGGACTAACACGAAAAGCTTTCCTAGGCAAAGCTATAGATTTTCAAAAATAAAAATCACTAGTTAATTTGCCCCATATGAAGTGATAAAATGAATTTCAGGTAATTTATCGTCAAAAATGTGGTCCTATGAAAAAGCTAAAAACATTTTAAAAAAACCTTCACACAAATTCCACATCCAATGCAAAGAATTTCGGATATTTCAGCAATTTTTGATGTAGGCTCAACCACAATGCATTGTTTACCTATTTAAAAAGTAACTTTTAAAAAAAGAAACAAAAAAAACCTGTCCTAACAACTGGACAATTCTTTTTACAAGGCTGGCCACAATTCTTTGGTTTACAACGATCTGGGTTAACAATAGCTATTCGAGTTTGAACTGATTGTACATCTGGTTTCCCTTTCTTCATTTTCTTAACTAAAGAAAGAAAAAATCTTGATAAATTCTATTAGAAAAGATATGGATCCAGCCTTGATTTTTCTCAGGATCAAGACTTTTTTGATTTTTCCCCGCCCCAAGGTTATCAACCAAAATCAGTGTTTAAAATTTCTAATATTCGTGAAAATCGAAAAAACTCTAAAATGACAGAAAATCCAAAATATATTTTTAAAAAACAGAATGCCAAAAAATCGAAAAATGTTTTTTTTAAAACGTAATTCAAAAAGTCAAACGAAAATTTGTTACGGAATTTCACAGCAAACAAAGAAACTTCTTTTCTATTTTTTTAAAGGCCACAGTTCTAGGATGTAATCAAAGACCAGTCTGATTGTGTGAAAGATAAATACCAATAAAGGCAAAAATTCGGCGAAAGTGCTCGGCACATCCCTGTTACATATGACCCTTTTTAAAAAATTTTTGTGTGGCGCCATAACGGAAAAGTACCAAAAAATCAAATATTCAAACATTAGTGATGATTGGGTGTGTAATTATTAGAGTGTGTCATTTTAGGTTTTTACCTATTTTTTTTGCAAGCAGCTCTCGGTCTCGGGTCAAATTTTGCCCCTCGATCTCGGCTTTTCCGGCATCGGTGATCCTCGGCCTCGGCTTTTTCAAAAATCCTCGACCTCGACCAACTCTAGTATTTAGAGTCAGACATTGAGAGATGGCTCAAAACTTGGATAAATTTCTGTTTAAAACAAGAAAATTGGAGAAAAAATTAAATTTACGAAATGTTGATTCGAAAAAGTTTTAATTTGAGCCAAAATTCGAACCTATTTAGTCAAAATTTGGACCTAATTGGCCTTTTTTGGATTTTTTTGAACCTATTTTCAACTTTTTTTTGGACCTAAATAAGATCCTATTACACGATTTTTTGGACCTAAAATGACACACTCTAGTAATTATGTATATGGAAATCCATATTTTTTCCTGAATTGCTTTGACTATGAAATGTACGAAAAACATGTTTTTGGCTTGTTTTAAGGTTTCTAGATCTTTAAAATCCATATTTTTCCATAAAATTAAATTTTACAAAAAATTAAAAACCTTTACTTTAAAACAAAAAAAAAATATCAAAAGGATACATTTAAATTTTATCTTTAAATTTCACTCATTACCCATTTCTTGAACTGCATAAGCAATTAACTCTTCGTTTCCTGCTTCTTCTTTGACACGTTTTCCTGAAAATATTTAAAAGTAAATACTTTTTAAATTGTTGAATATAATTAGCTGATATTGGGCGGGGAGATGTTCAATCGAACCTCCCAATTTAAGATACACCCTTAGCCTAGAGATACGATTTTCCAAATCCAAAGGATTTATCTATAATTGAGGTATATGGCATAATTATAAGTATGTATTCCAGAAGAAATCAAACAAACTTTGGGAGAGTGGGGGGGGAGGGGGGGTTGTCTAGCAAGTAAGTAACACCACCCAATTTAACAAACATTATAAGATACCCCCAATATTGTACACTTCTATTTAGGTAATTTCTGTTAAATATGGTTATCCATTGGATGAGGGAGCCGCAAAAAAGCAAAACATCCCAATTAAATAACACCGCATTATAACGAATTTTTCAGCCCCCAAAGGTTTGTATATACCTATGTCTTAAATATTCCAGAACAATCCCCAAACAAAAAAAAACCAACTTATCAATTGAATTATAGCCTTATTTGTTCTTTTATCAAGTTTGTCCAATTTCTCTTTAATTCCTCTCCTCAAGTCCCAATCCACTTTTCTTGGAGCCAAAGTATTAATATCTAAAGAATCCCCAACTTTTGCATCTTTCCCAGCTTCTAATTGCCCTTCAATTTTTTCTTTTAATAAATTAATTTCTTCTCTTGGTGGTTCTGATGGTGATGATTGTTGCTGCACATTAACTGGTTTATATGATCGAAATTGAATTGGAAAACTTGAAAAATAAAGTTAAATTTTTTAAAAGTATAGACAAAGAAAATTCCCACTTTTCAGGACAATCGACTATTTGGGATCCGTGGGGCAACTAAACTTCCTAAAATTCCAATATGATAATTGCGGATATACTTTTGCCAGTGAAACAATCTTAAAAACAAAAACCCCACAAATCTTTTATTGCCCTAACATGTGGGCTCACCCAAAATCGGTATTAAAACTTGACCTCATTTTGACAAAATTCGGATTTTCAAGGTTTTAATTCGGCAAACTCAACCAGGGTCATTTTAAATGAAAGAAAAGCAGAATACCGGTTAAACAATGTAAATAGTTCAAACTCTAATTAAAACAAAGCCCCTAATGCAGGCGAAAACCTCCAAGAATTTTCACGTCATTGTCACCTTGACAGGCAAAATTAAAATAAACAAACCGTTCTTCTCCACAATTCTGTTCACCGTCAATGTCTCCATTTCCTTGATTCCTTCCAACAAACCTTTTTCGCATTTCCAATAAATGCTGCCTTCTAGAAATTGCATTTTTCTCCAATTCTGTTAATATTCTTTCTTCTTCAATTATTGCTTCTTCTGAATTTGTAGAAGTAGTAACCATTTTTCTTTTCCTTTTTTTTAAAATTATTCACAATAAAATTAAAGCAAAATATATTCGGAATAAAAACCACAATTAAAAAAAACTTTTTCAATTATTTTTAATATCAGCTAAAAATAACAAAAAAATTTTCTTTTTTCAAAATATTTAAATTGAATATTTAAAATCTCTAGAACGTAAATAAGCATAATAATCCTGCATTTTCTCCCACCCATCTGGATCGGGTTCGCGCCCTTTAAATGTTGGAGGTGTTCCTTCTTCGAGTCTAATAAAGATATTTATGTAACGATGACGAAGAGGATGCCATGCCTAAAAAATTTAAAAAATTTGATCAAATTTTTGAGGTTTTATTTGTTGTCCGCAAAAAATGTCCGCAAATATATTAGGAAGACTTGGTTGGATACACTTCTATTTAAAATGCATTTTTAAAAGCATTTAAAAGTTACTGATGAGGTTTTGGTAAACAAGTTGACCAAAATTCCGAACACCCCCAAAGAGAAAATTGTTTATTCCCTCAAGAAAAAAAATAAAATTAACCCCTCTAGCATGTCTTCTAGCCGATTTAATTATTTTACATTGAATACCAAAAGCTTCAGCAACAAACATGCTTTCCAATGGATTGTCAATTTTAAATTCATCAGCAGCCCTTTCAACAGCTTCTTCGATTGTTTCGGCTAACAATAAAGTTGGCTAAAATTTTTGAAAAAAAATTTTCTTTCAAAAAATTTTTTAACAAAAAACCTTGGTTATTTTATGTCGTAATTGTTTTATTGCTTCATTTGCCATTAAATTTTGGGCAAAAAAGCAAGAAGGGAAAATCCTTTAAATTTTAAAAATTATTGAGAGAAAAAATAATGATAAACAAGTCCAATACCAGACATCCCCCCCCCTCTCCCAAATTTTGTCTAACGTGTCGAGGACCAACCCTTAATAAAAAATTTTTAACAAACTTTTTAGGATGGAGATGAACAGATTCTAGAAAAATTTTGAAATTAAAATTAAAGAAAAAATTTAAAGAAAAAAACCTTTGACATGAAAAACTTCTCGAGCTTTAGGCTTCCCAGTTTCAGGCACAACATAATTTGGAGGCCAAACAACTTTATTTAAATATTCCCATTTTTCTGGGGTAACACCTTAAAATTAAAAATATTTCTTTAAAAGGAACAAAAACAAATCGATTGAGTAAAAAGATAGAGCAAGGGTCGCGACGATAAAATTTTTTTTTTAATTTTCAGGAATTAGTAACACCCAATTTCTCCCAGTTTCAGGCATCACTGGTTTGAATTTTAATAATTTATTCTTTTCTTTGGCATTTGTAAAAGAGTGGGGTGCTTTATGTAGAAAAATACAATTGATTAGGGAGATAGCATAGACACAACTTTTCATTCCCAAATCCCCATCCAAAAATTTAAAAGAAACCATAATTATTCATTGGAGAATATTTATCCAAATTTCCATCTCGCCGTCCAGATTTATCCAATCTCCATTCTGGGGCATAATAAATTTTTGGAGTAGGCTTCTCAAAACGTTGAATTGGTGCATAACCAGAAACTGCTGGAAGAAAGCGTTTCATTTTCTAAAAAATTTTATAAGAAACAAAAATTATTTTAAATAAAAAATAAATTTTCTTGAATTCTAACAAGTAAAAATTTTTTCAAAAATTTATAAAAATATTTTTTAAGAAAATTATTTGTCACAATATCAACAATAAATTTATGTAATTGTAAGTTTAGTCTGGATTTTAAATTAATTTGATTAGCGCCTGAACATTAACGATTCTAGGTTCCAGCCTCGGAAATCCTAAAATCGTTTAAGGGGCCTATTCCATTAAGAGACATTTCGACAAAAGTCAATAACAACTGTCAATTGTCTAAACACGTCGACAGTGATCGTGTCGATTAATTGAATGTCATTGTATGTCAATGTCCGGTCGTCGATATTTGTCGATTTTAAGAGTCATTGTCGAATATGCCTCAGGGACAGGGAAAGTAACTGTTAAGAAATCCAGACCATACAGTAAATATACACAGACCATGTGATATATTTAAAAATTAGAACAGGAATTAGAAAATCTAGTCATTTTCTGAAAAATTTTAGAAAATTTTCCCTCAGTTAATTAGTTAAAATTTATGGCATTTATTATTAAATTATAATAAATTTTTAATAATTTTCCTCATAGAAAACTTTGTTTCTTTTAAAGCCTTTAATTCGATTGTTAATCCAACAAAACCATAACAAAAAGAAAAACCAGCCATTAAAGTAAGTGCAAATCTGACTAGTGCTACCTTTAAAAAAATAAAAATTTATTTGAGTGAATCCTTCCCTCCTCCCTTTAAGGAAAATGTTATGGATGTCAAAAAATCCCTTTCAAAAATAAAATAAATTTCCTTACAAAAGCAAAGGCAAAAGGAACATTTAAATCCAATTTTGTCGTTGCTACAATTAAAATTATAAATAAAACACACAAAGCTAAAAATAAACGTCTATCCCATAAAACTCTAATTTCGGCTTCTTCAATTATTTTTAATGATTTTGTTAAAATTTGTTTTTCTATGGAAAGTTGTCGAAGTTGTTGAGAGCCTGTATCTATTTGGTTTTCTAAAAAAATATTTTTTTAACTTAATGAGGTTAAATTTAAATTAAACCTTTCTTTTAAAACATACCCCCCCCCTTTTAGAATTGAATAATATTATCTTGTAATGAGGTGGATTTTAGATTGAAGGTTGTTAACTTTGCAGAACCCATGCCCCTCACCACAACTTTTTTGGTGGTAGAGAGTGACAAATTTTAAAAACCTATATTAAACCGAGGTTTATCACAGTCGATTGTACATACAAACTTGTGGAGATACACCATTGGGGTTGAAAAAGTAACTTGTAATGAGATTGAGTTAAATTGAGGGGTGCCATTTAGGCATCAATCTCACCCATTTTCCCAACTATATAAGTGGCCAAATAAATTTTAAAAACGTATTGGGTAAAGGGAGTACAGTCAAACCTCAATTTTAAATACCTCCTGTGACTAAAAAAATCGTCTCTTACTTAAAACTAGAGAGGGCTTAAATTGTGTTTATCTTAAAATGAAGTCAAAAATTTAAAAAAAAAGAATAAATAAACCTTTTTTAATTTCAAATTTAGCAGAAACCCCAAGATGGTCAGAATAATTTAAATCACTTTCAGGAATTTTATCAAAACAATATTCACAATTTAAAAGTTTAATTTCAGCTGAAAAGGGAAAAAAGATTTATAAGAAAAATTAATTTTAATATTTTTTTTACTTTTTTCACTTCTATACATTATATAATCCAATCTTTTTCCATTAGGAGAATATTTTAATAAACACTTTGATGTATAACAATTATCAGGTCTTTCACAAGTTGTGCCATTTTCGTATAAAGGGTCAACGGCATTCTTTAAAAAGAAAAAATTTATTTGAGAGAAAAATATTTGGGTCTTTTATCCAGTTTAAGCGTCCCCCATAGAGGTTAAGTAACTATTAGATTCTCTTTGGTTTCAGTTTCCTTAGTTAAAAAGAGTTCGGGACGCCAAAAAAGACCCGAACCTTAAAAAAGAATATACCTACAACTCAATTGTTCCCATAAACTTAAAAAACAATTTCAAAAAACTCAACAAACCGGTCTACATTCCCAAGCATCATTTAACGGAACCAAATTTTTAATTAATTGAAAACCCAAATTTGTCGGCTCCAAATTAAAATCCCCAACAAGAATAACAAAATCTGCACCCCCACAAGTATGTCGAATAAATTGAGACATTTCAAAACATTGAGAAATTCGATGAGGTAAATACAAATCATTTTCTTTGTTATATTCTGCATGTAAATGGGTGGTGTAAAAACAAATTTTGTAAGAGTCAAATAGAATTTCTGCCATTCCGACAATTTTGCCTCCAAACCAGTCACCTCTAAATAAATTTTTTTGAAGGTATACGAAAAAAGGATGTTTAAAAACTCTCAGAGGAAACCTGTGTATATGATGAGGAAATCCATTCAAAGAATATCTATGAAGCAAAGTAGAAATGATTGGATATCTGCTAAGAATACAAGTTCCACTTCCAGTAAATCCACTATGAAAATAATGTGAATAAGGAAACTTTTCTTTTAAATTGTGGACCATTTCAATAAAAACTTTCTCACTCCAAATCTGTAAAAAAACAAAAAAAAATATTGATTGGTCTCTTTTGTGCTTCCAAAGTCCCAAGTTTTTCTCCGAAAGTATAGCAAAAGAATGACCTCATTACAAGGGCGTAGCCAGGGGGTCGATTTCAGGGAGGAGGGGGGGGGGGGTTAAAATAGGGTCGGCGCCAAAATTTTGGCATTTACTTTGGTGAAAATTTTAACATTAAAAAACCTCTTGTAACGCCACAATATCAAATTTAGACACAGCCAAAGCACTAATCAACATTTGAATTCTAAAAGTTTTGTGTTTACTACCAATAGGCCAAGGATGAGGAAGAAGCCTAAAAATTGAAAAGTAAAAAATTTTATTTTAAAAATTTCTTACCAACAATTTAATGTTGCCACCCGCAACATTTTAATTGCTAGAATCTATAGAAAATTGAAAATTAAAAAAAATTTTTAGGGACAAAAAAGGGTATGTACAGCCCAATTAGGCGCGTGCCAATTAGGCGCAACCGATTAGGCGCGACACACAGAAAAGAGTAAGGAAGCAGGGAAACGATACAACAATTTTGCTTTATTTGTGGTTGGTTGAGAGCCAAATTTTTGAGTGCCCAAATTGAACTGTATGACTCACAACTTTTTGCGCAAACTTTGCGGTTGTTTTACCTCCTTTTTCTCTTTTTTTTTGTTTTGTCTCTGTTAGTTTAATTTCTAGTTAATTAATTAATTTATTACACAAGTAATTCGGCAAATTTTCGTTCTTGTTTTACAAAGAAAATTTTATTTATTAATCTACAAGAGTTACAACTTAACCAAAAATATATTCGATATGATTTTGTCATAAACAGTACAGCAACTTTTAGGATAGTTAGCTTAAAATTGGAGCTTTTGTTTATTTACACAGGGATTTAACATACATTTGAAGCAATTTTTGAAGAATATTTAGCCAAATATAAATTGAATCTGCATATTCAGTAAAAAATGGAATTTGCCTTAAATCCCCCTACTAATATGTACTAACTTTTTTTTATTAAATATTTTTAATAAGCATTTTCTGGTTTAGTCAGTCAGTAATCAACTTTCTTGGATCTAATGGTTATTTCCGAACATTGGGTGTTTTAATGGAGGAGATTAATGTTTGTTTAAAATAATTTTTGGATTAAAAGAATATTTTTCTTAAAAGATGCCCAATCCAATCCAACAAATACCGGGACCTATGTGGTTTAGGTTTGCTTTTTTAAATGCCTCTACTAGCCAAAATCAAGCCTGTGTAAGGAAGAAAGGAAAATTCAGCTGGCATGTAAAACTCGTGCTAGGCGGGGATCTATTATAAAAAGAAAGCAAAAGCAGCGCCATAGATCACTGTTAGCAGAATTTAAAACGCTTAGGCTGGGGTTAAACTAATATATAATGAGATAGAGAAGGCATTTGTGTAAGCCCGGCAAAGCGAGCAGGGTCGAATCTTGCCCGGTGGCTAAACTTTTGCTAAACTCTTATTGTGGTGTGCGAAAGAGCCCATCAGTAAATGTTAACGATACACTTCCTTCTCGCCAGGTTTGTATAAATTCTTGAAGGTGTAAAAAGAGGTGTATTTGAAAGAGTAAACCTAACACATTTCTAAGTTATCATCAAATGCCAAGCCAACCTAATGCGGTTTTAACAGCAAAACCACCACAAGATCTTGAGAAACGAAAATTAGTTCAACAACAATTAGTTTTTCTTTTGCATGCCCATAAATGTCAGCAAAGAGAAAAGGTTTTTTTTTCTTTGTTGATCTTTCTAAAGAAATTTTTAATAGTTGGAGCCGGAATGGCGCGGTTGTTGTAATCTTCCATATTGTGCTATAATGAAAGGTGTTTTGGAACACATGGTTAAATGTAAATCTGGGCGTAAATGTCATTTCGCTCATTGTGCTTCTTCTCGCCAAATAATTTCTCATTGGAAAAATTGTCCTGAAGAAGATTGTCCTGTGTGTAATCCTATTAGAAAATTTATTGCTGATAATGGACAAAGTCAAGTGATAGATATACTTTGTTAAATAATTTGTAAATTTAACTACATTGTTGACAATTTAAAAGAACCTCCAAAAAGAATCATTTTTTTATTTCAGGGTTATTATCTCGAATTTTTAAAAATCAGCAAAAAATTATTAAACAAAAAAATTAAATTAAAATCACTTTATACGTTATGCTATTTTTATTTTTTGACTCCAACAATTATATTTTCAATTATTTGGGTAACGGAATTTTCGTCTCCAAAATTTTTCGGAATTTTCGTTTCCAGCTGAATATTCGCACCAAGTCAAAAAACGGAATAATGTATTGGTCACATGACTTTTAGGCGCGTTGTTTGATTTTGTGTTACTTTTCAAATAAATCAAAAAATTCACTCCGACGCCCTCAATTCCCCGCGCCTAAAATTCCAGTGGCGAATATTCAGCCGGAAACGAAAATTCCGTACACCACAAATATATTTAAGTTTTATTTAAAATACAAAATTTAATTATTTATTAAATGGCGCTTTGCGCAGCAATTTTTGACAAAAAGGACATTCTTGTATTTATTAAAATAAAAGAAAAAGGAATTAATTCAGAAACGTCAACAGAAATATCCCGCTTTCTCTACAATTCTTTTGATATAATTTTGGACAAAATTAATTATCCTGGTGCTAAAGCTACACAAGATTTGTATATTGGGTCGTTGTTGATTAATTCGTCTTTCAGGGTTTGTTGAAAAAAATTCATTTTTAAGTGGGGGAGGCTGTGGAAATTAATTTGAGTTGTTTAGTTGAAGCAAAAAGAGTTTTTGGATGTTTAAAAGATTAATTTCCCGGACGGGCTCGAACCTTCGACCTCTAATATTAATGAAATTAAAATTAGAAATTGATTTGTAGCCTCTCCAACCTTTTAAAAGACAATTTTTGATTTCCATACATGCCTTCCATATTTATTTTACATTTTTATCTTTTCACCTTTAAAAATTCTCTCCGTTCGGGGAAAAGTTTTTTACTTATTTTAAAATTAATTTTTGTCTTTTCCAAATTAAAAATTACTTTTTTCAGTCTTTTGGTTACCTAACAAACACAAACACAAAATTCCTGCTTGTAACAGACGTGGAAAACAATTTATTAAAAGACCACGAAATTAGATTATTTTTTAAAAAATTACATTCAAAATATTTTTGTGCTATAGCCAATCCATTTTACGTGTTTGGAAATTTGTTAAAATCAAAGTAAATTTATTTTTGTTTAAATTAAATAAATTTTATTTTTTTAAAGACATATAGACAATGTTGTGCAGGAATTTATTGATTGTTTTTAAGAGAGAAGTTTTTGTAAAAATAAACTTTGTTTTATGTTTAAACTTGTTTTGATTGTAAAAATATATAAACATTGTTTTGTTTGTTAGAATTTCAACAAACTTTGTTTTTGTTTTAATGTTTTTATTTAAAAAAACTTATTTTTCTTATTATTAAATTAATTAAACTTGAATTAATTTTTTAAACTTTGTTTTTACAATTTAAAAATATTTTTTTTATTCAAATTTATTAAAATTATTTTTAGTATTTTTTAAAATAATTAAAATGTCAGAAAATACAAAAGAAGCAACAACAAAAACATCCAAAGGAATTGTCAGACTTTCAAACACTTCAGATTTTATCGAGCCTAGTCAAGTTTGTTTTGCTTCTTTAAGTCTTGAATTATTTAAAATAAAACATGTTTTGGTAAATAAAAACAAGTTTTAATAAACTTTGTTTTAAAGAAAACAATTCAAGTTTTAAGTTTGTTATTAAACTTGTTTTGATACAAACTTGTTTTTATTTAAAGAAAACAATTAAAACTTGTTTTAATAAATTAATAAAAACTTTTGTTTGTAAACACTATTTGTTGAGAACTTTAAAATTAAAATATTTAGTTTAAAATATTTTTTTAAATAGAAATGTATATTACCAATACAAAATGGAGTTAAAAAGAAAAATGATGGATTAGTTTCGCTTCACTCAAAAAATTCCCAAAATTTAATAAAAAAGAAAGTTCGAATAACTTTACAAGATTGCCTTGCTTGTAGTGGATGTGTTACAACAACAGAAAATAATATTTCTATTTTAGAAAGTTTTTGAAAGTTTTGTAGAAATAAATAAACATTTTGCTTTTGTAGAAATATATATTTATTATAAAATTAATAAAACTTGAATTTTATTAAAACTTTAAAACAAGTTTATTAAAACTTGAATGGAAAACTTGTTTTGATTTTTTAGAACTTGAATTTTTAACAAAAACATCCAACTTATGATAAAAACATTTGAATGTTTTTAATAAAAACTTGTTTTAATAAATTTAAAACTAGTAAAAATATTTACAAAAATTAATTTTTCCTAAAAACTTGTTTAAGTTGAACAATTGTTTGTTTCGAATATAAAAATGCTCAAAACCTTTAGATTTACCATCCCAATTAAAGTACAAAAATAATGGAAATTTAAAAATATTTATAAAAATTAGTCAAAATAAAATTAAAATTTTTTAAAAATTTTTTTTGAATTTCTTTCCAATCAATCCAAAAAATGTTTAAGTTTCCGTAAAAAGCAGAGGTTTATTAGAAAATAAATGAGAAAACAGGCGGATAGCGAGCAAACTGGACCCGTTATTAATTTATTCAATTTTTGTAAAAAATAAATACATAATTTGATTGAGGATATTAATGTTTTTGCTTATAATTTGTTGCTAATAAATCTTTCAAAGATATATTGTTTTTAAAAAGAAAAGTTTTTTTCACCTTCGCATGAGTCAGAATGTTTGAATTTCTTTTAAATACAACAAAAAATAAAACTTTAAAAACAACAAGTTTATTTTCAATTAAATGTTTAACAAACAAGTTTTAAAACAAAGTTTAATTAAAGTTTGCAACAAAAAATAAACTTGAAAAACAATGAAAATTAAATAAATTAATTGTTAATTGAAGCATAAAAGAATTTTTGTTTTCCTTTCTTTAAAAAATTTTTTTCCAATTTTATTTTAATTTTTTGGAATTTTGTTAAAATAAAAAGGAAAGAAATTAATTTGTTAGACAAAAAATTTTTATATATTTCTTTTGAATTTAAAAGGAGTGGTTTTGAAAATTATATTTAAATTAAGAGTATGTAGGGTTGCGCGAGGGTCGAGTTTAAACTTATCTAAAATACCAAAAGTATTATAATTGCCTGCGGGATTACACTCAGGCTTCGTTCCAAATTTGACCCTTAACCACATCAAAGCTTTTTCAGCCTCGGCTATCCTCGATTTAGGCTTTTTTCGAGAACTCGACCTCCCTTAACTCTAATTAAGAGTGATAAATGATTAATACATAATTTTCTTATTTACATATTTTTTATTAAAAAAATTTTTTTAATTAATAAAAGTTAATAAATTTTTGTTTTTCTAAATTATAAGTTTTGTTGCAAGTTAAATTTATTTATTAAGAATATCTGCTTCAAGTTTAAATAATGTTCATTTAAAATTAAAACTTGTTAATAATTTACAACTTTGTTGTTCAATGTCCCCTTTGCATTCAATAATTGTTTTTAAAAATCAACGTTATATTTTTATTTTCCCTCCACCTAAATTCTACAAAAACCATAAAAGTTTTCTTTAAATTGTGGTGTGGCCGAAATGAATTGGCAGTACAAATAAGGTAAAGAAGGAATGGAAAAAGGAGGGAAAAAGGATGATTTGGAGAGGAAAAAATGGACGTCGATCGTTTAAAAGAAGAAGAAACTCCTTCCAAACATTTTTATTATTTTTATCCGTTTGTTGATTTTTATTTCTTTTCTTTTTTATTTCCTTTAAATATTTACATATTTTTCTCCGTTCTATATGTATTTATTTTGTTAATCCAAACATTCGTAAACATTTAAAACCTAAAGCTGCTAGTATAATTAAACTTGGATACTTAAACTAGAATATTTAAATAAACTTGAAACATATTTATTGGATAAATAAACTTGAATACTTAAGTTTAAATAAACCTAAGTATATTAAACTTGAATAATTAAACTTGGAGGCTGTATATGAAAGGAATGCGGCACTCAATTTTTTTCCTCATTATTAAAAATGATTAATTTATATTTTTCTCTCTATTTTTGATTTGTGCCTTAAGACTAGAGACGGCGTGTCTGTCCGAGTTCGTCTGTGTTCGTCCGTTTCAGTCAAAGTGACGCACACACATCGGTCAGAAAACACGGACGAACTCGGACAGACAAAACACGGACGAACTCGGACAGACAAAACACGGACGAACTCGGACAGACAAAACACGGACGAACTCGGACAGACAAAACACGGACGAACTCGGACAGACAAAACACGGACGAACTCGGACAGAAAACACGGACGAATTCGGACAGACAAAACACGGACGAACTCGGACAGACAAAACACGGACGAACTCGGTCAGAAAACACGGACGAATTCGGACAGACAAAATACGGACGAACTCGGACAGAAAACACGGACGAATTCGGACAGACAAAACACGGACGAACTCGGACAGACAAAACACGGACGAACTCGGTCAGAAAACACGGACGAATTCGGACAGACAAAACACGGACGAACTCGGACAGACAAAACACGGACGAACTCGGTCAGAAAACACGGACGAATTCGGACAGACAAAACACGGACGAACTCGGACAGACAAAACACGGACGAACTCGGTCAGAAAACACGGACGAATTCGGACAGACAAAACACGGACGAACTCGGACAGACAAAACACGGACGAACTCGGTCAGAAAACACGGACGAATTCGGACAGACAAAACACGGACGAACTCGGACAGACAAAACACGGACGAACTCGGTCAGAAAACACGGACGAATTCGGACAGACAAAATATGGACAGAAAAAAGGTACGAAGATAGTCTTAAGGCACAAATCAAAAATAGAGAAAAATATGCATAAGAAAATTAACCATTTTTAAGAATAAGGAAAAAATTGAGTGCCGCATTCCTTTCATATACAGCCAACTTGGCTACTTAAACTTGAATATTTGTTTATAATATTAAATAAACTTGAAACATATTTATTGGATAATAAATTTGAGTACTTAGGTTTAAATAATCTTATGTAAATATATTAACCTTGAATAATTGAACTCGAATATTTATAAACTTGAGAAAACTTTAAGAACTTGAATAAACTTAAATAAACTTGAATATAATAAACTTGAAACTAGCAATCTTTTTTTATATTTAATCTTTTATACAACACAAAATTACTTTTAACTCCTAAACTCATTCCACAAAAATTATTTCATCTTGTTATTTTGTATATTTTTAACTCTGCGCGTGCTATCACTTTACAGCCGTGCGAATTTATATATTTTTCATCGCCCGCACACATTTACACAAACAAAACAACACAAAATGTTCTTCTTTTTCTTCTTAACACTGAAGAGACGAAAAATAAAATAAGAAAACCAAAACCGCCGTTAGCAATTACTCTATTAAATAATTATTTGCGTCTCTCTCGACATGTTTTTAATGATTTCGCGCAACTTTTATTTAAACCAGCTGTTAATTAATTAATAAAATGTTTTTAATATAAATAAAATAATCATTTTTATTTATTTTCTATAAATCAGCCTTAATTTACTTAAATAATCGTTATTTTTTATGTGTGTTTTTAAAAAATGTTTAAGTCAATGTTTGTTTCAAGTTGTGTTTTAATTTTTAAGTTTGCTCATTTTGTGTTTGAAGCTTGTTATTTTTATTCAAGTTTGTTTTTTCTATTTTTGTTTCAAGTTTATTTTTCCTTTTATTTTGCTTCTACTTTATTTTTCAACATTTCCATCTAAATTCTAAGTTTAATTAATGGATAAAAATAAAAATCTGGTGACCTTCATTTTCTCCTAATTTTTTCCGACTGTTGTGCCACTCCCGAAGTCCGTCTAAATAACGAGAAAAGAAAATTCATCAGCGCGGATAGTCGGCGGTGTTTGGCGACACTAATTGACCTTCTAGCGCTTCTTTCTTTCAATCTATTTAGCCTCTCACCGCAATTAGAATCAAATATTTTCTTTTTTGTTTTGGTTTAGAGTTACAGCCTTTCCATCAAACGTGAGACTTTTTAATCAATCGACTCTCGATATATTTAATTATTTATATATCTAAATCAATCTAATATTTTTATTTTAAAAATATTTTGAAATTTTTATTAATAATGAAATTGATTTGGAGAAATTAAATAAAAATTAAATTTTAATTCCTTAAGTTGTTTTTATAAATTAAGTTTATAATTTTATAATTTAAGTTTTTAAGTTTATAATTCAAGCTTAATTATAAAATTCAAGTTTATGCTTATAACCTAAGTTTATAATTCTATAATTCAAGTTTTAATAATATTTTTTGGTAACTGCCTTTATTTTAAATATTCACCCTGTTCTAAAAAATTTTTTTATGGGGATAGAAAGCACGGATAGTACCGGCCTATTGGTTCTAAAAATCAGGACGGGTACTTATAGCCGTAGAGTAATGTTTATATCACATTTTTAAGTCTATTTTTTTTATATTAATGGAGAAGGAGGGGGGGGGGGGTAACGAGGAACAATTTTACCTATTTTTCCCTTAATGATTAAATTCATAATTAAATTTATTTAATTATAATCATCAAAAAAAAAGACTAATCTCGTCATAAAAATATATAATCTTGCAATATCCTCTCAAAATACCTTTGCCTAATTTTTTATGTACTTAAAGCTCTTTAGTTCTCTCTTATTTTTTTCTAAATATTCCCCACTTTTTGCTTTTTTTTCTTCTGTGCGCATTTACCTCCAACAAAAATATATTTATTTATTTGAACACAACACAGAACACACAGAATAACATACTAGAGACACTTGAGCTGGCAAAAGCAACAAAAAAAGAGAAGTATTTAGATGATTAAACAAATGAAGTAGTTAGTACATCCTTTTGCTTTAAGCTTGATCCAACTTTCGCTAATTTTTAGGTCGTGGGCGAATAGTTGAACTTTTTAAAAAAAGTTTTTCAAGTTTATAATTTACATTTTAGTCGATGCTTTTTTTTAAGTTCTATTTTTCAGAGTTTTTATCCTAGGTTTATTTTTTTAAAGTTTATTTATTTTCATTAATTATTCAAACCTTAATTTTCCTTCTGAGTAAATCCCTAATTAATTAAACTTGGATTTTTTAAGTTCAAACTTAAATTATTTAAAAACTTGAATTATTTAAGAATAAACTTGTATATTATCTAATTAACTTGAATTAATCAAACTTGGATTTTTTAAGCTTAAATTTTTTAATTGGATCTGAATTATTCAAGTTCCAACTTGAATTAAATAATTCAATAATATAACTTGAAGCAATTTTATTAAAAGTAAGTTTATTATTTCATTTCTTTTGAAGCATTTTATTTTAATTATTTTATTAAGTTTTATTTATTTTCAATTTCTGTTTCAAGTTTATTTTTGTTGCAAATTTAATTTCAACTTTAGCTTTGCTTGTGTACTATACTCGCTCTCTCACGTTAATTTTTAAAAATTTAATTTTGTCATATGACTTTAAAATTTTATTTTTAATTCTTTAAATAATTTTTTCACTATCAATTAATCAGTTAAACTGCAACAACTATTTTTATTTTCTATTTATTTTTTCACTCGCGCAAGTCTTTCCCCAAACCCCTCCCCCCCTACCCTCACCCCCCCCCCTCTCCACAAATTCCATGCCTTCTTCAAAAACTTCTCTCTTTTTTTCTCCTTCACGTAAACTGAAGCTACATAGCTACTAAAGATGCTCTTGTTTGAGGAATGCTACTCTTGGGCTTTGTTATTTTTTTCTCCTCTTCTAAACAACTAAAATGTTCGCCGTTTCCGCAATTTTCTCTTTTATTTATTTTTATTAAAAATTTTTTTCTTCTCTTTCCTCATTTGCAGCAGCGCATGAAGGAAAGAAGGGAAAATTTTTTGCTTTTAATTTGATCACTTTCTTTTGATTTTTCTTTTTTTATGTATAAGAACATGCCATTTTTATTTTTTAAAAATCGTTTTAAGTGTTATTTTCCTTGATGAATATAAAAGTATGGCGCGCCGAAATTTGCGGATTTTAATTTGCGGACCCGAAATTTGCGGACCCGAACTTTGCGGACCCGAATTTTGCGGACCCGAACTATGCGGACCCGAATTTTGCGGATCTGAGATTTGCGGACCAAAAATTTGCGGACCGACAATAGAGTCTACTGAACCTCGGAAATTTCAAAAATTTTAGCGTGCGGCGTTAATTAGGATAAATTCAGGTATCATGACCTTATGAAATGGCCATATAAATGATTTTTTAAGGAATTTTCTCGATTATTTAAATTATGAAATAATTTTAAGATTAAAAATTGATAAAAATTTTGAAAAATCAAGAAAAAATCTTGAATACGGTACGGATCATGATAAACTCTGCCGGAATCCTCGAAAAATAAAATTTTTAATTTTTCCTTTTTACTCAAGTGTCGGTCCTAAAATCTTGGTTCCGCAAAGATCAGGTCCGCAAACTTCGTGTCCGCAACCTTCGGGTCCGCAACTTTCGTTCCGCAAATTTCGGGTCCGCAAAGTTCGGGTCCGCAAAATTCGAGTCCGCAAAGTTCGCGCCACGAAAAGTATAATTTGTTTGCTCGTTTGTTTTTATATGACATAAATAAATTTAAGCTTATTGTTAGATAAAATAATTTAAGCAACTTGAAACAATTAATTAAACTTAAATTATTTAAGTTCAAACTTGAATTATCTGATTAAAGCTGAATGAGTACATTTACTTAAATTGAAGAATTACTTAAGTTCAAACTTACTTACTAATTAAACTTGAAAGTTTAAACTTACATTATATAATTAAACTTGAATTATTTATGCCTAAACTTAAATTAATTAAACTTAACGTATTTAAGTTCAAACTCAAATCATTAATTAAGCTTGATTTTTCAAGTTCTAACTTGAATTATTTATTGACCTTGATCTAAATAAACTTGAATTAACTAAGTTCAAACTTGAATTCTTTAATTAAACTTGAATTATACAATTCAAAAAAATCAAACTTGAAGCAAATCTCTTGAAATTAACGTGTATTTAATTCTTCTTAAAGAATTCTTTAAAGTATTTCCGTTTTAATTTAATTAGTCAATTTCCGTCTAATTTTTTCTCTTTTTTTTAATATGTTCCGTCAAAATACCTTAATTTTTCTTCCTTTAATTTTCTACTTTTTCTTCCCTAAACCTTTATAATTTTTAATTTAAACCCCCCAACAACAACTAAAAAACTTCCTTCCCCTCTCACTCACTCTCCAATCTTCCCGTCACTATTGGCGATCGCCTAAGGGCCCATCACCGCCATCACCACAACAACCAACAAAAACCCCCTCCCTTCCTCTCTCCACAATCATCAACACAGTTCCAAACCTTTCTTCTTTCTTTCCCTTTTTCTTCTCAATATTTTTACTAAAAAATTTTCTTCTTTACTTCCCTCATTCTTCAAATCAAAAAATTCTTCTTCCATTAAAGGCTCTCCGGTGTACAAAAATGGCAAATGAATTGTAAAAGAGAGAAGAATCAACCACCCATATGTATTATATTAAAAATTAAAGGCCCCCACAACAACAACAACGGAGGGAGGGGGGGGGGGAGGTTGGAGGGAAGGAAGGACCTCCTTTCTCTTTTTTCCCTTTTCCAATCTGTCCAGTCTCGTAATTTTTTTTAATTTTAAAATTCCTGTTTGATTATTTTTTGTATTAAATATTAATAAAATAATATTTTTTAAATTTTAATTTTATCAAAATTTTATTTTATTAAATCTCAGAATTATAGAAATGACCGCTTAAGCATAATCTTGATTTTTTAAATTAAGGTTGTTTTATTTAAATACAAATTGTAATTTTTTTTAATTTTAAAAATAATTTTTAGAGAAATGGCTCCAACATCTGCGGGCCTTTTTTTTGTCCTCAGATTAAATAAATTCCCAAATAATTTTTATTTAAAAATTTTTATTTTTCTTCTTGCCTTATTTACTACTTTAAATTGTTCTGTAAATGTTGCAAAATTTAATGCTCGTCTTTCAGTATTTAGCAGTGATTTTGAAAGTAAAATATATTTGAAAAATTTAATTAAAAAATATTTTTTAATAATCATTTAATTTAGAAAAAATTAATTTCCATGAAGGTATTCAGACGCGCAACCTATTTTTAAGGGGATTTTGTAAAGCGCCACTGTGCGCCAAAATTTTCGCATGGCTGCAATTTTTTAAATTTTTAAAACACGCCAAACGCAAAACGCCAAAATCGGTCCACAAACGGACACCAAACGCTGTGGCGTACAGCCTAATGGGGAGCTATCTAAGAGATACCCTCTATTTAACATACACCTCATTATAAGGAACGAATTTTTCAGCCTAAAATGGTTATCTAAAAACGAGGATTTTAATTATAACTTCTAAATATATTTAAAGCATTACAACAAAGGCATAAAAGAGCAACAACAGAATCTTTACTGACAGTAGAATGGGAAGGGATTCAAAGTGGTGACCATCCAGATTCTTCTATTAGAGGTTTTATTGTTGAATATAAAGCTGAAGGTGAAAATCAATGGAATGTGCATTCTGGGATTATACCTTACAAAGGACCTAATCATCAATACAGAGTACAGGCATGTGGAAATTTTTAAAAGGAATTATACCTTAAGAAGGTTGCCTGAGGCAAAAAAGAGGATTTGGAAAATAAAATGAAAATAGAGAATTATAATTACAAACACTTTGGTTAACTTAAACTGAGCCGAAAAATCTTATCTAAAATCTGGGTTTTGTTTCTGCCCGGAACCGATACCAACCTAACCAACGCCTATCCTTAAATTCTCTTCCCTCCTGCTATCCTCAACAATTTTTTAAATTTATTAAAAAAATTTTTCATTTTTTCAGATACCCAAATTACCAACAGGAATATCATACTTTGTTCGCATAAAAGTTTTGGGTTCTAAAGGAGAAGTTTTGGTTGAAACGCCAGAAATTCGTGCCAAAAACGAAATTGTTTCGATACATTGTGAACCTGAAGAGATTACTTCTCCAAACAATATTAAAATTAAAGAACAATCAAAATTCAGTATAGCAATTACTTGGCAGCCCCCAGAGTGTGGTTCTATTGGGGAGTATCAACTAGAATTGAAAGGATTGAATTTACAAAGTTTTGATGTTCATAGACAAACAGTTTCGCAACCACAAGCATCGATTAGTGGATTGATTTCTGGAACTGAATATTCTTTGAGGATTAGAGCTATTGATAGGGCGAGGATTGTTGGACCGTGGAGTGAGGAGGTAATAAAAATAAACTCTCTCTATAAGATACCCTTATTATTAGAGAAACCTCTATTTAAGATACTCTAAATTTTGGTTGGTTATTGGGTGGGGTAGTTGTTTAAAAGCATACCCCCTATTTAATATACACCTCTTTATAAGGTAGGGTTTTCAAACTCGAGAGTGTATATGTGAGAGGTCCGGTTACAAAATTAAATTTTCCAGAAATTTCTTGAAAAAAATTAAAAACTTCATTTAAAGCTAATAACTGTGAGTACAAAAGGAGAATTACCAGAACAATTATCTAACGCACAATTAGAATATATTAGCGATAAAGAAGTTAGAATAAGTTGGACACCTCTAGACCATCCAAGATTACAACATTATGAGGTAAACAAACATATAAAAGACTTGAACATGTTTTGAAAATAAATAAACTTGTTTTGGAAATTAAAATATGTACATATAATGCCTATCCGACATTTGGGGATCAGACTTTTGGGGACCCGACAGTTGGGGACGACTTTTGGGGATACGACTTTTGGGGACCCGACAGTTGGGGACGACTTTTGGGGATACGACTTTTGGGGACCCGACTTTTGGGGACCCGACACTTAGGGACCCGACTATTGGGGACCCGACATTTGGGGACGAAATAAAATTTAAAAAAAAATTGAAAATCTACCTAAAGCAGGTCTTTAATACATAGTCGGATATGGATAAAACATGGTCATTGACTCAGCTCGATGTCTGAGTCGAATGACCGTGAAAACCAAGTGCGGGAGTCAAATGTCAAGGGAGTCAAGCACGGGAGTTAACGATCAAGCACGGGCTGTTGACTCCCGCGCTTGATCGTTAACTCCCGCGCTTGGTTTTCACCCTCATTCGACTGAGACATCGAGCTGAGTCAATGACCATGTGTTGTTCATATCCGACCATGCATTATAAATTTGCTTTAGGAAGATTTTCAAATTTTTTAAAAATTCTATTTCGTCCCCAAATGTCGGGTCCCCAATTGTCGGGTCCCTAAGTGTCGGGTCCCTAAAAGTCGGGTCCCTAAGTGTCGGGTCCCCAAAAGTCGGGTCCCTAAGTGTCGGGTCCCCAAAAGTCGTCCCCAACTGTCGGGTCCCCAAAAGTCTGATCCCCAAATGTCGCGCCACGACATATAATACAATTTAAAATCGAGTTGTAAATCAAGTTTTATTATAAAAACAAGTTTGCTTATATAAGAAAACTTGTTTTTATATAAACTTGTTTTTATAAACAAGTTGTAATTTATAAACAGGTTTGTAAAAAATATAATCAAGATTTTATTAAACTTGTTTTATTATAATAAAAACAAGTTTTGTTACAAACTTGTTTTTATTATAAACTTGTTTCTAAAAACAAGTTACATTATAAAAACTTCTCTAATAAACATTAAATTTTAAAACATTTTCTGTGGCATTAACAAAAAATTAAAATTAAAGATTGTTTTGACTGAAATAATTAAAAATTCAAAACAAAAAAACACAAAACAACACAAAGAAGAAGAAGAAGATGGAGAAAAAGTTGAAAGAACTCGTGTTGCCCCAACACAAACAAATGTTTATTTTGGTGATCTTAAGCCTGATACTGAATATAAAATTGGTGTTTTGGCATATATGTATGTGGGGGGTTTTTTTTGAAAAATTTTTTAGGAAATAATTTTAAAAAAGTGAAGATTTTTTTTGTTTGGAATTTTTTTTGAATTTCAAAAAAAATTTATTTTTATTTAAATTTAAAGTGATCACGAGCCTGTTAGACTTCAACGCTTAACTTTGAGAACAAATATTGAACGTCCAATTGAATCAAGCCAAAAGCCTATGGTTTTACAATTAGAAAGTGGGGAATATGAAGTAAGAGATTTAGTTTCATTAAAATATTATGAAGGGGAGAATCGTCAAAATTCTAAGTATGTCCACCAACTTTTTAAGTTTGAAAGTCGGAATTTCTAATCCGGAAATGACATTCCGATTTATATATTTTATGTTATGAGTACCTTGGTCAATGAGGACAAGGATAAGAGAACATGGATTTTCCTAGACATGAATGATAGGCCTTCCATTTTCGCAATTTTGGCCTTTCCACTTCCGTTTTTTAAACGCGACAGGGCCCTACTGGGCACGGTTTTCCTGTTGATATTACTTGCCCTTAGTCTTTCCAGGTTATCGAAGTAACTAGTCAAAGTCAAAATCCAAACAGCAATCCTTTACTTGTTTTTCTTCGATTACTTTATTGTCTTCCCTTCAATTTTTAGCTAAAACAATTCTTTAAAAATAATTTCCAAAATCTTTTTGCAGGTTCATTGGAAGCCTCAACCAGAACTTCAATATAGCCAATATATTTTGGAATATAAATTAGGAAATGAAACAACAAAATGGTATTTATTAACAAAAAAAGAGGAAACAAATCAACAACAACAAAGTTATTCAACAAAAACAACAAAATTGGAAGATGCAATTTCTGTTCGTTTATTATTTATTGGAGAAAAAGAAGAGGGGAAGAAGCCTATTTTAATAGCAAAAACAGAAGAATCTCTAGTTGGACACAAATCTATTGGAAATTCTTGTGAAAGAGTAGCTAGTGGAGAACCTAAATTTTTGGAAGAAGAAAGGGAAGAAGGAAAGAATAAAATTGTGTTAATACCCGAAACTATTAAATTTAAATGGGAACAAGTTAAATGTGAAGGGCATATTGAAGGGTGGGAATATATGGTAAATTAGTAATTTTAATTTGAAAGATAAAAGTGTGTAGGTATTTTTTGGTTATTGGGAATATATATCTAGCGGGATTATATAGCTAATCAATTTTAGACCTATCTCATTTACAAAAAACGGAGCAACTCTGACTGAAGTGTTTCGGAGTCTAATTCTGATAAAACGTCAAGCTCGTGACCCAATTTAGATTTAGCAGGGAATGAAAGTTATATCGAGATTTAACGTTAATCTTGATAGACAAAAAATTACAATCTCTAATTAATTAATTAATTGTTTAAATCTCCATTAATTTTATTTTAAAAGATTTGGCCAGCAGAAGACGGCCATCAACCATTAGAGGGATCTGTTCCAGAATTTACTAGCCAACCCCAAGTTTTACTTCAAGGACTTGAACCATCCACAGAATATCGTTTTAAAGTAAGGCATAGATTGCCCAATGGAGGGCATGGTCCTTGGAGTCCAACAGCTAGTGGACGTACAAAAATAAGTAAAAAAGAAGGAGAAGAAGAAAAAGAGGAAGGAGGAGAAACATCTGAAAATATTTATAGATTAAGAATTGCTTTAGTGCCTCCACGTTCTTTTCTAGTTTGGACACCTTTGCCTGAACATGCTAAAAGAATACATAGATTTAAGTAAGTTGGAATTTATTTTTAAATTTAGGTAAACAGAATTTTTGCTAAAACAAATGTTAAATCAGAATGCATTAATACATATAAACCAAAAGTTATTTCAGAATAATACAAGAATTTAAGACAGTGTTAAAATTCAAATTCAAATCAGAATTTTAAATCAATTCGATGAAACTATTTCTAAATTTATATTTCCGAATTTAAATCAGAATTATGAAACAGAATTTTTCAGAATTAAAATTCCGTTTATTCAGAGTTTCTCACAAGCCAACAGCACCAACACTCGCCGATGGCGTCACTGTCGAAGGCCCAACGGAACAATTTGTTGCCTGCCCACCAGGCATTTCACAACCCGGAGTTGATTTTTGTTTAGACCTTCGAGGGCTTGAATTGGGGAGACAATATTCTGCAGAAATTTTGTATCAACTCGATGGGCCAACTGGAAAGTGGAGTAAAAAGGGGGCTCCTCTCTTCTTTATTTTGGTTGATGAAGATGTTAATAAAGAAGAAAAAGGGCAACAACAACAATTAAATATTGAGCAAATACGTATTGAACAATTAGAAGGAAAACCAAAATCTGTCGTTCATTGGACAGCCGATGGCCCTATGTTGGATCAAATACGTGCCTACCAAGTGGGTTTAAAAAATGTTTAAATCAGAATCAGGAATAACAATCCCACTATAAAGTACCCCAATATACCTTAATTCAATACTTGAAACAATGCCCATATTTAAGAAACTTTCATTATAAGAACGATTTTTTCAGCCATATGTATTTTATAGTTTGACTCTATTAATTAATTTGTGTCAATTAAAAATTAAAAATAAGGTTGAAATTCGTGGTGGCCCTCAACAAATATGGCGTCCAATTAGTGGATATGTTGCTGCTGTACAGGCCGGTCAAAAACAATTTAGGGTTGAAATAGATAGTGCTTTGTTGGCTGGGCAAGCTGAAATTCGTTTGAAAGCTTTGGGCTCTGATGGGAAACCTGTAGTGGAAAGTTTACCGCTTGGAACTGGAAAGCCTTGTGAACGTAGGGAATTTATTAAATATTTATTAATAAATTAAAATCAGAATTAATTAATTAAATCAGAATTTAAGCATTAATACTTAATTCATGCTTGGAATAAGTACTTGAATAAAAAATCAGAATTTACATTTCTGATTTAATTAACAAACAGAATTTATTTCAGAATTAATGGATTTAAATATATCAGAAAATTAATCAGAATATAAGTGTAAATCAGAATTATATATTATATCAGAATTAAAGTCAAGATATTGAAACTTGATTAAAATTAGTTGGATATTTATCTAAATTAAAATTTTTTTTTTGAAAAATAATTTACAAAAAAAATAAATTAATTAATATTTTTCTAGCAATAACGCAATCTCCAAAAGACGTAATTTTAACAATTGAAAGAAGTAGTTATTTAATAATTCGATGGACATTTCCACAACCTAAAGACTTGAAAGAAATTGAGCGTTGCCATTTCCATTTTTTGGTTGGAGGAATATTAAATGGGGCAGCTTTACAAAGAACTGTTGATGGAAATTTGAGAGAATTAAAATTGGAAATTGAAGAAAAAATTAAAGGAAGACTACTTTCCCCTCAAAATATTCGTTTAAGTGTACACGCAGTTAATAGATTGGGGGCTGGGCCTGCTTCTATTCCTGTTTCGGTTGTTGGTGGAATTGAAAATATGGCAACATTACCTGAAAAAAGTAGGGAAAATGAAATTTTGTAATTCTAAATAAAAAATTTTTTTAAGCCCTAAAAATGTGGGAATTAAAGAGGGAGGGGGGGGGGTAATTCGGGTTATCTTACTATTTTTATATATTTCTGGTGGTGGATTTTTTGGTGAAGGGTGTCTTTAAAAATTATTTTCTTTTAAATATATGTAGTTGAATCTTTATTTTAATTTTCTAAATTTAATTGGTTGGTGAAGCCGCCTACGATAAAGCCCCTTTTCAGTCTCGAGGCTATATTTTAGGCATAATTTTTTTGATTTTTAATCGACTTAAATAATTATTGATAAACGACTTAAATAATTATTGATAACCTACAAAAATTTAAGCAGAATAAGGACCATAAATCACAATTGTGGACACTATCCAGCTCTAACTTTTTATTTAATAATCAGAGAAAATTGATTCTGTTATAAATAATCCAAGATTTTTATTTGATATAAAAATTATTTAAATCGGTTAAAAATAAAAAAAGTTATTTTTCCTCAATGGTCTACGTAAAATTGAGGTTTTAGATGATATGAAATTTAATAAAATAAATTTAAAAATAAAACCCCATTTTCAATTATTTTCTACCATTTTTCTCTTTTTTCTTTAATTTTTCTTTGTCTTTTATTTATTTTTGTTTATTATTAAATGACAGAGCTGAACAAAAAATCCGAGAAGATTTCTTTTTGTGTTTTTCGGGCAATTAAAATTGAAATTTAATTTAAAAACAGCTCTGCCTTTTTTAAATTAAATTAATTTATTTTCGGCCCTTTTCTAAGCCCCCAGCCTTTCAGCTAACAACCAAAACCAACACAAACGTTTTCGACGCAAAATATGTGACCCGAGAACTGATTTTTGGTGTCGTGAAGAATCTTTTAATGTTAATGATGGGTTGCCTCACGAAAAAGGTTTTTAAATTTTTAGAAAAAATATATTTGCTGTGTTTTTGTGTTTGTTTTTTAAAATTATTTAATACAAATACTCGAGGAGGGTAGAATTAGTGATAATTAAAAGAAAACAATGCTATGTACTTAGTACATATATTCATTCAAATTACGAAGAAGGTATATTAAATCTACTAATGTCTCACGAATTTGAACTTCGTTTACATAAAAATTGCTTTGCGTCTTTCAAAAGTAAATATCATCTTTGTATACCTTTTTAAATTATTTTGATTGGAGTATTTATTTGCATTTAGCCTCTCTCTCAGCCTTTTAAATCGTTTGATGTGTTCAAATCTTAACATTTTTTAATTTTTTTTTCTTTTTTTTTTTGCTTTATGCTCTGCTTTTTTAACAATTAAATAATTACTAAATCCTCCTCTTCTCTTTAATATTTTCTCTATTATTTTTTATTATTATTCCCTTATATTTTTCTTTACCTTTTTTTAAAATTAAAAAGCCCAAATGCTTATTTTGCTCTTTATCCTTTGACGTAATTTAAAATTTTTCCTTCTCTTTTTTCTAGCTTTAATTTCACCTCCAACAGTCTCAACCTCACCAGAAGGTTCTCTACAAGTTCAGTGGCGTTCTAAAGGGCCGGGACGTGGAGTTTTTGGTTATCGAGTGCTTTATAGATATCCGGGTGGTGGATGGAACCCTTACGGGTAGTTATTTCTGTTTTTAAATTGATTGAGGGTATAGTGGACCTTTCAAGGGAATTTGGGCTTTGGCACTATCCAATTAGATCATCTACAAGGGTTATGAAAAATCATAGCTTATAATGAGGTTTATCTTAAAAATAGAGGGAATCGCTTGGACATATAGAGGTATATCTAATATTTGCATTATCTAAAGAGAGGTTTCAACAACCCAGGCTTCCTGCTACCAGAATCAAAAAATTCTTTTCTCGATTGGGAATTTACAAAATTTATTCAATTTAAAATCAATTTTATTTTTCCAGTCAAATAGTTCCTTATACCGGAGATGATGAGGACTACAATTTGGCATTGACCGGACTTTCTCCAGGAGTTCCTTACGAATTAAAAATCCAAACACTTGACAGAAACTCTTATGTTTTGTTTACTTCACAAGATGTTCGTTCATCTTCTACATGTCTTCCACCAACACAGCCACCTTCTCAATTAGCTATTGATGCACCTGATGCTCGACATGTTCGAGTTACTTGGGTGCCGGTGGTGCAAAGTGCTTGGAAATGTTCGGAAGCTAAAGTGGAATTACAAGTGTGTGGTTTTCTGCTTTCTTTTCCACGGAAAATTCTGACTTCTTTTCTGAGTCTCTCAGAAAAATTCTGACTCTTTCCATAATTCTCACTCATTATAAAATTTATATTAAAAAATTAGATCGACGAACCACGCGGAAAACCACCAGTTTTCCTAGATGCAAGACAAAGCAGTCATGTATTTGATGCATTGCCTGCTCAGCGCATGGCAAGAGATTTCTTAAGGATATTTTAATAAAAAAATATTTTTTAAAGACAATTCGTGCTCGAACCACAAACGAAGCCGGCCATTCACCTTGGTCTTCATCCGTCTCAGTTTCGACTCTTTCTTCTGCCCAATCACTCGCCGAACCAATTGACGGTCCTTTCGTTTCTCTAGTTCATGGAATGCCTCGACTAAGTTGGAAAGGCCGTGAAGGCTCCGACCCAGAATTGGTCGATCATTTTACTATTGAATGGAGAACGAGAACAGAACAACGCTGGAATCAATTGCCACAGCGTATTCAATTCACAGGGTGGCAAAGGCCGTATAATGTTGATTTGGATCAATTGCCTGCTGGGCATTTATATGGTAAAATATAGAGCTTTTGTTGATATCCACCGATCGGCATTGAATCTGTGACCTCTTAGAATCTATTTCAATTGCTCGCAGATTCTGTCCACAGATAACAGAAAAATAAAACTTAACAATTCTCTCTCATTCATTTTATCTAGAAGTTCGCATTCGGGCACTCGATCACAATTTGGGTACAGCATTTCTTTCTGGAACGGTATGAATCTTAGTTGAAATCATAAAAATATTTAAAAAAGGTCACAGTCCAAGCCCAAGCTCAATGCCGACCACCCCATTCGTCGCCAAGAAATTTGGAGATAACTCCTCTGGGTCCAAACCAGCTTCGCTTGAGTTGGCATCCTTTGCCCGAAACGGAATGGAATTGTGATCAGCTTTGGTATGTGGTCAAGTATTCCAGCACTGAACAACAGGTTGGTTTGATAGATAAGAGAACTGAGAATTTGGAGGTGTTAGTTGCAAGTCCGGTCTACCCACACCTCAATGTAAAAATCGCATAGGTTTATTTTGATGGATTCAACCCAGCTCGACGAAATACGTCGAAACTACTCAATTTGGTTCTAAGTAGACAGACTGTTGTAGATCGGCAGAAGTCAATTTCAATAAAAAATTTCTTTCAGGGCTTCCGCAATTTAAGCAATAATGATATTAGTACAATCTTTGACTCAGCACCATTCACTCAATGGCACTTCCAAATACAAGCTGCAAACCCTGCCGGTGCCGGTCCTTGGAGCTCACCTTTGGATGGACAAACTTTGGGAACTGCACCAGGTCCAGTTGGGGATTTCTCTGCACAAACTCTAACACCCGATGCTGTTCAACTTTCATGGCGTCCCCCACAAATTCCAAACGGCCAAATAACAGGCTATGAGGTTGGCCTAGAGGTAAACGTTTGGGGAAGGAAATTTGATCTATAAAGGTGACTTATCAGCTGATCTCACGAGGAATGTGCCAAAATGGACAGAATGTTGCAGGAAGTGATGCTGCTGGAGGAGGAGGGGAACAACAACAACCAGCTGCTACTACGCTCCTTTCAGACAAATCATCCTTCACTCTTCAACAGCTACACCCACATTCACGCTATAGAATTGGAGTGGCAGCACGGACAGACACGGGCGCTGGAGAGAGAGTGACAAGAGAAGTTCAGGTTAGGATCTAGTAAGAGAATCTCACTTAAGGTTACCCCCTTAAGACTGCAAAAATTTTTATTTTTTAATGAGAAATTAAAAATTTTAATGAGAAATCTTAAATACTGTTTTTATCATATTATCAACAGACTGATCAGTCAGTGCCAACAGCCCCTCCAGCCAATTTTCGTGTCGACAACATAGGCGAAAATAATGCCGAGTTGAGCTGGCATGCACCTCCATGCGTGCACACAAATGGTGATATAACTGAATATGAGGTGCTTTTTTGAAATCATTTTATTAAAATCCAAAAAATTTTTCACAGTACGAAATCGCTGCTGCGGACAGACTTTCTGCACAAATTCCACGCGTTACAGACGTCACTCGTTCCACACGTGTTCACTTAACCGGCTTGGTTCCGTCGACTTCTTACTCGGCCCGTGTGAGAGCTTTTACTGCGCGTGGTCCAGGACCTTGGTCGCCGGAATTGCGATTCCAAACGAGGCCTTCAGCATTGCGCGAGCCAATGCCACAACCGAGAGTTTATGCTACAGGAAATAATGAAGCTCAGTTGGTATGGCAAACAACTCAAGGGCAGTCTGGATATTGGGACAAGTTTGCATGTCAATGGGCACCTACTGGCACTCAAAAATACAAGGAAGAACGTGTTGTCCCTGCCTATAATCCATGTTCTGCCGATCTGGTCCGTCGCTATCAACTTCCACCCAGCACCACACAGCTACAAACCCATTGCACAGCTTTGCCTGTTCGACAAGATCCATCAGCACTTGACTATCGAGTACGTGCTAAACCTCAAGGACAGCCATGGACACAATGGAGTCCTCCTCAAAGACCTGTTGTTGTACAACCGCCACCACCTCCTCCCCCACGCCCTCCTCCTCGACAACCACGCCCAGCAATTGTTGATGATTGTATACAATTACTAGCTTTGCACAAACAAGGAGGATCTGCAAATACTTTGAGATTTGCTTGGTCTGTTCGGCCATCAGGTAGACTAAAGGGGAAATTTTTCTAAAATTTTTTTCTAAAGATTTGTTGCGTTGTGCTGCTTTTATTGTATCCGTGACACCAAGAGATGGTAGAGAACCTGCTCGCCAATTCCGAGTTGATTCTAGCACAAACCAATACACTGCAGATTCGTTAAGGCCTGGGACGGTCTATGCGGTTAGTGTTCAGCCTGTAGTGAATGAACGACCTTGTCCTGGAATGACGGTTGACATGACTACTGATGTGGTATGTGAATTAGAAAGACAAATAATTGTTTTTTGGTACCAATAAATTTTTTATTTTAAAAAGGAACCTCTCTTCCAACTGGACCAACGACCACGAATCGTCGAAGAAAGGGCCACCTCAATCACAATTGCTTGGGACGTCCCTTCATCCATTCAATGCTCATCCTTCATTGTTGAATACCGCCTAGAAACAGGTCCTTGGCAACAAATGCAGCAAAGGGTTCCTTGTCAGCCGGGCAGAACAACATATACAGCTACAGTACCAGGACTTCCTACAAATAGTGCTGTTGATTTGCGTGTTAGAGCTATTTCATTGCAAAACCAACCCAGCAATCCAAGCCCTGAGGTGATTAGGGAAATTTTATATAGACCGCAATCCGCAATCCAGGTTGCGGACGGCATTGTGTCCGCAACTGTAGTCCGCAATAAAGTGAAGAATAATTTATTTATTTTTCAGGTCCGAGGCCACACAAAATGTTCACCTCCAGACTCTCCCCCTCATGGTTTACGTCTTGATTCCCCTACACAAAACGAAGTAAGGCTCAGTTGGGCACGTCTTTCAAAACTCAGTTGGAACTGTGACGAGCTTCAAATTGATATAGGCTACAGAACGGCTAATCAGCCCGAACGAATATTGACTGTCCCAGCAGACAAAGTCGAACACATTTTCTCCTCAGAACCTAACACCCGTTGGACAGTTAGACTACGAGCTACAAACCAAGCAGGAAGTAGCCCTTGGGGACCAGAACAAACACTCGTTACAAGGCAAGGAGCGCCTGGACATGTACTAAATATGCAATTAACGCCTCTATCTCCAAACGAAATAAAAGTTACTTGGTCACCTCCAACCGTTCAAAGAGGAACTATTGTGGGTTATGACATCTCTTATAGACTAAAGCATAGATTGGCTTGTCCAGAAGAAGAGCCACGTGATGTTAGCAGAGATTTTGTTACAATCTATAATCATAAGGTGAGAAGGCTAAATTTTTGGGGTTCAGTGTCATTTGTGAACCGACATTTGCGGATGACTTTTCAAATGACTTTTGGATATGGTCATTATCATTGTCTAAGCATATTTTTGTAGTATATTTAGTACTTAGCACAAGAATAAAAAGCTTCCAGCATGTCCGCAAATGTCAGGTTCGCAAGTCTCACTCCACCATATCTGGTGGAGCGAAATTTAAGGCGGATTCCGTTATTATGACGGAGGATTAGTAGCAATTGACTAGAAAATTTTTTTGTCTTCTTCGCAGGATACCGAATATATCTTAACCGGTCTTCTTCCAAATTCATTATATGAAGTCAAAGTCCAAGCAAGAACAACACAACTAGGCCCAGAAGAAACCCGTGAGGGAGCAACCTTTCAACAACCTCCAAGTGCTCCGCCTCTAAATCTTCAATTGACTTATGCCTTGGAACGTTCTCTATCTTTTCAATGGGAACCTGTGGAATGTTCACAAAGGCATGGACAAATAATTGCTTATGAATACGAAATTATTGGACAGGATGATTGGGCAAAGTTGGAAAGACAAATTGCTAATATATCTCAACAGCGTGTAACTATTGATGGCCTTACACCTTATACTAAGGTGACCTCTTAAAAGTTTTTTGAATACAGTTCACAACACTAAGAACTCCCAGAATTAACATTTTTAAAATTTGGTTGGCCACTGGGGTAGGGGACCATTAAACGGTACCCTCTATTTAAGATACACGTCATTATAAGATACAATTTTTTACCTTAAAGGAAGGTATCTTATAGAGAGACCGAACTGTATTTATTTTTCTAAAATATTTTTAGTACGTTTTCCGAGTTCGTGCCTACAACGGCGTTGGCGGAGGACCTGCTACCGAAAATTTGGATGTAATGACGGCCAAAGCAAATGCACCACTTCCTCCCCAAGACCTTGTGGTCACTCAGGAGGGTGTTTCTTGGTAGATTAAAAAATATTGTGAAGTAATTTCAAAATCTTGTCAAGGTTCACAGTTTCTTGGCTTCCACCTTATCCTCCTTATGGACCACACGATCGTTATAAACTCCAATATCAACATTTGAGTTCATCACCAAATGATTGGAAAAGTATTGAGGTTGATTCAAGAAGCAGAGAGTTGGAATGCCCAGTCAGTTTAAAAATTTTGTTTTAGTAATAAATCGGTTTTATGATATTGATGTATCCGTCATGCTCCCAATATTTTCTAAACGTTTATAGGTACCCGGTCCACGTCTTTGCTACAATATTACCGGTCTTGATCAAGGACAGCAATACCGAGTCAAAGTAGCTGCCCATATTGAAGGAGGCAATTACGGTCCTTTCTCCCAGATTGGTAAAAGTTTCTTTTTTAGATTTAAAATATTTTTAAATTATTTTAAGTTATTGCAAACACACTAAGAGTTGTTCCTGGAGCTCCTGCTTCCATTGATTTGATAGCCAAAACTGACCATTCCTTGCATGTTGGGTGGAAACCTCCATATGACCAATTAGGGCAAATTACTGAGTTGGCATTTTGTCCTTTTTTTAAATAAATTTCTAATAAAAACTTTATTCAAAGGTATCGCCTATCTTGGCAATCTCTTGCCCATCCAAATGCTCGAAGTCAGTCTACAATTGTTGACCACCCCAAAATGGATCATTTAATTGATGGACTTGAGCCAGAGACTTATTACAATATTTCTCTCTCAGCCGGCACTCCACACGGATTTGGGCCGGAAATTTGGGCTCAGTTCAGGACAGACTCGTTCCGAACACCTTCTGTTCTACAATCACCTATATTGACGCCTGAGGGGGCACATACAATACATGTGGAATGGACGGGGGTTGTAGACACTCAAAATAGAGTGGCTGGATATATTGTTGAAAGTAGAACCAGTGATGCTCCTCAATGGATTGAATCGAGTAGTGTGGTGAGTTTTGATTTGAATGAAGAATTGTAGTCGGAACTTATTTTTAAATACGCCCTTTTGTGTGTAAGAATATCACATCTTATAATAAGCGGTATCTCTCATACTGGGGGTATCTTTTAGTGAGGTCTGAATAGAATTATTCAAAATACCAATTAATTGGTTTACAAAAAATTAATTGGTTTACAAAAAATTAATTGTTAACCATACAAAGGTCCCGCATGAGCCAGGAAGGCGTCAATACAAAACTCGATTGGACGGTCTTGAACCTGATACTCTCTACTTTGTCCGTATCAAAGTAGTTGACAATCGCCAACGTGTAAGTGAAGCCTCTCCAGAAGCACATGCACGTACTGGTTGTGCTCCTCCAACTTCACCGCCCACAAGTGTTGCTTTACACGGGTCAAGTGATTGGCGTCAAGTTAGAGTTTCCTGGCAACCACCAAATAAACAAAGCTGGCTTTGTTCAACAATAAGTTATGAATTGGAATATCACAATGGATCGGTGCCTTCGAGATTAGTTGATGTTCCTAGGTAAATTATAGTTTTCTAAAGGGGAAATACTCAGGAATTCCTTTAAATGATAGAAATGACCCAGTTTTATCGACTATAGCTTCAAAAATAATGATAAAAAATTCTGAAATTTCTGAGTCTAGGATGTTAAAGAAATTTAAGAAAATTTTTCTTGAAATCAGATTTAGGCCAGAACAATTCCAACCTAGCACAGTTTTTTCTCCATCAATGAATTTCTTTGTAACATGAATTCCCCCAAATAGCTAATCCTTATATGTACATACATATAACTGAGACTTTCCTTCTTTCAAAAATCATCTTTATTAATTTCCAGCGGCTACACAGACCACAGTTTACCTTCAGGACCAGGGACAGCTTGGAGAGTCCGTGTTCGAACAAAGGTCAGAAATTACTTCTACATACCTCCAACTTTTTAAAAAATTTTTAAAGAATCCTGCCGGTGTCTCTCCTTGGTCGCCAGAAGTTGAATTGAGAACAGGGGGTAGACCGCCGGGAGAAGTAACCGATCTCCGAGCAGATGCGACAGGTCCAGACAGCGTTTCCTCTACTTGGTCACCCCCTGAATCTGACGATGAAATAACTGGATATACTCTAGTCTACACTTTAAAGTCGATTGGGGAATGCGGGCCGAGTTCAGCCTCTAGACCTATTACGAGGGAAACAACAGAACCTAATTTGGATTTGCAAGGATTGTTGCCTGATTCTACTTATGATATTACTGTTACTGCACATACTGCTACTCAAGAAGGGAAACGGTCTAAAGTTGTTACTGTGAGGACTGAGGAAGCTCGTATGTTTGTTTAATTTTTGGGTATTAAACTAGTGTTCACTTGTCCAAAAATTTGACCAGAAAGAGGGTAGTGCGCCAAAAAACGCAGAACATCATGGCGCTCAAATCTCCTGAATGAAATTTAAGGGAACCCGTAGCGTATAAATAGATTAAATCAATTTGGAACTATTAAAAACAATACTCAAAAACAATGTAAAATTAGCCCGTCCTCCAAAAAATATTTATCCCTTTTACAAAAATAAACATGAGTTATTATCAAGTATACAAACAACCAGAGTTGGCGAATCTAGGAAATTTTCGGATATCCGTATCCAAAATGGTTATATAATGATCAGCCAACTCCAAATACAACACAAAACAAATAATATATTTATAGGGAAAGAGTTCTTTTATTCATCCCAAACAATTTCGACTTGTCCTAACTCCATCCATAGCCCGGTCCACGAATGAGCACTGATGATCACATAGTAAGCGATAGTGCCGACAATAGTTTGCTGCCATATCGCAGATCATATTTCTTAAGTTTTTAATTTAAGATAGTCAGATTTCAGTATAAGGTAAACCCTTGGGGATGGGTTGGGGTCATAAGGGCGCGGGGCCATTAGGGCGCCAGCACTAGAAACTGACACTTAGGCATAACCAAAATTTATGAAAATTTTCTCAAATTTCTTTAACATCATTGACTACCTCCTCCAGAAATTCCAGAATTTTTCATCGAATATTTCTGAAGATATAGTCGATAAACCGCGAAAAATTAGGGTTTTTTCGGAAAAACAACATTTTTGGCCACAATTTCCGAAATTCTTGATCAAAAATTCTGAAATTTTTGGAGAACGTAGATAAAGGCATGAGAGTTATTATTGCAAAATTGGATATAGTGTAGTGTACCGGTGGTAAAAGTTCGGGATGTGACATATGTCATTCGATTCGTCTCGACGAGCTGAGTCGAATGGTACCACTCCCTACTTTAGGAAATGATTCTGGACCGAGTTATAGGTCCCGAAAAATTGAAAAACCACAGGGGGGAGTAAGCTCGATTTTGGAGTGAAAAATTCGAATATGCAAATAATAGCTCGTTCGAAAGAGCTCGTCGAGCTGAGTCGAATGACACCAAAATCAACTTAATCTGACTTGATTGGACCGAGATATAGACCCCTAAAAACCAAAGATCCAAAGGGGCGATTTTTGGAATAAAAAATTTTTTACACAGATAATAGCTCATTCGAAAGAGCTCGACGAGCTGAGTCAAATGACACCAAAATCACCGTGATTGAACAAGATTAGACAAAGTTATGACACAATAAACAAAAAAAACTAAACCTATGGAGCGTCGGCGAGGCGCTTGTGCAAAACCCCGCGCTTCGCGCGGGGTTTTGCGGCACGCGCCTCGCGGGGAGTCTACGGGCGCTGGGTCTGGGCTCGTAACATAAACCTATTCCTATCTCCCTTGCTCTGGACGTATTTGGAGCCTCCGTAACAGCAAAAATCTCCACAGATCCCATAGGTAAGGAGCTAAAATAAAAGATCATAACTCGGCCAAATAAGTCAGATTTCGTTGATTTTGGTGTCATTTGACTCAGCTCGACGAGCTCTTTCGAACGAGCTATTATTTGCATATTCGAATTTTTCACTCCAAAATCGAGCTTACTCCCCCCTATGGTTTTTCAATTTTTCGGGACCTATAACTCGGTCCAGAATCATTTCCTAAAGTAGGGAGTGGTACCATTCGACTCAGCTCGTCGAGACGAATCGAATGACATATGTCACATCCCGAACTTTTACCACCGGTACACTACACTACAGCCGCAAAATTTTATCTTTTTTGATAAGCAACTCACTGTTTTATAAGCTCGCGCCCTAATGGCCCCGCGCCCTAATGGCCCAGTCCCTTGGGGATAGATAATCGCCCCTAGTAATGAGGTGTTTCTTAAATAGAGGGTACCCTATAATAAGGTTCCCCCACCCAATAGCCAACCCACTCTTAAGAACGTATCTTAAACTGCACTGTATATTAAATAGTTCTCTTATAACGAGGTCCGTCTAACAAAAAAACACCTTCCGAGTTGATCCATCGAATTTAACCAATCTGCCACACGCCAAACAAATCCAGCTGTTGAGACAAGGAAAAAGTGCAGAGGCGGCCAAATCCATCCAGTCAAAGCAGCAATTAGAGAAGCAATCATTGGCTGTAAAAGACCCAAACAAATGTAGAAGGCAATTGCTGCTAATGGATAGGCTAACACCTTTAAAGGAAAAAATATTTTTTGAAAAAAATAATTGGAAGGACCTCATGTTCTGCAGCATAATTTCCAAGCCTAATCAACAAAGCTGTCAATTTGACCAATCCATCCCAAATGTGTGAACAACAGTCGGAACCATCATCATTACTCTGCATTGAACTGGAAATAAAGAAAATTATTTGGTGTCAAGTTAATCTCCATTTTAGATGGAATAAGTGATCGTGTAAAAGATTTAGGGGTGTAAAGGTCAGTTTTTAGTGTGATAATCCAAAGATGTGGGGTGTGATAAGTCAGTGATGCGATAAGCGATTTGGCATTGGGAAAATTTGGAGGTTTAATTAAATTAAAATAAACTTACACAGAGAACGACACATAAGATGAATCCAAATCTGATCCTTCCAGCAGGACATCAGAATTCACTCGGACCAACTCTGGATTAGAACAAACTCCATTCGGCTTTACTCGCTTCATCAAAGCAACATGAACTTCGCGTCTAATGTGATTTGTATCTTGCGAGGATTTACTGCTGCTGCTACCACTATATTGAATAGCAGAACTTGGAGATGATTGAATAGTTTGAGTTGAAGCACTACTGTGAGAATGTTTAGCGCGTTGTTGAAAGTTTCCTCCTTTCTGTTCCCGTCCTTGACCGTCACAAATGTTTTTGAAGATATCCCTGAAAGAAGTAGGGGATGAAATGTAGTTTTGTTGAAAATAATATCAAGTAGATACAGTCAAACCTCGATTGTAGGTAAATACATCCCCGGGGTTGAATAATGTTGTCTTATAATGAGGTGTATCTTAAATAGAGGGTATCACTTATAGGCAACTCTCCCATTCAGTCCCTCAAATAGAATTGTATCTTTATTGGGGGTATCTTATAAAGAGGTTTGACTGTATTGTCTAAACTCACAATCTATGCTGTCCTTTATCTGTCAGGGAAAGAGTACTTGCCTCCCCAAAAGTCTCTTCATTGAATAGATCATCTGGCAATGGGCAGGGTACGTCATCAATGCGCTCCCTTGCATTTCTGAAAAATGAGAAGATTTTTAATGTCAAAAATCCCTTCCTCCACTTACTTTTTTTGCTTCTTTCCAATGATTGATTGTCGCCTTCGTTGTATCTGTTTGTTCTTCTTCTGGACAGAACGATTGCGCGGTTTGTGCGAACTATTTGAAATTATCAACGTCATTTTGTTTTGATTGGTTTGTTGTTGTTTTTGTGTTGACGTTCTTGTGGTGTAGGAGAAGCTTGATGTTTAAGCCACCAAAGAACGGAACAGAATGAGAGCGACGCGCCTGCGAATGATTTTGTAGTGTGTTGAAAACATTGAAGCTTCAATGCTTTTATATTAACTTTTTATGCTAGAGAGGGTGAATTAGGATAAATTAAAAAGAGAAGGCTGTAAACAACACTTCGGTAGTTTAGTCGGTAGAGCACCTGGATATGTATACGAAGTGAGCGAAAGCCCCCTAGCAATTGCTAAGAAAAAAGGTTACAGGTTCGATGCCTGTCCGTGTTTAAACGTTTACTCTTACTATTGTTTTGTGTTGTACATATACATCCAGGATATAAGGAAAATTAAATTATACCTATGTGGGATTTGTTTTGGGAAACTAGAAAATTTTCTAAAAAATTCTCTGTTAAAGTTTGATTTCTTTCTTGATTCTTCTTATCTTTTCCTTCTCCTAAGCAAAATATACTATACTTTTAATTAATTAAAGCACCAACTGGTCATCCAAAGAATTTGCGTGTAACCTCAGTCACCTCAACTAAAGCAGAATTACTTTGGAATGAAATTGAATGTGAACTTCGTCATGGGCGTATTATCGGTTATGAATACGAATTGGATGATACAAGCGGGGAAAGTCAAAATATAAGTGAACAATCAACGGCTAGAAGAGTTTCTTTGGATGGATTGATACCTTTTACAGAATATAGAGCTAGAGTGAGAGGAAAAAATTCGAAAGGGGAAGGGCCGTTTTCTGAATATGTTGCTTTTAGAACTTTGCCTGCTGGTAAATAATATGTTTTTTAAATTTAAAACTAGCTTTATGTATGTATTGGTAGGATGTGTTTAGAGCGCCCTAATAGGTATATACGAAAACAGACCCTAGCTTTACTGAGTAGGAATGTCTAGATAGCCCTAATATGGTGTGTTAAGAATTTGTATGAACACTTTTGGTTTTCTTAGTTCTACAATAGGAAAATCTACAAAAATTCCGACAGATACTTTGGAAAATAAAAAAGAACTAATAAAAAAGAACTAAAAAACCTAAAATCCTTATTAAATCCTTATAAAATCCTTACAATCCCCCATTTTTTATTATTCAGCACCTCCTCCACCCACCGATCTTCGCATTGAAGAACAACTTGCCCATGCATTAGAGATATCCTTTTTGCCCCCACACCCACCTAATGGAATTTTGGACCAATACAGAATTAGATGGACTCCTCACAAAAAGTTTAATTATCGCGATCAAAAAGTGCCAGCATATCAATTGGAATGTTCAACACCTCAAATGAGAGGAAGGCTATGTTATAGAATTACTGGATTGGAACCGGAACAAGAATATGAAATACAAGTAAATATACTACACTATAAGATACCTCCTCAAAACTAAAATAATCGTCTCTTATAACGGGAGGTATCTAATTCTGAGGGTGTCCTAGCTATAAGTAAATCCAATTTAAATACACCTTAATTTAATATACCCCCAATACACCCCTCCTTATAAGATACACTCAAAATACCTCAATTTACTTTTTCATAAAAATTAATTGGTCACAGGGTGGTGGTGGGGGGGGGGCTTCCTAACGATACCCTCTATTTAGTACACACACTTTTTTGATACACTTAAGTTATTTGTTACAATTGTTCAGCCATATAATAAATTTTCTATTTAATCTTTTAAGGCTGCAGCACACACTGAACACGGAGATTGGGGAGACTGGAGTGAACCTTTGATTACTCCTACAGGAATACAAAGTAAAAAGGAAGGGAATAATATTAAATTTCAATTAAATTAATTTCAGTAATTCCCGTGTTAGAAGCGCCTTTAGAACTTGATTTTGTCCATTCAACAAGTATCGGTGTCAGATGGCGTGGTCTAGACGAAAAAGACGCTGAACATATTGTTGGCTATATTCTTGAATATAAATCAGAAGATGACACAGATTGGACTGAATGGAATGGAGTTGTTAGACATCGATCTAGACAACCTGAATATAAAGCAACTGTTAAAGGATTGATTGAATCTACTGAATATTTCTTTCGATTGAGGGTAGGCATTTTAGTATTTGTGTAGGGATCTTTTTTGCGGACTTTTTTGCGGACTTTTTTGCGTCTTTTTTAAATAAAAAATTTATTTTCTAAAGGTTGTTGGAAAAGGTGACAAACGTGGAGGACCTGGACCTGAATTGAAAGCAATCACAAAATGTGGAAGTAAACAAAAAAATTTCTTTTAAAAATAGTTAAACAATTTTAGAACCAGAACAGCCCCCAGGAAATGTCCGTATTGAACCTGTTGATTTCCAACAAGTCAAAATTGTCTGGGAACCTCCAGACGAAACCACATGGAAATGTGATCAAGTAAACTTGGCTCTTCATTATTCTAATGCAAGTGGCCAACAAAGGACTATGACATTTCCTCCAGATGGACCTAAAGAGGTATTTTGAGGAGAATTTTCTGAAAATTTTTTTGCAAAGTTTATTGCAGACTTTTTCTGCGGACATTTTTTAAAATTTAATTTAAAAGGTTTTGTTCGACTCTGTCCCCGGCACTCGTTGGGAGGCAAAAATGCGCACAGAAACTGTTGAACCTGGAGAAGAACCAAAACATTCTGGATGGAGTAACCGAGCAGTTCTCGTCACAAAGGCACCCCCTTCTGAAATATTCCTTAAAACAAACGCTCTTGGTCCAACACAGGGAGAAGCATTTTGGGGACTTCCGGCTGAATATGCGGACTGGCCTTGGGGTGTAGATTTACAATATAGATTGCTTCAATTGGGTGGTTGCAAAAAATTAGACAAATCAATGACACAACCTGTTGTTCTTGAAAATGTCCAGGACAAACATGTGAGGGAATTTTGTATAGTAAACCCTCACTATAAGATATCTCAGAATTAGATACACCTCGATTTAAGTATGATATTAAATGTTTGGTTGGTCACTTGATATACTCTCCATTTAGGATACCCTCGTAACTCCTTTTCAGTCTCATCAGTTTATATATCTTATAATGAGGTTAAAATGTATTTTCTCGACTCGTTTTTAACTAGAATCCCGTCAATTTTAGGTTTTGTTAGACAATCTTTACCCCGGCTCTGAATACGAAGTGACCGTCACATTGCGTCAACCACCAGGCTATGACAGAAGAATTCCACCTAAAAAAGCTGTTCAACGATTCAAAACCGAAGATCAACCCCCAACCGGAGCCCCGCACAAATTACGAGTTGAAAGCCGTCAAGACACAAAATTGGGCTTTGGTTGGGAACCACCAGAATGTTTGGAACAGAACGGAGAAATTAGTCAATACGAATATGAATTGGTTGGGTTAGAAGATTGGAATCAAGGAACTCGTGAGGGCGTTAGCCCTAGAACGCGCGCAGACATTGGAGAATTACAACCAGGATCTCTTTATCGTTTTCGTGTTAGGGCATTTACTTCAGCTGGCCCTGGACCTTGGAGTGAACCTATTGATGCTAGAACTACTGGTAATAAATAATTGTTTTTTGTTTGAACTGACTTAGATATCAGACTGAAACTTCAAGAATCCCGATTATTTAAAGGAGGGCATGAATCGTCTTCCTATCCCCCCTCCTCCATAGTTTTATGAATTAAATAGCTATCTGAGTTGCACTTTAATTGTCTGTAGATTCTGTCCTTCCTTCCATAGATATCAGAACTACAAATTTCTGTTCCAATCCATTACATTCTATTTTATAACATAAATCTTATTTGTATTTTTAAAGGTTCCGAAATTGGCCCACCACGTGATTTAACTGCTCTAAAAACAGCCGATACATTTGTGGAACTAGCTTGGCTTCCTCCACATCCAGAAACATCGACTATTACTGCATATAGAGTTCGTTATGGACCTTCAGCTGATACTTCTAGAACTCAGGAGATTATTTTGCGGGTATGGGAATAGGAGGAGAAAAAAAACCAAACCTCATTTAAAAATATATCCAAAATATTACATATATACACCTCCATACAGAATTTTAAAATTTGGTTGACCAACTGGGTGGGAGCTGCCTAGGCGATACTTCAATTTAGTATACTCCTCATTATAAGCCACGTTTTTCTGTTCCAAAGGGGGTATTTCATGTGAGGTTTGACTGAAAATATATTTAACAAAAAATTTTCATTGTTCTCTTAAAAGGGTGACGAATTAACCTGTTCTGGTTATGAAAGCTCTTCAGCTATACTAACAACCGGTGACCGTCTCTGTACAACAGTAACTGGACTAAAACAGCTGAGTACCTACCGATTCGCAGTTCAAGCCCAAGCATCATCAGGAAATTGGGGGCCTTTTACGCCGGACATTTTTGCAACAACAAGTTCACCCATAGTTGGAGAACTCTATGAAGGAGGAAATATAAAATTGCTCTCAGCTGGACACGACAATTTAAAAATTAAATGGACACCGCCAGGAATTCTTGCCCCAACAATTGATAGATATGAATTGTTAATTGCAATGGCTGCTCCTTTGGAAACGGCTAAAAGATATGATACTCCGGGCTCTCAGACTGATTATCATTTTAAGGGATTAAATCCTATTACTTTGTGAGTGAAATACAGTGGATCTCTAGTTATTAGAACCTCTTGGGATATCCTATAACGATGTTTATCTTAAATAGAGAGTATCGCTCTCCTTTTTAAATACAGTAAACTCCCTATATACTCATTTGGACAAAATATTATATCTTAAGAAACTTAATAGAGGGTTTTGCTTACAATTAGACAGCTCATATATTCAATTGCTAACCAAATTTTAAATCTTAAATGGACGTTTCTCTATTATGGGGGTATATTATAGTGAGGTCCACTGTATTTTTTCTTTTAGATACAACATAACTGTGAGAGGATTGCAAGACAACAAATCAAAGTGGACGATATCTGGTACATTTGCCACTACTGACAAAACGTAAAGATTTATTTTCAATGATTCTTTTAGACTAGTGCTTTCCGAATTTCTAAGAATTGAAAATTCTCCGGTTGTTTGGCCAACCAGAGACTGTCCCGCCTTCAGACAATTCCTGGAATTCCGTAACCTCGGTTAAGGAATATGGAAAGCATCCTTAATTTCGGATAAAAAATTTATGAATCCATTTAAAAGTTCATGCGTCCAATGAAAAATCATGAGTACATCTGTGGATCAGGGAATCAAGATGATTTTCTACTGATATCCCATCGTCTTTTCAAATATCCTAATGCCCCTTAATACATCGATATCCCCTTTAATCCACTCAAATGAATCGATATCTCCATTGATCCCGCCAAATCCCTCATTATCCCCCTTAATCTCTTCCAGATCCCTTATTAAGCTTGTGAAGAAATTAAAAAAATAGGTGTTGATCAAAATGTTGGATGTCTTCAGGGTCACTATAGCTTCAGGATGTAGGTCTTCAGGGGTGACCTCTTTAAAATTGGATCATAAAAGTTTGAGTGGATGCATAAACTAGATCAGCTCAATATTTTTTGCCTCATTTCTAGCGAACCAACAGAACTTGATTGGCTTGGACCTCCCACAGATCTTCGTCTAATCGAAAAATCTGACACAATGCTTCACGTTACATGGACACCTCCAGATATATTTGAGCCAGAATATCGGGATCTGTTAACACATTATCGTGTCACTATTGCTCCTGTCGATGAATATACAATGAAAATGGGGCCTAGAAAGAATTACACTGTTATGGGTTGGTGGTTAATAATATATAGAAAGATTTTTAGAGTATTGGATTATATGGCAAATTAAAAATGCCAAAAATCTGTAAAAAATGGACGCCAAACTGAACCCAAGAAAAAAACCGAAAGTCTAGGGAAGACCAGGCCTAAGAAACTCAGTGAGGCTAAGAATGCCGGGAACTGCACCAGGGATGGGTTGTGTTTCGGGTTGAAGCAATTCCGGGCTTCGGGTGGCCAGTTCAATCTCTAGTGTTTAATTGTTTTTTGAATCAATTTTTACATTTAAGTGCCAGGAAATTCCATCAAGTTTACGGAGCTACAGCCTGAAACTATTTACAATATAACAGTGCAAGGTGGCACAGATGTAGGATATGGACAAATGATTTGGGGGGCGTGGGCAACGTTGCCTACTGGGAAGACATGGATATTACGATTGAAGGACAGAACACCGAACACTTTGACTGTTGAATGGGAACCTATTTGGGGATTCTCCCATCGTGGGTATATTGTGAGTTTGTTTAGAGAATTTATCTACTAACGGACCTCTTTATAAGATACTCCCAGTATTAGAATGAATAAAGCGAACCTCTCTATTTTTGTTATCCTCTATTCGATATATAGATCATTATAAGATGCAATTTTTTCAGCGTATCTTATAGTGAGGTCCGACTGTATTAATTGAACAGATATCAATTTGTCAAATTTTCCAGTTGACAGCTAAATCCCTCCATTCTATCTACCCCCATGTCCGTGTGGGTGGAGTCAAGTCCTTCGACGTCAGTCCAACAGCAACAGAATTTACAATTACCGGATTGGAACCTGCATCTACTTACAATGTCACTCTTACTCTTAAAGATCAAATGGATGGAGCTTGGGGGGTTTACTCAACATTGCCTCCGGGATGGTACTTGCCGAGAAATTTGAAGCATTGTGACCAGACTCCTTTTGCTACCTCGTTGAGGCTAGTTGATATTTTGAGTTTAGTAGGAAAATGCTTAGATTTATGCTGCAATGGGCAGAGGTTCGAATCCCACGTGTTGAAAATAATTTTATTTGAGTAAATATACATAAATAAATAAAATATTAACCAGTTATTCAAAAAAAATTTTTCTTCCAGTTGGGAGCCTGTAGAAGCTAACATGGCGTCAGAATATCAAGTTCGCTATATTCACCTACACTCTTCCCGCACTCTATGGAAGGAAGAGGAGGCCAAATTCAGCAAATATTTGCTTTGTCCAAAAGACCCCTGTGGACGTCATTGCTATTTGGTCTTTAACTTGGATCACAATCCGGACGATTATGCCTTTATGGTCCGGGCAAAAGTGGACGGGATTTGGAATAACTGGAAATTGGCTGGACGTCCAACAATCGCTGACCAACCAGATGTCAAAGAACGTTGTTGTATCGTTCCTCCACCTTACAAAGTTGAAAGTATTGGGCACGACGGAACTCATTGGGATGTCCCTATAGCTCCCTCACCTACTGACCACAATATTACTCGTTATTATGTTGTTGTGGATGAAAGAGACCCTCCTGGAGATACAAACTGGACAATGTTGACAGACAAAGTAACGGCACATCGTCTACATATTCCTTATTATGTAACGGCTTCTTACTCTACACAAACTTTGGAATCCCATACAAATGTGAGGATTGGGAATGGATCGGTTATTGGTGGATATTTGAACTATCCGTTACAAAAAGGGAAGACATACCATTATGAGGTGAATTTTAATATATTTTAGGAAATTATATTTCGAACCAGAGTTTGGTGAAAATATTCATAAATCAGAATTGAAATTTTGAAATATAACTTTCCGAACCTCAATTTTACTTACATACACTTTTTGGATACCCGAAACTCTCCGGTTCTTTTTCTCAACAAGACCATCTCTTAAACTTTGAGGTATCGCATTCCAACCAAACTCGAAAAATATCCCTTAACTTGAGATTTTTACTTAGTTGTGATCTAGTTATTAGTTTTATCGACATTAACCCGGAATGGGCAAAGTTTAAGATTGAAACTTCAATTTTTGAAATATGGGGATTAATACTGCTAGATTTACTCTATTAAACATGCTGGATTTCCTCAATTTTGTCCTACCAATAAACTAAAAAATATTTTTAAATGTTCCAAATTTGTACACAAAAAATTTCTGTTAATTTTATTTATTCAGAAATTTATTTATTTTTCTCTTTTCTCTTTAAGATATATACAAAATGGATGATGCATGGTGATCAGCCTGTCATTGCACGACAAAGACGTAAATTTATTTTTATTTAAAATTAAAGCTAATTTTTGTGTCAAAAAATGTGTGTAAACTACAAATATATTTAGTTTGTATTTATTCAAAAAATAATTCTTTAAAATTCTTTAAAATTCTTTAAAATTCTTTAAAAATGACCATCTTCCTATCAGGAAATCGTCCAGATGGTATTTAAATTAATTTTAGAGTTTAAATACAGTTGGAACTCTTTAATTATATCGATCAAAGGAGATCAACCCCCCCTCCTCCTCTCTTTTTCCCCTATCAACATAGCCAAAACAGATGTTCTCTAAAATTTGTTTGGCCAGGGAGTTTTGTCTAAACAATACCTTTTATTTAAAGATATCCTCATTTTAGGTACGGTGAAATAAAAAAATAAACTTCTTATAATCCGACTATATTTTATTCAATTTAAGTTACCCTCCTTATTATAAGCCAATATTTTTCGGTCACCCGAGTTTATGAGTTTCTGAATATACATATATTTCCCCCAAAACTTTAAAAAAATAATTTAAATTAAAGCTATCCCCCCATGGAATCGCCAAAATGCTCAAAGAGCAGTTGTAATATTTATTCCAATTGTAATCCTTTTGGTTGTTGTAATAGGCTGTTTTTGGTTTAAACCGTAAGTGGATAAGTGAATGAGTGTTTTGTTTGTTGTTGTTGTTGTTGTTGTTCTACCCAACTTCCCTCCCTTCCCATTTTCTTTCCTTAAATTTTCTCCTTTTCCTTGTTTTCTTAACAAATTTTCCCCATAATTTTTAGCAGAAGCATTCCTAGCAGCTGGTTGGCCGTGGTGGTGGTTGTTACTTTTATTATTGTTGTTGCTTCTTTTGTGTCTCTTGCTCTCAGTTTTGCTATTTTGGCTGTTGAAAAAGTTTTTAAAATAATTTTTTAGACAAAAAAGATTACCTAAATAGCCCCCTTTACCTTAATATTTTTCACTTTCCTACTTGATTAAAAGAAATATTCCAGTAACTCTACTCTATCCCAAAAAAGACTAACTAACAAACAACCATAAGATTGCCATAACGACGTCCAAGACTCAGTCTTGGGTTTTGACTCAAATCTTTTATTGAATTTCTTCAGTCCTCCGGCTGAACTTTTGGTCCTTAAATTCGGTTTTGGATGTCCATAATCCCTTTCTATTTCATCTCAACAAAATGAAATATAATGCTCCCCACTAATCCTCATATCCTTTACACAATAGTGAAGGCTAAAATTTTATTTTTTTATTTTTTTAAAAACAATTACCCGATTAATTAATCAATTTCTCCAACTAACACTTAATTTATTTGTTATTTATTAAATTGTAACAAATTAATTTTAAGATGTGGTAAAAAACACTATAGAAATGGCCAACACGAACCTCTTATCAAAGAAAAATATGAGAGATATGAACATACTAGAGGCAACTTTGAAGATGGGTATTCACAAGGATATCGTGCTGGGAGAGGTGGAAGGCGTGTTGAGGAAGATTGGAGGGGAAGGGATGAGGCGTTTAGAGTAAGGGAAAATTTTAATTTAAAATACAGACAAACTTCTTTATACCCAGATACCTCCAATAATAGATATACCTCTATTTAGGATACGTTTGTTAAAATTTGGTTGGGGAGCTGTCTAATGTTTAAGATACACCTCATTTTTAGGGTTTTTGAGTCCCTACTCATAATAAGATGTGATTTTTTCAGCCTTGATGGGTAAATATAAACGAGACATTGACTGAATAAAATTTGCTTTAAGATTTATAAAAAATAAAATTTTCTTAGGAGGGTTATGCAAAAGGCCTTCGTGATACAGGTGATAGAGGTATGAGCACCTCAATGACCAATTTAGCACAGCGTCCAACTCAACGGCTGGGTTACTCTTCGGGTTATATGCAAGGCTTTAGAGATGGATCTTCAGGTAATTTTGTCATTTTTGTTAAGTGTGATGTGCTCATTTTGTGAACTTTTTTGTTGAAAATGATTGGAAAAAATATTCAAAGGAGAGGAGCATTCCCTCTTTACAAGGGCCATAAAATTAGAAAATAATTTTTAAATTTAGGCGTCTTTGGTGACAGAATAACCGAAAGTCTGTTAAAACGATTGGAAGAGCAATACCCAGATAATGAGGAATTCCGTACCGGATATATTGACGGATTTAAAGATGGGGTTGGGGGAGGTCGTTTTGAAGATTCTCGAAGAATACAGCAAAGTTTGACAGAATTAACAGAAAGGTTAACTACAATAGAAAAAACTGTCGAAAAGGGGGATGAAATACATTCTACAAAAATATATCATGTTTACAATCAATCACCTGAAATGCTGGCACAAGGACAACAATTAGTTAGCGAGTTGGAAGAGGTAATATGTAGAGAATGCTGTTTTTTAAGATTAAAAAACCTGAACAAACCAGTCTACCCAGGAGTCATTAATAATTTTTACGGACTTTTTATAAGGATCTTTGTTGACTCGGCTAACGTAAAGCATACCAGATTTGCCATAAACTTAATTTAAGACCTGCGGTAGACAGGGTTGTGGTAGACTACTAATACCTTTCGGAATTAAAAATATTTTTTTAGTTGGCTTCCGGCTCTAAACGAAGTACTTTACGTCGTCATTACACACCTGGCGATTATTTGCGTTATGATGAGGCTAGTGGGGAATATAACAGCCTTGGGAGAAGTAGGCGTTCAATGAGTGCTACAGCACTTGGACGGGGTGGTGGAGGTGAGGAAAATTAATTTTTTGAGATATTTCATGAATAAAATTAATAACTAATACTGTTTTGGCCTGACTATAAGATAGTACCCCCTCCTTTAGCCTAAAAATCGTCTCTTATAATTTGTATCTTAAATACGGAGATATCGTGTAGACAGTCCCCCTCCCTAATTTTGAAAGTATCTTATAGTGAGGTTCTCAGGTAGTTGATTCTGTTTTTATATTTGCGTGAGCAAACTTATTTTGAGTGGCCAAAAAAATTTTTTTTGAAAAAATTTATTTTTTATTTAGTGTGTTTTTGAGTGTGTTATTTGCTTTTTTTAATTTTTTTGTTTTTTGTGTCTTAGATGCTTATGCCGTTCTATACGACCGTGAACGTCACCATTCTGGCTCCATTGAAGGCCAGGACATTTCCGCAACTGCAGGACGTTCAGCAACAACAACAAACGCTGCTCGTTACGGCCAATATAGAAGCCGTTCTGAATTGGCAGGGATGGGAGGGACATCTCCTCCGAGACGCTATGCCTCCCAAACTTTGTTAGACGGAGCGAGGCCCGGTCCAACAACAGGTCCAACAGCTGCCACAACAGCACATTCAAGAAGAGACGCTCTGTACGAATTACAAAGAGAATTGGACTCGTTAGCAAGTAGATCCCCTGCAAGTGGGGGGGAGTTTGTTGGGACTGCAAGACAACAACAAATATTGCCTGGAAGGTGGGATACAGCTGTGAGTAGTGGAAGCAGTATTTTTGCTTCTGCTGCTGCACAACAACAGCAACAACAACAACGAAATTACGAGTTTGGTAGGAAGGAATTTATTTTTAATTTTTTGTTTTTTTGTTTATTTGAAGTTTGTTTTTAATATTTTTTTAGTTTTTTACATTTTCTGTTGTTTTCTAAAAAAATTTTTGCACATTTCGGTTATGTTCTAAAAATCCGAAAATTGAGGAGGGGGGGGGGGGGTTAAGGAGGAAAAGAAAATGAGAGAAAAGTTAATTTACAATGTGGAATTACTATGAGATCTGGTTCATAAAGCGTTATCAAGATCAAGATTTTTTGAGGCAACTTGATTAGTCCTTAAGTTTTGATTCTATTTTATATATATTTTGTCTATTCCCATCAATATACTACTACATATTTATATATTTAGAACAACAACAAACTTCAGCAATCACAACAACCCACCAATGGCCAGAAGATTTAATTGAAATTGTCCACGAACCAATGGGTCAAACTTTGGACAGAATGCGGCGTTTCAGTACTTCTCTATCCAACGTAGAAAGGACAGAAGGAGCAGCAGCTGAAACAGAAAAAGTAGATCATCAAGAAAAATATAAACGAACATATAGAGAGGTAATTTAAATAAATAATTTAAAGAAAAATATTTTCTTTTAAGGAATACTCGTAAATATGTGTATGAGTGCAAATTATAAAAGAAGTGAATGCTCTAAAAACTTTACTCAAAACATCCATTTAGAGTTAAATGTTTTATGTAAATGTTTTGATGTTGTTCTCTTTGTTTTTTCTTTATATTTTTATATTTAAAATTTTTCTCTAAACTTTTATTTTTTCCGGAAAAATAATGAGGTAACAATAAGTTGCTAAACAAGTTTTTAAAAACAAGTTGCAATTTTCAAACATGTTTTACAACTATTTATACCAACTTCATGTTTTTAGGAAAGTTTTTAGGAATGTTTTTGTGGAAGTTTTACAAAACATTTACTTGGAAATTATTTAAACATGAGTGAACAACATCTAAACAAACTTTAATTTTCGCTCAAACATGTTGGCGCATTTTACTGCCTTTATTAATTCTCACTTTTATATTCTTTTTTCTCGATCGCTGCCATTTCCCTCCTTTTTCCTTTTCCTTTAAAATTTTTAATTTTTTCCTCCAGTCAATATATTTTTTAAAATATAATTGGCTATTTTTGCATTTAAAAATACAGTTAAACCTCATTATAGGATACTCTCTATTTAAGATAACCTCATTTATAAGAGAATTTTTTTAGCCCCAAGGAGGTATTTTAGAATGAGGTTTGATTGCATATGTGGATTGCTCACCCTTCCTTTCATTTTTTATTGTTTATTTTTTAATAGCCCATTTATGTATGTGGTAAATAAATAAATTTTTATTTTTTTCAATTAAATTTAAAAAAAAATTTAGTTAAAAAATTAATTTAAAGTTTTGGCCATTAATAAATAAATAAATAAATAAATAAATAAATAAATAAATAAATAAATAAATATACTCTCTCTCTTTATTTTTAAAATTAATTTTATTTAGCAAAAAGTGAAAGAAAAAACCGGTATAAAAACATGAAAAGAAAATTTAAATAAAATAAACTTTCTACACACTAGTTGGCCTTGGAAGGAAGGAGGGAAATAATTTAAATATTAAATTAAAAAAACTGGAAAGTTTGGACGTAATAAAAAAATGTGACGCGTTGTATTGCCCAAATTGTCCTAAATATGTGGCCTAAACAAAACTTTGTTTTATAAATTATGTATTATAAACTTGCAAGAATAGTATTAAAACATTGAGCATCTAAAAATTGATGTTTTTATTTTAAAGTGTTTTATATTGCTGTTTTTATGTTTTAATAGATGTTTTTAGTAATGTTTTTATAATTGTTTTTCACAATGTTTTCTATATATTCATAGACTTTTTAGCTTTTTGATATGTTTTGTTATATTTTTAATTAACGTTTTTCCAATGTTTGTTTGCTAAATTAATGTTTTTAAAATATTCAAATATAGGTATTAAGTTTTAACCAGACCTGCACATGGATATGGATAATAATATCCGTAATATCCACTGATATATCCGGATACAGACGAATATGGATACTGTTTTTGAAAATCGGACGGATACGCGGACATCCGTGCATAATTTTTTTCTACCCTACAATTTTCTACTCTTAAAAATTTTTTTGGAGGTTCGGGAAGAAATAGGCCAGGAAGAAATTTATTTTTAAAAAAGAAAGAAATTTGCGGAATAGCAAAAGAAGGAGAATTGGAATTTTTGCGTTGATTTCGTCAAAAATACGTAAAACGCATAACTCAACGCAAGGCCAAAATTTAACGGAAATAATGCAATACGCTTTGCGTTATCGGATCGGGGTTCTGGCTGAAAAAAACCGAGTTTCGGATCAACCCGATCAATATCTAGTTCCTACCGATGTATTACAGATGTTGGTGTTTCTAAATTTTCTAAAAATTTTACAAAGAATAAATTTTAAAAATATTAACTAAGCTTTGTTGATGTTTTTGTTGATGTTTAAACTGTTTTTGTCTTTTAAATATGTTTGGAAATGTTTAGGCAATATTTAAAGATGTTTAAGTTCATTTGTTTTATAAACAACCTATTAATTTCTGTTTAAATCTTCAATGTCTTTATCGGAATTTTTAAATTCAAAATATGCACAAACAAAGCTTTCTTTTGCTAAATTCCCAAGGAAGAAAAAAAATATTTTTTATGGATTAAAAAACAAAATTTTTTTTTTATTTTTTATATATTAGCTACAAAAAAGACTACTAGCTATATTTAAATATTTTTCTCACCTCCCTGCGCAGAGCAACAATCATTTAAAACAACGAAAATAGGGAACCTGAGACGTTCTTTTTTCTTCTTCCCTTTATTTTTTCTTCCATTTTTTTATCTTTCTACATTTTTTAATTTCACCTTCACCCCGTCTCCTTCCCTTTACCCTTTCCCCCCAATTCAGCCAATTTTTTTATATATTTATTTTTTGAGTAAAGGGCTCTTCAATGAAAAACTGTAAAATAGTAAGCAATATATCTCTCCGGAAAATATAGAGATTGATGACGATCTCTCATGGGGAAAATTTTTAGAGAGAAAATGAGAGCGGCAACAAGGTAATAATAATAAAATAAAGAAAAAAAGGTGTTGAGGGCACTGATCGGAGAATTTGTTAGAAAAAAGTGGGAGGGGCAAAAACAACCGGGGAGAGATTTAATATATAAAAGCAGAAGAAAATTTTTGGGGGGACTTAAAGACGGTGAAGTTGCGCAGCCAACATATAAAAATATTTGTTTATATAGAGTATTGTTTGTTGGGCTGTTTGTTTGCCGTTGTTTTCCTTCCCCTAAAAATGAACTTGTTTTTGTTGTTATTACATGTTTTGCAACATGTTTTGTTGTTGTTTATTTTATTAGCTGTCCAACTTGTTTTATTACACCAAATTTTAAATGTTTGTTTGGAAAGAAGAAAAATTAAAACAACAGTGTTTTTAACATTTTTTGTTGTTGTTTGTTTATTTATTGAATTAATGGAGAGGAGAATTTATTGTTTCGGAGCACCTTTAAATTATAAAGAAAAATTTGAAACAAATTTAATTTTACATGAAGAAGCTGATAAAAAATTGGTTTTGGTCTGTTTTTATTTTTTTTTTTTGATTAAAATTAATCTTATAATTTTTTGTTTATTTTTTATATTTAATGTTTTATTTATTTTTATGTTTATTATTTTTTAATTAACGTTTTATTCAATATTTTTTTCCTTTTTTTTAACAATATTTTAATTAATGTTTCTAGGTTCGTTTATGTTTTATTAAGTGTTTGTCACTTTGTTTTAACAATGTTTTTATTTAAGTTTTAGGTTTGTTTTATTAGATGTTTGTATGTTTAGACGATTTTTTATTCGATTTTTTAAGTTAAGGTTTTTACAATGTTTTTGTTTAACTAAGTTTTGTTTGTTTTCAAATTTTTATTTTATTCAATGTTTTTAACATGTTGTTTAAACAATGTTTTAATAGATGTTTTAATGAAATAAAATCAACTTTTTTCCCCATAATATTTAATTATTAACTAAATATTTTTAGAAATATTTAAATGATTTTGGACATCTTCGAACACCAATTCCAACACCAACAGAATTACGTTCTGCTATAAAAACATTCCAAGATATGGCTGGTTTACCATTAAGTGGCGAACTTGATTTTGAAACGCTTGAACAAATAAAAATGCCTAGATGTGGAAATGACGATATTGGGAGAATTAATGAAAGAAGGAAAAGATTTGGTAATTTTTCTAAAAATATTAATTATTATTGACCTAAAAAAAGCTCCGTATGATTTTGGAGATATGTAAACATTTGAACGCCCTAGTTTTATATAATTTATTGTGAAAGTAAAGAAATACATATAATCATAATTATAAAGGAGATTTATACATAAAAACAATATATTTTCTAAAATTTTGTTATGTTTTAATTTATGTTTTTAAAACATAAATTAATAATTTTTAAAATGTTTTAGTTTATTTGATGTTTTGTTTATGTTTGTTTGATGTTTTTGATCCATGTTGTTTTCCATTTTTGTTTTATTTTTGTTTGTTTAAACTAGAGTAGCAACCTGACCCCAGTACTTCCGACAACGAAGATTTTTTGGCAAAACCCCCGACCTGAACCCCGACGACTCTACTCCCACAAACTCCGACTGGTTACTACTCTAGTTTAAACAATATAGTTTAATCATTTTGTCTATGTTTTGCTTATGTTTTTCGTTGTTGCACACAGATTTAGTTTATTTAAAATGTTTTAATAATGTTTTGATAACTTTTAATTGATGTAATTGATGTTTGCATTTTATGTTTTGTTTTCTTCGTTTTTATTCCACTTTTTGTTTGTTTTTAATGTTTTAGTTAAATTTTTGAATGTTTTATACTAAGATATTTCCAATTTCAGTATATATTTCTCGATGGGAGGGAAAGTTGAAGGACGGAGAGCTACGACTAAAATGGTTTTTGCATAACTATACACCTGATATTCCACGTGATGAAATTAGGTATTTAAATATGTAGAGTTAATTATTTACTTTTTTAATATTTTTTAGAAGAACAGTAAATAAAGCATTTAATTTGTGGTCATCACAGATAACTCTAAAGTCTGTCGAGGTAACTTAAAATTTTTTTCTATTTTTAAAGCCTTTTTTTTATTAATTTTCAGAGTTTATCGCTTCATTTTGAAGAAGCTGAAAGTGAAGAAAATGCAGATATTACAATTCTTTGGGCAGAGGGAGACCATGGAGATGCACATATGGTTAATTTAAAAATATTAACCATAGCACATATGGTTATTTATTTTTTTATTTTTAAAATTAGTTTGACGGTCCAGGGGAAGATGGCAGCAATATTCTAGCTCATACGTTTTATCCTAATTATCAATCGAAAGGTACTTTAAATGGAGATATTCATCTTGATGATTATGAAAAATGGCATGTTGGAGTAGGCAAAGAGGGGGCTAGTTTCCCTCATGTTTTGGTTTGTATATTTTTGTTTTTAAAATATAATAAGGGAAAATATTATGTTTTTAAATTTTTGTTTATGTGTGTCTTTTGTTGTACCATGTTTTGGAATTTTTATTTTAACATATGTTTTTGTCCGTGTCTTATTAAAACAAAAAATTAGTTTAAAATAGAGCTCAAACATAAAAAAATAATACAATAATAGACATAAACATTTAAAACTATTGATTAAAACTTAAGAATATATTTAAACATTTTTAATAATAATGTTTTATAAAACTTAGAGTTACATAAAACATTGATTAAACACAAAAAACGTAACAAAACACAAACAAACATATTTTATCAAAACAAAACATCCAAATAGTTAAAACATTGACTAACATTCTTTTAATCATGCTTTAAACATCTTTTAATTCAAAATTGACAAACATCTAAAAACAAGTCTTATTATAATAAATATGTAGATGTTTTAATTATTCTAAACAATTTCCCTTCATGTCAGGTACACGAAATTGGCCATACTTTAGGATTGGGGCATTCCAAAAAGCGTGAAGCAATAATGTTTCCAATTTATCGAAAAGAACAACTTGAGAGAATGCAATTAGATATGGACGATAAATGTGCTGTTAATTGGAGTTATATTGGTCCTAGTGATTTATGTCTTTATATGTGGTTATTAGCTGAAGTTTTGCCTAAAAAAGTGGCGCCTATAAAAAATGATGAAAATGATTATGAAGAAGAAAATGAATTAAAAAATGAAAATAATGTTAATTGGTGGGCTGAGGAACAAAGAGGGATTATTACTAAAATGCCAACTAAATCAAATTGTTAGTTGCAAGTTTATAATTAATTTGTTATTAAAATGTTTTGTTTTCGTATTTGTTTTGTTTTAATGTTTTATGTTCAATGTTTTTGTCATCTGAAAACAAGTTAAAACCATAACTAAACAAAACATCTAAAAACATGTTAAAACATCTAAAAATAAAAAATCATATTTTTTAGTATTTTAGTTATCATGAAAGAACAAAATAACCGTGAAAATTTACAATTAACTAACGAATTGTTGCCTGATTGTGGTTCTTACAATTCTAATATTGAAAATATTGAAAATGAACAAAACAACGACAATAATTATTATAGCAAAGTGCGATTTCAATTATCACAAGTTTTGAGACGAAGACTTGGATTCCCTAAAGAAATGGCTTCTTCTTATGGTTTTTATTTTTATTAAAAATATTGGTAAAACATTGGACTGAAAATTGAATAAATACAATACCAATTAAACATTTAACTAAAACATTTAATTAAACATTCGATTAAAACATCTTAAAATCAAATAAAATATTAATTAAAACATGAACTTTTAAATGTTATTAAACAACTAATTTTAAAAATATTTTCAGTTAAAGTTCTTTGCCGATTTTTTGATGGTCTTAGACAACATTTGGGATTATCTAAAAATAATAATTTTTCATCAAATAATCATTCATTTGGAATTAAACCGTTTGGTGTTCACAATTATTGGCAAAATAATGAAGAATATAGTTTTCAATTATTAGCGGATAATTTGGAACGTGAAAGTAAAAGAAGTTTTGATTCAAAATTTTTTAATAAATTATTAAATATTTTTGAAGGTAATAATAAATATGTTAATATAAAATTAGGCGAAATTTAAATGAGAAAATTTTTGCTAAAAATTATTTACATATCACAACTCTTAACAAATGCTGGTTCTCTTAAAAACAATAAACCAATGATTGAAACATTAAAAACATTAATTAAAACATTTAATTAAAACATTAAACTTCAAAATTTTCTTGAACCAGCATTTTTAACATTCAAAGAAAATACGTGTATTATTTATTATTTTTAATGTTTTTTAAGAACGTTAAATTCCCACTACTCATTTTATGTGCAATAATCTTAATTTTTAATTTTTTGTTTTTATATTTTAATTTAATTTTGTTATTATCGTTTTAATTTATTTTTTAAATAATTTTTGTGTTTTGTTTTTAAATAAATTCTTTGAGTTGTTCTGATATTCTTCAAAGCATTAGAAACAAACATATTTAAACAAACACTCAAACATCTATTTTTTCAAACATCATTAAGAATAAATAGAACTTCAATTAAAACAATAACTAAATATTAATTAAAACATTGTTTAAAAACAAATACATCCAAAAATCATATTTCAGACTTTAAAAACATTTAACTAAAACAATGTTTTAATATTTAATTCAAACATCTACATATCTTTTCCCAATGTTTTTTGACAGCGCTTTATTGTTGGCGTATATTTCCTTCCTCATTTTTTTTATCTGCCAAGGTCGTCTACCTATTTTTGAAGTTTTTATTCTGGTAAAATACTAAAAAGGACATTTCTTGTCTAAAATAAATAAATAAATATACATTAAATTGTGTTAAATTATTAATATTTAATATATTATTTTTACATTTTTCGCCCACGCGCCCAGTTCTTTTAATATTTTCCAGTCAAGGTCAAGGTAAAAAGCATTTTTAATCAAAAATTGTAGGAGAAAAACGAGGATATAAAAATGTTTAAATTAATAATAATAAAGTAAAAAATTGAGACAATTGAAAAGAAAATCTTTTTTAACAATATACAATTAATCTTAAAATCCGTAAATAAAAACACACATCTACACCACCCGAAAATAAAATTTCAACGAAACAAAAATAACAATCCTACGAAAATCACAAAAACGGAAATAAACGAATCTCTGATCCAGTTTGAAGTTGCGGGCAACTCTCGGTTAACCCTCAATAATTTCCCTTGACGCTTCCAGTCAAAAATTTCAAATCCGAAATTTTTAATTTTTTGATAAAAAAATTTAAAGGTAAATAAATTTGTGTGGTCTTTAATTTATTTCCAAAAATAAAAAGGAAACAAATTTATCAAACAAAATAAATTTTAAATTACTAATATTAAAAACATATGATTTTATTTAAAAAATAACCAATAATCATTTTTAAATATTTCTTTGTTCAAAGGTCACAGTTTTAAAAGAGGAATAAAATTATTATTTGTTTTTAAAACACCACGAGTTTTTTTTATTTAGCGAGTAAAAGTACAAAAGAAAAATTTTTTAATTTTTATGTAAAAGGAAATTTAAATAAAGTCATCGAGTTTAAATTGTAGGGTAGACAGTTGTGCCTTTAGTTATCCAGGCTTTGAGTTTGTTTTACTCAAATTTAAATGAAGTTGACCGTTTTGAAAATTTTGGTTAGTTTGGCCATTTTGAGAAAAAAAGGATATAGAATAAAAGGATAACTCAAAAGGGATATAAACGGATACGGATACCAAAATCCGTGTCCACGTGCAGGTCTGCTATACACATTTATATCATTGTTTTTAATAATTCAAACCCTTTCTTGGGGTTTTCCACTTTTAGATTTTGGGTGAAGACTTGGTCTTCTGAAAAATTTTCTTTGATAATTTAAATTATTTATTAAAATAAAAATTAAAAAATTAAAAACAAAATTTTAAAAATTATTTTCAACACAAATTCCCAATTGTTTATTTAATTCAAATCCAGAACAACATGTTTGGTGACATTCTTCTTGTATTATTTTTTGTTTTTGACAACGAACACCTTTTAACAACGAGAGCAAGCCTTGGCATTCCCCCTCCTCCGATATGGGTTTGGAGCAGAGCCCTACAGAAAATTTTGGAATGAAAGATTTTTTCTCAGATAGAATTGATGACTCTCAATTATATAAAATTAGCTAAACATGGGACCTCACTATAATATACCCTCAATTTAAGATACCTAGGTTCTAAATTTAGGGTGCCCATTAGGTAAGGGAGCTGTCTAAGCTAGAGATCGAACCATCGTACTAGCGACGATATTTTTCTGTATCTATCGCTATTCCGTATTGTATTACGGTACATAAAAAAATTTTCCGTATCGTAAATACGATATCGATAAAAATTCTCCGTATTTTTGAATTACGGCCCGTAATACGGTACGGTAAAATTTTGAAGTTGATCGGTTTAATTAACCCAAAATTAAAATTAATTTATTACCGGGACACGGTTCGCGTGCGCAAACTTGCGTTTCGGTGTCAACACCTCTGAAATTAAATTGAAAATTATTTTTTAAATAAAAAAAGTCTTTTACTTCACAGCAAAAATTATTTTAAAAAATACACGGCAAATTCGGTTTTAAAATTAGAAATAATTTTGGCCCTTTTTAGACCCTCGAGGTAATTTCCTAGTTATTAATCAGTTTTGACGTTTCATCGTAATGCAAGTTTGAAAACTTGTATCTAGAATCAGCATGTAGGTAGGGGTACCATTTGACTTGACTAAAGCGTACCCTTAGCTAAATTATATCCGAAAATTCCTTTTTTAAAAAATCACAGCAAAACCAACAAGCAAATTAATTCATTGTCTTCATTTCCATTGAAATTTTGTCCATTTTCATCATTATTTGTTTTTGTATTATTTATTTCATTTAAACATTTTCGACTTCTTCTTTTCAACCCACAACCACCACAAGTAGCACTGCATTCTGTCCACTCCCCCCACTCACTCCATTGGCCGTTTCTTGATGCATTTATTGCTTTAGCTTTTGCTTGGAAACCACGTCCACCACGATAGAATGAACGGAAGAGAACAAGTAAATCGTTTGTGGCTGAATGTACTGGGGATGTTGGTGTTCCATAACAGCAATAACTTGAAATAAAAAATGAATTTTTTTGAATTTTTATTTATGCTGATTTGGTTTTTTGTTGTTTATTTTTTAATATTTATCAATTAAAAATTGTTCCTCATCAAGGGGATTCGAACTTTCGACATTTTTGTAAAGAACTAAGCATTTTCCCGTTACACCATAGAAACAATTTTCTTCGGGTAAATGAAACAGGAGGTCAAAATATTGTGTTTGTGTATGTTTGTATTACTTTTTAATTTATTCAAATTAAAAAATACCGCATTCCGGTATTAGCAAAATCAGTACTGTTCCTCACTTCAACATAGTCCATGCAAAGAGAATGGCGAACCTAAATTCATAAAAATAAAACAATTAGTAAAAGTTTTTTTTAATTTCTAGACTTATCAAAACATTTTCAAAAACAGACATACAACTAAAACAAACATTAAAACAAGTTTTTGAATATTTTTAAATAGCTAAAACATTTTTAAAATTAGAAAGAAAAAGTTTTAAAACATGAAACTTAACAAATAAAATTTAAAAACATTTTATCGTAAAATACTTATGTTTTATTTTACTAAAAACATGTTTTTATGCAATCTAGAAAAAACATGTTGAATTTACTAGAAACATACACTTACTATTAGTTTATTAAAACATGTTATTTTATTAAATTTCCCTCAAGATTCAAAACATTTTTATAAAAACAAAAACACTTTACAAACATATTCAACACAGTTTTTAATTTAATTTACAATAAAAACATACCTGAATTTAATACAATGCATTAACATTTAATGTGTAAAACTGCCCCAACCTTGCAATACCTTTTAGACAGATTAAAATATTTTCAATAAATTTATTTAACTAAAAAAACCCTACATTTCGAATTCACCAAAGAATTGTCTAAAAAATTATTTTTAATAATTTTTTTTTAATTTTTTTCTTTACAATTGTACTCTCTGTCCAACAGGAGCAACTAACAGCCACGAACATTCCTGTCCTTCCCTAAATTCCCCTGGGTAATTTGGACTTGAAATTTTCGTCCAACTTTGTCCAACTTCTATACGGCCTCCACATTCTGCTCCATAACCGGGCATTACCTTTATTTTTTAACTTTCTTATTTTTTAAATAAAGCAAAAAATTTCATTATAAGATACACCCTTTGGGGCTGAAAAAAAAAGTTGGTTTTAAATAGAGGGGATTGATTAGGAAGCTCTCTACCCTGCCCAAATAGCTAACCAAATTTTAGAGAAGTATCTTAAATTGAGAGTATTTAGTATTGGGAGTATCTTATAGGAGAGGTCGAATTTAAAAGTAGAACTTGTTCACAAACTGTCCCAGTAAATCCATCAGGACATCGACAACTTTAAAAATTATATTTAAAAAAAGTTGAAATTAATTTACCGTTCACAATGTCTAGGATCTGTATAACCACCTTTTTAAAGAATTTTAAAGAATAATTTATTTAATATAAAAAATTCAAACCCCTCTGGCATGGAAGTTGTTTGGGGCATACTTGACGGCAATAAATTTCTAAATAAAATTATATTATACATACATATGTACATATTAGTTAAAAAAATATTTTTTTCTAAAGCATCTTTTATTAGCCAGAATTGTATTACACTTTGAGCTGTTCAAGACCGAAAATTTTCCCAAATTCAAGACCAATCTACCATACTATTTCTAAAAGCCTCAAAAAATCAAGACTGAGTCAAAGCTTGTCAAGTCTTCCACAACGGTAATCTCCCGAAAATCCCTTTTAATTCAATTTTCAATAACACATCTTTTTTCTATCCCAAAGATGTTGTATTAGCAGTATTTAAATGTATACGTAGGAAAAAGTGCCCGTCCCAATTCCCCAAATCGGAAATTTATTTTCATGTCGGCACGTTCTCCGGTATATTTACGCCTTCCAACCTTTCTAAATACTTTTGACCAGTGCTTCGAAGCTCGTACCAAAATTCGTACTCGTACCTCGTACTCGTACCTGGTACGAAGTACGAGTACGAGTACGAGCAAAAAAATGGAGCAGGTACGAAGTACGAGTACGAGGCCAAAAAAAGTGAAAAGTACGAGGTACGAGGCCTAAGTACGAGCTCGTACTTCTCGTACTTGGTGTTAATAGGAAAATTAAAGAAATATATTTAATTCCTTTGATTCTCCATTATATGAGCGGGTGGCCGAGTGGTTAAGGTGCTTGGCTGCACCAAAGTCTCTAATGATTTAATATTGGGTTCGATTCCTATTCGCTAAAAAAGAATTTTAATATTTTTTTTCATAAATAACTTATTTAATAATTAAAAAGTGATTTTTTCACACTAAAAAGTGATTTTTTTCGCCTACGGCCTTGCAAAATTTTCGCCTGCAGCGCTGAAAAATGGAAGAAATCTGGCTTAAGGACCTCAAAATTCTCAAACTTTTTGCCTGCGGCGCAGAAAGGGAATAGAGATTAAGAGGGATATCCGGAGATAAAACTGTGTAAAAAAATATATAAAAATTTATAACGTTCCATGGAAGAGAATGAAAAACGGATGAAAAAATACCCGTCGCATCTTGGAAACCGACCCATCTTGGAGGAAATATTGCTCAATGCACTCCAAAATGCTCAAAAATTTTGCCTGCGGCGCAGAAAATGGATTATATTGGAGGATTTATGGCTTAAAAGCCTTCCAAGATTCAAAAATCATCGCACAAACGCTTAAAATTTAAAACTAGATGCCATGGACTCCAAAAAATCATAAAAATTTTCGATTTTTTGCTTTTTTCTCAAGTAAGAGTAAGTACGAGGTACGAGTACGAGGTACGAGGCCAAAAATAAGGGTGGTACGAGGTACGAGTACGAGTACGAGCAAAAAATAAGGGTGGTACGAGGTACGAGTACGAGCAAATTTGAAATTTCGAAGCACTGCTTTTGACCTTTTTAATTTAATTTAAAATTCCCCCCACCATTCATTAATCTAATATCATTAAAACTAAGTTGGTCTCTTTGTCCAATAGTTCTTTGATAGTCTACAATAAATGTCCCAATAGTAAATAAATCGTCCAATTTAGCAAAAGCTTTGGATCTATAATGCATTATACTTCCATAATCGTAGGGAACTCCAGAATTGTCTACATCTGATGGCTTTTGAATTTGATAAATAAATATTTTTTTAGTTAAATAAGATTTGATTTATAATTATGGACTCATCACTTTTTAAATTTTCTCGGGTTTTTTTGATGCTCGATTTAGGTGATATGTACCTTGTAATAGAGTTTTCTTAAATAGAGGCCTATTTAGGATTGCCCAGATATCGGTCCCGGATCTCGATAGAAAGTACCTTGTACTGAAATATATCTACTAGTAGGTGCTCTATAAATAGTGAAGAGTTCACTACTATTTAATTATCAATCAAAGCCTATATAAATTATACATAAAATACCTGTTCTTTTAAAAATTGACCTAAAAATAATAAAAATAATTAAAATTATTTAAATCATCCACACCTTTACTGTCTCTATCAATATTATCCCATTGTACTTGTACCCATAAATCTCTGTCTGGTCTGCTTTGTTCATGCCAAAACCCTAAAGCATGAGCTACTTCGTGTGCAATAACTCCTAACTAAAATTAATTTTCGATTTAACAGCCCTTCCAGAGACCGAACTGGAAGGGCTGTAATCTCGATTACAATAACCTAGATTTTTGTTCGAGATCTCATATCGGTTCGCACTCTCAAAGTGTATCCCGCCATTTCTTAAATTTCTAGTCCGAACTATATTTGTCGGAAAGAGAGAGAGAAATTTCCGTATTAGGATATAGGAAATTATCGGATTGGATACCGGCAAAGAATACGGACATCCATTGGTTTTCCAGGATCAGTCAACTCTAGTCCCAACTTCCCATAGCATTGTCTCCTCTATAAATTTTTCTCGAGGCCCTCTTCCCCTACATGGACAACCCTACTCAAAACAACCCAACCCTACTACAACCCTATCGCTGTAACCAAGTAGGTCTCCTCCATGTACTTTATATACATAAATAAAAAGAATTAATTTAAAAAATTACTCGAATACATTCAGGTGCTAAAGAGACAAATTGAGGTTCTCCCAAAGGATGCCTATAAATTAAAAAAATTTCTTTCTTCATTCCCCCTCTTCCCTCCAACCTTCCAACATTAGAAGCACACCCATCAACATCAGTAAATACAATTCTAGAGCCTTTAGGTTCATCATCTTTCCTTTCAAAATTTAGACAAGTAATATTATGCCAATGTTCTAATGCTAATTCTATTACTCTTTGTTCTCTTAATGCTTTTTTTTTAATTAGAAAATTTTTAAAATATTTATTTACTGTGTGAACCATCAAAACTATAAATTATAGGCTTTGTAGAATCCCATCGTCGAATCTAAATACAGAAAATAAAGGATTGTGTGAAATTGCTTTGATTTATTTGACGTGGTTTTTTATGTAATTGAATTCTTAAAATTGAATTATGGACTGTGGCTTACGGTTGTGTGTATTCGAGAATTTAATCTTTAAAAGGTCTGTTCTGGATTACTGACAGTCCTGATCAACCCCGTACAAAATTCTTAAATGGATGTCCGCAAATATCAATCCGCAAATACCAACCAACCCTTCTAAAAACTTACATTTGAACCAATAAATTTTCTTTTAATTCTTTTGTGTTGATTATTTTTATTATTTTTAATATTTTCAAACAATTTATTTGCTTGATTTTCATTCAAAATTATATCCCCTTCAAAATGTTGCCTATTTTCTTCTGGCCATTCCTTCTTTAAATTTACTAATTTATTTTTATTATTATTATCGTTATTCATTCTCCTTTCTTTCCAAGCTTTTAATTCTGATATTTCCTCGGTTGTCTAAAAATTTAACAAAAAAAATTTTTGAGTAATGTGTAGGTTACCAAGTTCTTCTTTTCTTTTTCTGTCGTTGAATTTTCTGTTAATTTGTCAACTTTATCGTTTTTCATTAATTCATTAATTTGCTTCAACAAATTCTGGATTCTGAACAAAATTTATTATATGTACTTCTTAATCCGAACGGGAATAGGAAGCTTTTTAGTTTATTTCTTAGGCAGAATGTTCTCTTCTCCTTTTTTCCTCCAAATGTTCGGGAGCCCAAGGGATGGATCGGCTTTTTCCGACCTGACACCCAAAATCCAAATTTTTTTTTCTCAATCCTGCCCATCCCTACTTCCTAACGGAGCATTTTATTCTTGGTCTTCTCCTTAATAAGAATGTAGCATATTCGATCTCTAACATTCTGGAGGGGAGGGGGGGGGGGGCATTTTTGGGGCGTCATTATTTTAGAATGATTATTAGAGGGTAGTTTATTTAACTTGCCTATTTAATTCTTCATCACTTTTACCCCATTTTAAAGCTTTATTGTGCCATCTATCCTTCCATTCATTAATTTCTCTTTTCCTCCTTTCCTGCCCATTTTCTTCTTCTTCTTTAATTCCTTCTCCCTCTTCCTCCCCTTCTTCAATTTTACTTTTAATTGTTGTTTCCCCTCTTAATCTCCTTCTTCCCTCATCCCTAGCATTTGTCCATTCTTCCAAATCTGTATCATCCCCTCCATTAGGCAAATGTTCATCGTGAAGAATAACTCTATTATTTCGAATTACTGCTTCAATAAATTGAGGAAACAATAAAAAAAGAATCCAAAACCTTTTGAATTAAAAATATATTTTTTATTTCTTTAAATAGGGAGGAGGGGGAGACGTTCAAAAAGCTCGTTGCTTCAACCTCGAGCCATACTTTATCTCATAACTTTTTTTGATTTTTAACCAATTTAAATTATTTTTATATCAATCGAAAGCTCTGGATATGAGGATTATTTTATCTAACAGGAAAATCCCTCTAGAAAAACCGCTCCTCTCTCTCTCTTCCTTTCTTTTTCAATATCCCATAATTGTTTAATTTTAAATTTATTCTTAAAAATAATTTTTTTCAAATTAAATATTTACACCTACCTCCATAAAGGTAATTTTCCCATTAAATTCCTTGCCTTTCCGAGAAGAAGAAATTTTTTTTAATAAAATTTAAATAATTTTTTAAATAATTTATTATAATTTTAGCGGCAAAATATAAAAAAATATTTCTGATTAATTTTCAACTAATCTTGTGTTTGTGTTGTTGTTGTAAACCCAAGCCGGTTTTTGGGGGCTTTTTTATATTATTGTTGTTATTAATCGACTTTTAGCCCTTAATTATGTTAAAAAATATTTTTTATAAAAAAGGTGAAAGAAAAAAATTATTTTTAACCCTGTTTATTTTTACAAAAAATTATCGCGGCAAAAACGAAAAAATTGGGTGGATTTTGGATATGTATATCTTTTAATTACGCTGGTAAAAGTCCGCAACTTTTTATCCGCAAGTTATAATATATTTATTTTATTATAAATAAATTTTTAGACTTCTAAATAGAATAAATCTCATTTTTAAATACTCCCTTTATAAGCGACACCTTCTATTTAAGAGACACCTCATAATAAGGGACGATTTTTAGATTTAAAGGTTATCTAATAGTGAAGTCCGGAGTATTATGTACTAGAGGTGAGACGAAAGTGATTTTAAAAGGCGAAAGGTGAAATAAGAGAATAATCTTGAATCGAATACATTTTTTTCTAATTTGCGGATAAAATGTTGCGGACTTTTCTGTTAAAATAAAAAAAAAATTTTAATTTTTCAGTAAATTATAAATTAAATTTAAAAAATCAATTTATTTATTTGTTACCCCTAAATAAGTTCTACAAGTAATTCGGCGGAAGAAAATTATAAATAATTTTATTTAGTAATCACTCCAAAAATGGAGAAGAAAAAATACTTGCGCGTCTCCTCTCTCATTTAATTAAATAAACTGTTCAAAAAGATAAAAGGAAAGAAATGATATTTTTAAGGGTTCCACTTTTATTTTTTTTTGTAAATCAAATTTTTCCTAAAATTTTTTAGAAAATTTTTTCTTATAAAATTTTCAATTAATATTTAGAATACCCCTAAAAACGACATCCTTTAGTGAATTTTTCTCCTTTTTGTTGAATTTTTCGAGTTGTCGAATGGTATCGATAATGCCCAGAAAGGACAATTTTTCAATAATAAGATTACTAGGAGTCTTCTTTCGAAGAGAAAAAAAAACTTTAAATTTCTTAAAAAATTAACAAAAACCTTGAGAATTTTTTGACGGAAAGGATAAATACTACATGTATTTTATTTTAAACAATTGTGAAGTCTTCTTCTTTTTTTACTTTTCATTTGACCAGCGGTCAATCGACTAAAATTTGACGGTCATTTCAGAGAAGAGAAAGAATGATTGATTGGATGGATATTTAAATGAGGGATTAAATCTTTTTCTCTTTTAATAAATTCACGCGAAGCAAACAAAAAATTTTTTTTTCGTAAAATCTAGACTCTTTAATCTCAATTAAATGATGGATTTTAAAAAGATTTTTAAAAAGCAAAAGAAGAAAGTCGAAACACAAAAAAGACGAAGTTGATTGTGAGGTGAAAGACGAAACTGTCACATTTCTGTTGCGGATTATTTAAAAAATTGCGGACTTCAGCTAAGCAAAAAAATTTTTTCTACGCGGACAGACTTATTTTAAAAATATTTAATTAAAAAAATAAATAAATAAATTACAAAAGCTTCAAATATATAAATATAATGCACATAAAAAATTAAAAAAGGATCTTCTAAAAAATTGTTTGAGAGATTTCTCCAAATTTTAAGTAATTGTTGTTGCTGAATTATTTAATAATTGTTCAAGCGCTTCTGCAGGGATTCCACCAACAGTACGGCTCTTTAAAATTAAGAGATTAATTGTTAATTGAGTGGTTGAACTTGAACAATACCGCTTAAACAACTGAGGCGAAACTTCCACTTTAATGGCAAAATTTTGTCATTAAAGTGGAAGTATAATGAAAGTTAGATGTTGTATAAGTTTATATTTTTCTGTTAATATAATGTAGTGTTTAAAATTTAGTATCAAAATAACTAATCAACCCTCACACTATGAAATATTCCCTTTTGATAGAAAAAATCATCTCTTATAATTAGATTTATCTTAAATTGTGGGTATCACTTAAACGGCCCCCCTCCCCCCAACTTTTGTGTACCTGTACTTTTTTGTTATTCGGAATTGGAATAACTTGTTTACATTTTCCATTTTTATATTCCTCTACAAATTCACGAAGAACATCCTCACTAACATCAGGTTTGTCACAAATAGCTAAATGTCCAGCAAGTACATCACAAATTAATAAAAGAGGTAAATCTGCATTTTCTTGCCCAAGATTTTCCAAAACCTTTTTTAGAGAAAAAAGAATTAATTTTTTTTAATTCAGAACATTTTTTGGAGACGGGATACTTGCTAACACAAAAATTAGAGTAAAAATGTAAAAAAATAAAAGCTCAGTTTTGGTATTTTACAAAATACAAAGTTTGAAAGATTGATGGTATACCCCCCTCCCCTTCCCTCTAAATAATAATTCAAGACTAGCACTTGAAATGTCTCGAAAAAATATGCAGTTCCCCATAAATTCCGTCCTTTTTTCTCCCCTTTTCTCAATCTCGATAAAATTGTTAACTTTTAAAATATTAACAAAAAAAATATTTTTCTCACATCATCACAAATAGGGTCCTCGCCTGTATAAAAAAATTGAAAAGGATCATTTCCCAAAGAATTTGCATTTTCTGAATTGAGCGAACTTAAAAAAATAATTTTTTAAAAATCAAAAAAAAAATTTCTACATTAAATCTCCTTTTAAAGTATTTTTAGACTCATTTTGCTCGTCTTTTTGTTCTCCTTGTAATAAATTATCAATACAGGTAGTTAACAATTGAATAGAAAATTCAGTGTCTTCTGGGGAACCATCTAAATATACAAAAATATTTATTTCTAGATTTAAAAACAAGATAAAAAAATAAAAATTCGTTTTTAATTCTTATATCAGGAATCTAGCAACATAAAGAATAAAAAATTTCCGACCCAAAAAAACGCTGGGAATTTTTTAGGAATCGGGTCTCCTGATTTCTATTCCATATACAGCCTCAACTCATTCTTAATTATCCCTTTAAAAGCTGAAAAATTGTATCTTATAAGGAAAGGATTTAATTAGAGGATATACATACATAGTTAGGTAACTCCCTCGAATGACCAGCCAAATTTAAAACGTATCTTACCTTTGTTTTTCTTACATTTAAACTGTCCCCACCAAAAATTTTTATATAAATTTACCAGTAAATAAAATCAAAGAAGCCATTTCTGACAATCGATGGACTGTATGTTCAGTTAATTCATACAAAGATTTTCTTTCCCAAGGATACCCTAAAGGATCAGAAAGTAAAATATTTCTTCCATTACGTGAAATTAGTGAAAAATTTTCATCCAAAAGCAAAAATGTTGGAATTCCTTTAAATTAAAAAAAAATTTTTGTTTTAAAATGACGCGATAGAATTCTCTTCGATTCCCCCCCCCCTCCCCTCCCTCACTCGCCACCTTGAAAATTTTCCGCAATTTTTATGTTTTCTTTCGTAACTCATTCAAAAAAAATTAAAAAAACCTTGAACATCAAAAGCATTAGCCAAAGCTTTTTCAGATTTATAAGGTAAAGAAAGCCAAGGCATCCCTCCAAAATGTTCTTTAAAAGAATCTTCCGAACGATCATAAGAACAAAAAATAATTTCAAAAGAAGGATGTGCTTCTTTGATTTTTGGATATATTTCAGTTAATTGTTTAGACATTTGTTTACTTGGAGGACACTAAAAAATTTTTGTTTACTTAAATTGAGAGAATCCGGGGTTATCCATAACCTAACTGTGGTGAAGCCTACTCGAGCCTATATAGAGCCTAATCAAATCAAAAATCAATTAAAATCCCGACAATGAAAAAAAATTTAAAAAATTCTGAAATTTCTATAATTTCTAACCCTTAACTAAAAAAATTAAAAAATATAAAAAAATACCCATTTAGCACCAAAAAATATTCCTTTAACTCCATTCCCAATTTTATCAAATTCAACATTTTCAGTCAACCCACCATCACCACAATTCTTTAACAACTTCATTCCTTTCAAAAATTCTTTCGGAGAAACAAATTGCCACGGAAAATTTTCGCAATTTTGATCATCAATTAAAGAATTATAGGCTTGTGAAATTATTTTGAGTTCTGAACAGTCGAGGACAAAAAGTGAAGGAGCTGTGACAAAATTGAGTGATCTCAAGAGACGAGACTGTTTTGAAGGGAAAAAAATTTTTAGAAAATTTTAAAAAATTTATGGCAAGAAAAATGTTTAATGTACAAAAATTTTTGACAATTAACACCTAAGGTGACTAACAATAATAATAATTTGAAGATAAAGGGTTGTCAACATTTTCTTATAAATTGATTAGAGAGCGATCTATTTTGGATCCGGACCTTGATTTTTCCTGAATCCAGAGTCCAGATCAAGGCATTTTTCAGCGTTCCTTGATTATTCCTTGACTCAAAATCAAGAATCTGGTCAAGGTATCCAACCGAAATCAAGGTCAGTGATCAAGGTTTTTTGAAAATCTGGCTCTCTAAAATTGATGTAAAATAGAGCAAAAATAGAAAAAATATTCACTAAAAATAAACAAAAAAATTTCTTTACAAACTCCGATTTGTCTTCTCAAAAAATCCAAAATTCAGAAAAGAAACTCAGGTTTAGGAAAATCCAGGGGTTATGTACCTAATCCGTCCCTAAATCTTCTAAAAAATTAAAAAAATATCCAAACCTTATATAAATAATTTTGTGGTGGAAAATAAAATAATTCAAAATCATTATTAAATTGGAGAAGATTTCCTCCTTCATTTACTAAATTAAATTCAACATCAATTCCAATTATTTTTATTTCTGTAAAATTTAAAGAAACATTTTCTGTGCTACATTTTTTGCCGAGACCAAAAAGTTTTTTTAATTTGGCTGGAGAACTTTAAAAAAAAGAAATTTTAGAAAATAATTATTTTTTTGTTGATATTTGTAGACTGAACGGGGGGGGGGTTCTGAAATTTATTTATGTAGGCGTTACTACACCTATGGGTAGTGTCTCCCGTTTCAAAAAAAAGTGAAGGGTTCCTCAGTGGTTCCAAACAATTCTAATTTTCTGACGATCTATTCAAGTTATTTTTAAACTATTTTTAATTAAATTCAAAATTTTTTTAAGCTGGAAATGGAACCGTTAAAATGTTAAAAATGGGAAGGAACCGGAAACCTTAAGAAATTCATAATTTTGTGTGTGGCTTTACTCTGTAGTAAAATTTAAAAAACGATGGAAAGTGTCAAAAAAATGTCCCAAAATTCCCCTCTCAATTTTGGTAATCCATACAAATATCCCCTCATTTAATATCCAAAAAAATTTCCACAAACCTTTTAGAAATTTTCTTTTTACCTTCTTTATTTCTACTAAAAACAAGTCTTTCCAATGCTTGTAAAAATAAAGGATTTTGTTGATTTAAATTACTAAAAACATAAAACAATAAATAATTGCAAGATTTAATTAATTCTCCAAAAGAATAAATTTCTTGTTTTGTTTGCTGTAATTCTTGTTTATTTGTTGGTGGTAAATATTTGACAATAATGGCACGTTCAAAAGAAGAAATATTTAGCATTACTATTTAATAGCTAAAAAATTAAAATAAAGAAAAGGGGGTTAGAAATGGAGAGGGGTAGAGAAATTCTGATTTTTTTTTGATTTTCAGAAAAAATTTTTGGTAGTTTTTGGCAGTCTTTGCGGACATGTCTATATGCGAACACATAATGGTTAGCGAATAAATTGAAGAGAGAAGGGAAAAGTATTCTGAACATTATGAGACCAATATGATTGAGTCGCATAAAATACCCGCAAAACTGATTTTGGATAACCCAAAAGTAAATACCATTTAACCCCCATTTTTCCCAAATTCTGATCGAAAAAATGATAAATTAGTAAAGGAAAAAAACTTTTTAAGAAAAAAATTTTTTTATTTAAGAATAATTTAAATTTTATTCAAAAAATTATGTCAACAAAATTTTAAAACAAATTTTGAAAAATTTGAGAAAAATTCTTTTAATTAGAAAAATGCTCAAAATTTAAAAAAAGATTTGATGAAAAGAGATGCTCTTTCATATTTTTCTTTATTTCCTAGCCTAAACTCGAAATAGTTTTTCAGGGTTTTTACAAAAAGGATGGACTTTTTTCCATTTTTTTCTATTTAATTACTGCAAGGAAATAAGGAAAAATATGAGGGCATACTACATTATTTCAGAGAATGTCAAATAAAAACTTTACAAGAAATTAGCCTTTTTGATACATTTCTAAAACTTCTTTAGAATCAGCAGAAAAAATTAAAAGCAAACGGAATATCTTATTTTTAACCCAAACATTTTCAAATTTATACTCAACAAATTTACACAATTCCTTCACCTCTTCATTACTTTTCTTACATTCTTCACAATTTTCTTCGTTACATTCTCCTTCTTCTTCAATATTTTCGCAAATATGTTTTTGTTTAACAAAATTTTGTTCCTCTTTTATTATTTCACCTCTCACAGTTTTATCTAAAAATTTGTTTAAAATATCGTAATATCCTAATAGAATCCCTGGGTACTTTTCAAAGGGTCTCATTGAGTGGAATTCTAATACGACATGGGCCAGGGGGCTAAGAGATGGGCTTTTCTATATACACTTTTTCGATACGAAATTCGATATAAGAAATTTTCAAAAACCCAATCCGAAATCACACCCGATTTTTATCAATCCTCTGACCTGAAACCCGATGTTTTTAGGAAACCCGATTAGTGAGCACAACCAGGGCCTGTACTATAAGAGTTTGGTTCGTGGTAAGCAAGAAGAAAAAATACTAAGCCTCTTATAGTACCAAGTTACCACTCGGTTGAGTTAAATAACGGGGTCAAATGACCTGATTCTTATAGTACAGGTCCTGGTGTAGACACAAAAATAAAAAATATTTTTCACCTTTATCTTCAATATAAAATCCTTTAGGTTCAGATATCTTCACATGATGATAAATTAATTCAAAAGTAGTATTTGTATATCCATCATTAAGACAAAAAAAGTTTGTATAAAATACAAGAGGAGGAGAATCCTCAAAAAGTAAGTCAATCATTTTTGGATTTAATACAGTTTGCTTCATTTTAATAATTCCAAAATGACATTGAGAGAGGTTTTCAAGCCAGTAACGAACAAAAAATAATTCTTCAATATTTTTTGGATAACGTTTTAATTGTAAATGCAGAATTTTTGGTGGTAATTTGTTGTTGTTGTCTTCTGTATTTTTTAAAAAGAAATTAAAAGTTTTTGAGGGAATACAGAAAAAGTTTGGGTATGTGGACAAGTTGAGTTAGGCTAAAGCCGATATCCAGTCTTTTTTCGACCCTAAACCAAACCCAATTTTTTTTCTCAATCCGACCCATCATTAATCTGATATCATTTTTATGACAAAATTAGAAAAGAGATATGACGGCCCAATATAATTTTTCTTATGACATTATTTGAACAGAAACTTTGCATTTAACATGCCATAAACATGACACATCAGAAACTTCATATTATTTGGATAAGCCCCAGTTGTTTTAAGGACGAAAAGGGTGTGGGGCAAGAGATTTACTTTTCTTTATTTATTTAAAGAAAAAGGGCTGAACTTTCTTATGCCAAAAAAAAATTCTAAAAAATTGTCAGAAAATTCAACAGCTCACCACGTTCAGATGCTCTACCGTCTGAACTACCGGGGCTTTCATATATCTTGTCCAAAAAGAGAAACAAATTCACAGCTTCATCAAATCTGTGTTGATGAATTTCTTTAGGTTGACTAATAAATAAAGGAATTTGTTGCTTTAATGCATCATTCCACTAAAAAAATCAAAAAAAAAAATTTTGAAAATTTAAAATAAAAACCTTTGCTTTAGTATCTGGATTTAATTGGAAATGTAAACTTTTAGATGGACATTTAACTTGTTTACAAACATCTAGTAAATTTAAAAAGAATTTAATTATGTAAAATGTCTAATCGGCTCTAAATTGTTTGTTCTTCTACTTAAGTACCTCAGAAGTAAAAATAAACTGACTGGGGGGGGGGGGGGAAGGAGGGTAGGGTATAAATACCAGAAATACCTATGTAAATACCAGCCCATTCAATATAATTCCCCCAAACTTGTACTTAAACTCACAATATTTCCAATCAATCTCCAAAGCAAAAACCTCCTTCCTAGCCAATTCTGTTTTGTAACGGTCAACAATTCCACAAAAAGATTTATTTGTTTGTTGAATAACATTTAATTGGTTAAAATTTAGATATTTAAAAATATCAAGTTTAACTTCATTTGAAAGATTTTTCATTTTCCCTAGAAAATTTTAATTGAATAACACAAAATCTAAGAATTAAAAAAATTAGAAGGCAATGACTGTATGACTGATTGTGAGTCATTGCCGTTTGAATTACTAAGCCACATATTTCGATCAATAACTTTATGGCCTTTCAACTAGTTCTAAAAGTCTTGTCATTAAAAGTCCTGGGTATTTTTTCTAGCAGGGGTACAATCATTCCTTTAAAAATGATAATAATCTCTAACAATCAAAATTCTAACAACAATTTATTCGCAAAAAGTTAATAATAAGGTAAATTATTAGACTATTTATATGAGTAATAAAGGGCGGGAAGTAAAAAATATTAGAATGCCCAAGTTTAATTTATAGATTAAGGAAAAAGTTTGAAAACATAAAGGAGAATAAATTCAAATAACATTTTGAGGGAATGTTGTAAAATGCTAATTGTAAGAAACAAATAGGCATTTAAAATATAATTTTTAAGGGAATTATGTACATGCTGAAAAAATCGCTATTAGGGCTCGCCCTAGCCCCGAATCCGAGTTTTTCGCAAGGAAACCCCCGGATTTTCCGATAATAAAAATTAATCGAAAAATATCAAGTAAATGATTTGTGTAAAACAAAATTGTGATTCTCTACTTTTTAAGAAATAAAAAAATTGTATTTTCTCAACTTAAATTTAAAAAAATTAATTATTTAATTTTAAATTTTATTCAATAAACATTTTATCAACAAATTTAAAGTAAACTAGAGAAACTACCCAACAAAAATATTAGAAATTAGAATTTTGGAGAGAATTGGAGAAAAAAGAATTTTGATTGAAAAACTTTAGAAAAGTCCAAAACTATTAATCATTTTTTGAGAAAGGGGAAAAATTACAAAAAAAATATTTCTAATTTCTCTAGTTTTAAAGAAAAAAAAATTACCTTATAATAATTAACAGAAACAATAAATACCTACAATTTAATCTCTACCAACAAGAATTTGTAAAACTTTCTTATCTTCAACAGAAATTATTAAAAGCATATGGAAAAGCGTATTTGGAACATAAATATTATAAAATTCATACTCAACAGATTTAAATAATTTTCCTTCACCTTTTGTAACAACATAACTATTATTATCCTTACATCCCTCACAATTTTCTCCGCTACATTCTTTTCCTTCTTTAATATTTTGGCAATTTTGTTGATCAATTTTAAGATATTTTTCTTCTTCCTTTATTATCTCACCTCTCAGAGTTCCAACTAAAATTTGTTTAAAAATTTTTCTTAACCTCCCCCCCCATATTTGAGTCTCATTGTCAGACTAACCTTTCCTTTTTTACTGTCAAATACATATGTAGTTATTCCCTATTTCTCTCACACATTATAAGTTTTCTAAAACTTGCTAATTTTTTCTATCAAATTTTTGATCACTTGCTTTTTAATTAAAATGTTTGAGAAAAATTATTGACAATAAAAAAAATCAAGCTGAAACTCAAATAGGGGGTAAAGTACCCTATAAAATCTCATACCATCAGAATTTTAATATACATAGACCTGCATTGGAAGAGATTTTACAGGATCCCGTCCCAAAATCTCGATTTTTCTCAATTGTTTTATTGAGGGGAATTTAGGGAATAATATCGCGGAATCTCATCCCATTAAAAAATTTTTAAGACAATCTCGTTACAGAATCTCGAGAGAGAGAATACCTGGGGGTATATAAATAAAAAGTTAAATTTTCACCTGTATCTTCAAAGTAAAATCCTTTAGGTTCAAATATCTTCAAATGATGATAAATAAATTCAAAAGTAGCATTTAAATATCCACCAAAAAGATAAAAATATTTTGTATAAAATTGAAGAGGAGGAGAACCATCAAAAAGTAAGTCAATAATTTTTGGATTAAATACAGCTTGTTTAATTTTAATATTTTCAAAATAACATGAAGATAATTGTTCGAGCCAGTAACGAACAAAAAATAATTCTTCAATATTTTTTGGATAACGTTTTAATTGTAAATGCAGAATTTTTGGTGGTAATTTGTTGTTGTCCTCTATTTAAAAAAATTAGGATTATTATATTTTTAACATATTTCTGCTCAAAATTTATCCCTCCCCTCCCTTTCCCTGTAAACTAAAGGAAAGATAAAACAGCAGTTTAATAAAAAGGGACCAGGCCCGTAGCCAGGGCCCGTAGAATAAATTCGGGGTTGGATAACCTGGTTAAATAACCCGGTTAAACAACCCAGGGGCAAATAACCCTTAGCTACGGGTTAAAATCGGTAGAATAAATTCAACCCCGAGTTAAGGGTTATTTAACACCGAGCTAAAGGTTATTTAACTAGTTGAGTTACTGGGTTATTTGACCCTTTATATTTTATTGCCAAACCCATTTCGCAATAATTGTTTACGCAATAATTGTTATTATTAAAAAGAGATATAGTCAAATGAAAAGTTTAAAAAATTTATAAAATTTTTAATTGTTGAATAAATTTTGCTTCAAAAATTTTTGTAAAAGTTTTTGTTAAAAAATTTTTGTTAAAAAAATTAAAAAATGTTTGTTAAAAAAAATTTTTTCTATGCGTTTTAAATAGAAATTAAAATTTTTAAAAATTTTGCAATTTAATAAATGCTTTAATTTTTTGGAAATTATGCATAATTCGCATGTTACCCTGCCCCCTAGTAGGGTTGCAATTTGCCCCTTACCTGCGGGTTATTTAACCCCGGTAATTAATTTATTCTACCGGTAATGTTACGCGGGTCAGATAACCGGGTTATCTGACCCGGTCATTTAACCCGAAGCTAGGGGTTTGAATTTATTCTACGGGTTACGGGTTATTTAACCCCAAGGTAGGGGTTAAATAACCCTTACCCCGAATTTATTCTACGGGCCCAGGGGGGGGGGTGAGGGGGGGGGAATTCCCCCCCCCCCCCCCCCCCCCCCCCGAAATGGGAAAAAGGAAAAAATCTGGGGAAGGGCTGGGGCAAAAAAGTGAATCTTTTTGGCCTACGGCCTCTGAAATTTAAAAAATTTTCGCCTGCGACGCTGAAAATAGAATTTTTGGCGCCTGCGGCGCCGAAAAAGTGAATTTTTTTGGCCTACGGCCTTCTAAAATTCTCAAAATTTTCGCCTGCGGCGCTGAAAATAAAAATTTTTGGCGCAAAAAAATTTTCCCCCCTTGGCCCCCCCCCCCCCCCCCCCGAAAAAAAATCCTGGCTACGGGCCTGAAAGGGACACTCATTAAATGAACGAAAAATAAATTTGTGACAAGGGATGGGTAAATGTCCAGTTGTCTCCCAACGCAAAAAATGCAAGAAAAGGAAAGAAAAGAGCAGATTCTCTTTGCGGACATGTAGACCGCCAACTGGACATTTACCCAAGGGATGTCACAGGTTGAGAAAAAAAAGTTGGGTTAGGCGTTCAAAATTTTCTTCAGAATTTTCTTTCAAATTCCCTACTAAATTGAACATAATGGAATAATTAAACTTTTAATGACAACCAAAACGCTTATTGAAAGAATGAAGGTTCTCAACAAAACAGATCCATATTATTGAAATCAGGGTGGCCTCTTTTAAAACACTAAAATAGGGCGTTGCCAACAAAAATCGGGCAAAAATAAGGGCATAGTTTTAAAAGCTTAAACATAATTAAAATTTCAAATAAAGCAAAAATTTTGAGGATTTTGGAAGGCCAGAAAGTCAGAAATCCTTCATTTTTACCATTTTTTTACAAAATCCGAAGAATTTTTAAAATTTTACAAGATGGAAAAAATAGGGAAAAAATATGGCAAATAAGAAAATAGGGAAAAAACAGGGCGAAAAGGTCAAAAATAGGGAAAATCCTCTAGAAATAGGGTAAAAGGGCCACCCTGATTGAAATACAAAAATGGGATGAAGAAAATTAATTTTGAATAAAGCAAAGAAATTATTTAAAAATATTAAAAAATTAAACCTTTATAATTAAACAAAATAAACAAATTCACAGCTTCATCCAATTCGTCTTCGTGAATTTCTATAGGTTGACTGATAAATACAGGAATTTGTTGCTTTAATCCATCATTCCACTAAAAAATAAAAAAAAAGTTTTGAAAATTTAAAATAAAAACCTTTGCTTTAGTATCTGCATTTAATTGGAAATGTAAACTTTTAGATGAACATTTAACTTGTTTACAAACATCTAGTAAATTTAAAAAGAATTTAATTATGTAACAGTGATATCTTTTAATAGGCGTAAGTAAAAATAGGTATTTGAGACTGCCCTATATTGCAAGGAGGCTCCAAATCCCTCGATATTACCTTTTGATATTCCCTTTCAAAAGTTGTAGGTCTTCAAAATCAATAGGTTTTCAGGTTTTCAAAAGTGGATTCATAATTTTATTTAAATCAATAAAAAACTCACAATATTTCCATTCAATCTCCAAAGCAAAAACCTCCTTCCTAGCCAATTCTGTTTTGTAACGGTCAACAATTCCACAAAAAGATTTATTTGTTTGTTGAATAACATTTAATTGGTTAAAATTTAGATATTTAAAAATATCAAGTTTAACTTCATTCGAAAGATTTTTCATTTTTTTACTAAAATTTACAGAAAAAAAACTATAAACTTTAAAAATTAACAAAGAAATAAATAAATTAAAATTTAAATATTTCTCTCTTTCTTAAAGTTTTGGCAAAATGTTTTTAAATTAACAAAATCGTCTTCCCTCAGAATGTCCTATTGCATTTCGTCCCACGGCCAAAAATATCCATTTAGTCACAAATTGTGTTACAAATTTAACCGTTTTTGAGGGTATTTGAAATTTAAAAGTTACACATATGTAGTTCAATTTTTTTCATCTTTTCTTTATTCAATCATAAATTTTCTAGGGAAAATGAAAAATCTTTCAAATGAAGTTAAACTTGATATTTTTAAATATCTAAATTTTAACCAATTAAATGTTATTCAACAAACAAATAAATCTTTGAATGAAATTGTTGACCGTAGCAAGCCTGAATTGGCTAGGAAGGAAGTTTATTCTATGGAGATTGAATGGAAATATTGTGAGTTAAAAAAAATTTTTTTTTATTTTATAACATTTGGCTAAAGAGAATTGTTTTTCTAAAAAGAGTATATAGTTAAATAGGTATTCTGGCTTCCATACCTCTAATCAGCACATTTCTGTTTCTTCTTGGTTTAGTCAAAATCAAATTTCCAATCTCTTCCATTCAATTCTGTTCAAATTAAATTAGTCAAATCCCGATATAGTAACCCTTCGATTTAATTAACTTTGCGATATTACGAAACTTTCCTCTTGTTCCTTCGAGTTTATTATATCAGGATTTGATTGTTTATCTTTTCTCTTAAATGTTATCATAGAATATTCCTAAATGTAGTAATTGTCGGAAAAGGGAAAAGTAACTAAAAGTTGCTCAGCTAAAATTTTGAACGTACCCAGAACCCGACAATTTTTTGGCAAAAACCCCGACCCGAGTCCCCGAAAGCTCTGACCCGGGAAACCCCAACACTCCCGACCTCGAAGGCACGGGGTGCTACCCTAGTATAAATTTACAATTTTGCTTTTAACTAAGATGGTAACTCTTGGCACTTCATTTTTGAATGAAGAAAAGAAACAAAATAAAACATACAAATTTTATCAAATTTATTTTATTTGATTTTTAGATGTTTGTAAACAAGTCAAATGTGAATCTAAAGGATGGCGTGTTAAATTAGATGAGGATATTAAAGCGAAGGTTTTTTATTTTAAATATTTAAATGGGTAAATGACAAAAAATTGGATATTTTCCTCCAAAAAATTTCTCATTTTTGGCTTTTACTGGCCAGATTTTCTTTCCTCCTCAATTTACTTTATATTTCAATACGTGGCTTTTGTCAGGTTTGTCTCTTGTGAAGAATTTAAAAATCCTCTAGCCATTAAAACTTTTAATTCCATTTTTTAAAAATAAGCTTCTTATTCCTTGGCTTACCATAACTCGGTTCACAATTGAGGCTCATATCAAATTTAACTTTGGTGTCATTCAAATATGCTCGAAAAGCTCATTTGAATGATATATAATTTGTCCATAAACGGAAAATTTTTTTCTATTTTGGTTTACGTGAAGTATAAGAGTACCGGTTGTTATTGGTGAAAAGCTTTGAGGAGGGAAGAAAGTTTGGCAATTATGAACCAAATGGGGAAAACAAGGTATTTGATGGTTGTTTTCCTCTTTATTAGGAATTTTGGGGAAAATAAAGAGAACAAAGTTAATATAAAATTAAATTTTTAAAAACTTTCTTTTTTATTTTTAGTGGAATGAAGCGATAAAGAAACGTATTCCTTTGTTTTTTAATCAGCCTGGAGACAATGAAGTAAATGAAAAATGTAATCATGGTGGTAATTGTTGTAGTCATGTCTACAATAACAAAAATAGGTCTGATATGGAAAAGTTTGGATATAAATTGGATGAAGCTATTAATTTGTTTGTTTTGTTTAAAAATACAGGTTTTTGTTTTAAAAATATTATTTTTTTAGTTAGGATATTCCAATTTATTTAGAATATTTTTTTACAAATTAATTTTATTTTTAACTCGATGAATTTTCTGATTTTTTTTCTGTAGAAAAAATTCGGATTTCTTTCTTGTTAGTTAACATAAGTTCTTTCCGCACTCCTTTTCGTTTTATTGGATTTCCAAAAATTTCGAAAATATGGATAGATGAAGTGGGAATTGTGGTCAATTTAGCCCAGTCTCATGTTGCCTCTTAACCTTTTATTTTCTGAAATTCTCTAACTAAACTTTAATTTTTCATTAAAAATAGATGACGTTAAACCACCAAAAATTCTGCATTTACAATTAAAACGTTATCCAAAAAATATTGAAGAATTATTTTTTGTTCGTTACTGGCTTGAACAATTATCTTCATGTTATTTTGAAAATATTAAAATTAAACAAGCTGTATTTAATCCAAAAATTATTGACTTACTTTTTGATGGTTCTCCTCCTCTTCAATTTTATACAAAATATTTTTATCTTTTTGGTGGATATTTAAATGCTACTTTTGAATTTATTTATCATCATTTGAAGATATTTGAACCTAAAGGATTTTATTTTGAAAATACGGAGAAGAAAATGAAAGGAGAAAAAACGATGGATCTTGAAACTTTTGTTAAACATACAGAATCGTCAGATGATGAAGAAGAGGGAGAAGGGGAAAATAATAATGAGGAGGAGGAGTGGGGGGAAGGTGAAGGAGAACGTGCAAAAATTGTTGAATATATATTTGAAGGTATTGAAGATGTTGAACGACGTTATCATGTGCTTTTAGTATTCCCTATTGGCTCTAAAGAAATTGATCATATTTTTGTTAATGGATAAATTAAATATATGTGAGGTAATTTGTTGTTATAGGTAGTTTTGTTGTAATAAATAGAAAAATATTTTTTTGCTTTTTTATTTTTTTTGTTCTTTTAATGTATTCTTTTACATTATATTTTTTTAATTTTTAATGTTGATTTTGTGAATTTAATTTATCCTCTGGGTCCATAAATTGATTTTGGTTGTCTTTACCTTGATTATTTTCTTGATCTTTTTATAAGGGAAGAATCAAGGTCAGAAAACAAATTCAATTTTAATAACCCGTAACGAAATTTTTGTTGCGGGCCACTACATAAAAGTTGATTTTCTGGGTCTACCACGTTTTTATTTCCAACTTTAAACGGGTACGGCCCACCTTGTCGCGGGCCACCTTGTCGCGACCACCTTGTCGCGACCACTTTGTCGCAGGCCACCTTGTCGCAGGCCCACCTTGTCGCAGGCCATCTTGTCGCAAGCCTTCCTTTGATTTTTCTTTTAAGGTTGGCTTAAACTTTACTCGCCGCGTGTCGTACTTCATCCCACGGCTACAACGATGGGAATTTGAAAAGGTTTCGAATTTTTGTTTTGTTTTTTAAGTTTTTGTTTCTTTTTTTTTTAATTTTTTAGCTGATTTCCATCAGTTTCTGACTGGCAATTTTCAAGTTCGAAGTTTCTGAAGGAACGAAGGTGTTGAAATTAGGAAAACATCGACAAGAAAACAAACCCAAACTGCCCTGCTTAGGGTCACAAATTTAATTAGTGAAGCGCGACCATGGTTTTTTTAAATTTTTGATAAAGTTTTTAAGTTGTTTTTCCTTTTATTTTCTCTTATCCGGGTAAATTCTGCCGGAATTAACAACAGATTACTCCAGAAAACCCCGATCGTGCCCGGAGGCCCTTTTCCTAACCTCCATGGCAGCATAAAATTTTTTCAACATTTGCGACAAAGTGGCCTGCGACAAGGTGGGCCTGCGACAAGGTGGCCTGCGACAAAGTGGTCGCGACAAGGTGGTCGCGACAAGGTGGCCCGCGACAAGGAGGGCGTGTCCCACTTTAAACATGTACATAAATAATTTCTGAAAAAAATTACCTGACAATTAAAAAAATCAACTGCAATAAACTAAAAAACCTTCACTTACTTTTCTCTTTCTCTAACATTTTTATTCATTTCCTTCCCCCTTAAAGTCCAGGCAGTCACGAAAGGACACATTTGTGTTCTATTTTCAAGTCTGTCATTTTCCTCTTTTTATTTTTATTTTGTTGTCTCAAAAAAAATTTTTTCCCTGCCTTTTTAGTCATTTTCTCTGTCAGATTACACTATTAGATAAAATGGCAGTTGCTTTGAGAACATTCGCAAGTACTTCAAAAATTGGCTGGAGAAAATTGTTTATTCAACAAACTGTGAGAATGAGCACTGAAAATTTTCGAATTGAACGAGATACTTTTGGAGAATTAAAGTTTTTTTTTTAAATTTTAATAAGAATTTTTATATTAAATATTTAGGGTACCCAATGATCGTTATTATGGTGCTCAGACTGCTCGGTAATTTTATTTAAAAATTTTGTATTAAGATGTATTTATGTTGGGTATTCTGAGTTTGTTTTTGGGGTTGATTGTCATTTTCTTTAAAAAAATTCAAAATATTTTTAATTTAGATCCATGCAATTTTTTAAAATTGGAGGGCCAGAAGAGCGTATGCCGCTACCTATTATTCGTGCTTTTGGTTATTTAAAGAAAGCTGCTGCTTCTGTCAATCAGGAATTTGGACTTGATTCTAAATTAGTTGTTGCTATTTGTCAGGCTGCAGGTTTTTCTTTTGAAATTTTTTTCTTGAAAAATTTTTCGTTTTTTAGATGAAGTGATTTCTGGTAAATTAGATGAACATTTCCCTTTGGTTGTTTGGCAAACTGGAAGTGGGACACAGTCTAATATGAATGTTAATGAAGTTATTGCAAATAGAGCTATTGAAATACTTGGGGGTGTTCTTGGATCGAAGGTTTTTTTCTTGGAGAATTTTTAGTCTCTCCTTTAATTATCAGATCAAGTTTTTTGGATCTTATCGATTTTTCTATCGTATAAGTCTGTTCCTTTTTATTTTACTTACAAATCTCAAATCCCAAACATACGCCAATCGATATGGATTTTACAAAGCCCGTCTCAAAAAATAGCTTTATCTTCTTATCTTCATTTCTACATATTTCTTTCATTTTCAGTCTCCTGTTCACCCAAATGATCATGTTAATATGTCACAATCTTCAAATGACACCTTCCCTACTGCAATGCATGTAGCTACTGCACTAGAAATAAATGATCGACTTTTGCCTGCTTTGAAATATTTTCACGACGAATTGGAAAAGAAAGCTAAAGAATTTGAGCATATTATTAAAATTGGTAGAACTCACACACAAGATGCTGTTCCTTTAACTTTGGGACAAGAATTTAGTGGTTATGTTGTTCAGGTTTTTTTTACTTTTTAACATTACTTTTAATAAAAAATCCTCTTATTTAACTTTTGTGGGACGACTTTGGAGTTTCTGAACCTATATTTTTAAGCGCCGCAAGCGAAAATTTCTTAAATTTTGGATGGTCACTTCAGAATTTTAATTACATTAAAATTTCGTTAGGTTGCCAATGGAATTGAACGAATTAAGTCAACATTACCTCGTTTATATGAATTGGCTGCTGGTGGAACTGCTGTTGGAACTGGATTAAATACACGAAAAGGATTTGCTGAAAAAATTGCTAGGTTTTTAGATAATTTTATTTTTGTCAATGACATTTGAAAGAATGAAACGTTATCTCCATGGATTATTTCTTGTTTTATTTTGGTTTTCTGTATTAATCTTACTCATAAAAACCCGGAGAATTGCCTGGCTTTTCGTGTACATAGTGAAAAATTGCTGGGTTCCAAAGAGCAGACTTGGGCTTTTAGCTTTTTTGAGCCTGGCTCAGTAATTTTTTGTTGAAAAAAGGTTTTTAAATAACGTTTTTTCTGTGGAAAAGTCTGCCAAACAGTGCTTCATTCTTTTTTAAATTCCCTTTTTTAAACTTTCCAGTAAACTTTCTCAACTTACAAATCTTCCATTGGTTACAGCTCCAAATAAATTTGAAGCTTTAGCGGCACATGATGCTTTAGTTGAGGTTTTTCTTTGTTTTTTTCAAAAATTTTTTAAATTTATTTTCTAAAGGTTCATGGTGCTTTAAATGTTATCGCAACTTCATTTATGAAAATAGCTAATGATATTCGGTTTTTGGGGTCTGGACCTCGTTGTGGATTGGGAGAATTATCTTTGCCTGAAAATGAGCCGGGTTCTTCTATTATGCCTGGAAAAGTTAATCCAACACAATGTGAGGCTTTGACAATGATTGCTGCTCAAGTTATGGGAAATCAAGTAAGAGATTTTTTCTAACGTTTTTCAACTTTTGTGTATTATTGGGCATCAGTGATTGGCAAGATCCATTCGAGTTGTAGATGCTTTTTTAGAAATTGCCATTTTTAAAATAAAAATAGCAGTCGAATTTAAAACAAAATGAGGTTGGTTATCTGACCTTTGTGTTGAATCTCTAATTGTTAGGTTTTAAAAGGAGGGCCTGAATTGAATTGAAACACAAACCCGAATTTTTCGTGAGTACCAAGGAATGGGACTATTTTGTTAAAAGAAAAAAATTTTTAATTAAAGGTGGCAGTAACAATTGGTGGTTCTAACGGACATTTTGAATTAAATGTATTTAAACCTTTAATTGTCCGTAATGTTTTGCAATCAATTCGTTTATTATCTGATGGAGCAGAATCATTTACAAAGAATTGTGTTATTGGAATAATAGCGAATGAAGCAAATATTTCAAAAATTTTAAACGAATCTTTAATGTTAGTAACAGCATTAAATCCCCATATTGGTTATGATAATTCTGCTAAAATTGCTAAAACAGCTCACAAAAATGGGACAACATTAAAAGAAGAAGCAATAAAATCTGGATTGTTAAATGCCGAACAATTTGATGAATGGGTTAAACCAAAAGAAATGATTGGACCTAAATAAATAAAATTATATTTAGTTTATAAGAAATTTTTTAATTAAAATAAATATAGGTAATTAATAGAAGTTTTGAGGGTTTCGAAATAATTAAATTCTAACAATAAGTTCAGATTTGAGCTCAGCAAACTCGATTACCTAACTGTAGACCTGAAAAACATCAAACAAGCAGTTTTTCCTTGTATTTTAGGGACCATTAAACTCCACATTTACCGGAATTTTTAAATTTTTTTTGAAAGAGCATTTTTAAAGGATTATTTTGACACTTAATTCTTTGTTAAAATTAAGAATGTTAAATAATTAAAACGATCAAAATTTTATTTTTTAAATTAAAGCTTTTCTTTATATAAATAAAATAAAAAATTTATGTTAAAAAAATTTGAGTTGATTGTTCAATGTAAAAGCATATAAAACATCAAAAATTCAAAACTATTATGAGCATCCAAAGTTGATTATCTGCTAAAAACTAACTTTTATTTTTTAAACATTTTATAGTGTTAATGGAAGAGACACCCGGGAGTCAAGTCTAAATAAAACACAAGGAAAGTAATTTTTTAAAAGACTCCGAAAAAATCGTCCAAGTTTTTAACGGGCCAAAGGCCTTGAAAAAAGCCAAAAAAAAATCAAAAATATCAGTTCTTCCTCAGTTTGAACAAAAAACCAATTTTTTAAATTCAAAAAATTAACCATTTATCAATTTCTGCAATGACTGCCTCCAATAAACGATTTGTTAAACCAGGGAAATTAGATGTTAAATTCTTCCATCCTTCATCTTTCTTTAAAAATTCTTCCCTGTTTGCCACAATATATTTAATACAAGCCTAAAAATATTACAATAAAAAATATACCGTATTTCCTCTAATTGAATGCCACTTTGGAAGGTGATTGAAAAATAGAATGTCCGGGCATTCTATTAGAGGAAATAAGGTAGTCTAACCCTCTACTAGACACTTACTAAGATATACACAATACTAGCTAACCTCAATTTAGGAAACATTAAGCAATCTAAGGAATACAATCTATTTAAGATATACCCTCATTATAAGGTTAGATTCTTTTATTACCCCAAGAAGTGTCATTTTATCCGTAATAAATTAAAAATTTTTTTAATTTTCAACCCCCCCTCCAAATATAACAATCATTTCATTTCTTTATTAAACATAAAAAATATTTAGTACCTCTTCCAAAATTGAAGAACCATAAAGTTCAATAATTCGACAATATTGTACAAAATTATCCTTATCTGTTTAAATAAAAAATAAATTATTTTCCGCAAAATAATAGTTTACCAATTGTTGATGCCATAAATTGTTCGCATTTAATTTTTAAATTGGTAATTTGATATTTGTGGGAAATTGCAAATAAATCAACACATAAGCCTTCCATCGTAGCTTAAAATTAATTAATCATTTAATTAAGGAAAAAATAAGGGATATTTAGGCTACCCTAAAAAAAGGAATTGTGGTGTAACGAAAAACATTAGACATCACTTATTGGGGAACTGTGGTTCCAGGGTTATTCGAATATACCAAAAAATGTCTTATATAAAATTACTAATTTAAATAAAAATATTAAAACAGTACATTTGGAAACATTGCCAGTATAACAAAATTCCAACATTCCTTTAAAAGTTTCTGAAGAGCAATCACTAATTTTTACAATTCCCTAAAATTTTTGAAAAAATTTTCAAATTTATCTTTGTTATTTAATTAATATTTTTAAACCTACAGTTTGGGCTTCCAGCATTTCGTTTTGATCAAACATGGCATTGAAAACTTCACTGTTTTCACTTAAAACACATCTGTGAGCTTTTATTAGCTCGCTTCCTATCTGAAAAGTTAAAAAGGTGAAATTCGTGTTTTGTGTTAGCCCTTAAATGAAGATGGCATCAAAATTCAATTTGGCCGGACGAATTCAATCTTTTTCAAAAATTCGTTTATTTATTTTTCAAAGTTTCTCATGCTACATTCTCAACGAAAATCACGCGCACTTGTGACAGAAGTAATGGAAAAGAGGAGACAAAAGTTGTGCGCGATTTTTAAAAAAAAAGCCGGTTTTCTAACAACAAATTAAATTTGGCCGGACAAATTCAATAAGAGGACATATTTACCTGAATAACACAATCTGGAAATTTTTCTTTCAACAAAATATTTTTGTAAATATTTATAATATAAGAATTATCATTTTCATTAGAATCCGTTTCGTCAGGCAACAGGTGTTCGACTTCGCAAACAATTTTTATTGAACCTGAAAATTTTTTAAAATTGTCTAAAATAAATAGAGCCTAATATATTTCGATCAACAAAAAATGACTTTTTCGGGTATCTGAAAATCACCCAACAACCCTCGTTCTCTCTAGACTATCAACTAATTGATCCTCTTCCTTATTGGTAATCATCTTCCCTCAAACCATCCTCCTACTTCCCCCTCAGTCTCACTTTTCCGAATAAAAAAAATTAATTACCATCCGCTAACAGAGAATTAAGCATATTTATATTTAATCTAATAGATTCACTCATATTCTTAAAATCCTCAGTAAATCTTAAAAGCAAATTAAAAAATTTAAATTAAGAAAATATTTTTTAATGCCTTCCAATTTCTTTATTTATTCCACTCGTCTGTATTGCATTGAAATAGTAGGCAGCTCTAACTACACATTCATCTTCACTTATTAATCCAACTCGAATTAGTGAAATGTAAACATCTTCAAAAATAAAAATTTAATTCCAAACAAATTTAAATATACAGCAACACTCATTAAAAGATACCCCCTTTTAGGGCAGAAAAAGATCGGTACTTTATATTGCAACTTAAATATAAGTAAAGCTTAGACATCTCCCACATCTAGTGGTCAACCAAAATTTAAAAACCGTATCTTAAATAGAGGTTATCTAATTTTTGGGGGTATCTTATAGTGAGTGTAATTTAAGAAAAAGGAATTTAAAAATAATTTAAATTTCACCTCCAGGAGACACGCCATGGTAACCATTAGGGTAAATTCGTAATTTCCAAATTATAGAAGGCATTTTCTGACTATAAAAAGCACAACCTAAAATTGAGAGAAATATTTTTATTAATAAAAGATTTTGGTATAAGTTTTAGTTAAAATTTTTTGGTCATAACTCGATAATGTTGTAAGACAGGAGTTGAGGTCATGAGTTCGATACCGTGCGGGGAAATTTTTTATTTACTGAAAAAACTCTCCACTTTTTTTAATCAAAATAATTAAATTGGTAATAGTGAAGATTACTGGTCCTTGGAAAAAAAGTAAAAAGTGCTTTTTTGATGTTTCTGATGCTTACGATTAGGTAATCGAGTGTGCTTAGCAGGGACTGCAGATTGTTGATGCAGATTTTTAACATTTTTACGCAATTTTTCCAAATTTCACATTCAAAAGAGCTAGTTGAGCCAAGCGGAATGACATCAAAATGGACGAAATCTAACTTAATTTGACAAAATTATAACCGTATCTAGTACAATCAACTACCTAATGTCAAGCTACAGAAATATCAACAGAGCGGGGAGACTAATAATCTTCACTATTACCCCAATAAATTCAAAAAAATTTTACAAAATTTCAAAAAAACCTACTAGATTTAAAATCTCCGCATTTTGTAAGCTTTGTAAGCCTGTTGATATTATTTATTTTCCAAACAATTTTTGAATTAATAACTTCAATCTAAATATAAAAAATAAAAAGAATTGAATAATTAAATTTACATCAGTTGTGTCATTAAACATTATTAATTGAAAATGTTGATCGAAAGAGCAGGAAATAATTAAATAATTAAAATAATTAAATAATATTTTTGTGTGTTTTCTTAAAATTTAACAAAAAATTTATATAAATATTTAGATTAGAATTGAGAATTTTAAAAATAATTAGAATGGAAAATGAAGCTGGAAAATACTTTAATGGGACAAGGAAAACTAAAAAAACCTGAACAGAGCTGTTTCAAATTTCGATTTTAGAGGGTTTTTTCCCTCGATTTTCAAATTTTCGAAAAAAATTTTATTTTTTTTTGGCGCCAAAAAATGAATATTTTTGGCTCCTTGGACTTCCAAAACTCTCAAAATTTTCGCCGCCTCCGGCGCAAAAAGCAAGGAATTTGCATTAGGTTTAATCCACCGATATCCTCAGAAATACCCCGACGTCTCGCATAATTCAATCAAATTCTCTAATATCCCTCTTAATCCACCCACCGGCCCGGAACCAGTGCCAAAATTTTAGATGCCCTTTGCCAAGATTTGAAAAAGTCGGAGCCGGTGCCTCTTAATCCACCCACTAATTCGTCCAATGCAAAAATTTGTCCCAAATCAAAATTCCAAGAGTAAAAATACTTAATTCGCCTACTATAAATTAAAAATGAAAATCTCTTCTTATCATGCAACTCGCTAGTCATTAACTAAAAATTTCGAGAATTTTGGAAAGCCAAAAAGCCAGATCCAAGCCAAGAAGTCGGTCCACAAATTTGTTTAGAAACTACTAGAATGTAGGGCCGACAATAATATACATATTTTAAAAATGTTTTTAAATCTCCAAAAAATTAAAGGAAAATAAAAAGAAAAATAATAAAATTATAAATTTGAAAAGCAAAAACAAAAGTGTCTTTCTATGTCTTCTATATTATCTATAAAATAAATATACACTATGCCAAAAATTAAATATACACAATTCAAACGAATTCAAAATTTAAAAATTTCTACAAGAGGAAAGATAACAATTTTGGGTAAATGTTAAATTTATTTTTAGGAAGTTCTAATTCTATGTTAGAGAAAACTTTAAAGTTGGTTGTGTGATTAACTCAATAGTCAATTGGATAATGTGCTTATTTACTTTATTTTAGGTAATCTCTTTATTGAAGGCATTTTATTTTGTTTTCCCTAACATTCTTCTTCTAACACCACAACATTTAACATTAATCTTTAGGATTTTCAAATGGATAAGTATCCAGATTTTCTTCGTTTTTAGCGCCTCGGGCGAAATTTTTGAAAATTTAAGATGCCAAAAGCATGTCAAATTAACTTTTTCATTGCCGCATGTGAAAATTTTGAGTTTTTAAATGTCAAATTAATTGATACAATTTAAATTAAAAATTCTAATATTTTGTTTAGGAATTCTTGAAAATTTTGTAAAAGTTCGCAACGTGCGCAGTCTAATCAACTAAGCAGTCTAAGCAACAGTCTAATCAAATTTTGAGTGTTTTTGCTGCTATAAATTAATTATAATTATTTAATTTTTCTTTTTATTTAAAAATTCCCCCAATTTTCCAGTAAAAATAAAAATTTTCAAGTTTTATTTTCCTAATTTTTCTTTTTATTTAAGAAGCATTGAAGAAGATTAATTTTATTGAAGCGTCGAAAGGTCAAAACTGCCGCCATTTCCTTTTTTCTATTGTCTGTCACTTTTATAGTCAATTGCTTTTATCAAGCTCTTCATTTGTGGTAATAAAATAAAAGGAAAAACATGGAAAAGTGGCAAAAGCAAATAAAAAAGCCTTCCCCCCCCCCCTCCCCTCCCATTTTATTAGTCAAACTATCAAATTGCTCTTTATATTCCCTAAAGTAGTTTTTGGAGGGAAATTCCATTTTATATATTAGCAAAAAGGTTTAGACTAGAAAATACCACACAGAGGCTTTAAAAAATTAAATGTCAAATTAAAAGGACAAAGGAAGAAAAGCTTGACGACTCGATTCAATAGAAAATAAAGCCTAATTCTACCGAGTCGAACTTTCAAGTCATTCTAGTTAAATATTCGGTGCTTAACTCAATCCTTTTGAGGCCATCTAACCACCCTAGAGGTAAATATCGGGTTCTATTTACTTAAGTATGCCAAAAAATAGTCATTTTTTTATTTTTTCAAACCATCATTCCAAAATAAGGATTAATTAAATTTAAATTTGTTGAGGACATTTGGTTATTTTGTTTTTTATTATTTTGTTCTTTCCTCCCTTCATTTATTTTAATATTTTTTTGTGTTTTTTCTTCTTCAGAAAATTCATCCCCTCCCCCTCTTCTTCCCCCACCTTCATTCTTTATTGAAATTCTTTGTTTTTTGTTTTGATAACCGATATTATTGAAATGCCCTCCTTCAATATCTTCATCTTCCTCATCTTCTTCATCCCCAACTTTTTCCAAGTGAGCAGCTGCTTCTATACTCTTTTTATGCATCCCTTTTGAAAAAAAAACTTTTTAAATTTATTCGACGTCACTATTGGGCTGCAAAAGAATATTTAAATTTTAATGGGGATATTAATTAGAAGAGTTGAAATTAAGTAAAATGCCTAATTCGGTTTTCGGATTAAAAAACATTTTTTTGTCCGGAACAGATTTTCCTGATCAAAATCCTTTTTTATTCAAAATACCAGGATTACGGACTACCAGACCCGGAAAATCCGAATCCGTTTCGGGTTTCAACTTTATTAAATAGAGGTATCCTTGAGAGGTATCATATTTCCCTCCCCCAGTTGCCAGCCTAAATATAACTTGTATAAGTATCTTATTGTGTTTTGTGTGTATTTTTACCTAATAACCAAGGTGCAACAGATCCATCAGGATCGTTTTGACACTTTGTTATTGTTTCCGGTAGAGGTAGTTGATGTCTAACCATTGCACCATACAAGCCATATCTTTAATTGGGAGGATTTAAAAAATCGAAAAATATTTACTCTGCCATTGTTGTACACGGTCCCCAAGTTTTATCAATCTTTCGGCGTTTTGCTCTTCTATTTTGAAACCATACCTGTTTTTAGAGCAAAATAAATACTCCACAATTTAAAATTAACCTGAATTCTGTCTTCGGAAAGTTTTGTTCTTTGAGAAAGTTCTTCCCTCATTGGAACATTTGGATAACGATGAACGGCGAAGAGACTTTCCAATTCAACTTAAAAAAGAATTTTTATATCTGACTTCGTTATACGGTCCTTTATTCTGATAATGAGGTTATATCTTGAATAGAGGATATTGCTTAGGCAGCCCCCTCCATCTAGTAGATACCAACTAAATTTTAGAGAACTTTTCTTAAATTGAGGTTTATCTACTAGATGAGGATCTCATTTTTCAATACTCTCACAAAAGACAAACTCTCTCTACAAAAGAGGTGTCATTTAAGTGAAATCTACTCATTGTTTGGTCGACTATATCTACCTAAATTAATTTAATTTTAAATATTGCCTGATGGGTATTTTTAAATAATTTTAATTTTAGATACCTTATTTTTAAATTCAATTTTTTAAATTTTAATATCCAAAGGGTATTTCTACAAGATCTGACAACATTTCTCTAAATGTTCCCTCGTTTGTTTTACAACATATGTATTCCTCAATATCTTTCTAAGTACTTACATATTTGTTCTTGTGAGAAAATAGTACGGTGTCTTCTCTTTCTTTTCTTTTTAACACAAATCCCCTGTGTTTCCTGTAAATTATTTGTTGTTAATTTATTTACATGTTTTTTAATATCATTTGAGGATTTTGTATATTTTTGTTGTGTTCGGGTACCAAATAAAATATTCTGAGTTGTTGAGGTTGTCGACAATTCATTTGATCCGAAACAAGCAATATCCTCATTGTTATAAATTGTTTGTTGTTGTTGGGGGTTGAGAGGAGGGTAAAAACTTCGTAAAAATGGATTTCCGTTTCCATCTGTTAAATTATTCATTTAGTATTTATTTAATCTCTAAAAACAAATGAGGGCTTTTAAAAATTTACATTTTCGATTATATAACGAAACTCAGTTTTATGTGCACCTCAATTTAGAATGTGGAATCTCTCATAACGACACTCCTATAACAATAAATTTTTCGTCGTAGGAAGGAAAATAACATAGAAGCAGTGCTGGGTATTTGCCATTTGTTGGCTCTTGGCTCAGAGCCTTCAAAATCTTGGCTCTGGGATCCGGAGCTAGCTCCCGGAGCCATACCCAGCACTACTTAGGAGGAGAGAGGTCGTTAAATTAATCAAAATAAAAAGTTTTTTAAAGAAATTACAGTTTTCCTCTCCCCCAACATTTCCACCTCCTCCCCCACCAAGTAACAAACATCCAGCAGCATAATCTACAGCTCCGTTAAATTCCTGCATTCCAGGCATTAATTCTAGCCCTTGAAAAAGGGCTTGCTGTTGATCAATAAACGCTGATGATTGGCAATAAAGAGATGAAGAAGTTGTTGAGGGAAAGGGAAGAAAACAGCTACTAGTTGCTGATGTCGTTGATGAGGAGGAATTTTGGATTTGATTGGCAGTTAGTGGCTTAATTAAATAGTTAAAGTTTATTTAGATTTTTTTAAACTGTCTAAACTGTCTAGTCACTGGTTGGGGGAGTTTACCCTTATTATTGTGTAAGATACTCTTATAAAGATACACCCAATTTAAGATACCTCCTCCCCCCCCCCTTCCGCCTCTCATGAGATACAATTTTTCAGTACTGGGTATTTATATAAAAATGTGATTTGTCTATAAAATAAAACATAAAGGAAAAACATAAAATAAAAATTTACATCACAATTTGTCGCAACCAAGCCTAACAATTCCTGTATGGCAAAAGGAGTACGGGCAGCAGCATACCCATTAAGCATGAATTGTTGAGCTGCTACCTGCATTGCTGCATCGTTTTGCTGTTTTGAATTGTTTAAATTAAATTGTGTTATTAAATTCTGGTTTTTAATGTTTAAAGTAAATTCTGATTTTAAAGAAATACATCCAAAATCATTAATTTATTTAAAATCTCCAGAATTTAATTTAACCTTATTTATTCCAACTTACTATAAAAACATATTTAAATATTACATTATTAGCTTCAACTTCTGTTTGTTGCTCCTCTTGCCGGCCAACAATCAAAGATGATGAATTTGTTGTTTCTCTGTTTATGTTTAGTGAAGTAGGACAGTGAAATCTATTATTTGTTAACATTTTTGAAAGAATTTTTTCAGAAAAACAAATTTAATTTCCTTTAAAGTAAATATTTTTGTGTAAATATTTTTGAGGTTTTGAGGGGGTAATTTAATTTTAAGAATGATACATATAGAAAAAATATTTTAATTGTCCTAAAAATTAAAAACTTTAGTAAACTTTAATTAATTCCTTATTTAATTTACGTTTATTATATTGGCACTTATGTATGTTATTTGGATATTTATTTGTTAAATATTGTCCTTCCCGATTAAAAAAAATTGTCCTTCCCGACTTCCGACACTTAGCCTATTAATAATCACCTAATAATAAATTTCAATAAAAATAGAAATTTTTATTGAAGAAGGGAACAAAATTACAGTAAAATAGGAAGAAATAAATTAACAAGAAAAATTTAATAAAGCTATTTTCATCCTTAAATGGACTCAAATAAATTGGCAAGAAAATAAAAATAAATACTAACTCTTCCCCTCAATACAGTAAAGAACGTTAAAAAGGGAGGGACTTGTGTAATGTTGGAGAAAAATAAAAGAAAAACAGGCCCGTTTTGTGAAAATTGAGGCAATTGAGTAAAGAAAAAAAAGAAAAGGAGAGGGGGGAGGGGTCGTCAAAACAAAAATGTTTTAGAAAATTAGCTAAATTTGGAAAAATTATATTTTTACTTTGCGGTAATTTGGAGAGACCGGACATTTTTTAAAGAAAATTGTTGGGGAATTTAATTGTATTATAACGGTTAAAAATAATTACTTTAAAATAAATTAGTTTAATTAATTTATTTTTTTAATTCATCAGAAAATATAATTAAAATTTTTAATTAAGTATATCTGACATAAAATTATTTATAAATATTTATATACTTGTATATTTTCCCTGAAATAATTAAAATCTCTCAACTAGTGTTCGGCACGGTTGACGGGAGTAACGGATCGTTACTTTTCGGGAATTACCTGTACCATTACCGGTCACTACTTACAACAACGACACTCTTCGGGCCACATTGTATTATAATAGAGATTCCATTTTATAGAAAATTTTTTCTGAATTAATAGTATGTGCTCCGTTCACAATGGTTATAAGCTTGGAAAAACATGTTTAGTACAAACTTGTAGGAAGTAGAACACCAAATCCCTACGTTTATATTGTTATGAAACACACATTTTGTTCAATATCTTTTTAATTAAAATAGGTAGGTATTTTACATTAATTTTTGAAATATTTATATAAAGAAAAATATTTTTCGAGAATTAAATAATGCCCCCACACTCTAAAATAATGCTTTACCACCACCCCCTTATATCCACAAATAGCTTTATTAAAAATATCCTGCATCATTTTCCTCTCCTTTTTTTGCTGTGATTAGATCAAATTAATTATGTTTATTAAAATGAAGAAGGGGGGGGGGGAGGAAGGAGGAGGAGGGGAGGGGAGGTAAATTTAGTGGGAGAAAACAAAATGGCCAAAATATTTCCCGTCCACGCAATCATTTCTCTACAAAATGCAACCTAATATTCTTCTTCTTCTTCTCTTTTTCCCTTAACCCCAACCTCCTAATCTGAAACCTACAACAAAATTAAATAGAAGAAAAGAACAATGGGAGAAAGCGAGAAATTGATGAAATAAACAAAAAAAAATATATTTTTATTTTTAATTAATTATAAATAAATAAATGTTTTTAGGTCATGAAGAAGATTTTAATAAGTTCTAAGTATTCGGGACCTCAAAAAATGTTGAAAGAAATTTAAAAATATTTTGGGCAGACTTGTCCCAACAAGCTGTTCTCACAACGTGGAAATTTGGTCAAAGGAAGAATTTTAGTTCAAAATTAAATTTTAAAAAATAAATATTTAATTTTTTATTGACCTCGTCTTACTATTTTTAATTTTTCCCTTCTTTTCTTCTAAAATTTTTCAATTCCTTATTGTCATTTCCAAATAATGGGGAAACCAATTGCGCATGCCGTTGCATTTATTAAGAGGAAAATAATAATATAATGAAAGACATCCACAATATAATAAATAGAAAATTGTTGACCTTTAAGCTCTCTCTCGAGGACAAGAAGAGGATTAAAAATAAGGAAATAATAAAATAAAATTTTTAAATAAAATTAAATATTTTTAGACTTTAATTGTTAATTAATTGACTTCGAAAAATAAATAAATAGAGAATCTCTTTACATTTGTCATGTTCGGCAGTGCTTAATGAGTAAAATTATTTTTTTAAAAGCGTCTACTTCGGTAGGAGGAGGTAAATTTATTGGGAGAAAATATGTATATTTTTGAATTTTTCAGAAAATTTGATTTTTTGGCATTAAAAATGGAAGATTTTTGGCTTCTTAGCAAAATTATCAAAATTTTCGTTTGCGGCGCTGAAAAAGGAAGGAAAGTTCGGCAGAGCTTGACGAGAAATCCTAAAAAGCTCGAGCAAAACTTCAATGGAGACCCAGCATACCTGATAAAAATCTACTAACAATTTTTTATTTTTTCTTTCAATCTCGAAATTTTTTTTCGAAATTTTTGAACTTTTTTCGATTTTTAAGATTTTTCAGTTTCGAAACAGCTATGCGACGAGATACGCCGAAAATATCAAAATCATGTCCGACAATTTTTTTACAATTTTAAATTGGTAGCCTAGCGGTCAAGTTTTTAGATCAGCCCTTGAAAACTTAGAACGGCCGGCTGCTCGAGAAAATACGTCATCCATTTAGTTACGCAGAATGAAAAATTTTCTTGGGTTGGACGAAATGCAAATTGGGCATTTTTGTTTTGGACATTTTTATAAAATTTAAATTTTTATTTGGTACAAAAATTTTTTGGACAGTTACTGTTTTTGTTCGGTTAAGGACGATTCAGTATAGCCGATTCAGTATCGCCGATTCAGTATCCGCCGATTCAGTATATGGCCATAACTTTCCTGATATTCGACCGATTTGAACAATTCTCATATCATTCGAAAGGTCTCAAGATTCGACATCTTTTTCATAATTGGCCCGATCTGATCTGATGATCACAAAAAAAAGTTACAGCGTGAAAACCGATTCTTTATGCCTGTGACGTCGTTTATCAGTGATAACTTTTTGTAGAGTGATAAGATCAGGTCAGTCCAATTATGAAAAAGATGCAGCACCCCGAGGCCTATCAAATCATATATAATAATTCCCACAATATTGATCGAGCAAAAAGTTATGGCCAAAAAAGCCAAATACTGAATCGGCCAATACTGAATCGGCGATACTGAATTGGCGATACTGAATCGTCCCCTACCCCTGTTTTTGTTTTGTTTAATTTTAAAAAGTTTTACTTATTTTTAATTTTCTTTTTATTTAGATGGAAACAAAAAAAGAAGTAGTAGCATTCTCTTTGGATTCAGAATATGTCCAAGAATATATTAAAGAAAATCCAGCTTTTCTTAATATTGTTTCTTCTTTGGCTTTAAATCAAACATATTTAGAATTATTTAGTCAATTAATTTTGGAAGTAAATGAATTAATTGAAGTAAATAGGCATAAACAAGAAGAAATTAAATTGTGTCGATTTGGGGATTTGGAAGTAAATGAAAAAATAACGAGAAAGAGAATGAATTTGCCTTCTTGTTGTTATCCTTATTTTAAAGATTTTAATGGAATGGTTTGTGTTTTAGTGTATTTTTAATTAAATTTTGAATTCCCTCATTAAATTAAATATACCCTAATTTGGATTTTGTAAGGGGGTTTTTTGGGAAAATTTTCGGATATCCTATCCAAACCGAAGACATGAAACTGAAAAAAAACTTTGGTTTCGAACAGACAATTCAATCCCCTCAAGTTTACTCCCTCAATTCGAAATGTCCTCATTCTTATCTCCAACTTTTTTTCATTTCCAAGGTTTATATAAATTCGAATTCTGAATGTATTTCCTCCCTAAATGTTGACTCGACTTCCCTCAATGTCTCATTAAGGGGCACTGCCCAGTTTTGAATTTTTATTACAAACTTCAGGGGCATATAAACCTCTGACTTTCAACTTTCCCTTTGTCCTTATTTTCTGCCCCACAATTTTTTTGTTTTAACATATCCCTAAATTCCCCTTAAATTTTCTTTTATTTTAGTCTGCAGGTCTGAATGCCGAAGCTTTAGCAATTAAAGAACTTTCTGTTGATCCATTAATGGAGGAAGGGCGGCGATGTATTTTTTCTCAATTTCAAAAAAAATTATTTTTTAATTTTCAGGGAATTATTATGAAATTAATTTGTTACGTATTTCTGTCTGTTCTTCACTTAAAGATGGAAAAATTGGAATTATTAATTTTGGGTTTTTTTCTTTTCTAATTTTTTTTTAAATTTTTTTAAAGAAAAGAAATTGTTTTAAATAAATTAAATGCTGCGGGTGTTGAAATAACTAAAACACAAAAACAGAAATGGATTGGGGAAATTGAACGTGCAAACAAACAAATTGCCAAAATTCGGTTTATTTTTCAGTTTATTTTCTTTTTTTTCTCGTTCCAAAGAAATTAAATTGGGATATTTCGCCAAATTATAAATTTTATGGGACATAAGGAAAAAATGATGACATTTTGTCCCAAGTTGTTGCAACTTGAATAAAGATACATACCTGAGTTATTGCAAAATTTTATCTTTATAGTTGAGCAATTCAATGTTTTTTATAAGCTCGCGCCAAAACTGCCCAGTCCCACACTAAATAACATTAAACTGAATATAAATAATTTTAATTATTTTTGCAGTGCCCAACCAATAAATACTTTTCTTCAAAAAAATCGTGATTATTCTACTGTCGATTGGGCTAGAATCTCTGCTAGTGATGTAAAAAAAACAAAAATTAATTTTCAAAAAATACTTTTTTCTTTCTTTTAAAGTTTAAAGGACTTCGTTCAATTTCCCAACTTCGCCAAAAATGGTATAACCAATTATGTCCAAATTTAAGCAAAACAAAATGGACAGAAGAAGAAGACAAACAATTAATTGATTTGTCCAAAAATTTTTCTAATTGGAATGTTATATCTGAAAATATGGGAAATACTCGATCGGCATTTCAATGCTTTCAACGATTTATTTATTTGAAACAAAATGGTGGAGAGCCAAAGTTTTTATATTTTAAATTTAAAATAAACATAGTGTAATTTTCCTACATATTTATAACGATTCCCCTCTTCCGCTTCACTTTTTTTTTCAAACAATTTTAGTCACGGGATTCGAAAACAGACTGGATATCTGAATTTTAGTTTCGGATATTGGATCTCGATATCCGAGGACTTCCCAGATACTCCAACCCTAGTCACGAGAGGACTCCCCTTCCTCTGTCACCTTCTTACGTCAATAAAATTAAGTGACCGAGAGGTGTCGTTATATAAAAATTCCGATGGGTTTGTTACTTCTTGGAAATTAAATAATAAATAATAATTAAAATTTTTACATTTATTTTAGTCTTTGGAAGCCTAAAGAAGATAGAAAGTTGCTCAAATTGATTAAGTTGCATAAAGTTGGAGATGAAATTCTTTGGGCTAAAAGTTTGTTTTTGTTTTAATTTGATGCTTTCCCTTATACACTCAAACCTCATACCCAAATTGGAGATAAACCTCAATTTAAGATACTTTTAAATTTGTGTATAAGCGATACCCTCTATTTAATATGCCTTCATTATAAGGTAAAAGTTTTCAAATGTTCAGGTCCTACCGTATTTACTATATTCTTTTTCAATTTATTAGTTGCTGGTTATATGCCTGGTAGAACTAAAATGAGTTGTGAATATCGTTATTCACGTACTTTAGCTGAAAAAATACACAGAGGTCGTTGGACTGAAGAGGAAGATTTGGTTTGTTTTTTTTTCTTTAAATTTTAAAATTTAAAAGATTAAATTTAAGAAACTTTTGGAGGCTGTTGATAAATATGGAGCTAGGAATTGGATTAAAGTTTCTGAATGCGTTCAGGGCCGATCACCTCTTCAATGTAGAAATAGGTTTAAAATTTATTTTCTTTAAATGCTGTCCAAGCCAAAGTCCTTTAAATTCTTCTACCCAAACTTTAAATATAAAAAAACTGTCAAGTATACTCTGAAAGCTTTAACTTTTTTCGATCCGATTTTTTGCTGACAGGTCCATTAAATTTTAATGTCAAGTCACATCGAGTTAGTATTCACCAAAAACTGAATTAGACACCACACTTTTAAATAAAAACTATTTAAAGATGGGTACATGTACTCGATCCTAAACGTCGTGACCGGCCATGGACATTAGAAGAGCATATAAGATTGTTCTATTTTATTCGTCTTTTTGGTCGTGATAAATGTGCTAAAATTGCAAAATTTTTGCCCGGAAGGAATAATATGGATGTTCATATGCGGATTAGATTTTTGATTAAATTACATATTGAGGTTTTTATTTTTTTGTTAAATTTTGTTTAAACAGAAACTCGTTATAGTGAGGTGCTAAAGTAATGACCGCTACATACAAGTTTTTATTCTCTTTAAAAATTTTTTTTGTTTGCCTTAAAATAAGCTATTTTTTATTGGCTTTAATTTAACTACAAATTTTAGGATTTAAGTTGAAATCAAAAACCTATATGTAGCGGGCATTACTTTTGCACCCCACTGTATAAGATTTGGCTAAAAATCATTTTTTAAATGGATATTGCTTTTAATACTACAGATATAGCTCCCCCAAATGTCCAATTAAATTTTAAAAACCGTTCCTTAAATAGAGGGTCATTTAATATTGGGTGTACCTCAAATAGAGGAATATTTTATAATGAGATTCGACTTTATTATTTACCTTTTTAGAAAAATTCTGAGGAAAAATCTCCTGTTTTTCGTCATTTTGCTTACAATTATATTCATTATAAAACCCGTCGTAAAACTATTATGGATAACTTCAGCAAATATTTGGAGGATAAACAGAAAGACAAAAAGACATTTATGAAAGAAAGACTTGGATTTGGTTCATTTATAGGTTTGAATTTTTGGAGAGAAAAATTTATTTATTTTTTAGAAAATAATATTAAAAAGTCAAAATCTTCTGAACAAGTTAATGAATGGAGTGTTATTGGATCTGGTAGATGGACTAGACTTCAACAGAGAAATCCGAATGAGCAGGATCATAAGGAAAGAAAAAAGGAACTTGAATTGCTTCCAGATGATCAACGTGCAGAGGTTCTTTTTAATTTTTTTATTTTGTATACAAACGAATACCTAATTTTGTATACAATCGATACTGGATTCATTTCTATTTAAGATTTTTTAAAATTTGGGTTAGCCACTGAATGGAGGAGATGCCTAGGCGATATCTCAAATTTAAGATACTCTTTATTATAACAATTTTTCTAGTCGCAAGTTGATACTTACATACATATAGGTAAGGGGCTGTCTCACGGTGTACGGAATTTCGATCACCAAGTCAAAAGGTGACGACATCAAAATCTCCTGATTCAATCATTCTGAACAAAATTATGATTAATTGAATCTCGCTCGAATAACTGTTTTACTTTGGGGATAACTCGGCATTTCAAAACTGGAAATAAGTAAAAGGGGGATATGTTTATGTTTTTTGTTTTTTTTGAGCTGCTGTCTGTATTTACAATTACAAAAATAATATTTAAAAGGTATTATTATGGTTAGAAAAATCTGATGCTAGATTAGAAGCTGAACAAGAATGTGAAAAACAAATACCTGAAGATCCTGAACTTGCTGTAAAATTTTATGAAAAAATGTTTACTAAAGAAAGAATTGAAGGATTATTTAAATTAATTGAAGAATTAATTCCGCCAAAACAAAAGTTTTTTTTTCCTAAAATTTATTTAATTTTATTTCTTTTTTTTAAAAAGGGATATTACTTATTTTGAAAATCAACAAAATCGGAGTAAGAGTGTTGGAAGGTCTAAAAGTCTTGTTTCTCGCTGCAAAAGTGTTGGGACTACTAAACTGGAGTCCGTAAAAAATGAAGAAGTTGTTGAAGAGAAAGAAGAAAGTTTGGCAAAAAAGAAGAGAAATATTTTTGGAAGAATTAATGAAAATAAGAAGAAGAATAGTAAATTAGAAGAAAAGGAGGAGGAAAAGGAAAATAAAGAAGTAAAAAAAGAAGAAAATAAGGAGGAAGTAGAAAAAGAAATTTTAATTGAAAATAATCGTCAAAGAAAATCAAAAATTAAGGCAAAGGAACGTATTGAAAATGATGTTAAAGTTTTAAATAAAACAAAGTCTTTAATTAATGTTAGAGGAAAGAAACGCAAACTTGAATGGTAAGCTTGAAAACAAAAAAGAAGATTGAGTAGTATTTACTTATTTATTTGGGTCTTTTTATATAATTATTCTGATTATGGGTATTTATCAAATATTCTGATTCTCTTTATTATATGTAGTTATTCCGGTTATATTAAATATTTGTTCTGATTATCTACTATATCTACAGTGTGTTAACAAATTATGTATACCCACCTAATTTTTTTCAGTCGTTCAAGGTACCCATTAACCAATTAATCTGAGATTTTTATGGGACATTTATATTAGACATATCTAAAAAAATTCACTCAACCGGTTTTTTGGAGTTTCTCAAAAATGGGTATTAAGAAATTAGAAGTAACTACCTGAAAAATTTTTGATTTTCATATTTGACATTGTTGTTAACTCGTTTTCCTGAACAGATTCTCCATGAAGTAGAGAAGGATTAAATTTGAAATGCACAAAAATATTTATTTTCTAATTTAACACCCATTTTTGACAAAAAAAGCTCCATAAAAACCGGTCTAATATTCAGATTAATTGGTTAATGGGAACCTTTAATGACCGAAAAAATAGATGAAGTTATAATTTCTTAACACACTGTATCAGGTATGGGTCGGGTCAAATTTCGGATAACCCGGCCCATCCCTGATATCTAGTATTGTATTTATGTTCTTTTTGTTGTATTTTCTTTTTATTTTGTTCTGGTTTTCCGGAAAACACTAATTCTTTTATTTTCTATTCCGGAAATTACATTGTCTTTCTTCCTTAAAAATGTTTCCGGAAAAACTTCTTTATGTATTTTTTTGGTTGGTCCGGTGTTATCATATTTATTAAATTATTGTATTTATAAATATTGGATTTTTTTTAATTTTTTTATTTAGAATGAATTAAAATAATTTAATTCTTAAATTACCTATAATTAATTTATTTTTATTTATTTTTGTTCTAGCAATCCAAATTAAGTACTTTGACGTTTCCGCTGGGCGAATACCATCCAAACCGTCACATAATGCTGACCTGCTTATTTCTACGTGTACTTTATACGTCTTCTATTTGCGTGTATTTAATTACGTTTTGATAGAAATTGCTGCTTAATATTGATTTATATAAATCAAAAGAAAATTATTTCTAGCTTTATTTTATCCTTTAGTAGCTGAGAAAATAATTTTAAAATAACTTTTCAGTCTACTCTGTTAATCTTTTAAATAAATTGAAAAATTTTATTAAATTTAAGGGTTAATAATGTTTAATCAGTGGTTATCTCACTCCATTATTGCCAAAAATTAATTTTGTTTGAAATCTATAATTTGAGTGAAACTGCGATTAAGCTTAATAACGATAATTTAAATTGAAGCAAGGCTAAGTGTGTCCCGCAACAATTTAACGATTTTCATTTTACTTCCCTTTTGTGTTGAATACTAATTTTTTCCATTTATTTTTCTAATTTTTTAAAATAAATTTTTTAACATTTTTCAGGTCAATGTATTTAATTTTTATTTTTCTTCTTTATTTTTATATTAATTTTGTAAATTCTGATTTATTTACCTCTTCTGTAGACCTTCAACAATTAACTTATGCAGAAAAGGATATTCCTAAATTAATTACTAATTATATACAACTTGAAACTGAACGTTTAGAGCATTTAAAAAGGTTTGTTTTAATTAAAAAAATTTTTTTCATTTGTGACTTGTAAAGAAGGCGAGGCTTTTTTCTAAACTTTTCCTCTATTTCTTTTTGGTTTTTAATCAAGGATTATTTTTTGGCATTTAGATAAAATTTTTAAATGTTAAATTCATTTCTAATTTCTCAAAAAACAAGTACCTTTCAGTTATTTGCTGGGAGTCCGCAAATTCTGTCCGCAAGTCATACTACTATCTAGAGCAACAGGGAAAAAGTCGCGAAAATCCTTTCCTTCTTTTTTACGAGTATAAAAAATTAAAAATTTTTTTCAATTTTAAAGTATCGCTGAAAAATATCAACAAAACAATGAGGAAATGCACACAAATTTATTAAGCGTCTCAAACCCAATTAATGCCTTCAGGTTGATTAAAAAATTAACTCAAACATGGAAAGATTTGCAAGCTGAAATGCGTTCGGATATTGCTGGAAGTTATTTACAAAATATTTCAATTCAGAAAGGTTCTAGATTTCCGACAGATGTTTGCCTTTTTAATTAATTTTTGATAAAAATGTTTTTAATTTAAGGAAGATTTGAATGGGGCAGCTGTTGGATTGCTTCGATTACAGGACACTTATCGTCTTGATACTGGCGATTTGGCTAATGGAGTGGTTAAAAATGTTAAAATTGGAAATGGAATGAATGGTTGGGAATTTATTTTTGAAATTTTTAAAAATACTTTTAATGGGTACTTTTTGGATATACCGCCCTCTCCATAGTTTGAGTATTATTCTTTTCTTCTTCAGTTTTGGGTATATATTTGATGAAGGAAAAAATAACTGATATCAAACTAGGAGGGGCGGCATATCCAAAAAGTACGTTTTAATGATATCCAATTTCTTTTTTTGGCTCTCAAAACTTTGCAAGTTCCTTTGGAGAAAGAATACAAAATTTCGATGAGTTGGTGTCAGAATATTTCTCATTTTTCTAAAATACATTTCATGACTTGCGGACAGAACTTGCGGACTCTTGAGAACATTAGAAGACGTTAACTTCCTTTAGTTATTGGTTATGTCTAGAGTCCGACATTTTAGGTCCGAAAAAGTGAGAAATAGGTTCCTATTTTAGGTTTTTAAAATAGCAAAATAGGTTCGAAAAAATCCAAAAAAGGCCAAAATAGGTCCAAATTTTGACCAAATAGGTTCGAATTTTGGGTTACTATAATGATAAAATAAAAAAATTTTTGAGAAAAAATTTTTCCTACGTTAAATAATTCGTGGGAATATATTCGAATCTCACTAAAAAGCAACTCTTGTTACTTATTCGATACCCCTCGTAGCAGCAAAGTTTTTTCACCGAGGATTTAATTAATTATAATTTTGTTCAGAACCATCAAATCGAGCTGATTTTGGTGTCATTAACTCGGCTTAACAAGCTCGTGATGGTGAGCTCGTTGAGTCGATCTTTTCATGACTTAAGCCCCAAAGAAACCGATTTTTCTAACTCTAAAATCGGCCGATAAAGTGCAGTTTATCCAAAATTCATGTTTAATCATCATTTTTTGAAAGAATCCTTAATATTTATCTTCATTTCGACAAAAAATTGACAGAAAATAGTCTAATTTTAATAAAAATCTTCAAAAAACCTAAAATAGGTCCAAAAAAGGTCAAAATAGGTTCAAATAGGTTTTAGGTCCAAAAAAGCCGAAATAGGTTTTTTAGGCTCAAATAGGTCCAATGTAGGAGCATGGTACCGTGCCAAATAAGTGTTTTTTGAGCTTTACTCAACATTACAAGGTTGCAAAAAAAATAGGTCGGAACCTAAAATGTCGGACTCTAGTTATGTCCCTGTTTTTTATATTTAAATTTATTTTCCATCAACCCCCATCTTTTAAAATTCCTTTAAATTAAAAATTAAATTTTTAGCTTTTGATTGTTTTGAAATTGGCCGAATTGCTTACAACGAAGAGGTTTTTCTTTAATTTAAATATTTTTAATTTAATGTCTTCAATATAAAGGATTATTTTCATTCTCTTTTATGGATGCAAGAAGCCTTGGATAGAGTAAAACGTGAAATGCCTCCTTCAATTGCTGAATCTGAAATTCTTGGTTTTTTTTTAATTTTTTTAAATCTTTGCTTATTTTTAGAATATTTGGCTTTTGCTCTTTTCAAACAAGGAAATATAAAGCAAGCATTGATTACAACTGATAGACTTTATCAAATTGGTTTTCTTTTTTAATTCTTTAAAAATTTATTTATAGTAAATATAATTTTATAGCTCCTTCTCACCCACGAGCCAAAGGAAATATAAAATGGTTTGTGATTAATTTATATTTTGGGAAAATAAAAGTGTTTCTATCAGGGACGTCACTGGATATACAAAATCCTAACTTTTTTTCTCAGCCTGTGACATCCTTGATCTCTTTGGTGTTACATAACTTGAAAAATATTTTTGGAAAATTTTCTTAAAATTTTTATTTTTCTGTTTTTATGCCTCTAAGTTTACTTTAAAAGAGTTTAAAATTTTAAATTTAAAAAAAGGTATGAAGACCAGATGAAAGCTGATGGAATAAAACCAATAGATATGCGCCGTAACATTCCCCCAATTGTGAATCCTAGAGCTGGCGATTCTTTGGGCAATTCTGAAAGAGATATTTACGAGGCTCTCTGTCGAGATGAAGTTCCTGTGGTTTGTTTTTTTAATTTTTTAAAAGAGTACAGATCCAGAAGAGTCTGTATTCTGTTTACACTTGTCTTAACCCAGCTCATTCTTTTTATCTTTTTAGAGTCAAAAACAAATATCAAAACTTTATTGTTATTACAAAATGGACAGACCTTTTCTCCTTTTGGCTCCTTTTAAAGTTGAAATTATGCGTTTCAATCCTTTGGCTGTTCTTTTTCGAGATATAATAAATGATGAAGAAATTGAACAAATACAAGAATTAGCCAAACCAAAATTAGCTAGAGCAACAGTCCAAAATAGTCAAACTGGGAAATTGGAAACTGCTTCTTATCGAATTAGTAAAAGGTTTTTTTGTTAAATTTTGAAGAAATGAGTATTTATTTTAATATTTTTAGTGCTTGGCTAAAAGGAACAGATCACCCAATTGTTGAAAGAGTTAATCGACGATTAAATTTAATGACTAATTTGGAAATGGAAACGGCTGAAGAATTACAAGTTTGTTATTTTAAAGTGGAATTTTTTGGTATTCCTCTTGTTTACATTTCTGAAAAAACTCGAAAGTTGTTAGAGTACTATGTAGTAGTAGATGCCAATTAGATCGAAACTATCGAGGACTCGACTTTTTTCCTTGGTTGGGCCGGGCCATGAATGAGTCGGGCTAGTTGAACATTTTTTCGACACGAAACCCGGCTCTAGGGAAGTTTCGAAACCCGACTTTCTTTCTCAACGCGACTCATCCTATTTATGTAATATTAGAATATTCAAACAAAATATACTAACTTATCCTTTCACGTGATGTTAGTCTATCGAGACTCTTTTTAACCTTGTATGTAGGCATTCAAAAAACTTTCTCTTTGTAAATTTTTAAAATTTAGATTGCAAATTATGGGATTGGTGGTCATTATGACCCTCATTATGATTTCGCAAGGGTTTGCTTTTGTTTTTTCTACTTGTCAAATTGTTCATTTTAGAAGGAAGAAACCAAAGCATTTAGTGATTTGGGGACTGGAAATAGAATTGCTACAGCACTTTTTTATTTGTCAAAGCCAGATGAAGGTGGATTTACGGTGAGAGGAAATTTATTTTTTGTTTTTATTGGGGGAAATATTTTTGCGGATTTTTATATGCGGTTCTTTGAGGATGAAAAATAAGAGAGATATTTCTTTTTTTTCATATTCCTTTATAATTTTTTAAATCTTCAGGTATTTACTGATTTAAAGTCAGCAATGAAGCCAAGTAAATATGATTGTCTTTTTTGGTATAATTTGTTGAGAAGTGGTGAAGGTGATCTTCGAACACGGTTTGTATTCTTAAAGTGGATCTCGTTTTCGGATACACCCAGGAATTAATAAATCTTCCTTTCTTTTTTTGTTTGGCCACATGTTGGGAGAACTGTTTAAGAAATACCTTAAATACACCTCAAGTTAACGTACATCTTTTCGGTAGATATCCCAAGGGATATCTACAAGTGAGGTCCAGCTGTATTAAAATGAATTAAAATAATTTTATTTTCCTTTTCAAGTCATGCTGCTTGTCCAGTACTTTTAGGTACCAAATGGATTGCTAATAAATGGATACACGAAAAGAAACAAGAATTTTTACGTCCTTGTGCATTAATGCCTTCAGTACAAGAACGCTATGTTGGCGATTTGGGAGGCCCAGAACCTCGTTTTTATCCAAATATTTCGCCTTATTGTAAAAAGGGTGCTTATTGTGAATAAATTGGGGGGAGAGAAGAGTGAGGGGGAATAAAATTTTCTTTTAGATGGTAAAGTTTTCTTTATTAAATATTGACTAATTTTTAAAAATTTATTCAATAATTATTTTTTATAATTCTTTTTACCCAAAATAACCGCCATTTTCTGCTCATTTTTCTTAAATACACTTCCAAATTATTTTTTATTATGTCGGACCTCATTATTGGACACCCCACTTTGGGACGAAAATTTGTCTATTATCTCAAATAAAAGGTTTCGCTTAGATAGCTCCTCGATCCATTGGATGTTCCAATTATCTTAACTAGTTTATTTTGGATATTTATAGTGAGGAGGTCCGATTGTACATATATTTTAATTATTATTTTTAACATAGTAATAATAATTTTTACTATTTAATAATTTCTTTTATCCTATATTTCACGGGAATTGTCAATGCGCAACAACTTAACTAAATCAAGTATTTTTCAATATTTTATTAGAGCCCTCAAAAATTCAAAACAAAAATTTTCTCTTTAAAAAACTTTTTAAGTTGTTGTGCCCCCCTTCCCCCACTCTTGCCAAATAAAATACTTCAAAACATTTTAAATTTCTTTAAATTAATAATTTATGTGATTTTGTTAAGTTTTTAATGTTGCATTTTTAAAGGTATAAATTGGTGCATAATACATAAAATACAACAAAATATTCAGATTTTTTAAAATTATTATAAATAATCGTTAAAATTTTAATAATCTCTTTTCATTTTACCGTGGCACGACTTTTGAATTGACATTAAATTGTCAATTACTAGTGACCGTCAAGATCGATTTTTCCGGGGTCTGATTCTTGATTTTCAGCTAGACCCGGAACGGATCCAGTCAGATTTTTCTCGTTTAATCCGGGATTTGGAACCCGGACTCTAAAAAATCCGGCCGGGCTGGTCCGATGCTGGTCACTACTAATTACCCAATTGTGAACGAAGTTATAGCTCTGCGGTACCTTGGGGTGTACCCCTAAATGAACGATACAAAGTTTGGATTAGTGTTTAACCCCTCGTCCATGGAAAGTGAATTCCCCGAGGAACGGAAGATAGTCTCCCCCAGAGCCCCGTTCTCTCTTCTTCAATTTATTTTTAAAATACCTTCTTAAACTTTAAAAAAATTTCTAAAACACTAAAAATTATTTATAAATTTTAAAAATAAAATACAAAACCATTTTTGTTAAACAAACTTTTCTTCCCCTCCCTAATAACATTTTTTTAATTTATTGGTCTAATTTTTTTCTTTCAAAGTTCATCGTGTCTACGCATTAAATTTGGTTCAATATTTTCAATAAACCAATCAAATGGTTTACATTGAAGTTTTTCTTTGAGTTTAAATCTTTCTGTTAAATCTCCAGGGTCAATTCTTTTGGCAGATGGACGGGCAGGAAGGAATTGTTTCTAAAATAATTTAAAATTTAGTTTTTAAATGAGCTTTTTTTAAGCATTCATTCTCTCCCAATTACCTCATAATATTCACCAAGCCAAACTTTAGCAGTTCTCAAAGCATTATAGAGAGATGTGTCTAGTCCACGTTTCCCTTTATAAGGTCGTCGTGTACGGAAAACATGTCCCACACGGCTACAAGGAGCTACTAAAACTTCTCCTCCACATAGCCAAACCTGTAAAAATTATTGGAAAGGAATTGTATAGGACCTCCCTTTAAGATACCTTTGTAGCTTAAAAATTGCACCTTGTAATGGGTGTATCTTGAATAGAGGGTATGACATACACGAAAATTTCTACTGTTTCATTCATCAACGAAATGATTTTTAAAAAATTTTTGTTGTTTGCCTAAAAACATTTTGGGTTTTCGTGCATGTCTGATTACAGATAGACCCCTCTATACCAACAAAATTTTAAAAAGCTTATCTTAAATATAGGGGTATTGGGGGTATCTTATAGCACAAGGTTCTACTGTTTTTTAAATCAAAAATACCCTAAGCGAAAGTTCAATATTTTCTCCTCCCCAAATCTCCATTCCAACATCATATTCACCAATTTCCCGAAAATATTCTGTAGAAATTGCCAATAAACCTCCACTCATTGTAGGCGTTTTATATGGTTTTATATTATTTTCTTCATTATTAAAGTAAGACCAATCAAAATAATCCCATCTATAATGCAATCCCCAATCAAATGTTCCTTTAGCCACCATTGCCTTTTTTGTTGAAAAAAGAATATTATTTTGATAGGGAAGGGGGGGGGGGTATGATTTAATATAAACAAATTAAGCATCTAAATAGTTAAGCATCCCCCTTTTTTTATTTACCTTTTCATAACCAAACAAATTTGCATTAATTAAATCAACTACTGGCAAAACAATTCTTAAAAAATATTTTTTAAAATAATATTTTTAAATTTAAAATAAATACCTTTTCTTATTTTCCTGAATAGTTGATAGTAAAGGTTCCAACCAACGGGGGGTTACCTTTAATAAAATTAGAAAAAATAATAATTTTTTAAATTGTTGGCTGTAGGATGCCCCTTTGGACCTGAAAAAGCGTATCTTATAATGAAGTGTTCTTAAATAGAGGGTATTGCTTAGGCAGAACCTCAACCCAGAGGGTAACCAAATTTTAGAAGACGTATTTTAAATAGAGTTTATCTAATAATTTGGGGTGTTTTATATTAAGTATTGGGTATTTGAGGAGTGTCTAATAATGAGAGAGTATTTTACAGTCCGCAAATATTTATATTAAAAATAAAGATTACTTCACAATGGCTATCCAAAAATACAATAACATCACCAGAAGCCTCTCTAGAAGCAAAAACCTAATTTAAAATTTAAAAATAATTTCTAAAAAATCCTTCCTTCCTTACTTTAGCTCTAATCAATCCCTGTCTTTCTTCAGTTTTAAAAAATTTAATTAAATTTCCCCAATTCCCTCCTTTTAATTTAGAATATTCTTTTAATTGTGTTTCGATAGAAGAATGGGATTCTGAGGCATCATCATATAAAATAATTTCTTTTAAAAGTTTTGAAGGGGTATAACGAAATATTCCATTAATCATTCGAACAAGAACAGAAAAAGCTTCGTTGTGATAAACAATTACCTTGGAGGGAAATAAATATAAATTAATTATTTAGACACAAACAATGCTTGTTTTTAAATTAACATGAGAATAATCAATTTCTGAACACCTTTAAAAATTAAATTGAGGGGATTAAATGAATTAAATATTTATTTTTACTTTTCGTGTGCCTGTATTTCTATTTCTCTTTCTGGTCCAATTTTGTCGCTAGCCCAAGCATTAAAGTAATGCCTGAAATTATATAATTTTAAAGAAAAAATTCTGGAATTATATTTATTCTGATGTAAAAAATAAATTTTAAAAATACAGCTTTAAATAATAATCGACAGAATTAAATTTCTGGAATAAAAATACATTCTGAAATACAGTTCTGATTTTTTATTTTTAATTTCTAATAATATTCTGATTTAATTTTGATTTTTAATTATTTTACCTGTGTATTCCCTTATCATAAAGTTCCCGTTCTTCAGTTCCTTCTTCAGGTATTTCTTTAGTAACATTACATTTTTGTGGAAATACAGGTAAATTAGCCCATTTATTTAAATCTTTAGAGGGGTCAATAAATGGACATTCTGGTAGTTTAGAAGGGGAATTTGTTAAAATTGAAGTGAAAAATATAGAAAAAAATAAAAATAAATGGGCGATAAAATACATAATGCCCTAAAGTATTTTAATTAATTAAAAAATTTTAAACCGTAAAATAAACACAATTTTAAGAAAATATATTAATTTATAGGTGTTCTGAATTAAATAAACACAAACCTAATAATTCTGATTTTTAATTTCTGAAAAAACACAGAAAAACACAAATAAATTCTTTTGAAATTAAATTCTGAAATTAAACTGAAAAACACATAGATTAAAAAAATCAGAATTTTAAACGTCTAAACAAATTTTCCAGAATAAATAAATTCTGATTAAATTCTGATTTAAACTATTCAGTGTTTTATATAAGATTATTTAATATACCGATAAAGATTTTAAATATATTAATTAAATTATTTTTATTTAATTTTTGGTCGACTTAAAGCAACGTGTAAATAGTTGCAGTAAAGAAAATTCTAGAAAAATATATTCTCAATCAAAAAAGTATTTATTGACCGCGCAACTTTATTTTTGTCCTTCAAGGAAAGCAACTCTAAAAGAGAAAAAAAAGAAAAAAATAAATTAATGCTGGTGGTGATCGACGGGTTTTGCTACGTTGCTCGGCTTTTTTCGTTACATAACTGTGACCAAACTGGTAATTATAGCCAGAATTTAAGGTGTTATTTAGCTGTCTAAAACACAATTTAGAATAAATAAATTTTGAAGAATTCTGGAATTTGAAAAATAAAAAAGGGGAAAACACACTTCTGAAACACATTTTTTGCTAATATTTTGTTCTTGTAAGAAAAATTCTGACAAAAATTCTGAAATATGTAAAACACATATATGCCTAAAACACATTCTGGAATTAATTCTGAAAATAAAATAATTCTGAAATGTTTTCCTAACTTTAATAAAATCCAATTCAGAAAAACGTAAATTCTGAAATAACCAACAAAAAACACAAAATTAAAAATGTTCATTATTTAAAGTTTTCAATAAAATCACAATACAAAACAGAAGGGAAGAGATAAAACACAAGAAAATTTTTTAGAGAAACATGGAAGGAGGGAGGAGCTCAAATGCTTCTTGTTTAGTTTAATTAATACAAGTTTTGTTACAATGTTTTTATGGGGGGGGGGGTGTATTAAATGGATATATATTAATTGGTTAATTTATAATTTTTCTTGAGAACCTCGCTTATATGTTTACAAAGTATGAATTCTGAAAAAAATTTAAAAACATAAACAAACAGTACTGAGTGGGGTGGATAAACTCAGATGTTTATCGCTTACTTTTGTAACAAATTTTTCGATCAGAGGCGCTCATAAGTGAGGTATAACTGTCCTTAAAACCCTTCACCAACAATTCTTAATTAATTAACCAATTAATTTTCAAAATCCGTTCCCGTACATTTTGTGTTTCTAATTTAGTTTCGGTCACTTATTTTTGAAAAAATGAAAATAGTAAATATCTAATAAAAGGGTTTGGAAAAGGAAAGGAAAATTAAAAATATGCTGAAAATATTTTAAAATATATTTTTTCAGTCAAAAAAACTTTTCAGCATTTACAAAGAAGTCTATGTATAAAGAAATTTAAGCCGGATCTCGATTATACGACACCCAAAACTTATTTAAACTCCCTATTGTTCGTACAATATTTTTTAGGTTGATTGGCCGCAAGTAGGGGAGCTATTTTTTTCCAATTATGGGTATACTATTTAAAAACTTTTTCCCAAAAAGGCGTTGTATAATCGAGACCTAACTACATATAACACTTTTTAGCTAATAAAACTGGCCAATAATTTTTATTTATATAATTTTAATTTGTGCTCTCACCGAGAGGAAGAAATTGTTAAAATTAAGGATATAAGGAATAGAAACGTTAGGGCAAACAATTTTAAATTTGAAGCAAAGAAAAAGAAATTTATTTGTTTGTAGATTTAATTAGTAATTTTGGTTTTGGACAGCTGGGGCTGAATCCATCCCAGAAAAGATTGTATGGTGCCTCCCAAACTATGAATGTTCAGAACCACCTTGAGGGTATGCTACTCTTGCAGAATCATTCAAAGCATCGATCAATTCTAAAAATGATTTCCCCGGCAAGAGAAAAAAGTTGAAAACTATGTATTCCCCGACATACACATCCCGATCGTTCGAGGTACAACACTAATTGAACAAATGAATCAACGATATTTGGGTAGTTAATATGTGTTTATGTTATAGATTTGGGGCAGGATCAAGGAGTGATTTTTTATAATTAAATGCCCTAACGTTTTTAACAATAAAATATTTTTTTAAAAAAAGGGATTATTTAAATAAAACCTATTTTTCTCTTTTTTTATTTATTCTGTTAATATAACTAATATATAAAATCTAAATGATTATTCAAAGTATATAGACTTTTTTTATATGTGAAGGAAATAGCTACTTTTCAGGAAATAGTACATTCATTTGTGGAACCTAAAGTAATTTGCTTTGTTAGTTCATAAGTTTCAAATAGTTTCAAATATTTTTAAAATTTTCAGAAAACTATCATAGCTATCCAATTTTATATCAATAACATAACAAGGAATTGGTTGTAGGCGAAATCCCCAGATATCCTGACCTGATATCCGAACCGAAAAGATTCAGATATGGACTTTTCAGATTCAGATATCCATTCCGCCAACTGTAGGGCTTGGATTTCAGAACCCAGCCCCAGACTTATATACGTCATTTCCTACAAAATAATTTTCTTAATTTTCTAAAAGTAGCTATTTCCGCTAAATATTATTTCCCTAAAAACATTAAAAAGAAATTACACCGGGAAATAGAAATGTTTTTTAGAAGTTGGGAAAATTTAATATAAAATATATTTTTTAAATTTATTTTTTTAGGAGGGGACTACACCGCTTTATTTCCTTTTTTAGCCTAAAATATTTATTTATTTATTTAATCTTCTCTAAATTTTTTTATTTCCTGAATTCCTAGCTAAGGCTTTCCACCAAATTTTTGATTTTGCGTTGTTGACTGTATTTGACCACCAACATGATGATGAAGTGTTGTTGTTGGAACATTTGTTGAGAAAATTTGGGGAGGAGGAGGCTGAATTGAAGTGTGGGATGAATGGTGTTGTTGTTGTTGATTAAATGCATGATGGTGGTGGGCCGCTGAATTTGCTGCTGAAAAATCGGCGGAGGCAGCCAAAGAATTTAATTGGTTGGCATAAACCTAAGAGAGAATTTTTAAAAAAGGGAGTTCGTAGTAGTTTAAATTTAGTTTTCCTTAAAGAAACGGAATAGTCTGCTTTGGTTGAAAAATCGTGAGGTTCCACAACTTCGGCCCACAACATTCGGATACTCAAAACCAGACCGAAGAACCTAACCGAAAAATCCATGGTTTTCGTTTAGGCCGGTTCCTAAAGAACGATCTCTTCCCAAACCAAAATTCTAGAACTTATCAAGTTAAGCCATAAGTGCCCTTCTTCAAATATGCAAAATACATTCTTTAAACCATTCACCAAAACCTCTTCACATTTAAAAAAATTTCCCCTACCATCGCAGCTTCATATACAGCCTGCTGTTGTGCAACCAACTGTGCAGCAGCCAAATCTCTCGGATTGATAGGTCCCCCACCAGCATTATTTCCTCCTAGCTGTCCTCCTCTATTTCCAGTATTATTATTCCCTCCAGACCCTCCCAAAGCAAAATGGCTAGTAACTTGTTGTTGGGGATGATGTTGTTGTTGATGGGCAAACCCATTCCCATGAAATTGAATACCCGTTGCTGCTGGACCAATTCTTAACAAATCTACGCCTTGGGGTAAATCTGCACAAGAAACTCCTCCATTTCCGTGTTGAGGGTGGTGGTGGTGATGTCCATATACACCTGCTGCTGCCGCTGCAGTTAACGCTGCTGTCATTGCGTGATTGTGGTGGTGGTGAGAGGGGGGAGCTGGAGGAGGGCCGTAAGCAGGCAGTCGAGGAATAAAAGAAGCATAAGCTAGCAATTGTTCTGGTGCTAATCCATAAAGATTACGAGCTGCTAATATTTAAATAATTTAAAGTTTAATTTTTGTAACAGGGGTTGTTTTAATTTAAGCCTTTCTGAAGGAAAAAATATTGATGTAAGGGCGGAAAAAAGGGAAAGATTTGACATGAATATTTTTCTTTTTATCTAAATCCATTTCTTTTATCTTTCCTCTCTTATAATTTTTTTCGTTTGTGTTAGTTCATAATTTAAATTTATTTTATTTTTAAAATTAAACCTGCAGCACGGGTTTTATTTAGTTGGAGAGGTAGCATGACTTCTTTTGGTTGTGCCTTTTGAAAAACAATATTTTATTAAAATAATTTTGGTCAAAATTCCTTAGCGCATAGTAATATAAAGGTTAAAGCTAGGCTCTATAGTCTTTGTTATTGTCCAACCTAGGGGGAAATTTTAGGAACAAAAAAAAGGGGGGGGGGGCTTCAACCGCCTCAACATTTCTTCAAAAAATAACAAACTCCAAAAACCTTTTTGCATTCAACCATCTTTCCATTAATTTCATGAAAATGTATTTCGCAAACTTTGTCACTAACTTCATCATCATCAAATGTAATAAAACCAAAACCTTTGAAATTTAAAAGAAATTTGAGAATTAAAAGCTTGTTTTAATGGAATGGAACAAAACAGTGTTTGGAATTTTGAAATTTGCTCGTACTCGTGCAAGCCTTATTTTTGGCCTCGTACTTGAAAAATATACCTGAAAGGTACCTCCCCTCCCCCTTCGAAAAAAATAATTAGTTATATCAAAAAACAACACCTCTGTGCCGTTGAGTAGTTTTATCAAACATTAACATTGCATCTTCAATATTCCCGTATTGTGAAAAATATTGTTTAAGATCCTCTATCTGTTTAATTTTAAAAAATAATTACATATTTTAATAGCCCCCCCCCCCCCCCCAAAAAAAACCCCCACGATACACCAATGGGTAAAAAATCGTCACTTATAATTAGGTGTATATTAAATAGAGGGTGTCGCTTAAGCGAATCCCCCACCCAAATTCTTAAATAGAAGTGTGTCTAGTATTGGGAGTACCTTAAAATTATTAAAAATAATTACAGTAGAATTAGAAGACAATCCACCAATAAAAACTTTTTTTGTTTTTACAACTAATTTTGGTTGTTGTTTTTTAGGAAAAGCTATTTTAGGGTCTATTCGTTTTCCATCTAATTCGTGTATTTCGATTGCTAACACTTTTTCTACAGAAATTGGGTCTACAAAAGTAATAAATCCAAAGCCTCTAGCACGTTTGGTCGTTGGATCTCGCATAACCATACATTCATTAACTTCTCCAAATTTGCAAAAATAATCGCGAAGACCTTCTATAAAAGAAAAATTCTTTTTAACTCCCTCCACCCTATCTCCCATAAAACAAAAAATTTCTTCTTCCAAACCTGCAGTAGTTTGCCAACTAAGCCCACCAACAAACATTTTTCTTAAAATAATTTCTAATTAAAAAACCCCCCAATTCCTTCCTTCCTTCCTTACCCAGGTTCATTATTTCCCCCACCAATTTCCCCATCCACACTTTCATCCAAATTTGTAGTTGTTGCTTGTGATTCAGCATCTTCTGTTAAAGCAGCAGAACAAGCAGAAGAACCCCCAGCAGTTGTTATTAATTTTTGTTTTTGTTGTTGATGACTACTACTTCCCCCTCCTCCTCCACCATTTTCTTTTCCTTGTTTTTCTTCTTTTTCTTTCTCACCTTCTTCAATTTTCAATTGAACAACTCCATCTTCTTTCTCAGGCTCTCCCATAAGTTGCTACCTTTAAAGCTTAAATTTTCTTCTTCTTTTTTCTTTTCTCGTTGTTGTTTTTATTCAAAAACTTTTTTATTTAATTGCAGATTATTGAAGAAAAAGGGAAGAAGAAGAAGAAAGGAAAGGAAGAAAATATTTTTTTAATAAAAAATTAATTTTTTTTTTAAATTTTTAATAATTAATTTAATAACACAACGTTTTCATTCTATTAATTGTTTTATACTCTCTACTCTAAAAACAGCTCTAGGCCGGACGGACAGAGTAGGGAAAGAAGCGGAAACTGATGGTGATGTGGTGGTGGTGGTGATGGGAAGCGGTGAAACTCTGAAAAATTAAACAGAAAAATTTTTCGAAATTAAAGTTGAATTTAGATTATAATCAAGGAAGAAAGAGTTGGTTAAATCAAGAAACATTTATGAGAAATTTCGACAAGTAAGATAGTTCGTGATTTCGAAAAGTTCGATAATGAGAATCGACTACATCGAGTTTTAAAGATCGGGGCTAAAAAGAGAGATCGAGGTTTAAAAAAAACCTGGGTTGTCCCCATTTTATTTCTTTGCTAAAAAGGTGCATAATGGTTAGACCTCCCCAAAAACGTAAAGATTTTCTCTTCAGATCATTCCCAAGCTCGATCTCTAATATACAGTATCATTTTACGGTTTGACTATAATACATATGCAAAAAGGATAAATGATAAGGAAATAAAGAGTTGAAAATTCAAAGTTTTGAAAGGGAAATAAATAGAAGATTAAAAAATTGGTAGTCGAGAGTTGGGGACATTTTCTGAAGGACAGAGGGAAGAAGGCTTCGGCATTGAGGGAATACCGGTTTATTGTTATACGATCTTTCAAATTTTTTTTATTTAAAAAGGTTTAGGCGCGCATGGAACGGAACCTAATAAGAATTGTTTTGTTGTTGTTGATTGCGCAGAAGGGAAAGGAAAAGGTAATTTCTTGCCGATTTGAGGGGATTGAAGGGATGGAAAGTAAAAAAAGATGGGGAGATAGAGAGTTGGGGGGAACAACGACGTTAAAACGATCGATTGACGATTTATGTGAATGGTCTGGGGGCTGACAAAACTCTCCTTCCTATCTTCCCCCCTTTCTCTTCTCTCGTGCGCGAAGGCTTTAAAAAATATATAGTTGGCCAGCCGAGGGCCGAAAATAATTTTGAAAAGGCAAAGGAGAGAGGAGGATTAGACAGCTGCTCGGTTTCATAAAAACGAGAAAAGAATTAATTAATCAACGTTGAAAAATTCAAAAAGTTTTTGTGAATGCTGAAATTCGAAGCCTTTACTGATCAGTAATTTTCTTTAAGAACTTCTTAATTAATCAAAGGCTTGTTTAAATTACCCCAGGAAAAGTGGATCATTCTGGATTGAAACAAGCAAGACAATTCAGTAAAAAATACTAATCAGTCAACAACCATTCAACTAAAATTAAAATAAACATATCTATATTTTAGATTAAAAGATCAGTCTAATCAAAACTTCCGAGTTTAACGTTGAAAAACACAAACTTTAGACTGTATTTAAAACCCCCCAAAAAAGCAACTGGAAAATTCAAAGTAAAAATCAGAAAAATATCATTTGCCACAGTCCTTCACTCACTCTCGTAAAGATCAACAACTTGGAAACGTAAAGAAGAGATGATGATATTTTCAAGGAGGCTTTGACTAATTTTTTGTTTTATTAAATTAATATATGTATCCTTTCTTATAGTAAATGCTACTAAAATGATAGACAAAAATTTTGTTAAAAAAATAATTAATGAATATATGATTTTGGTTGTTGTTTGTTGTTGTTGTTTTTAGAGAGAAGGGAGGGGAGGGAGAGAAGGAAATGTTTATTCCACGCATAGCAACGTTTTTGTAATTTATTTTTATTTATTTATATTTTTATCAAGTCTCGTCCACTATTTTTTCTAATCAATCAAAAATAGTCAATAAATAAAGTGAAAATAAGAGAAAATAAAAATTAATAAAATGATAAGAATTGTAAAAAATAAATTGGGAATTTGAAGTAATTAAAGATAACAAAATAATGTTAGAGAATTAGGTAAAGATCAGCATATATTCTCTCTTGTTTTTGTTTTAATTAAAGAAACAGAAAACAGCAAGTACAAATGAAAAACAAATAAAATAAAAAAAAATTCATAGAAAATCAGAATAAAAGTAGAATTAAAAATGAATATTGAAATCAGAACAAAATTAGACTCAAAAAATCAAAACAGAATCGAATTAAAATAAGAATTAAATCAGAATTAAATCTCAAAATTAAAAATCAGAACGTTATTAAAATCTGAATTGAAATTGGAATAAAAATCAGAAAAAGAATTAGAATTAAATTTCAGAATAAAAAATAATATTTAAATCCATTAATAAAAATTTGTCAGTTTTTATAAGAGTAACCAATAAAAATATCCTCAAAAATAAATAAAATGTTTACTACAAAATTAATAGTATTTTAATCAATAAATTTTGTAATTTTCAGAATTCTGCAAAAATGAATTTTATTTTCTAGAGGATTAAAAAAACTATTTCACTCTATGTATTGTTTTGTGTTTGTATTTTTAGTTAATTTTAAAAGAAAGGGGGGGGGGAATAGCAGCAGCAGCCCTCATTTTCACTTCAACTTTTTGGAAATCAGCTTGTGAGAAGTATAAAAAGGGAAAAAGTTAAAAAACCGATGGGGAAATAGAGCGTTGCCAACTAATAAAAGTAAAAAAAGAGTTGAGAAAAAAAACGCGGCACGACTGGCTCGATGAAAAGACAAAAACGGCATGCACCCAACAACGACTACCACCATCACACCCTTTTCTTTTCTTTAACTGTCAGCGTGTTTAAATTCTCTATAATACTCTCTTTTCTCTAACTTTGTTATTATTGCCAGCCTCTGTTCTCTGTAGTTTTTAGTCCGGAAAGATTTGCAAATGCCGGCAAAACCCCCAAACGACAAAATAGTAATACTCTATTTTTTTGTTCTTGCAGCTCTAAACAGAATTTCGAATCTGAAGTTTAGGGTTCCAGACCTGAGCCCAATTTTTGAATAACAAATAAAAAATTTAGGACAGGAATGAGTGAAATTTATAAAAATAAATCCACAATGTCATTTGACATTTTGTCGGGACTTTAAAAAATGCACTATCTCATTCTCTCGTTATTCCATGTCTGTCTCTTCAAGTCTCTCACCAGCTTGACCCCTCTAATCTTTTTTTCTCTACGTTTAGAAAGTAACTTATTAAATGCTACGTTAAAGAGAATAACTGAGAGAGGGATATATTGAAGGATATTTTGAAGAGAACATTGAGTAAAAAAAGCAAAAGAAAATAAAAATACACGTAATAAATGTTCAGTCAGCGAATTTTGGAAGGGTGAAGAATAAAAAAAGCAGAGAGGAAATCGAAGAAGGGCAGCCGTTCTGAAAGAAGAAAGGGCTGGAAAAAAGGGAGGTATTTTCTTTCATCCGTTCCTTTTTAATAGTGAAAAAATTGATTGACTAGAAAAAGCTAAATAATAGTGAAAAGATTAAATAGAACAAAAGAATAAATTGAAATGATTTTTTGGGGGATGGGGGGAGAAAATGAACGAATAAATGAAAAAAAGTTTTAAGATTAATATTTTTATTTTGATGGAAAGAGGTCAAATGACCCAGAAGGTCAAGCTCCTATTGGTAAATTACACAGAAGGTCAAATCCAAATATTTGGGAGATAAAGGACAATTTATAGCAATATCGTAGGATTAAGTGGATAAACAGATTTAGAAGATCAAGTGGATCCCTCAAGAGGGATATGGGGGATATCTCCGATACCCGCCCAAATCCTAGGATATCACGATAATATTGTCCTTAATCCTACAATATTCCTGATCTCAACCTTATTACCTTATACAACCTTAATTCATCAAATCCACTCGATATGGGACTGGGCCGTTTTGGCGCGGGGCCGTTTTGGCGCGAGCTTATAAGATAGCGAGTTGGTTATCAAAAATGATAAAATTTTGTAGTAATAACTCTTGTACCTTTATCTAAGTTCTCCAAAAATTTCAGAATTTTTGAGCAAGAATTTTAGAAATTATGGTCAAAAATGTTGATTTTCTGAAAAATGCCTAATTTTTCAAGACCTATCGACTATAACTTCAGAAATATTTGATGAAAAATTCTGAAATTTTTGGACGAGGTAGCCAAGGATGTTAATGAAATTTGAGAAAATTTTTATGAAGTAGGTCTCGCCTAAGTGCCACTTTTTTGTTTTCGCGCCAAAACGGCCCGGCGCCAAAACGACCCCAACCCCTCGATATCCATTAAATCACTGATATCCCACAATTCTCTCAATATCATACGAATCTCTTAATTTTAATTTCTACTAATCTCTTAATCCCCCTCTAAGATAAGCTCTTTCCCTAAAATGCCTACTTTAGGAAATGATTCTGGAAACTTTTCAAAGTTATGGGTTTGCGCCATTTTGGCCTTATGCCTTTACGGTCTGCGCCTTTTTGGTGTCCCATTTTGCGGATTTACAAAAAACGTTTTTATGGGTTGTTTTTGATGGAAATTATGTTGAGCAAACAGTGTCAATTATAAATGGCTAATAAACTGTCGTTTAACCAATTAAAAGCCTAATATTTAGCTTATTACTTTTTAATTATAAGCCCTCATATTTTCTTTATAATTAACGCTATAATTTAGACATATCTTTTAAGGAAATAATTTTTAATGGGAGATTCATCAACTTTATCAGCTTCAAAGGAAAAGGAAAAATCCAAACAACCTCAACCTTCTACACAAATTCGTTCTTTAGAAGGCGGCTTTCCTACTCTTTTAGTTTTTGTGATACTTGGATTGGCTTGGCTAGTTGGTTTTGCTTCTAGACTTTTTGCTATTGTTCGGTTTGAATCGATAATTCATGAATTTGATCCTTGGTAACTCTTCAAGTTTCTTTTTCTAATTTTTTCAAAATTTTATAGGTTTAATTATCGTTCAACTCAATATATGGTGGAGAACGGATTTTATAATTTTTTGAATTGGTTTGATGGTTTGTTTGATTTATATTTAGTGAGAATGTGGAGACTGACGGGGGCTGAAAGTCTTTTCTTTAAAGTGTTATTCACGTCCAGTTGATTTTCTCCTTTGACGTCTCAAATGTCCCTAAAATCTCAATTTGAACCACCGCATGCGAAAATTAACCCTCATTAACGTTTATAAATGTTACTTATTTTAAATAGAAAGTATCGCTTGGGGCAGCTCCCTCCACCCATTAGCCATCCAAAGATATTTTGGGAGTATTTTATAGTGATACCCAACTTAAAAATTAATTTTTAGAAAGAGCTTGGTATCCACTTGGACGTATCGTTGGTGGTACTATTTATCCTGGATTGATGTTAACAAGTGGTTATATTCACTATTTACTTTCTTGTTTGAATATACCTGTCCATATACGAGATATTTGTGTTTTCCTTGCCCCAACATTTAGGTAAGTGAAAGAATTTCTTTTTAGAATTAAAATTTTATTTAGCGGTCTTACTGCAATTGCTACTTATCTTTTAACGAAAGAACTTTGGTCAACAGGTGCTGGACTTTTTGCTGCTTGTTTTATTGCAATTTCTCCTGGATATACAAGGTTTTTTTTAAAAATATTTTCTGAAAATTTTTTTTCAGTCGGTCTGTTGCTGGTTCTTATGACAATGAAGGAATTGCCATTTTTGCTCTTCAATTCACTTATTTCCTTTGGGTTCGTTCTGTCAAGACTGGATCTGTTTTTTGGGCGGTTCTCACTGCTTTGTCTTATTTTTACATGGTTTCAGCATGGGGCGGTTATGTTTTTATGTAATTTGTTTGTTTTAAATTTTCTAATAAATATTTTTTAAGTATTAATTTAATTCCTCTTCATGTTCTTGTTCTGGTTATTAGTGGAAATTACACAAACAAGGTATATATCTTTGCTTTAAAAATATATATAAAGTTATTCACATTTATTTGGTTTTTTAAAAATATAAACTTTTCTTCCCCCAAATAAGGGAAAACCTAGGACAGAATCAGTTTTGCTTATGGATCTCTAAAATTCCTGAAAGGGAATTCTTGCCACTGTCTTAGGTTATTTTAATTCATAAACGTTTTTTCCTTTCATCCTTAATTTCCATTAAAGTCTTTACCTTTTATTCTCTTATTTTTCATATACCTTTCACATTTTTTTAACCAATAAACTAATTTTTAGATTTACGTTGCTTACACAACTTTCTATATTCTTGGCCAACTTATGGCAATGCAAGTCCCTTTTGTCGGCTTCCAACCAGTTAAGACTAGTGAACATATGGCTGCTTTTGGAATTTTTGGTTTATTACAGGTTTGGTTTTCTTCTTTATTAAAAAAAATTTTTTTCAGTTGGTTGGTGCTTTGAAATTTGTCCAAGGACGTTTAACTCAAAAACAATTTTTTGCTTTATTTGCCGGTGTCATTCTTTTTACTTTTTCTATTGGAATTTTGATTTTAATGCTTTTAACATATGCTGGTTATTTGAAAATTCTTTGAGAAAAATAATGAAATTTTATTTTTAAGGTTATGTTGCTCCTTGGACGGGTCGTTTTTATTCACTTTGGGACACTGGTTATGCCAAAATACATATTCCTATAATTGCTAGTGTTAGCGAACATCAACCTACGTTTGTTTAAATAATTTTTTGTTGAGGATTAATATTATAAAAATGTCTAATTGTGAGTTATTCTTCCATGTAGAATGCCTGGATTAATTCTCAAACACTGACCAGTTCCGGATTATGGGCTATTAGGCCAGGATAAACCCAGAAACTCAGAAATACTCATGTTTTGGCCCAGGCCCAGCTCTATCCCTCTTTTAAATTAAAACTACATTAAATACTTTTTAGAACTTGGGTCTCTTTCTTTTTTGATTTGCATATTACCGCAGCTGTCTTTCCCGCTGGACTTTGGTTTTGTGTTAAAAATGTTAATAGTGAACGTCTTTTTGGTTATTTTTAATTTTATTTATTTACATTATATTAATTTTTAAGTTATTCTTTATGCTGTTACTGCCGTTTATTTTGCTGGTGTAATGGTCAGGTTAATGCTTACTCTAACTCCGGTTGTTTGTGTCCTTTCTGGCATAGCTTTCTCTTGTATTTTTGAAAAATATATGCTTGAAGATGTTGAACAGAAGAAAGCTGGGGAAGGAAAGGATTTGAAAGATGGGATGGGAGGTTTGCTTACTTTTAATTTTGTTTTTGAGTTATTAGTTGGCTTTGTTCTCTACTCTAAAATTTTCTACAAAATTCTTTTTTAAATTTATACAAAATTTTTTAGATAGACGACTTTATGATAAAGCAACAGCTAAAATTGGAAAGCAACAAAAAGCTGCTCAAACAGCTGCAGCTTCATTTAGTCCAGCAATTGGTGCTTCTGATGTTACTGATCATATTGGAATGAATACGAGGTTTTTTAGTGTCCCGCGCGTATCAGCGCCAAAATTTTATCACCACCAGCACTTATTTTATGCATTATATAAATATAGCCTTGATGAGAGATTTTTTCCCGGTTGTTTTGCGATAAAATTCCGTTGTACATTATGGAATAAAACAGTTATTGATTAGTTGAACATTTATTTGATTCAGGAAATTATCGGCGTCAAGTTGAGCAAGCGGTAAGGGGTATACCTATTTCATTAGAATATGCACTTCGGAATTTTTGGCATTGTTTATGATTTTCATTTTTACTTGGATCAATATGTACAACGTCTCAGGGCACCCTGAAACTAGAAAATCTCGATTTTTCAAGGCTAATTCTTGCAAACTTGACACGCTTAATTTGTCTATATTCGTCCCAGATGAGCGAACTTTGTTGGAATTCTACTTTTAATTTTACTATTTTTTTAGATCTATCGTTCTCGTAGCTATGTTATTCATTTTGCTAATGTATGTTGCACATTGCACTTATGTAACTAGCAATGCATATTCACATCCAAGCGTTGTTCTTCAATCTCATACAAGCGATGGGTTTTATTTTTGTTCTATTTTTTTTATTTTTTAAATTTCAGTGGACGTATAATTATGGACGACTTTCGAGAAGCTTATTATTGGCTTAGAAAGAACACTCCAGATGATGCTAGAATAATGTCATGGTGGGATTATGGTTATCAGATTGCTGGAATGGCAAATCGAACAACTCTTGTTGATAATAATACTTGGAATAATTCACATATTGCTTTGGTTGGAATGGCAATGTCAAGCAATGAATCTTTTGCTTATGAAATTATGAGGGATTTGGATGTTAATTATGTTTTAGGTTTGTATTTTTATTTAATTTTGGGGATAATTTTATGTTTTTTTTGAAAAATGTTAACTCACATTGTGTTATTTTTGGGGCTTATTTCTTAAACGGAGCTTTCTTACTTTCCATTTTTAGTAATCTTTGGTGGGGTGATTGGTTACAGTGGTGATGATATAAACAAATTTTTGTGGATGGTTCGAATTGCTGAAGGTGAACACCCAAAAATTGTAAGTTTTTTTTATTTTTATTTAAAATATTATTTTATTAAGATACGTGAAGGTGACTATTTTACCGAATCAGGAGAGTACAGTGTTGGAGCACAAGCATCTAGAACTATGCTGGATTCGATTATGTATAAAATGTCTTATTATCGATTTGGCGAATTAAGGGTATTTTTTTTAATTTTCTAACCTAATAGGATACCCCCAGAATTAGAATACCTCAATTTATGATACACCTCATGATAAGATAGGATTTTTTCAGCTCCAAGTGTTTTATCTTTTAGTGAATGTCGATTTTAATTCTTTAATTTTTTATTAAGATTGGCTACAATCAACCTCCAGGTTTTGACCGGACAAGAGGTTATCCAATTGGAAGAAAAGATTTTTCATTGGAAAAATTGGAAGAGGCCTACACTACAGAGAATTGGCTAGTTCGTATATATAAAGTTGTTGATCCACCAAATCGTCCATCAATAAAATATAAAGATAGACAAATTAAAGGAAAGAAATTTGTTAGTAAAAAGGTTGGGGGTTTCTTTGTTTAAAAAATTATTTTTTTAATAATATTTTTAAGACAAAATCCAACAAAAAGGGAACTATTCGACCATTAACTGCAATAAACACAAAAACTGAACAATCTAACAACAATAAACAAAAAGTTGTTGAGAAGAAGAAATGAGAAAATTTTATTTTCTTTTATCAAAAATGGAAGTTGTGATGCTATTTTAATAAGACAAAAAAAAAATTTTAAAGAGGTAAAATATATTCTAGTTTTTTTAATTCCGGACTTTCACGGAACGGTTAAATTACTTATAAATTCTCTCCTCCATTTTTTTTTTGAAATTCTTTCAATGTTTTTAATATATAAGACTGGATATTTAAAAAATTGTTGTTAGGAACAAGTGTGCACCCCCTAAGAGTAGGACGACTTTGCCAGCAATTATCGATAGATTATTTTTACTTATTCATTCCAAAAGTGCAAACACAATAATCCCAAAATAAAAAGCAAATAAATAGGTAACATATCACAGGTTTAATGGCAGTCTCGGAATCCATAATGGTTCTATCCCATTTCCAGTCCAAAGCATAAAAATTTCAATATCTTTACATCCTTAATATCAAGCTAATTAACTAGAATAATTTTATCTTATTTTGTTGGTGTTTTAATTATTCTTTTAATATTTGTTTTGCTTTCGGTTTTTTTTTGTTTATTTTCTCTTCATTCTTTCAATTCCTTTTTTTGAACTGTCTCTATACTAAAAATTTAATTTTTTTTTGATCTTGTCTTTATTTTTATTTAATTTCACCTCTTACCAGGGAAAATCAAAGAGAGACGATATTTAAAATTTACCTATTTAAAAAGACAAAAATTATTTATTTTTTAAATATTTAATTATTTTTGTTGTTAAAAATCATCGAAATAAATTAATAAAAAAATTTGTTAAATCATTTTTTTAAGTTTAAAAATTTTTCTTTTAATATTTTTTTAGAAAATGAATTTTTTGAGTTCTAAATTAGTTTTTAGATCGTTTTCTTCTATAATGACAAAAACTGCTCTAATTATCGGATCTGATGGATCTGAAGATATTGAATTAATTGTGACTAGTGATGTTTTGCGTAGAGCTGGTTTGTTTTGATTTTTTTATAATTTTGGGGTAACTAAAATAGTGGGTGGGTGCGGAAACTTGGAAATGAGGACAGGATCGGTATGTATCTGTCTGGGGCTAAACTTTAAGTTACATATTATGTTAACTTTTCCTTTCTGAATTTCTAAAATTTTTTTGTTTAAGGAATTGATGTGACTATTGCTGGTTTACAAGACGAGAAACACATCACTCTAGCTCGTAAAGCAATACTTCAAGTTGATGCTTTATTTAAGGATATAGCAGAAAAGGAATTTGATGCTGTTATTTTACCTGGAGGTTTTTAAATATTTTTAGAAAATCAAAAAAAATTTTCATAGGCCAGCCTGGATCAGACAATCTTGCAAAAGTAGGCTTGAATTTTATCTTAAATTATTAAATTAAAAACTTTCTGGTTATCTAAAAAGCACAATTAACTTGTGATTTGACGGTATTTTCGATGTTTATCTGTATTCCGTATCGGTATTACTGACGGAATCATTACAATAAACAATATTGGGGATTTGCTTTTCATTTGATTCCACAAATAGGGTTGTAGTTGAAATAAAAAAGTGTAGCAGTCAAATTACGAAATAAGGTGTTAAATTGGAGATAACGCCTAGTTTAACCAAAAATTTAAAGTAGTTTTATATTTATCTAATATTGGGGGTATTCGAGGCTTTTAAAATAAGATAAAATATTTTGAGGATGAACGTGTTGGCAAACTTCTTCAACGTCACGAAAAAGAAGGTAAAATTGTTGCTGCAATTTGTGCTGCCCCGATAGCTTTAGTCAGTCATGGAATTGCCAAAAAAGAAGGAGGGGGGACTTTAACTTCATATCCGGCAGTTAAAGAAAAAATAATTGCTGGAGGTTATAATTATTCTGAGGACAAAGTTTGTGTTTGGAAAAATGTTGTTACAAGCCGTGGACCTGGAACTGCTTTTCTTTTTAGTCTAAAATTGGTTGAAATGTTGACTGATTTGGAGAAGTCTGAAACTGTAAAGAAGGCTTTGCTTTATGATATTTGAATAAAAAAATAATTTTTTTTGATAAAAAATTAGAATATTTATTTTAAAATATTTATTTTTAGGAATTAATTTTATATGAATATTTTATTTTAAATTATAAAGTATTTGGATTTTGATTTTTTTGTTATTTTTATTTTGTTTATTGAATCCTTTTATTTTCTTAATTTTATTTTCTTTGAATTAAATTTTTTTTTATTTTAAAAATCTAGACATTTTTTAAATAATTTTTTATGTCCTCAACAATTCCCAGAATTATTCAACTTTCACAAAATGTTGTAGACAAAATTGCTGCTGGAGAAGGTTTTTTTTATTTTACTTAAAAATTGAAGATAATTATTAAATTCAATAGGCTCCGTTCTGTGACTTTCCCAAAGCTTCCTAAAAATCACTTCTAAACTTTAAAAATACTTTTTTTTATCCTTTAAGTTGTTATTCGCCCAGTGAATGCTGTAAAAGAACTTGTTGAAAATAGTTTAGATGCTGGGGCTACAGGTTATTTTTTGTGATTTGTATTTTAAAGAATTTAATTTTTAGAAGTTAATGTTTCGATTCGTGCTGGAGGATTGGAATTAATTAAAATTCAAGTATTTTTTAAATTTCATTAGGTTTCTACTTGGGTACTGAAAGTTGGAGAATCGACTTTTTCTGACAATAAGAATCCCTTCCTGTCGATTTTCTTCACCTATCCCCGTGACTTTGCCTTCCCAAAAAAATTTTTCGAGGCCCTTCCCTGCCCATTAATTTATTTAAATAATATTTCTTTTTTGGATAATGGGCACGGAATTAATAGAGAAGAATTGTCCATTGCTTGTTGTCGCTTTACAACTTCAAAATTGCGTGAATTTGAGGATTTACAAAAAATTCAAACTTTTGGTTTTCGTGGAGAGGCTTTAGCTTCTATTTCTTTGGTTTCTAATTTAATTATCACAACAAGGACAGCAAATGAAATTTGTGCTTCTAAAGCTTGTTTTAAAGGTTTTTTTGAAAATTTTTTTTTGAAGTATTTTTTTTCTAAAATTGAGCTCGGATAGTCCGAATACTGCTGAGGGAAAATAAGAGAAGAAATAAAATAAGGGGCTCCTATTTCAAAATTCTAAAATTTCTCACAAAAATTTTTTAGAGGGAAAATTAATTGGACAAATTGAACGGTCAGCAGGTCTTTTAGGAACAACAATTTGTGTTGAAAAACTTTTTCAAAATATGCCTTCCAGATTAGCAGCTTTTCGGCAACCGAGTGAAGAAGCTAATAAAATTGCTGATATTTTAGTTTGGTTTTTTAAAGAAAAAATTTTTTTATTTTAAATTTTATAGATTCGTTATTCTATTCATTATCCAAAAATTTCTTTTTCTTATCGTCGTCTAGATGGAAATGGCTATGATTTTAGAACATCTGGGGATGGGGTAAGGATTTTAATATTTTCTTAAATTATTTAATAAAAAAATAGTTTTTTAGGATCAACATGGCACAATAAAAAGGCTTCTTCATGAAAAAGCATCTAATGTTAGTTTTTGGAGGGTTTTTCCACTATATTCCTAAAAGTCCGCAAATTTTGTCTGCAAGATAAATAGAAATAATAAACAGTTGTTTACAGCACCGGATTGGATCAGGCAGAATTTTTCCGAAGTCCAGACCCAAATCCCCTGACTGAATTGCTTCCGGACCTGATTAGTCCAGAAAAATCTGGCCGGATCCAAATCCGTTTCTGGAATATTTATTCTGACGGTCACTAATAAATAAAATGATTTGCGGACGGAACCTAAATCTTCCATTATTTCAAATTTAACTTTTAGGGATTGACAAATTTAGAATTTAACAATTCTTCTCTACACTTCTCTGCCAAAATTTGTTTAGCTACACCTGTGGCTATTTTTACTTCAAAAGCAGTCCAAACACGAAATGTATAGTTAAAAAATATTTTTTGTTGTTTCTAATATTTTTTAAAAATTTTAGGACAAAATAAAAATCTTCCACCTGTGAGTTTTTAATTTTCCTTTCCTTATAGGAATTGAAGCATCCTTTTATAGTTAATACTATTAACCAAGATAACTTTTTGTGGAAAATAAATACTTTTCCCTTCCTTTGTCAGTATTTCAGCGCCATTCATTCACTAAAATATTAAAAAATATTTTTTAGTTTTGTGAATGGTCGTTCAGTAGAATCTTTTAGACTTCAAAAATCTTTTGATTCAATTTTTACTTCAAGAGATTTACTTTGCCCTTTTGCCAGTTTTTCTTTATTAATTGATCCTCAACGTGTTGATGTAAATATACACCCTACAAAGAAATTAGTTTATTTTTTATGTGAAGATGGTGAGTAGTAGAAAATTTATTTTTTAATTTTAAAAATTTATTTTTTAAAGATATTATTGAATTTATTGGAAAGGTAAAAAGGAAATACTTTTTTTTAATTTAAATGATCTATTGAAGGGAGAGGAAGGAGAGAGAGGGGAGGGGAGAGAGTCCCCCATCTGCTAACATTTAAGTTTACTGAAAGAAAACTATTTAAAAAAAGGATCCGGTGATTCAGGTGTAAGCATCTATACGTGTTAAGGGAAATGCTTTTCTGCCAGTAGTTCGCATGTTCTGTGCCTGCCCCCACGACCTAATTTTTCTACCTCTCTCTCTCTCATTTATCCTTTCAAGTAAATAGGTACCTTGTTCTTAACTGACAATGGTCAAAATTTTTATACTACGGTTCCTGATTGTTAATTTAATTGTTATTTTCTAGCAAATAGAAAAATTTGTCAATGAAATCCAATCTCGTCAATCACTACAAATTAACAATTTAAATGAGGAATTAGAAGGAGATTGTTCTAAGAAAAACAAAAATAATCGAAAAAGAAAAGCTGGAAATGAAAAAGAAATTATTTCTGGGGAAAATTTAAAAAATTTAAATAATTTAAATTGTTCTTCTCTTCCTTCTTCAAGTTCTTCTTTTTTAAATGTTTCTTCAAAAGTTCAATCAAATTCGCCAAAAGTTGCACCAAAAAATGTAAATTTTTCTTAAATAAATTTTGCCTAAAAACTAATTTAAATCGAGCCTTCCCCCATAAATACATTTTTGGGGTAAAAACGGAAATTGTTTTTTTAGAATTTTAGGGGGCCGAGAAGTTGTGTATTTCCCTGTTTTCTGACGAGAGGAATAAAAGAACCTATATCTGAACCGAAATTTTTGAATATTCAGACTTAACCAAAAAATCCTTGGTTCTTTCTTACTCGGGACAGAAGTAGAAAATACAAGGTGGAAATTCTGACTTTATTTAATTTTCAGAAAATTCGCGTAGATTTTTTAAATCGAAGTTTGGATGAATTTGTTTTGACAAATGAAGATTTAAATTTACGTCCAAATTCTTCTGTTAGGCTTTCTCTTTTAAAAAAAGTTGCTTTTGAAGAAGAAAATAACGAAGAAGGGGGTTCAAATATAAATCCAATTGAAATAAATGAAATTGAAAGGGAAAATGGAGAAAATATTGGTGGAAAAACAAATAATAAAAATGATTCTCAGGTGGGTGGGGGAAATAAAGGAAATTTTAAAATAACATTCCTCAATTAATTTCCACGTTGAAAAAGGGTACATTGGCCTGCCCCCATTGCGGGGTACATTGGCCTGCCCCCATTGCGGGGTACATTGGCCTGCCCCCATTGCGGGGTACATTGGCCTGCCCCCATTGCGGGGTACATTGGCCTGCCCCCATTAGAAACTAATTTAAAAATTTTTTAAGGTAGATTGTTGTATTCCAAGAGAATTTTCTTTTAATTCTCTTGTTGATTTGAGAAGAGAAATTTGTCAAAAAGCAGATAATAAATTAGTTGAATTATTTAAAAAACATTTATTAATTGGATTTTTTGATTCAGAAAATGCTCTTATTCAATCAGAAAATAATGTTTATTTAATTAATAATCAAAAAATTCTTCGACAGTTTTTCTATCAGGTAAGGGGGGGGGGGGGTAGAGGGATAATGATTACTTGCCTTAGTTCGATCTCTAAATATTTTTTTCTTTTATTTTTTACTATAGCTTAAAACTTCTCTTTTTTTCTAGTTAATTATTTTTTCTTTTGGAAATATGGGTGCCTATGATTTAATAATTCAATCAGAAAATTCTTCAACAAAAAATCTTTCAATTTACAAATTACTTTTATTAGAAGAAGAGGAAAAGGAGAAGAAAATAGCCAATTTATGTCAAATTCTTGTTAAAAATAGAGAAATTCTTTGGGATTTTTTCTCAATTAAAATAATTTTAAATTCAATTAATGAAGGTTTTAAATTAATATTTTCTTCAATTTTAAGCATTTTTAGATGCTGTTTTGGCAGCAATTCCTTGCCTTATTAACGGTTATTTGCCTGAAATGGAGGGATTGCCCTTACTTTTATATAAATTGGCTAATGTTAACTATGAAGATGTGAGTTTGAGTTCGAAGGGGCTAGAAAATTGTGTCTTATAATTAAGTGTCACTTAACTAGAAGGGTATCACGCTTAGTTCCCCCCAGCTACTATTCTGAAGAATTGAAGTGTCTGGACAAATTCCATAATTCCACAAATTCAATACTAGGATAACCTCTATTTGAGATAGGCTTTTAGATTTTGTGGGCATTGTGAGGGAGATCGACCCTTAAACTGTAAAATCTATTTAAAATACAATTTTCCGGAGTACGACTGTACTTCAAGGACGGTAAAGGTCTTATTTCCTTCTCTCTTCTTTTCTTTACCCAATCTACCAAAAATAATTTAGGAAAAAAGTTGCTATTCTCAAATTGCTTTTGCTCTTGCTGATTTTCATCTTCCCTCAATAAGCGAAGAAGATTATGAAAATTTAAATGATGAACAACAAAATATTTTTAAAAAACAAAATTTGAGGGTTCAGAGAACTCTTCGTTCTTTGATTTTTCCAGCTTTACGAAACAGATTTTTGCCTAGTTCAGAATTAGAAGAATATATCAAAGAATTAACTTCAACTGCTAAAGCTTTTAAACATTTTGGACGTTGTTAATTTATTTTTTGTTTTTAATAAACAATTGATTTACTACTGACTTATTTAGGATTTATTTTAAGTTGTAAGCTCAGAGGGTTTATCGGTAAATGTGGAGTTTACTATTCCCTAGAGTTTATGAATTACTCTTTTGAGTTACGAATTACGAAAATATCGGAAAAAATTACGAAAAATCCAAAAGGACTCCCCAGCAACCGATTAAACCAGAGACGTTTCTATTTGACTGATCCAACTCAGGTTTTATCTATCCATTATGGACGGTCATTAAAGGTGAAATCCTCACTTTCCACATAAATATACTTACTTAGGTCTAATTATTGGTACTTTATGGATATGTCACCCCCCTCCTATTTTGAGTCTCAGAGCTTTTCTTATGCGTAGAAAATGGTCAGGGATTATTTTCTTCTCCATGTCAATCATTTTTTTCTTCTTCAAGTATTTTGCTTTTTTATTTTGCCTTTTCTACATATTTTTGAATTTTGTACTTACATTTCACTCATTTCGTTTCCACATTTCACTTATTTTGCTTGATGAAAAAAATGATTGACATGGAGAAGAAAATAATCTCTGACCATTTTCTACGCATAAGGAAAACTCTGAGACTCAAAATAGGAGGGGGGTGACATATCCATAAAGTACCTAATTATTTATCAAAAACACTTGTTTAAAATATCAAGTTAAAATTTTAAATTTATCCGACTAACTTGTAAATATAAGTTTTTTCAAAAATATGGACAAAATGTGGAAAATTCTTGGCAAAATATCAAATTAAAGAATTAAGATGGATTCTTTTACATAAATTTGGATATTTGGAAAATTAAAATGATTGAGTAGATCCATCTGAGAATCAAAAATTGTTCCGGGTTGTAAAGAAAGAAAAATTGTTCTTATACATTATGACCTCATTTGTAAATAATCCCCAAAACTAGATATACTTCGAGTTAAAAATATAGCTTTAAAATTTTGATTAGCTAGTGCGAGTGGCTGGTACCCAAACCGAGCATTGGTTCCAACAATTCTTCAAGTCCCAAAGGGTATCCTACAAGTGAGGTCTTCGACAATAATTGACAAGAATAAACACACAACCCTTACCCCTCCCTCCTTTAAGTAATTCTCATTGTTTCACAACAGTCACAGTATCCTCCAATTCACGCTTTCTTTGCCTTCTCTGAGCATCACGCATTGCATTATGTGCTTTCCTCTGTTCACTTGTCATCTTCTTTGATGAATATTAGTAAGAAAGTTTAAAAAAATAAAACTCACTTGATATTTAACGCGAGCAGCTTCTGCTCTCTTGGCTCTACGCAATCTGGCTTGTTCAATAGCAGTGCGAAGACTCTAAAAATTACAGGATTCAATAATAAATTATTCCAGATGGAACTCGTTATAAGATAAAATCTTGGTTATAGCTGTCCTTATAATGAGATGTAGTATCTTAAACTCCCTCGGCCAATGGCAAACTAAAGTTGATGTGATCTATTACAAGTGTATCTTATAGTAAAATTCGATTGTAGTAGTAGATACTGGGAAACTCCGCTATTTAGCTTGTTATAGATTTAGGTGGTTAATAAAAAGTCAGTTCGGTTTTTAGTTTCGGTTTCGGATACCCAAAGATTTTCCAAAAAGCAACAACTTCACTCATAAACTAATGTCATTTCCCAAAAATTCTAATCTTTCAACTCTCACCATCTCCAAATTTTAAAAATATATAAAAAACAAACATCCTCTGGTTCTTGTCCTTTTGTATTCATATCATCACCCAAACGACACAATTCTTCCTAAAAATGTTAACGATTTAAAAAATTTAAAATAAAACTTACATCCCTCAGTCTTGCCATTTTTAAAGAAAGTGCTCTTTTAGCATTAAATTCATGACGTGCTTCAGCAGACATTTCATGGTATCTTTAAAATATTATCTCAACTTTATCAACATCAATTTTTATTTTTTATTGTCTACAACCTTCTCCTTGCACGTTCTGCACGTTTAGCCTTTTGCAATAACAATTTTTGATCGTTTGAATTATGAGGGTCCATAACACGTTGTTTAGACGATGACATACCTGTAAAGAGGGAAGATATTTTTAGTGCTTAAGTGTGGGGGAGGGGGGGGGGGAAGGTGTAGGATCTATAGTAGATACCGTATTTTCTCTAAAATAGCCCCCCTCTAGAGGACGATCGGAAAAATAGCCCCCGGGGGCTATTTTAGAGAAAATACGGTATATTATATTAGATACTACCACGTGATAAGCGAAGCTTTTAGATAAAATAACTGTTAGTCTTAGGCCAATATTTGATTGCTAAACTCTTTTACTCACCAGAAGAAATAGAGGAACGACTAGCAATAATTTGATGATGTTCAGTTTTTGGAATTATAAAAGTTTGTTGTTGTTGATTTTGTTGTAATGGATTGCTAGTATAATGACGACGTGAAGATGCTAACGAAGTTGAAGAAGAACTAGCAGCTAATAATGTTGTAGATGAACCAATTGCTGTTGAAGTATGTTGACCACCAAAATTATTTGTATTATTAGTTGTTATTATTGTCGGTTGAACAATTTCAATTCGTGTCGGAGGATTTAAATGATGATGATGATCTATAGTTGAAGTTGTAATATGATGACGTTGTTGTTGATGTGGTGGTGGTTCATGGTGAATTATAGAAACTGGATAATAATTACTTGTTCCACTACTACTTGGGCCGGCATCGAATTTTGAGGTTGAAGCTTCTTGAATCTATTTTTTGATAAAAATTAAAGGCAAAAAATAAAAAGGAAGAAAAATACCACTGTATAAGACTGTGGCCCTGACGTTTGAATTCCACTATCTGTATGAACTTGAACAAATTTATTGTCAGCGATGATAAAGCCGTTTGGAACACTTCGTGCAGGTACCTGAAAAATAAATATATTAAGAATAGGATTGGATATAAGGCAAGGGTAGCCGGGGTCGGATTTCAGGGGGCTAAAATTGAGTGCTTTTAGTCTCCTGAAATCCCCCCTCTCCCATTCCTTTTTTAAATTATAAAAATAAAACCTGAACATATTGAACAACATTTCCTCCAGAAAGTTGCTGTTGAGTAATATTTATAGGTGACTGAACTATAGTATGAGTAGTTGTTCCTACTCCTCTATCTGGGACCACAAAATGATGTTGTTTGTCGTCTAAAGTGCCAACAGTTTCCTCTTTTTTCAATTCATTTTGTTGCATTTTTAATAAAGTTTGTCGTGCTTCTTCTGTCTTTCTGACAACATCACGTTCGATTGTATCCAAAATTTGATCTTAAAAAATTTTTTTAAATCAGGAATTTTGAATTTTATAAGTCCCATCTTTCTGGAATAAAAATTTGTTATAACTGTAGAATTCAAACAACTATCTTGTAAATCTATCGAAAATAGGGCACCACAAAATGGGACACAAAAATAGGTCACACAAACATACATACTTCGATTCAGATAACACTAAAACATGTCCGAACGAAAATAAAATTAAGTTTCGGTTTCAATTGTAAACTTAATTAGGGTCTCACGGTGGTAAAAAAGATGAATGGAAAAAGCTTATTTTTGTTTTCAAAAATTCGACAAAACAAAGGAAAATGGATAAAATTAAGGATAAAATTACAAAAAAAAACTAAAAAAAACCTAAATTCGGCTCAGCTGACTCATTTGCAGGTTCAGTTTTTGGTTTTCGTTGTCTTCTTGGCACAACACCTCTTTCTTGTTGCTTTCTTTGATATCTCAAACGTGCTTGTTCTGCTCTTTTTGCATTTCTTAGCATTATACTTTGCGCTTTTTCCAAAGCTTCCGGTGTAATCTGCCCTGCTGGTGTTGAAAGTAATTTCTCTTCTTCAACACGTCGCTTCCGGAAAGATTCAGTCCGTCTTCTATTATAAATTTTTCTTTCATCAGCCGTCTACAAAAGTAAAAAATTAAAATTAGAATAATCAGTTGTTGCTTTGATTTATATCAAAGGAATTCCCTAATCACAGGGAATTTCTCATTTTTTCAAAAATAGGAAATTCCGTATTTAATGGTAGGGAATTGCCGATTTTTGAAAAGTCGTCAGAATCCTTTCGATGTGTTATTCATTCCATAAAATGGAGAACCGGAACATTTAATAAAAAATTAAAAATAAATTAATTTTTCTTCATGATTAACCAGTTTTAAATTTAAAGCCTTTTTATGACAAAAAAGTTCGATATCAAACCTCTTTGCAAAACAACAAAATAATTACCATTCGATGATACCGTTGACGTGCCGCCTCAGCCTTTCTAGCATTAACTTCATTAATATGTCTTTTTATTTGTTCCAATTTTTGTCGTGGAACTTCTTCAATATTTTCGGGCAATCCAAGCTGTTTAAGCCTTCTTTTTTGGTTATATTCACGCCTCTCGTCAATCGACATAGTTTGATAACGACTTAATCTTGCACGTTTCCTTTGCAATGATTGTTCATCTAAAAGCACCAAATCATCTGTTATATCTAAAAATTTGAAAAATAAATTTAAAAAAAATATGTAAAATTAAAAATAAATTTGGCATTATGTATGTCCGGACATTTTTTCTCGCGATCTCCAGACTATTTCTGACTGACAATGAACCGTACTGATTATAAAATTCAAAACCCGATCTTCGGAATTGAATAAATTTACTGAACAATTTTTTTTAATTTAGGACATTAGGACAAAAGGCCCATTTTATATTATTTAAAAATTTAAAACCATTAGTTGCACGAAGAATTGCCTCCAACTCTTCCATTTCTCGTTCTTTTTGTTTTTTTCGCTGACGCATAATAATGCGACGTTCAGTAAATATTCTTTTTTCGTCGTCACTGAGAAGAGCATAACGATTTCTTGCTGCTTCGGATAATTTTTGACGACGAAGTCTAAATTAAATATATACTTAAATGTTATAAGCCTATCCATCCCTAATAGAAGCCCAGGGCTCCATTTAGAATATTATGTATGTATTTTTGGGTGCTAGAATATACAAATTTTTAACTAAAGACAAACTTTTCTTGCATTGAAAGATTAGCATCATTTTTAGTCATAATGACAACATGTCTCTCTCCACTCCCCGTTGTAAATTCTTCTACAATTCCATCGTCATCATCGTTAGATTGGTCGTTGCCAATATAAGTATAAAAATCATGGCTATTACTCAAGGAAGTTGGGTCAAACTTGAAAATAAAGATTATATATTTATTCTTTAATTTTAAAAATTATCGGAACGTAGAAGCGACACTCTTTGGATTGCCCAAAACCGAAAATGTGAACCGACGCAATTTTGGAACCATTAGGAAAAAATGGTTCAATGGAATTTCAATTCAATGAATTTCAAAATCAAAAAACCCGTTCAATGAAATCTAGATAGTCAAATGACAGGAATAACACAATCTCAACCTCTACCAAACCCACCCCTGCTATCCCCCAAATCTATTTCTATTTCAAATTTTAAAGGCCCCCAAGTTAATTTATAAAAATTTAAACAACCTTAGTTTCGCAATTTGGACAAGCACAACCAGGAGGATGATAACCAACATTTCCAATGGGAATACTTCTAAACTGGTTATCTCCCGAAACGACCACAACTTGATTTGCATTTCCTCTAAGTTGTGGAGTATTACTTAACATTACTGGAGAAGAAGCAGCAGAAGTCCCAACCAGGCTAACTCTCGAATTTGGTGTTCGGTTGGAATAATAAATTTGTTGTTGACGTTGAGAACTTTGTTCTGAAGTACTCATTGCTTTAAACAAAAATTTGTTTAATTTAAAAAAAAATAAAAAAAACATGAGAAAATATTTCGAGTTATTTAAAAACTCTTTTGAAAAAAATGTTTAAAAAAAGTCATCAACTTTTATCAAAAATTCATTTTATAATGAGACAAAAAATAAAATAGTTAATAATACGACAAACTTCCCATTTTAAGCATGAAGACTAATAAACGAGAAGAACAAAAACTTTTAATATTTAAAACAGCCCTCCTCACGCATGTGTCAATGGAGGTGTCCTATGCGAAATATAATGATGTTGTTGTTGTGGTGGTGGTGGTGGTAACTGTTGTTGTTGTTGGGATGGTTGTTGGGGCTGTTGCTGTTGTTGACCACGCTGACGAAGCAAAATTTGATGTGCTTGTTGAGTACGCCTTAAAACGTCACGTTCAAGAGAAGAAAGAGCATCATATTCTTCTTCATCGTCTGATTTTTCAATTTTTAAATCTGGATCAACATCTGCCAAGATAACTTCCATTATTTGACGTTTACGTTTAGGAGTGTAACGTTTTTGGTTGTAAGCCCTTCGCTGTTCTGGTGTCTAAAAACGAATAAATTTTTTAATCCATTTTTTAAACAAAACAGAGATTTGACTCATTTTTTGGGAATAGTAATAGGGTTTATAAATACTTTTTACGTTCAAAGGATCTGGGGACTATCAGTTAACTTATTGTTCAAATTTTTGCAATATATCCCTCAAACTTGAAAATAATACAAGGACAAATTAACCTTCGTTTAATGGACGATAAAAACGGGAAAAGTTCAGAGCCAAAAGAGAATCTTAAAAAATTTTGTGGGGAAGTAAGGAAACTATTAGTTAAAGAGTAGGTAATGTAGAAAGTATTTAGTTGTGTCACTATATTTTTAGAAAAAATACGTTTTTATCCCTTTCTATAAGACAAATTAATTTCAAAAAATAAATTTAAACCATTCTTTGATAACGAAGCCGAGCAGCTTCAGCACGCTTAGCATTTCGAATAACAATTTGTTGTGCTCTATCAAGTGCCTCTCCATTAATTCTTCCTATAGGCATAGCCAAAAGAGTTTCTTCTTCCATCCTTCTACGTCGAAATGCTTCAGTCCTTCGCTGATTATACATCTTCTTTTCGTCATACGTCTAAAAATGGAAAATTTTTTCGTCAAATAAATTTAAAAAATAAAAATGTGATCTTTTAATGGAATCGGGGCTGTTAAAAATATAAATTTATTTAATTGAGTAATTGAAAATGAGGTTTCTTGGAGTCACTGATTTTTAAACTTAATTTTAGAAAAAACTTTATTATTAGCGGACTTCTTTTTTCGCGGACTCTTTTTATCACCTATTTATTTTTGAGTTCAAATAGACAGATCTGGAACGGATGCTCGAACCAAATATTTCCAGACTTTTTCAGTTCCTATCCGGAACCGTCAATCCCACACCTCTTACATTAGATTGACCTCAATTTACTATTAATATAAATTTTATTAAAATTTGGACTGGCGTTGGAGGAAGAGCTGCCTAACTTATACTCCTAATTTAAAATATCCTAATAATTCTTCCGACCCAAGGGTGTACTTTATAATGTGGTTCAATTTTTTAAAAGAAAACAATTTTTGATTTTTATAGAGCCCCAATCCCTAAAAGATCACACCGATAAAAAAACCATTCGATGATAACGCAGTCTAGCAGCTTCAGCTTTTCTCGCATTTTGTTCTTTAATTCTTTTATTAGCCTCCCCGCCCAAATTTCCACCACTTTTATCTTCATTTTTTACAGAAACTTGTTGTTTAATTCGTCTTTTCATATTATGAGATTTTCTTTCTTCATCAGTCATTCTAAAAATTTTTAAAAAAATTTTTTAAAGTAGAAATATCTTTTTAACCAACGACCTGTGATATCTATTACGAGCAGCCTCAGCCCATTTTGCACGCATTCTCTTTTCTCTAAGTTGTTCTAAAACTTCTGGATCGTCATAAATATCTCCACTAGCACGCAATATTGCTTCTAATTGAGCCATTTCCTTTTCTCGTTGTTTTTTTCTTTTTTGTGCTAATGTCCTTTTGAGGTTTAAAGCTTTTTTCTCGTCTGGTGTTAAACGGTGATAACTTTAAAAAATAAAAAGTAAATTAAAAAAAACAAATTGCAAACTTAAGGAAATTAAATTTCGGGTAAAATTCCGTCAAATGTCCCCTACCCCAAATCTTGTATGACTCTTCAGTTAGCCTAAGAAAAATATTAAATTTTTGTATATGAATTTACCTAAACTAGAAAATATTCCCAAAATAAATAGAAAAAAAACCGTAGACGAGCAGCTTCAGCCTGTCGAGCACGCTTAACGGCTTCCTTCTCACTTTTTTCATTCCTTTTATTATCTTCTGAAGTTCTCGCTACAAGTTCTTGTCGATTATCCAGAGATGTTGAGTGATGAATGGATGGGACAAACTTAAAAATTGAGTTTTGTGAGGGCTGATTCAATTAAACGATGAAATAAAACAACGAAATAATATGTGAGGGAAAAACTAAAATTGGAGGTGACATCCTTTTGTGTTCAAAAAACGGAAAATTTTTTAAGTAATTCAACCCCTATAATCTCTTATTCAAAAATTTTAAAATCAGAAAAAGAAGTACTAGAGTTCGAATCCGAGTCGAAACCAGGGTTTCCAATCGGAAAAGCTCGGGTCTTACAAGAAAAACTCGGTTCATGTTCTTCTCTAACAACCTCCCCCCCTATTTAAAATAAACTTTAGAATAATTACCACATGTCTCTCCCCATTTTCTGTTGTGAATTCCTGTACAATTCCATCAGTATTGCCTGAAGGATCATTTGCAATTGAATATGTGTAAATCTCGTGGCGGTTGTCTAAAGAAGTAGAATGTCCAATGGGTGGCACATACTAGAATATTTATAAGTTTTAAAGGACTTTCTAAAAAATACCTTAGTTTCGCAATTTGGACAAGCACAACCCGGAGGATGATAACCAACGCTTCCAATAGGAATACTTCTAAACTGGTTATCTCCAGAAACAACCACAACTTGATTTGTATTTCCTCTAACTTGAGGAGAATTACTTAACATTACTGGAGAAGAAGCAGCAGAAGTCCCAACAAGGCTAACTCTCGAATTTGGTGTTCGGTTGGAATAATAAAGGCGTTGAGAAATGTGCTCTGAAGTACTACTCATTTTTGAATTAAATAACTAAAATTAATAATTATTTTCATATTTAAAGCAATGAGAAAACAAATATAATTTAAATTTGTATTTGAACAACAGAAGAGTTAATAAGCCGCAAAAGAAAGGTTAATTAAAGAAGGAAACAAAGTGATAAAATATTAGAAATTCTGAAACGAGGATCAAGACTTGTAAGAATATCAAAACAAACACAATTTCACCCAAACTCAGAAAAAAGATGGGAAACATGGAAAGATATGAAGCAAAACAAATGGAAGCAGATGAAAATTGTCACCAACATCAGGATGTAAATGAATCCTCCAAAGATAACAAGATTTTCCCCAAAGTTAAAGGCCAAACACTACCTACACATGTTAAGCTTCGACTTGTCAACTCGAGCAATTTATTTGTTTTTATCAACTATCAATAAATACCTTAAAAATTCATCCAAAACTTTTTTTGTCCAAAATCTTTTCTAGATCAACTCTCAAAAGATCAGCTTACTGTATCTCATTTGTTTTTCATACCCTTGTAAATTATATTTTAATTCCCCTTTCCGAGATATACTCTAACCTCTCCTTATAAGAGAAGAAAAAAAGGTTGGAGAACTTATATACAGGCTTATATTAGAGTTCATATAAAAATAGAGAAGTGGATCAAGGAAAGAGGAGAAAAGAGTATAAAATGTACTAGAAAAGAATGCGAGGAGAAGGGAAAAACTACAAATCTCGAAGAAATTGTGTTGTTGAGAAAATGAAAAAAATGGGGGGAATAATGTAGAATTGTGTGGGGGAGAAATAAAAGAAATATAAAAATAGTGTTTTTGTAGCGTTTTTAGAGGAGAAGATGGTGAATGAATGTGTGTGTATATTTTATTTTTATTTCTGAGCAGATTGGTTGGGTAAAAATGAATGTGAATGTGTGGGGAGACGATGAAAGTATTTTTTGAAAAGATGGGGAAGGAATGAAGAAGATGAAAGTTGAGGGGGAAAAAAAGAGGGAATATATTTGGGGAGGATTGTATACAATTGTGAAAATACTTATATTTGTTTAAATGTGGAAAGCAAAAGAAAATGTTAGTTTGTAGGGAAGGAAGGCTATTTTACACAACTAAAAAAGAAGTGGAGAGAAGGAAGGCAGGCAAAAATGAAAACCCGATGGAGAAGAGGAAGAAGAATGTAAATAATACACACATTCATTGCTAGTCCAAAATGGTTTCAGACAAAATGGTACATGGGCAAAATGGTAAAGAAACAAAATGGTTTTTAAGGCATCCGGGTATAACCCTAGTCGGGATGACTAAGAAATTAGAAAACCTAAAAGATACAGATAGAAATCCCGAAAAAATCTTCCAAAGAATCTTCAAAACTTACATAAAATAAGATCTGGAAGAAACCGGATCTGGAAGGAACCGTCTTGTCCAGTACCATTTTGTTAATATCACCATTTTGTCATGTACCATTTTGTCTGGTTAGTCAACACACATTGAGTTTTTAAGTTGGTTGCCTTGTGACGAAAGACAAGACAGAATAAATGGGCTGACTAGCAATGTATACATAAAACCTTACTGACACGACGACCAGAGAAGCTATATAGTATTGATTGTGTATAGCAATGCTAGAAAAAGGCGAAAAATTAAGTTGATTTGTAGAAGGAAAAGGGCAAGATGAATGTTGAGAAATGGATGGAGAAAAATCTTTTATTTATGGAAGGGGCTAAAAAAGAGAAAAAAATAGAAAAGAAACTATGTAAAGGAGAATAAACACAATAGAAAAATGAGAAAAGGTGAAAATTTATTGTTGCGCTATTAGGGAAATGAAGAAATATCCGAAGATATTTGAGAAAATCTATATAAAAGTAACAACTTTATCAGTTAATTTAACAAATATTTGTTCGAATATAAAGCCATGTTTGATCGATTCCTTTCCCTTCTGTTGAAGTCATTTTCCAACATTCTTCTTCAGATTGTAAGGGAAAGCGGCATAAAATCAGTCCTGCTCCATCCTTCATTTCCAGCAATTTTGGTCTAACTTGGGGGACCTTAAAAACAAAAAAATTTTCAAAATTAATTTTAGATTACAATAGTTTCAGTTCCAAACAGCACAATAACGTCATAATCTTCCAAACAAGTTTTGAAAATATCAGCTTTTACAAACTTCACTTTTTTAGTGCCTTCTCGAAAACTTTTCCAACGCGAATACAAAACCAATAAACTGTTTAATTCAACGCCTGTAGAATTAGTGTATCCAGCCTTTGCGAGTTGTAATACCTAAAAAAATAAATTTTGAAAATTAATTGAAAGAAAATACAAATAAATGGTTCAGATTTTGAGGTTATTTTTTCTTTTTTAAAAATTTTTTAAAAGAAATTTTTAAAGTCCAAACACAATAAAATTTATTAATATTTAATCGTCATTATAAAATACAAGCATATTTCTTGTTGGATAAAGTCAAGAGTTTTTATTTTTCTCAAATTTATTGGGTATTTTGATTAGAAAATTGACTTTATCCAAACAATTTTATTTAAAAAAGACTAGGAAAATTTTAAAAAATCATTGCAATTTTATAAAAAAATAAAGGAATGTATTGAAAAACTTGAAAAAATTCATTTAAAGCGTTTAAACAAAAACCGGTATAAATATAATACAGAAACGGATGATGAGACTCTGAAAAACTATTAAAAAATCAAAAGTCTAACTTATTAAATTCGAGAGATAATTACAAAAAAAATTTTGGAGGTGAAAATATAAATATACATGAGAGAGGGAATTATGAAAATACAAATTCTTGTATAATTTTCTTTTAAAAGACTATGTATAACCAAAAAAACATTTTATGGTAGAAACGATTTCGATCCTTGATTTTAGTTAAGGACATTTATCAGAAGATTATTGGAAATGAATCAAGGAAAATGTAAGGACAAGGAATTTAAAGGGGGAGGGGGGAGGAGACTAGATTTCTTCTCTAAATGGAATTCTTTAATTTTTACTAATATTCAAATAAAATTTTCATACTACCATAAAATACCTTTAAAAAACTGTCATCTAAACAGTTTACCTACATATTATTGTCTACTTTCAACTAAAATTGGATGTGTATGTGCATGTGGGAAATTCGGAGCAATCGGTAAACTAATTCTAGTCATTCTATTCTTTTTCAAAATTTGTTTCTTTTCACGCGCAGCTTTTTTCTGCTTTTTAACCCTTTCACGCAAATCCTGTCCTCTATGTGTAACACCATCAGGATTGTCCATTTTTGCAAGTAAAGATTCTAAATCACCTTTTCGTATAGGTTTAACTGTAATATCCCTAACTGCTCGAAATTGTCCTTAAAAAATTTTTTTAAACCTTTTTTTACTCATAAATCTTTTCTGACCGCAATTGTTTACATGCTCATTCTCCAATCGAAAATAGTTCCAAATGAATCTTGAAAATAAAAAAAATATTATTTTTTTATAAAAGCAGAGGGAGACTGTTTTTTTATACGTTTTTTTGAGGGAAAACTTTAAAAAATGATTCATGAAATTAAGTTTTCGGTTCGAAAATTTGGTTGTTAACTACCCCTACTAACTAAATAAATACAACCATGTCTCCCCACATAAAATTAAAAAAAAGTTCCAAACCTCCTAATTACTTCCAAAGGAGCCAATATACAAACAAGCAAATCTCCTTGTAACATCCTTTAAAAATTGAAATAATTAATTAAAAAATATTAAAAAAAACCATGCTTCCGCTAACGAAACATTCATTACCCAAGTTAATCGTAAAATAAAATCTTCAGCAATTGCAAAATAATAATACCATTTACTTCCATAAATCATTTCTTCTCGTAGAAGTGGAGCTTCTTTGGGTGCTCTCGGATCAATTAATCCCCAATCCATAAATACGTCCCACTTAAAAAATAAATTTTTAAGAAAAATCCTCATTGTCAGAAAGAGGATGTGTGAGATCAAAAAGGAGACACCCCATCTCGTCACAATTAAAAAAACGAAACATCAAGTACGATCAAATAAATTATCCCAAAGTCAGCATTTCACAAGTTTTTATTTTCCAGTTTTCTTTTTTTTTAATTCTAGCTTTGTCTCCAAACTACGTCCACAAATATTGCACCCCGAAAGAGTAAAAAATTTTTCCTGTTTTATTAGCCTTGCCAAAAAAAATAATAAAAACCAACCAAAAATGTGTATGTAAAGCTAAAAATATAAGAAGCCACCCAAAGATAAAAGAAAATAGAAGTATCATCTGACCACCATTTACTTAATAAATTACTTCCAACAACCAAAAAAGTAGTTGCATATTTGCATGCATTAACCAAATGTGGATGCCAAGTTCGAGTATCACGATAACGACGAATACATTGCAAAAAACGAACGAGAGCTGGAACGACTGATACGAGAGATCGAATTCCAGAAGAAGCAACACACATATCTTGGCCAGTATTGATATCAACATAACCCCAGGGAACGGGGCCTTCGGTTATGTTGAGGGTACGAACTTGGAATTGAGCATCAGAAAAGTCAACTTCTGTTGCGTAGAAACAAATAAAATATTGGAGATCCAGAAAACAAATTCTGAAAAAAATTTTTTATCAAGTGAGCGATCGTTACAATAAAATTTTTAAAATATATTTTAACATGAGGAAAGGGTTGCCTGAAAAATAAAATTGGAGACATACGGGAGAATTATTTCTTATAATTTTTTCCCTAATTTTTGCTTGTCTGAAAATAATTTTTTCACAAATTTTTCTATTAAGGAAAAACTCTTAAAATTTTTTTTATTAAAATCAAATTTTATTTTAACCAAAATTAATTTCCCCGATAAAAATTATTTCAAATATTTAATTGAAAAATCTCACGCAAGAGAATTCATTTGATCGCCTAGCCAGAAATCCGAAAATGTAACATAATGAAAAGGAGCCGTCAAACAATTAAAGCAATGTTTAAGAAGCCAGAAACGAGAATTTCGATGAAAAAAATGTTCTGGGTGTTTAAAACTAAAAAAATTAAAATAATTAAAAATTAACAAAAATTACGGGTTAAAAAGATAAGCAACACAAATTAACATTAAAGCCATTGGAAAGAGAAAAGGAGGTAAACGAAGCCAAGAAGCGTACAAATATCCAAGTACAGACATTGCCCAAAGCATTAACATAAAAGAAGAAATTTGCATAACCTTAAAAGTTTTTTTAAAAGTTACGGAACAAATTTTAAAAGGTCAGAATTTTAAAATAGCATTTGAGTAGTGAAAACAAAGAATACAAAAAATTAAAAAGAGTAATGAAAATTTTTGTTTAATGTTAAAAGTTTCAATTTTTTGAACACATTTCAATGTAATGCAATGCTTAAATAAAAATAGACTTGCGTCTTAATAACAGAAAAAATAGAAATGAGAAGAGAAAAGTCGTGTGCGATTTTGTCTACCCTTATGTTAAATATTTCCTAACACAGGAGCAGAGCTGCGTCGAAATAAAAAAATCTTCGAAATTCGGAAATCGAAAATCAAAAGAAATCCAAAAATATCGAAATCGAAAATCGAAATTTTATAAAAAAAATTCGAAAATCGGAAATCGAAAATCGGCAGAAAAAAACGTCGAAAATCGAAAATCGGTAATCGAAATTTTTTAAAATAACTAAAAGAGTAGTAAACAATCCGCAATATGGAGATATAAGGGTTAATATTGAAATATAAGGGGATTCAATGGATTAATGGAAGTTTTAAGAGATATCAGTGATCGTAGGGATATACAGGATTAGAGGGTTGACTAGAGACCAATTAAATCCGCACCCTAGATCACTTTAAATCCTTTATTCCTCCAATATTCTACTTACCCCTTGATATCCCATCCTCCTATATCCCTCTTATTATTATAAGGCAAATGGATTAATTGGAGGCTCGGGTGGAAAGTCAATGATAATATTATTTAGGTGGATTTGGTTAGATTAAGGGGGATATTATATGATATCAGGCGAATATGAGGGATATCAAGGGTTACGCGGGATTTGGGCGGATTATTGTGAGATTTGGGTGTATTAAAGGGAATCTCGCGATCTTCTTATCCCATATTTTTATTCCTCCATCTTTCTTAACCTTTTTTTGCGCCGCAGGCGAAAATTTTCAGAATTTTGAAAGATCGCTAAGCAAAAAATCTTCACTTCTCTGCGCCGGAGGCGAAAATTTTAAAAATTTTGGAAGACTAGAAGACCGATTTCTTCATTTTTCAGCGCCGCAGGCGAAATTTTTGAGAATTTTGAAAGGCTAAGTAGCCAAATTTCTTCATTTTTGGCGCCGCAGGAATAAAATCTTAAGAGAAAAGATAATGCAATTTTGCAAAAAAAATCGAAAATCGAACGAAAATCGAAAAAACTAAAATTATCGAAGTCGAAAATCGAAATTTTATGAAAAAATTCGAAATTCGGAAATCGAAAATCGGTAGAAAAAAAGTCGAAAATCGAAAATCGAAATTTCGACGCAGCTCTGCACAGGAGCAGCGATTTTTTATACACACAGAATAAGTAAAAGTAAATTGTGACCTGAGGTTTTAAATCTTACTTAAAATTAGTTGACTGGTATAAGGAGAAAATAAAAATATTAATTAAAAAAACCGTCTGATAAGTTAAATGGTTGCGAGGATCTACTTCAAAAATGAGAACATGATTAACACCTGCAGCTGCCCAACCATACCTTGAAAATATTTTTATATTTATTTTTTAAATAATAAAAAAACATGTTAAGTCCACAAAGCCACATTGAAAGGAAAAAAAGAAAAAAGCCTCGAAATAGGCGAACAGCAACCCATTTTGGTTCATTTACTTGTTGTTCCAATCCAAACCATGAAAGAATTATTGCGACAGCCAAAACTATAAATATACCCATAAACATGCCTAGCGAGAATGTTGTTCCAGCATTTTGTTTTTCGCTTAGGGGAGGAACCTGACATGAGATATTTAAATAATGTAAATTCAAAAATAATTTGGAAATTTTGAACTTATGTTAGTCAGAAACCCCACTTTAATCCTCCCCTATTATTCTCGTAAGTATAAGGATGTTGAAAAGCATCACATTCTCATTTTTGATTTAAACAAAAAGTATGTTAGAATGACACACACGCCTCAAAAGTTGAGGCCGAAAATCTATCCCCCTAAACAAGATATCCCTTTTAATTGTTTTAGAATAGTCGTCAGAGGTAGAATAAAGGGAAAATAGGTCCGTAAGTTAGAAAAAATTAAAAAACCTTAAGTCTTTTCATTCCCGCCTGTCTATTACCCCCTTCCAGTTCATTAATGACCGTCGATTCAACATTGTTAATTAAGGATTCAATATCAGAATTGAGAAAAAACGAAGATTTTTCAACCCGATTTATTCGCCAATCCATTCCAGCATCATTCATCATTAATTTGTCATGTTTTTTGAAAATTTTACGAAACCCGGTAGCATTTAATTGCTAAAATTGCCAAGAATTTAACAAACAAAAAAATAATTTAAAAAACCTGATAATTTTGTAAAAGTACAAGATTTAAGTAGAATTCACTAAAAATTAAGAAAAATTAAGAATTTATAAGATAAAAAATTAAGTTAGTAATGTTTTTGATACCATTCGATAGAGGAACCCCGATTTAATATTGCGAAGCGACTTTCTTTATTTTTGTGAGATGACTTTGGGCTGAGTTATGGCAGGTCAAAGTCTCAGTCTTTAGGGGCTAATTAATTAATGTAAGCTTTAAGAAGTTAACTCTACGTAAAATGTGAGGACAGAAGTAATCCAAAAATATTGAAACAAATTTATTGATAATTTTAAAGTCGATGATGCCCCTTTTTCATTTTTTACAAATTCCTAATTCCCCCAAAACCAAGTTTATTTGTTTTGTTCAAACGAACATACTAACAATAAGTAAATAAATTTTTAATCATTTTTGATTAACCCCACCCCCCCCATAGCCAGGTTAACTAAAAATTTTTAAAAATCAACAAACCTAAAAGCCAATTTAAGCTGTTGTGCAGTTTTTGACTGTTCTTTTTGCAATTTATTAAGAGAAAGTTTAGCTCCAGCAAAGCGTAAACGGACATTTTTTCTCTGAGCAATTGGAGTTTGCCTTGATTCGATTGAATCTTTAAAAGTATTCAATTCTGCAGTTAATTCGTGATATTTTCCTTGAGCTTCAGCTATTTTTTGACTGAAGAATAAATTAATTTTGACAAGTTCTTTTTCACATTCTGCAAAAAATGTTTCATCCATTTGAGAAATATATCTTTAAAAAAAGAGAAAAAATTAGCTAAAATTATTTAAAAAAATTGGAGGAAATATACACGAGTCATGAGAGGAAAAAAAGAAAAATGTTTAAAAAAATCCTCTAAAGTGTACAAAAGATTTTCTTAACTAGCCACAACTATAGTAAATACTTTTCTCGATTTTTAGTTACCTCCTATTTTTTCTTAATGAGAAACCAAGAATCAAATCAAGATTCTTCAGAATTCCCCCAATCTCTAAATATCGACGTCAACTCCCCAAAAATTCCAAGCCCTCAAAAATATTAAAAAAAAACAAAACTGGTCTCTCGCATCTGCTTCAGTCGGCGCTTCCAACATAATATCATACAAAAGTGTTTTAAGTTCTTCATAACGAATATATTGCTTTCTCCATTCAGGTGTTAAATGACTTGCTAATTGTTCCCCAAATTTCATTGCACAATTTTATTTAAATATTTATACAACAAAAAATAATTTTTAAAATTTTCTAGTCTCTCAAACAACCAAATTCAAAATCTGAACCAAAAAAAAAAAAATAAATTTACTTACAACTCTTCCATCTCCACTGCCCAAATCAATTATTTTTAGCCCTCTTGTGGCGGGGTTTAAATTTTTGTATTGATCCATCAATTTAACAACATTTTCGATTTGTTTAACAGTAGCCGGCACATAAGGTATACAAACACGTCGAAAAGCAGGAAGGACAAAAGGGAGGGTGGCTGCACTCAAACCAAGTGCGCCTGCCCCGATTGCGCATGTTATTGTTAAGCCTAAACCTCCCATCTATATATCTGAAAGGGCGCAATTTTGTGCCTAATTTTTTTTGAAAAAAAATATTTTTAAATATTGTGGTGTTTAAAATTTAGATAATGAAAAATTTAGAAAATTTAGATAATTTCTGGATAGCAAAGCCTAAAACAAAAAATCTGTGGTTGTGTACAGAATCTGTGGACAATAAACAATTGAAAACGAGAAAAGAAAATTGATAGAAAAATGCAAAAATAAATTTAAAAATAAATTAAATTCAAAAAATAAATTCAAAAATAACTCGACACTTATTCTTTCTGAAAAGCCCGTTTTAATTGTCCCAAGATTCTACACTGTGAAAAATCTGAAATTGTCGGCTCGTTGATGCTCGCGAGAGACGAGGATCATCAAATTTAAATGATTTTGGTATCACTCGACGAGTATTTCCAACCAGCAAGTATCCAAAAATCTTAGAAATTTGTGGATCGCAGAGACGGAAGTCGGCGTTTTTTCTATCTAGATCTGTGAAATACCTAAAACAAAAAATCTGTGGTTGTGTACAGAATCTGTGGACAATAAACAGGCCCTTGATAAAACCCCCCCCCCCCCCAACAAACTCCGCCATTCTACCTTTAAATAAATTAAATACCTTTTAAATAATTTCCAGTCAATTGAAAACGAGAAAAGAAAATTGATAGAAAAATGCAAAAATAAATGTATAAAATCAAAAATTGCAACCCAAAATATGCAAAGAATACTTTTTAAAAAATGCCTAAAATTAAAAAAGGATTTACATTAAAATAAATTATGAGAAGAAACTGAAGATCAGTTTTTCTAAAAAGTTGAAGAAAGCAATATTAATATTTTAATTTAAAAAAATAAAAAAATAAAAATAAAAACGAATTTGGCATCATACATATCCTAGTGTGGAAAAATTGCATTAACGGAACCCCGTAAAGGGATTTCTTCAAAAGACTGAACGTGAGAGGATTCAGCGGGATTAATCCTGACAATCCATGATACGGGATTTAGGGGCAGGACACTGTTCGTGATCCTGTCCGGTCCGCACCAGGGCCAGGTTAACCGAAACCCGAGACCCAAAAGATCCGAAAATTTTAAAAACCCGACATGACTTTTTTCTCAACTCGGCCCATCCTTGGTCCGCACTCTGATCGGTATCACGAATTATTTTGCCGAGAACATTTGCACCGCAACTTTTGTGCTGGGCGACTTTTTGCGCCGCCACTATCATTAAAAAATATACGAATAACTACATAACTACAGTCGGGCTTCACTATAGTGTACCCCTTAGGGCAGAAAATCATGCCGGAATAGGGTTAGCATATCCAGATATCCTTATCCGAAAAAGTCAGTACATCAGAGATCACTTAGGATATCGGTTCCGGGGATTTCCCAGGGGCCTTAAACTCTACCCAAAAATACCTATACTTGAAATTATTTGATGTGGGAAAAGTTTGTGGTAGTATTACTATATTGGATTTGCAAAAATTCATTTGTCACAGGAAGTGGCAATAACGGCTTCTTCAATGTTCAGATGGAATTTAATGATGGTTGCTTTGGTGTTCCACTTGTATAATGGGAAAATAAAGTACATGAATATTTATTTATTGCCATAAAAGCGTCAAAAAAAAAATTAAGAACATTTTATGTTAACGGGATCCCTTATATTTACATATAACCGGATTTATTCATTCAATTTTTTTCTTTTCTCATTTTTATTTTACAATTTCCAACCTTCTCGAACTTTTTCTCATTTTTCAGCGATCACCTTTTTTATTGTTTTATTTCCTTCCTTTTTTTATTGCTTAGTGAACGTTGAGGAGCAATTGTTTTAGCTTTGAAATTTTATTTTTATTTTGTCCGGCCTCGACCGAAATTGCATGAATTCTCCTCTCCTCTTTCCTTCTTTCTTTCATTATTTTCACAACATTTTCGTCATTAAATCACTATTATATATACTTTTTAATAAACAAAAAATGCCGACATTTTCTTTTATAGATCATCCTAAAAATTCTTTTTATTTTCCCTCGTTCATTCTCTGGGGTATATTCCGCTTGGATAAACTTATTTTTGGAAGGAGGAAATGAAGGTTACCTATTGAAAACAAAGCCAAAATAATTCAACATTAAATACTTTTAAATATACAGTCGAACCTCCTCTCTCTTAAATTGGTGGGAGGTCTAATCTACTTCATATAGAAACCGATTTGCGACCTGCGATCAGGGTTGTCTGCAATTGCGGATTGCGTAAAATTAAGTTTTTTTGACGCAGACTGCGGATTGCGGCTGCGGAAATTTTTTCATTTATGGACATCCCCTGCTTGCGACAGAAAAGATAATGGAAAAAGAGAAGAGCAATGGTCGCTCGCAAGTTTGTCTCGTATTTTTTCAATGTTATTTTCTTGTCGTAAAAAACGCACAGCGATTTATATATGAATTTAAAATACAACTAACTCTTTATAAGGTATTTTTGGCCCTTAATTTGTATTTTATTGTGAGTTCCGACTGGAAAAATGGCAAAAGATTGAGGAGTTCACCAATCAAAATAAAAATTTGGATTTTCAAAAAAGGAATCTTTAAATTTTCATCAGCTACATAACAACCTTCTACCTCTCTCTACTAGTTAATTTTCTCATTTTCAATATCCAGATTTATATTTCTTTTTATTTTATTTGGTTTCAATTTTATTTCTTTTTTACGTTCCTTCAAAATTAATCCTCTCTCCCCTCCCTCCCCTCTTTTTTATCTCCATAAAATTTTCTCTTCATTTTCGAACACGCTTGGAAGGAAAGGATTTAAAAATAAAAAAAAGAGAGAGTTCATCTTTCCAAACAAATTTCCTCTCCAAAATCCCCACTTTTTTCCTCTCATCTCTCCCTCCAAATTTATCCCTTCACCTTTTCATCGCTTCCATCACTGAAATTACCTTTTTTCTTTTCACATTGCGTAGAATGGACTTGGAATGACCAAATAAATTTTTGAAGAGAAAAGAGGATTTTTAGTGAATTAATGGATATAATGGGGTGGTGGTGGACGTTTATGAAATTTTTTATTACCAAATTTAAACACTAAACAGTTAACAAGTTATTTGGATTTGAAAAAGTTTTTTGCCTAATATTTAATATTATTTAACATTAATTTTAGATAATGTTGTCTTCAAATGAGAAATATCTTAACTAAATAAGAATAAATTTAATAGAGAAAGCATATGTGTCACAAACCCAGATTGCTTGGACCAAAAATCCGATCTGAAGAAACTTTTGATTATCACCTCTTGACATTCTCAATAGAGAGGACTATATTAGAGGGAATTAACATTATCAAGACTTAGTCGAAGTCAAAAAAAACCTTCATAATTTAAAAAATTTTCAAACCACAACTTTTTTAATGGTCATAAAGCCAGAATATATTTTGAAAAATCTCCGCAGAATTCGATACGGATCAGACGCGGCGAAACATTTCGTTTCGTTGCTTCGTAGGATTTCTTGTTATCGTTTTGTTTCGTTACGAAACACCTGTGATTTTCCAACACAACGAAGCGGGTTTTTAGGCCAAAAACCTAAAAAAAATTTCCTATTTATTATTGCTTTTTCAATTATTTATTTGCTGTCCAACCCGCAAAATTTTAGACCAGGTGCACGAAGCACCTAGGAATAATTCCAGGGATATGTATGTAGATAGTTTAATGAAGACAACTTGTTGATTAAAATTATTATTTAAATTCAAGTCAATAAACTCTATACATATTTTTATTTTCAAGCTTTTTTCTTTCTTTTTTTATTGCCGCTTCATTCTCGTCCCAACATCCTTCATTCTCTCTTTTAAATAAAAATATATCCAATCCCATGCTATTCAACCATATTTCACACCAAACAATTTTATTTATTTTTAATTTTTCGGCCTTCCCCCATAAACATCTTCTGCTCTTTCCTTTCTTTTTTCCGTTTTTCTTCCGTTTTTGCCAGCGGAGAAGGAAAAAAGAAAAAGCTTGGCCGACGTTTGTATATGCTTCCTGCTGCCCTATAATTACGGTTGGGCAGGACTAGATAATTGCCTATTGCCGGAAGGAGGAAAAAGAAGAAGCGGGGAAGGGGATGTGAATGAGAAGAATGAAAATGAAGAAAAAGGAAAGGTGGAAGAAATGTAAAAAGACGTGAAAGAAGAAGTGACAATTCACCGTCCCGACAATTCGCTGATAGTTTCTATTTTTAGTTAACTTTTGTCGAAACACTGGATACATAATTTTTTTTTTACTTAACAAATATGATTTTAATTTTCTTACAGCTGAACAACATACCCTCACTTTTAGATACCTATTGTTTGACTTTATATTTTTGTCGGTTGATTGCTTATACGTGAATTGTACCACTTAATAACATTGTTGTAATGACGGTGGATTGTCTTAAAGTCGGTAAATTGTCTTTACCCTCAAATTTTCAATTTCCGCTTTTTTCGACTTTCTCGATTAAAAATTTTTTGTTTCGTCACAAATCTCGCTGAGAAATATCATTCTATAGATATGACCTGACACTGTATATTAAAATTGCCGGAAGAAATTAAGAAAAGCTAAGAGAATTATGGCCCTAGGGACGTTAAGTGAGGACAATCCTTTTGTTTGTTTGTTGGGGGGGGGGGAATATTAAAAAAAGAGAAGAATTTAGATAACGAGAAAATTAAAAAAAGGAAATGGGCAATTATTGTTTAATATTATTTTTATGCCTTTCTAAAACATTGCTGAAGGCCGTTGCACATAAAACAATGACAATGAGAAGCAAAAGAGCGTTGAAAGGCTTAAAGCAAAGAAATTGTGTGTGTATATTAGAAAACAATAGAAAAAATAATTATTTATTTAGTTTTTATTAACGTGGTGCGACACTTGGGGACGGACTTTTGCGGACCGACATTTGAGGATGGACATTTGAGGATTGCGGACCGACATTTGGGGACCGACATTTGAGGATCGAATTTGAGGAATCGACATTTGAGGACCGACATTTGGGGATTGCCATTTGAGTATAAGAATATTTGTATCTTAAAACAGAAATTATCACAAATTATGTACTACGGTGAAGTTGTTGCACAAGCGGGGGAAGTTTACTTGTCGGCGGGGGATGCTGTTTAAACGACGGGGGATGTTGTTCCGTCAACGGGGGATGTTATTCCGACAACGGGAGAGGTTATTTCTTCCACCATTGACGGAAAAAATTCTTACATTGACGGAACAACTTCCACCATTGTCGGAAAAACATTCCCCGTTGTCTGAACAACTTTCCCGTTGTCGGAACAACATTCATCGTTGACGGAACAACATCCCCCGTCGTTTAAACAGCATCCCCCGCCGACAAGTAAACTTCCCCCGCTTGTGCAACAACTTCACCGTAGTACATAATTTGTGATAATTTCTGTTTTAAGATACAAATATTCTTATACTCAAATGGCAATCCCCAAATGACGGTCCTCAAATGTCGATTCCTCAAATTCGATCCTCAAATGTCGGTCCCCAAATGTCGGTCCGCAATCCTCAAATGTCCATCCTCAAATGTCGGTCCGCAAAAGTCCGTCCCCAAGTGTCGTATAACCTTTATTAAATAAATTTTGTAAAAATTTTTTTGTTAATTTTGTTAAGAAAGGCAAGGAAAGAAAGGAAGATATTTTTTGTATGAAGATGTATATGGTGATATCCATGAGTTTGTATAATTTTAGTTACTTCAGATGCCCCTAACATAAAAAATTGCACGGAATCCAAAACAAACTCGAAGAAAATATTGGTTCTACTTGACTTTATGAGTCCAATCGAACTTTATGAGTCCAAATAAAACTTTATGAGTCCAATCGAAGTTTATGAGTCCAATCGAACTTTATGAGTCCAATCGAAGTTTATGAGTCCAATCGAACTTTATGAGTCCAAATAAAACTTTATGAGTCCAATCGAAGTTTATGAGTCCAATCGAACTTTATGAGTCCAAATAAAACTTTATGAGTCCAATCGAAGTTTATGAGTCCAATCGAACTTTATGAGTCCAATCGAACTTTATGAGTCCAAATAAAACTTTATGAGTCCAATCATGATTTATGAGTCCAAGCAAAACTTTATGAGTCCAAACAAATTTTATAAACCCGACATGTCTTATTATTCTAAGTAAAAATTGTGGCTCTACTACGGTTTATGATTCCAATCACAGCTTATGAGTCCAATCAGATTTTTGTGAGCTACGAGGGTAGGTCATCAGATCAAAGCTGGTGATGAAAAAAGGGATAGGTTTATGTTGCCGACCCAGAACCCAGCGACCGTTGACTCCCGCGAGGCGCGTGCCGCAAAACCCCGCGCGAAGCGCGGGGTTTTGCACAAGCGCCTCGCCTATGTTCCATAGGTCTAACAACATAATCCTATTCATTTTTAATGTATTATTTAATAAATGTATTATTTAATAAAATCTAATAAAATGTGATTGAACTCATAAATTCCTATGGACTCATAAAGTTTTATTTGAACTCATAAATTTTGATTGGACTCATAATGTTCGATTGGACTCATAAACATCGATTGGACTCATAAAGTTCGATTGGACTCATAAAGTCAAGTAGAACCAAAATATTTTCTCTAATAAAACAATGTTTTTCTTGGAAATTTATCTCAGTCAACATACATAAATTTAAAAATTTTTTGTTTTTTATTCAAAAAAATTTTTCAGAAGCCATTCCCCCCCCCCCCCAAACAATTCAAAACCTTTCTCTTCTTTGAAACACAAAATCATTTGTTCAACATATAAATCTCACGCTGAGAAATTATTCCCGTTGGGCACAAACCTCTGGATGTTGGCTTGCTTCTTTTTTTCATACATATGTACACCTTCTGTAGATTAGTGGTAAAATTATGAGGAAATAAAAGAAAAAATGTATTTAGTATTTTTGAAAAATTTTGATAGAAAAATTTTTTGAATTTTTAAAAATTAATTTACATACATATGTAGTACTTTATTTTAGTTGCTAGTCTCGTTTTTACGGCTTTCCAGTGTATTTTTCATTACAGAAAATCTACATATTTCAGACTTTCATCTTGAATATAAACAATGAAAAATCCTCTCACTAAAGCCAAACTACTTCATTCGCTTTTGAGTGTTAATAAAGTAATTTTGTATTTAATTAATACGTGATCTACTCCTTTTACTTAAAAATATTTTAAAACAAATATTTTTTTTGAAAAAATATGTAAAATAAAAATTAATTTTTAACTAAATTTAACTATAATAATTTTCAACTAAAATCCCCCCACAAATTCCTCTATATTAAATTTATTTATTTATTGCCCTTTTGCCGGCGTAAATAAAAAAATCTTCCACCTCACTTACTCCTTTTTTGAAGAGTAGATCAACATAAAAATATATTTATTTATTTTCTCTTCTTTTTTCTGACACCTTATTTTTTAAAGGAAAAGACCGGATTGATTCTGAGGGAAAAATGTTTGGTTGGTTAGAAGGGCCTTGGAGGGGGAAAAAGAAGAAGAAAATCCGGTTGAATCATCAGATGAGTGAATCCATGAAGATTTTATAGACTTGGTAATTTTCTCAGCTACCTGACTGGCTATTCCTTCTCTTTTTTCTCTTCACATCTTTTCCTTCCTTTTCGACTAAAAATATTTGCGTCTTTTTGCCGCCAATGGAAAAAAGTTGGTTATTTCGGCGCAGTCTTTTGACGCCTCCCTTATTTCTCAAGGCGCCAAACTTTTCGCGTCGAAAGATCCTTTTGCTTTGAAAGGTGAACAACAAAACAGAAAAACAATTAATTCTTTTTTCCTTCCCAACATCTGCATCTACCTTTTTCTTTTTATTTTTATATTCTTTTTATCTTTCTATTTTATCCGTATGTTTTAAATAGACTCGCCGAAAACATCACTTTTTTAGGTTTTTTATATTTGTCCGAAACTCCTTCCCCCCCCCCCCCTTATACACACCTTTACACGGCAGTAAATTGCGGAGCTTTGTTCACAATAACAAATTCACGCCGATTCATTGGGTAGAAGAGGGGGGGGGGGTGGATGGAAGAAAAAAGAAAATTTAGGTTGTGAGGGAATTTTATATAAAAAGGGAGGGGGGAGGGGAATTAACAAAAGAATAGACCAAGTGAAAAGTATTTTTGGGAAGAGAGGGTGAAGGAGGGGGAGGGAATTGAAAAAAATTGAATGAACAACAATAGCGACACCTACGGGTTGTGACGGACTGTCGAGACGAGAGGAAATGAATGGAAAAAAATATTTTTATTACTGTAGGGGAATGTTTGTTTGAAGGAATTATTTGGGTGAAAAAGTTAGGGGGATTTGTGGAAGAGGAGGAAGGGATTAGAATGTTGGGGGGGGGGGGGAGAATGAAGTTGAAGGAAGAATCCAGAAAATTGTTAAAAATTGAATACAATCCAAATTTTAAATTCCTTGAAGCTTTAATTAATTGGGGAGTCACAGATCTCTCAATCACAGATTTTTCGAGCTTAATAGCCTTTTTATAAAATCTCGTCTCAATCTAGTAAATACAATGTTGTGCTGTTGTTGTGTCCGCATTTGAAGAAATATTTATGAATAAATAAAAATAATTATCGAGTATGATGATAAATGGTTTCGGCTGTGCTTTGACACATTCCATGATTCTGGGGGTTAATTCCATTATATTCTTACATCCAAGAAATTTTTTGCACAGCATAAACATTACATAATTAATCAAATATATGTAAATTTAAAATTAAATTAGTGAGGTAGTGGATAGGCCTCTTTAGTTTTGTTTTGTTTTGAAACAAAAGAATATTTATTTATTTATTTAATAAAAAGGTGAAAATATATGTACAGTTTAAATATACAGTTAATATGTTTGTTAAAAAAAGATTCTCTCTTGATTAGATAAAAACTCTTAATTTTAAGATTGCCCCTTTTCAGTGCACAGTCTCAAATAGGGTTTTGGTTCTTGGGAAAGCTCCAGATCTCCATCTAAAGCCCAAAGGTATCAAATTTTATAAAATAAATTTTTTTTGAAAGACAAAGAAAAAAAATTAATTTTTTTTTCATTTCCCTCACATAACAATTGTTTTTAAAAAATATATTTATTTTTTAAGAAGAAGAAAAGTCGAGTGTATGTACATATTCTTTCCTCCTCAAATATCTCCTTGACTTTTTTCTTCTTCCTCAATTTATTTTTATTTATTTGCTTGTTTTAACCCTCAATTTTCTTTTTCCACACAATGCATGCTCATTTCTTTTCTTCTTTTAATAGCCCCGCCTTTCTTTTACTGTTTCCCCCTTTTTTTATTTTTATTTTAAACCAATAGGCGTTAATACCTTCTTTTCCCCCGCCTTTTTGCATCAACGACTTTTTCTCTTCTTTTCTGTATTTTTATGAAAAAAGGGGGGTGGGAGAGCTAAAGCTATCTAGAGAAGCTTCTTTCTTTCCCTCTTTTAAACAATTATTTGAGTAAGTTTTTTTAAATGTTTATTTAAATATTTATCCGTTCCTTCTAAAAATTAAAAAAATTTTACCTTTTCTCCAAATATTGCCGCGTTCCTTCTCTCTTTTCTTTTCTAATTGCCAACCCCCTTCTCTTTTTAAAAAATAATATTTAATTATTAGCTTGTATTACAATCACTCCACATCTTTCCCCTCTTCTCTTTTTAAAAGATAATTGGGCTTTGCCGACTAATTACCGCCCATTCCTTCTAAATTTCTCCAGCAGCGATCAATTTTGTTTGTTGCCATCTAATGCAACAATAATTAACTGAAAAGGAGAATGTCTACAACAACAACATCATTACAAGCTTCAGAAAATTCCCAAGCAATTCACCCTCAATTCTCGACAGAAGCTATAGACACTAAACCTCCCCCTTCATTTCTTTTAATTGACCAAAAGCCTAGAGAAGATTTATTATTATCCCAACAACAACAAACTTCTAATTTTATTGAAAATAAATTTCAAGATTCTAAAAATATTACGGCTACAAGAAATGCTTTATTTGGTGTTGAACAGAGTCCAAATAATAATTTTTTAATTAACAAGTAAATTTTAATTTTTTGGGAACTTTAAATATTTTGTTTTTTAACTGTTCTTGAGAATCTAAACTAACAAATTATTATTTTTTTAATCATCAGTCTCACGGTCTTATTTTAAACTACAATTATTAACCAATTTGATTGATTCTTATATCGATCAAAAGCTATGAATTTGCAGATTATTTCCCTTAGCAAGACTGTTCTAATCAGATAACCACCTAAAATCTTACACTCTGATAAGCGTGTCCAATCTTGATCTTCGATATTTATCCAACCATAACTTTACAGAAGATGAGCCGATCAAATCTTTTTTTCTTGAAAAAATAACCAGCACATTTATAGCTTTTGATTGAATCATTGAGAATTTAAAAAAAGTTGTGTTCCAAAAATAGGGCCTAAGATTTTCTCTTTCCTTTAACTTGATTTTAATTCTTTCCTTAATTTTCTAAAAATCCTTTTAAAAGTTCCCCTTCTTGTTCATTATCATCCGCTACACCAACCTATTATTCAAATGGAGGTAATGGATATAATACAAATTTTTATAATTCAACAACACATTTTGGACATTCACAATTAGCTGAATTATATCAACAACAACAACAACCACATTTTCTTTATACAAGTCAACCAGCTAGTTCTCCTGAAGGTAAAAAGAATAAAATGAAAAAAAATTTTCAAAATAATTTTTATCTAAATTTGTTGAATGTCTTTTATTTTTTAATCTTTTTCTTTTAAATATTCACGTTTTTTTAAATTTTCATTTTGTCTATTCCAAGAATGTTCTCAGGACTTTTAGGATAGCACTACCGATTAAGGCAGTCCTACTTCCCCCACTCGGCTTTTTCCGATTTTTGAAATCGAAATGTTCTGTGATTATTGGAACAGTAAAACACACACCTTTCATTCTCCTTAAAGTATCCAACAATAGAGTTGTAGGTTTCACCAAATTCTTCGGTTAACCGAACCGAGCCGACACCTCTATCCAACAATATTTACAACAAATCAAATTGCCCCGCCGTGAGACCAAAAAAATCTGTTTTTTGAGACATTTAAATTTTCTGTCCTGAATAACTCCGATCTTTTTACTGTTTTTAAATTAAAAACAAATTAATTTAACAAATTTATTTTATTTTAAAATTTCAATATTTTTCTCAAAATCGATCATTTTTTAATTCTTATTTTTAAAAATTATAGCTAATTTTTACATATTTTGAGAGAGAATTTCTTTTAAAAATAATTAGCTTTCATTATTTTTTAAGTAAATCTAAAAAGAAATTCCTTTTCTTTTTTTATTAAAAAAAGTTTTTTTTTGGAATTTTAGGAATAAAAAAATAAAAAGTAAATTTATAAATGTTTTTATTTTAAAGTTTTTTTAATATCTCACTTTCTCAGAATATATCAACTAAGGTTGGCAGATTCGAGTAAATCCCCTGATATCTGGATTCGATATCTGAACTAAAAATTTACGGTCATCAGAAATTTTTTCTGATCCCTAGATATCTGGATCCCCAGTCCTAAGATCAAACTCCTTTGATTTAAAAACACTCCACGATTTTGGGTTACAAAAAATTCTTTTGTTGTTAAAAATAGGCAATCTCATTTTTCTATTTTTCTGAACAAATTTTTTTCAAAATTTTCATTAACAAAAACAAGTTATAAAATATTTTTTAAAAAGGTTTTCCAAATGACCGGCCACCTTCAAGTGGTTCTGGCAGAGAAAGTGCCCAAGGCCCATGTACACGTATTATTGAAGGCAGCGAAGTACATATTAACGCAAAAGGGAAAAAGACAAGAAAACCTCGAACAATTTATTCTTCACAACAATTACAGGCACTTAATGAAGCGTAGGTTTTTTTGTTGAAATTTAAAAGCGAAGAATTAGACACAAGGCAAGTGGTATTTAATTCTTCGGTGGTTATACATAGCTCTACTAATGAAAGTATGGGTCATTAAATAGTATAACGTTAGCGGATCTGGATATTCGTATCCGAATAGTCGAAATAACAAATATTCCCCCGCCTAATAAATATTTCCCCGAACACCCTCTTGAACATCCCGGTACTTCTTCGCGGTGAAAAGAAGAATTCTGTCCTGTCGATCTTCTCAAAATTTTTTTGCCTGCGGAACTGAAAAAGGAAGAAATCTATCTTTTTGGCCTATCAAAACTCAAAATTTTTTTTAATCCTCTATATGTATCCTCCATCGGGACTCTATTTTTCAGCGCCGTAAGCGAAAATTTTGAAAATAAAAATTTCGGTTCTGGATCCGGATATCCTAACTTTCGGTTCGGATATCGGATCTGGATCCATATATCCCAGGATCCGCCAACATTAGTCAAATAAACAAGTAATGAATGTTGTGACTTATAGCGGGTTTTTTGTTTCTGAACCGATTTCGACAAATGAGGTGTCATTCGAAAGAGCTTCGAAAACTGAGTCGAACTAGATACGGGGGAAGTCGATCCGAAAATCAGGGACCGAGTTACAGACCCCTGAAATTTGAAAAAGAGAAGGGGGGAGTAAGCTGATTTCGAGGTGAAAAATTCAAAAATGCAAATAATAGCTCATTCGACTCAGCTCGACGAGCTGAGTCGAATGACACCAAAATCAGCTCGATATCTTGATTCTGAGCCAAGATACAGGTTCAAAATGATCAACGTAAACCTATGGGGCGTAGGCGAGGCGCTTGTGCAAAACCCCGCGCTTCGCGCGGGGTTTTGCGGCACGCGCCTCGCGGGGAGTCAACGGTCGCTGGGTCTGGTTCAGTAACATAAACCTATCCCCATTTCCCTTGTTCTGGACATAATTGGGCCTCCGTAGCAGCAAAAACCTCCACATAGCCATAGGTAAGGAGCTAAAACAAACGATCATAACTTTGTCCAATCAAGTCAAATTTCGGTGATTTTGGTGTCATTCGACTCAGCTCGTCGAGCTGAGTCGAATGAGCTATTATTTGCATTTTTGAATTTTTCACCTCGAAATCAGCTTACTCCCCTTTTCTCTTTTTCAAATTTCAGGGGTCTGTAACTCGGTCCCTGATTGTCGGATCGACTTCTCCCGTATCTAGTTCGACTCAGTTTTCGAAGCTCTTTCGAATGACACCTCATTTGTCGAAATCGGTTCAGAAACAAAAAACCCGCTATAAGTCACAATACCCCAAGTAATAGCTCATTCGACGCGAATCGCTGAGTTTGGTTGAATGATGTTAGTTTCAGAAAAATAGCTTCAAATTTGCTCAGTTTAATTCGTGACAACCATTCAATTGACAGACAATTAACTAACCCAAATTAAAATAAGCTAACGAAACCCTAGTCCTGTGTTCATAAATTCCAGATTTGCTCGTACTCGCACTTCGTACCACCCCTAATTTTGGTTTCGTACTTCGTACCAAAGTACGAGTACGAATTTTGGTACGGGCTTATGAACACTGATCCAGTCATTCTAATTTTTATCTTTTAATTTCGTCTTTTTCTAGATTTAAACAGCATCAATATCTAGCATTACCACAAAGAGCAGAACTGGCAGAAATGCTAATGTTATCACAAACACAGGTAAAAATAAATTTTTATTGGAATAAAAATCAAAGATTCTCTGATCGAAATCAAAAAATATTTGGTAAAGCATGAGAAAATATTCCCCTTAATTCCCCTTAAGCAAAAAATATTTTCATTTTCCCTTTTCTTATCTATTCAGGCAATCTTTCTTCCTTCAAAAAATCTCTCCATTTTTCTCAGGCACGCGCACCTGTCATTTCTTAGAAAGGGATTTTCTGTCATCTTAGCCAAAGTAATTCATTCCATGGTTTCTTTACATGCTTTACCCCCCAAAAATTTTTCTTCTTCCTTTCGCCCACCTGTTCTCTTTAAATATCTTCTCTCGTTTCTTCTTCTTCCTCCTCCTAATCCACTCCCTTGTGAACAAAAAAATACATCAACATAACCAAAAAAAACAAAAAAGACAGAATGCCAAAATGAACAAAAATAAAAATACCTCCATCAAAAAGAAAAAAGGAAATAAAAAAGCGAAGAAGGGGGAATGATTTGACTTGTTTAAGAGAGGAAATGGGGACACAACAAAGAAAAGAAAAAAGAAGGGGCTACTAATCCCTTCATTGACAAGACAATTGGTTTTTTCATAAAATACTTTCTAAAGACATTTTATGAAAAAAATACAGTCGGACCAGATTTATAAATACACCCTTGGAGTTGAGAAAAATTGTATCTTATAATGGAGGTATTTTAAATAGAGGGTATTACTTAAGTAGATCCCTTCACTCAGAAGCCGGCCAACATTAAAAAAACGTATAAATCAAGGTGTACCCTAAAGTGAGATTTAACTGAAATTTTTTTAATTTTTAGGTAAAAATTTGGTTCCAGAACCGGAGGAGTAAAAGCAAAAAACAGGTAAATTATTTAAATATTAAATCTCTTTCCTTATGTATGTATAAATGTTTAAATTCAAGAAAAATTAGTCTCAGAAAATATGAGTCCAATTAAAATGGCACATAATCCGTACTTCCATTGTTTATTGGGAATACAGACGAATCTCAATAAGACGTCACGGCCCGAATTGAGGGATGTAATGAAGGGAAGTTAATAGGGGATATCGAAATTTGATTGTAATCCATCCAAAGTTTGAATAAAAAAGTGAAAAACTGTTTTTAATATAAACAGTTTCCATTATTAACCCCTCTGATATGAAAAAAAAGAGAAAGACTTACGTAATCTCTAAATAAAGTATTAATTTATCCCCAGCCATTTAAGCGTCATTACGGACATAACAACAGCAACACAAACAGTATATGTAATGGACAACAGAATTCAACAGAAATGAGATTAACAGAAGAAGAAGAAGAAGAAAATGATGAATTAAGTGAAACAAAAACTTTAATTGATGGAAGAGGAGGAGGAGGGGGGAATGACTCCTCAACATTATTAATTAATTCAACAACAACCCCATGCCAATCATTACCAGGAACTTCTTCTTCTTGTACTCCCCAACAAATAAAAAATAAAGAAATAACAGAAGAAATAACAAAAATAATAAATGAACAACAACAAAAACAACAACAACAAACAAATAAACAACAACAACAATTTAATAATTTACCTCAAGATTCTTTAATAAATCAAAATAATTGTTGGGATAATAATTCTGTTGCTAATTTGGGGTTAACAACTGCTGGAATGAATGCTGCTTCTATGCATGGTTAGTTTTAAGGGGGGATTTTAATTGAATTTTGTTTGAATAAAGGGACAGGCCGGTACGAAGTACGAGACGAGCAAATCTGAAATTTATAAACACTGCTCCATACTAAGAAGCCCTTCTCTCAAACCTCTTCCAAAAATAAATTCAAAAACTTTTTCAGGTTATATGCCACCACCTTTCCATTACCCTCCAACAATCCCCAACAACAACAACAACAATTTAATAGATCCATCCCCTTCAATTGCAGATTTTCCCCTCCCTGGGAACTTCCCCGCAGCAATGTCATATTTCCAAACCTCTCTAAATATCGACCAACAAACTTCAAAATTAGACCAATCAACAGCTACGGCAATTTCTTTATATCCTTATGATCATTCTATAGCTGCTAATTATTGCCCTGCAACACTTTATGCAACACAACAATTTTTTGCTTCTAACAATTCTAACCCTTATTCTCATATTGGAAATAGCCAACATTTTCATTAAACAATCGGACCTCTCTTTACACACTTGAAAATTAAAAAAAATTATCTTATAATGAGGTGTACCTTAAATTGGAGGTAGGGGAGGAAGAACAATTTTAAGTATAAAATAATAAATAGAGAGAGGGTGTTTAGTGAAGTTTGATTGTAAAATTAAAAATCTCTCTCTGTCTTCCCAACCATTTTGTTAGAAAATAATGTTAAATTATGTCGATCCCAGGAAGAGATTTTGAATATTTTTTGTAAATAAAAGTTTGTTTTTAAAATTTTAATTTTATTTGACAATGAGACAGAGAACAAAAATCTAAATTAATTAATTAATTGTTCCCCTTTTTTACCCTATAAATTTAAAATTCTGGACAAATTATCAATTTTAGAGGAAAACTACTATAATAATAAATTTTGTCCAGAATTTTAATTTATTCAACACCTCAGTGATTATTGACAAAGTCACACACATAAATGTATTAAATCATCAGAATTCTTTTTTTTAATAGATAAAATTTTATAAATTTATTTTTAATTTGGCAGCCTTTTAATTTGCCGAGTCTACTTTCTAATTCATCTACCTTTTGAGGGGGCTCTCCTCCTCGCATTTGTCTCCAATCATCATTATTGGCAAGATTTGAATATTTGGCGAATTATTGAAATTTAAAAAAAAAGTTCTATGAAAGTGAATTTATTTTTTCCGGCTTTGAATCAGTCGCTAATGGCGTTGGGAATGATGGATGCAGAAACATTAGATAAAATGAGTGTAATGCCTTAGGAGATTTGCAGGCAATGTTCCAATTACGCTGCACTCGGATTCGTCTCACTAAGTTAATCATCAACAAACAAACTCCAATAAATTCCGGATATGACTTCGGAGGCTTTTCTCCGACAGATTCTTTTCTTGAGTAAACTACTGAGGTTCTTAATAACTCTCGACTGCAAGAAGAGTTGAATCAACCTACGGTTTCTGTAGTTTTTTTTAATTTTTTGATTTTAAAATTTTTTGTTTAAGAAATTTTTTGTAGATATTTAAGTATTTTGATGAGATATTTTTAATATTATTATCTGAAGAACTTATGTATGTTCAGGTATGATTTCCCCTTTTTAATTTTTAGTTAGACAAAGTTGAGTATTTTTACTCTGCTGGACATTTTGAAATGGGAGGAATACGCGGGGGACGAATTAGAGGTTTTGTTCAGTGTGACGAATCCGCGGCGCGCCTTTTAATTATTCTGCAAATTAACAGTCGACCAAACAACAAAAAAAACAAAAAGAAAATGTTAAAATGAAAACTGAATAAATTTTTCATTATGTCTAGTCTATTTGTGTTTACGACGAATTGCCACTACCACAAATTGCCAACAAGGACAAAAACGAATGTTTTGTCAATACGGGGTAAAATTCTTTAAAAAACCCTCTTGCGATTGTTTAAGGGAGTTTTAATGTTTTTGTTTCTATTTTGTCTTAATCTTTTTTTGTTTTAACTAAAAATTAATTTAGTCTTACAAAATCCAAACATAAAAAACATTTATTTATTTAAATGCTCGCAAGAAAAAGAAGAAATTTGAAAGATGAGTATGTTCAATTTCTTTCAACTCCAGTCGAAAAGAGACTAAAAGCTAATCAATTCTATGAGAACTTGCGACACTTTTATAGAAGAAAATGGTAAGTTTAAATTTTCATTTTTTATCTTTATTATTTTTTGTTGTTAATTAAAAATTTGTGGACAGTTAAATATTTTGCGGACAGATTTTTCTCTTTTGTAATTTCTTGTGCATTTTTGTAAATTTATTTTTGATATTCTTCTTAATTTTTTTGTCATTCTTTTTATATAAATTTAGAATTTAATAATTCAGAATTTGTCCTCAAATTTTTAAATTATCCGCAAAAATTTTTTACTCAATTTAGGGGATGTTCTCTTCGTATACCTTATGCAAATGGGAAGGAGTTGGATCTTTATGAGCTTTATGATGCTGTTGTTTCTCTTGGTGGATGGCAGAAAGTTACTAATTTTGATCGATGGGGGGAAGGTCTTTTAATTTAAATTATTTTTTAATGATTGTTGGGCTTTGGAGATCGGGCTGAAAGGGATTTTCTAACATAAGCATGGGATTTCTTATAGTTTGAGTCCAAATTCTGGTATTTCCTTGGATTCCAAGTCCAGGAAATCTAAAATATCGATATTTAGTTATCTGCTCGGCCCTAAATGTCTAGTTAAATATCACTTATTCTGCCGGTGAATAACTCGCACTGCCTTTTTGTTTTTTTTCAAAAATATACAAATTTTTCTTTTGATAAAATAAGGGACCTTCTCTTTTAATAGATCTTAAATCGCCTAGTAAGCGTTTTAAATGCTAGCTAGCTGGATTTCCCTATTCCTTACAATTAAACAATTTTCCAAAAATTTTTTTGTAAAATTTAGTTCTCCAGAAATTGTCAATTTCTGAAAATATTCAAATGGCTGAACATGCTGTTCGTATTATTTATATGCAATATTTATGTAAATTTGAACAAAATGAAAGTGGCGGAGATATTGTTGAAGAACACGAAAATGAATTGATTGGAATTAGATCTGCTCGATTGAAAGGAATGATAGCAATGCCTTCTTATAGTGAACCACCAATGAGTGTTTTTAGATCCTCTGGTAATTTTAAAAATTTTATTTTTAAATAATTAAAAGGTAATATAGTATTTTTATAAAAGGATAAAGTGGGAAAAACGACAATTTTACTAAAAATAAATTTTTTCAGATAATTTTCCTCCTCTCGATTTCCACAAATTAGTTTTTTCTCTCCTCAGTGGATTACCAAATGAAGTTGCTTTTGCATTAAATGTGCTTACAATAATGTCACATCCAGGTTTTTTTTTGATTTTTTAAATTTCTAATTAAAACATTTTCTTTAAAGGACCATTTGTCTTAAATTTCGAGAATTGCCCAAATATCATTGATTTGTTGGTTTCACTTATTGGCATTAAAGTGGACTTACTAGGTTTTTATTATTATAAAATTGTTTATTTAACATAGGTATATCAGAGGGAATTAATCCTTTTCCCTTTAATGGAGAAAACGGAAAAAATTTCAGATTTTATAGGTCGGTAAACGAAAATTTTCATTACTAATCATTTTCTCCTCTCACCACTCTTGATTTAGATTAGATATGTTAATTTTTTGGATTAACAGCGTTTATTATTTATTTTTTAAAATCAACTAAGGTGCTGCTCCATCAAATTTGTATAAATGGTGGGAAGAAACAAGCAATTACGATTTTACAAAATTTTGGAAATATTCTGGAATTGATGAAGGGATTTTTAATTCTTGGATTTTTAGTTCAGAACAGGAAACTATGAAATTGTCTTCTCTGTCTGAAATATACAAAGATGATAATTTTGATCTCACTAAACCGACAAATTGGCGTGTTTTCAGTATTCTTGGCATTTTACACAATCTTTCTTTCGAGGAAAATAATTTGTTGACAATGGGAGAGAATAAAGCTTTATTGAGGTTTTTTTAATTTTAAGGGATTTTACCGTGTGTTACTCGTATAGAAACTTTTTCTATAGTGAACTTTTTCAAATGACCTGACTGATATAAAATTTTTTCTTTAATTCTTTACTTAATGGTTACCTTTTTCATTTTTCACAAATTTTTATTTTGATTGTAGCGAGTAAATTAAAAAAATAATAAAACGATAAAATGCAGAAATCCCCTTTTTTAAAACAAATTTTTAGATTACTACTTATTTGTTGTAACTGTCGATGGCAATTACTTAAACGTATAGCTTGTGAAACACTTAGCAATATTTCAAAAAATGTAATTTTTTAAAGATTAATTTTGAGTATAAATAGAGAATTTCCAGATAAACTTAATTTCAATTGAAGACCCTCTAACTGGTTCTGCTTTTTTCAAATCAATACAAAATGGTTTAAATTCCAATGACCGATTTGAAATACTTCGATTTATTGAAATAATAGGAGGATTATGTCAAACAACTTTGAATGAACCTATTTTGTGTGATTTTCTTGATAAAACGGTTTTTTTTAATTTTTCAAAAAAAATATTTTTAAAAAATTTTCAGAATTTTTTCCCTCGTATTTTCACTCTTTTAACTCTCAAAGATATTTTGATTTGTATTATTTCATTGGAAACAATTTTGCAATTATCTGAATTAGGAAGAAATGCTTGTGAATTAATTAGTAGTTGTAATAAATCTGTTGAACGTTTGTTTTTTTTAATGTTAAATTTCGTTAATTTATTTTTTAGAATTAATTGGAATGTTAACAACAGATGCAGCTTCTTTTGGACAGGCTGGCTTGTCTGGGATTAAAGTTGTTGAAATTAATGGACACCATGTACAGCCTTATGTTAATGTATATCTATTTTATTTTTTGTTTAAAATTATTTTTTCTTTTGGGTATTAATGTTAATTAGGATTTTATTGTTTATCCAAAATTTTGATTATGAAAGTTTTTAATGACGGGAGTTTTTTGGGTTCTCTTGTGTTACATGCTTACATTTTCATTTTTTCTGAATTTATCGGCTATAACATCCATAATCCAATCCGAATGAACCATATCATTCGAAATCTCCCGATAAGCGCTATCTTTTTCGCTATCTTTTCCCTTGGTAACCAAAATTCTAGTGAGCATCGCAATTAATTTCAGACTCGATTATTAATTAACTCTTTTCTAGCCAAACAAAAAGAAACTTCATTCATTAAATCAATCCAGCCAACATTCAAAAACAACAACACAGCAACAACAACAACCAATAATAACTAATACAACAACACCAATAAATAATCATTTACCTCCTATAACAAATAATAATTTTTCTGAATTAGACAAATCTATTAATAATATAGCAACAACAGCAAAAATAACATCAAAATCAAAAAATAATTCTAATAAAAAGTGTGTTGAAGCACAAATGCCGCAACATATGTGTGAATGGATGATGATGACTTTAGATGATACTAATGAAGAAATTGAACCCTGTTCAAGGTGTTCTTTATTTTAAAAATCAAGGCACTTTTCTGTTGTCTGTTTCTTTAGAATATTATACATAAATGGTCCGTGGTCATATAATGGTAAAGGGTTAAATTTGTTTTTAAAAAAGCTGTCAGTGTGAGAGAAGTGTAATTTTCTGTTTCCTTTACTTTTATTTACCTTTGACTATTTATAATAAAGAATCGAGATAAGAAATTAAAGGTAAGAAAATAAGCGAAGTAAGAAAGTATAGGGGATTGAGATAAAGGAAATTGAGGGCAGATAATCAGAATAAATTTTTTTAAATAATTCTTTATAGATTCTTTTCTACTCCCTCGCAACTTCTTTTCCATATTTACGAAGATCATCTCAAAGCACTTGTTCAGTCGCACGCAAGTTCAGCGGCTAAAAACCCAGACAATGTTTGTATGATTAGGTGTAGATGGCCTATGTGCGACAGTACACCTCGTACTTTGTGGTCAATGACTACACATTTACAGGTTTCTTAAAACTTTTATTTAAGGATATCTATCTGATACTAAAATAATTGAATAGCAAAAAGATATTAACTTTTATGGTCTATCTCTCGGTTGTGGTTAAAAAGCTTTTAATTCTTGGTATTCACTGACTTTAGGTTCGAATCCCACCCTAGATGATGATCGTGTATTTTTAAATGCTTTAAATTAGGCACATCTCTTTTAGAAATCCACTCGAGGAAACCTATTGGAAATTAAACTCCCTCTGAGATTCAGAGACCAATTGAAAAATTGGAACCCCGGGTTTCTATTAAAGTCTTTAAATAGTAAATTCCTTTACTTCTAACAATAAGCATTTAAAATTATTATTTTATTTTTATTAATTAAAAGGATGTTCATTGCACAGAACAGAGTTTAGAAATAAATTTACAAAAAAGAAATGAATTTGGACTTGATGGTTATTTAAAATTATTTTTTCTTAATAAATAATTGTTTTTTAAAGATTATATAAATCAAATTAGACAACTTTTTAAACAAAATAGAGAACAAGGACAACAACCAGGTTATGCACCTTTTGCTGCATATGAAGCAATTAGACGGCATGCTCTTACAAATTTGAAGAAAGATTTGACGGTTTTTTTTTTAATTTTTTTTGGTGATTAGGGGAAATTATTGAGAGAATTTTACCTTTAGGGGGGAGGTCCATCTTGGATCGAACCAAAAACAGATTTTTCATTTTAAAGGATGACAATGAAGGCCCAGTAACTCGCAACATCAGACTTACATCAGCAATAATTTTACGAAATTTATCAAAACACTCAACATTGGCGAGGAGAAAATTGCAAAGATTTGAAGGATTTTTGAGGTAATTGTTAATAATTTATCGAAATTCATTTTTAAGATGTCAAAACTGGTTAGCCATTCAATGGGGAGGAGGGGGAGCTGTTTAAGCGATACCCCCTATAAGACTCAATTTTTCAACGATTGTATTATGAAATTCGGGTAAAACTAAGTGAGATTTGGTATTTAATTTGGAATTTATTACTTTCTACCATTCTTACTTTCTTTTATTACTTTATTACTTTCTACCATTCTTCAAACGATCGACCAATTTCCGCTAGCCCCACTCCACTTACACCCAAATCTATTCCCCATTCTTTTAAATAGGCAAGTCTTCTCCTTAATTATTTTTATTATTAAAATATCAAAAATCATTAAATTTAGTTGGTTATCTTTATCAAAATTGGAATCATCAAGAACACTTTCCCAATGCCTTTTTGAAATAATTACACAATCTCCTATTGACAACAATAATAATGAACAATTAAAATCCACAGAAGAAGAATAATTTAAAATATAATAATAATTATTTTTTTAAATTTATTTTGGAATTAATTGACACATTCCTTTTCTCTTAATTATTTTTTGTTTTTATTCTAAAAAGTATTTGTATGGAAATATGTCTGAAAAATAAAATAAATGTCTTAAATTTGGTTAAAAATTGAGACTAAATAATTATTTAGAAAATTAAAATTGTAATTTTGATATGATTAACTTTTTGACAAAAATGTAAGGTTTTAGTATTTTGATATAAAAAGGCAAAAAATAGAGAAATTATGACTAAAAATTATTTTGTATTTTTGTTTAAAATAAAGCGATTTGTGTACATGATTGCTAACGATTATAAGCTTATCATTCCTAATTAAGGTAAAAATTTTGAGCGAAATGTCAATAGAAAAACGAAAATTTTCCCAAACGATAGAAAAGCCCATTGAAAAGCCGAGGCCTTAAACAGGTATAAAAAAGTGGATGCCTAATAAACTTAATACTTGATCAGCCCTATTACAATTTCTTCAAATAAATTTTTATTAGATAATATACAAAACATTTTTTAAATTTCATTTTTTGATTTTCCTAAGAAATTTTCAGTTTCTTCTTCTATTGCACCTTCCTTTTCCACATTTTCTTCTTTATTTTCCTCTTCTTGTACCTTTTCCTTTTCTCCATAAATTTTTAAAAATAAATTTCTGACAGGTCTAATTACAGAACAATCCAAAACAAAAGAAAATAAAAAAGAACAAACAAAAATTCCAATAAAAGAAAGCAAAGAAGATAAAGGGGTTGTGTGTACTGGACGATGTAATGAAGCAAATAAAGATAAAGCTATTGGCTCTGATAATAATAAAACAATCAAAACTAATTTGGATAATGGACGAAATACACGCCAACACAATAATTTTGCCAAAACTTTGAAAAAAAAGAAAAATTATTTTTTTTTTGAATATTCGGCATTTGCGGACATTTTTGGATTTTCGAAGCCTATTTGGGTAATGTTAAGGTTGTATATTGGTATATCTATATAGGTATAATATCTTTACAAAAGTCGGGCAAATTCTCAATATTTTCTAATCCTTTATGGTTCCGAAAATCTGATTCTTGTATTTGTAAAGTTAACAGAATACCACCTAAACTAACTTTGCCATATTCCAAAACAGACTAACAAATGAAGGGAAAACAACAACAAACAAAACTTACCACTTCCTTTTAAATTAGCTTCCAAAAACCCCAAAAAACAAAAAAGCAAAAACGACCAAAAAGGTCTGTGTATAGTCCCATAAATTAAAGAAATAATTGAATCATTAAATATCCAAAAAGGCGCCCACAATATAAACATCATTAAAAATAAAGTTGTTAATAAACCAATTAATGATAGAGCCTTTTTTAAGAAGAAAAATTTAATTTTAGTCGTTCCTCACTATAAGATAACCCAATATTCAATACAAAACTCATTTAAGATATTTTTTAAGTTAGTTTGTCACTGGGTGGTCTAAGCAATCCCTTTTATTTATCTTTATAAGATACAATATTTTAAGCCTCAAAGGGGGTATTTTATAGTGAGATTCGACATTCCTTTTCAAAAATATATTTAATAAAAATAATTTTAGTTAAAATATACTTTAACTAAATGTTGCCATTCATCCCATTTTTGCAGTAAAAATAAAGCAAATAGAAGGCCAATAATTGGAGAACTAGCTCTGGCAAATGGTGTAATCTTTAATTTAAAGGAATTATTTTCTGTTTTGTTTAAGTGCTATTAAATGACTAAAAACGAAAAGCAGATTTTATCAAATGACGAAAGATATCGAAACTATACCCCCCCCCCCCCCCCACCGTTAAGTTTTTCTATGTATAAATAAACATTTGTGAAAGAAAAAAGTGTAAGTAAAACTGAGATTTACGTAAAATTTGTGATAACGCTTAAAAAGCTCCCCTACCCACTGGTCAATTAATTTTAAAAAGATTTGTTGACCCTATCTGAATAAGAGGGCGCTTTGATTTTTTTCATCATTTTTTTCCTACCTTAATATATAAATAATGGTCAGTCTTTTCTTCCTCGTTCGATTCCACTCTTTTTACCTGTGGCATATTCAAATGAAAGGACAGACAAAACATGGACGGATTCAAAGAGGAAGAAAAGACTGACCACGGACGGACTCGGACAGACAAAACACGGACGGACACAGACAGACAAAACACGGACGGACAGACAAAACACAGACAGACAAAACACAGACGGACAACAAACACGGACGGACAGAAACACGGACGAACACAGACAGACAAACACGGACGAACACAGACAGACAAAACTCGGACGGACACAGACAGACAAAACACGGACGGACTCGGACAGACAAACACGGACGGACACAGACAGACAAAACACGGACGGACTCGAACAGAAAACACTCGTGTTATGTCTGTCCGTGTGTGTGCGCTTTGTCTGTCCTCTCATTTGAATATGCCACAGGTAAAACGAGTGGAATCGAACGAGGAAGAAAAGACTGACCATTATTTATAATTTGATGTAGAAAAAAAATGATGAAAAAATCAAAGCGCCCTCTTATTCAGATAGGGCCGATTTGTTTAGAGTTTATTTAAAGTACATTAGAAGTAAGTAGAGTTACCCAAAACACCCTCTTACCTCTACCAGAAAACACAAACTTCTTTTTCAATTCCAACCCCGATCTGAAGAATTATTACACCATCACATAAAAACTCTAGTAGAATTGTTTTAGTATACAGACCCCCTAATATCAAAGATTTAATAACTAGAAAGCTGATTAACACATTACAAACAATTTCCCATGGTAATGTAATAATTATAGGAGATTTTAATTTCAATTCAAACATCATTGATTGGAAATCCCTTACTGCTAGTAACCAAATGGGAAAAGAATTTCTAGAATTTTTAAGTAATTTTAATTATTCCAATAATATTTTTACTTCTACACATTGCAAGGGTAGTACCTTAGATCTTATTTTAACTAATAATTCTTCATGTTTCGAAACTTCTGTTATAGAAGGACTTTCTACATCTGATCATTTTTCTATTAAATTTTTCATCGAAGCTCTCCCGCCACCACACCAAATAATCAAATATAGGGACCTTTCTAATATTAATTTATTAAATACCCACCTAATAAGAAACTTTGATAAAATCTATGAAAACTTTTTTATTTCTGATAAATATTCATTTATTGCTAAAACTATTAATGAATTATTGGAAATTTATGCTCCTATTCGTAACACTATTGTTAAACCTTTTAAGCCTAAATATCCACAATATATTAAAAAATTAATAAAAGACAAAGAACGAATATTTAAAGCTTATAAAAAAGACAATTCTATAGACTTAAACCAATACAAGAATTTGACTAAAACTATTAAACATCTTATAAATAATTATCAGTCACAACGTATAAAAAATTTAGTTTCTAATCAAAATAACCTGTTTAAATTTTTAAATAAATTTAACTGTAAAAAATCTCAATTATCTTGTATTGAATTAAATAACAAATTTATATTTGAAGATAAAGCTAAAGCTGATGCATTCGCTTCTGTTTTTTCCAAGTCTTTTTCAAATATTCCAACTTCCGTTTGTCCTAAGCTAACAAATTACAATATTAATTCATTCTTGGATGACTTCGAATTTAGCATATTAGACATTGATAACATTCTAAAATCACTACCAAATAATAATTGTGCTTCAGATGATAATTTAAGCTATAATATCCTAAAATCATGTCGTTCTGCTATATCTCCTTTTCTATCAGATCTTTTTAGAGAATCACTGGACTCAGGTAACATTCCTGATCTATGGAAAATTTCTCATATTACTCCTATTTTTAAAAAAGGTTCAAAAACTGACCCGTCTAACTATAGACCAATAGCTATAACCTCTGCCATAAGTAGAGTCATGGAACGATTAATACTTAATCACATTATTGAACATCTTAACGTTAACAATATTATTGTTGATAGTCAATTTGGATTCATGAAAAAACGCTCGACTACCCTTCAAATGCTGTCTAACTTCAATTGCTGGTATGATGCTATCTTGAACAACAAAATAATCGATTGTATTTTCATTGATATAAAAAGTGCATTTGACTCAGTCCCCATAAAATTTTTAATTAATAAGTTACATACCATTGGTATAAGAGGTAAAGTACTAAATTGGATTTCTAATTTTTTAATTCACCGTACAGCCAAAGTTAAAATTAACAATCAATTTTCGGAAACTATTCAATTATACTCCGGTGTGCCTCAAGGCACAATCTTAGCTCCTGTTCTCTTTATTATATACATCAATGACTTATCAAGCTCTATTCCTACCTCTATCAACAGCTCACTTTTTGCAGATGATCTTAAGATTTATCAATGTCGTAATAAAAATGATTCATCTAATCTTCAATCAAGTTTAGATAAAATTTCTAAATGGTGTTCTGAAAATGCTCTAGAAATCTCTTTTAATAAAACTCTAGTTTTACATATTGGTACTAATAATCCTAAACATAACTACTATTTCAATGGTTTACCATTGAAATGTGTTTCTACAATCTCAGATCTAGGAATTGATTATACAGATAATTTATCTTTTGAACCTTATTATACAAAAATTGTAAAAAATGCCTATTTTAGGGGTATTTCAATCCTTAATAATCTTCACACGTCTAATCCCAAAATTTGGGGTACGGCATTTAAAACATATATTAGGCCAATTTTGGAATATTCTTCAGTTATATGGAATCCCAAAACTAAAAAACATAGAGAAAAATTAGAAAAGGTGCAAAAATGGTATACAAGGGTGGCTCTTTTTAAGTGTAAAATCAACAAGAAAAATTATATCCAAAGATTAAAATTATTTAATCTCGAATCACTGGCCCTCAGAAGAGTTTTATTCGATTTATCAACTATTTTTAAGATCATTAAAAACCACACCCACTTTACTTCTTCACAATTCTTTATGTTATCTGATAGACCTAATAGGAATAAACATAATTATCAAATAAAAGTCGCTCGTAAAACCTCCAAAACTGAACACTGGATCTTTAACAGATCCATTAATCTCTGGAATGCCCTACCTATAGAGATTGTCAACATTGATAATTATAAGATATTTTGGAACACCCTAAGATCCTACCTTATCGAACTAGAAAGTACCAATAATAGCCTTCTTTATTATCGTTATTGATATTAATATATCAAAACTTACTTTACCCCCACCTACCCACTCCCCCCCACCTACCCACTCCCCCCACCTACCCACTCCCTCCACCTACCCTCTCCCTCTACCTACCTTCTCCCCCCACCTACCCACTTCCTCCACCTACCCTCTCCCTCCACCTACCCTCTCCCTCCACCTACCCTCTCCCCCCTCTTCTCTCCCATCTAGCTTATATACTTGATTTTTTTATATACCAATAATAATCGTCTTTACTATCGATATTAATATTTCCCCAAACCATAACCCAGTTCAAATAATAATACTTTTTAAGGCTTTAAAACGGCTGTTTATTGCTTTGTGGCGTTTTGTTTACTTAGTACTCAAAAGTCCCAATCAATATTCATAAATTACTTTTTATTTTATTTTTTTTTCGTTGTCGGGACCTTAGTGTTTTTTCATTTTTTTTCAAATTTTAATTAATTTTTTTTACATTTTAAGATTTATTCTTTAAGAATCAAATCTATTTCTTAAATTTTTATTTAAGAACCATGGACATTGGGCCTATTACTTTCAAAGCACAAAAATAAAAAAAACTGCTTCTTAACCTAATATTAATTTATTACATGTCCATGGTTCTTAAATTTCCATTTTTTATTGACTTCAATATATCTTGTTTCCTAGACATTATTTTTTTATTTTTAAATTTTAATTGATTTTTTAATTTAAGATTTATTATTTAAGGATCAAATTTATTTATTAAATTCTTGTTCAAAAACCATGGTCAATGTTCCTATTACTTTCAAAACACTTAAAGATAAAAGAACTGCTTTTTAAGCTAATATTAATTTATTACATGTCCATGGTTTTTAAATTTCCATTTTTTTTTATTGACTTCAATATGTTTTGTTTCCTAGACATTATTTTTTTTTTACTTTTAAATTTTAATTGATTTTTTTTAAATTTAAGATTTATTATTTAAGAATCAAATTTATTTCTTAAATTTTAATTCAAAAACCATGGTCAATGTTCCTATTCCTTCCAAAACACCAAAAAATAAAAGAACCGCTTCTGAAGCAAATACAAATTCAATTACATTCCCATGGTTTTTAAATTTTGTTTTTTACTTATTGACTTCATTATTAATTGTTTCTGATTTAAGAGGCTCCTCTGTGAGTCCATTCGGATAAAAGTTATATATTCAAAAGCCCATTGAAAAGCCGAGGCCTTAAACAGGTATAAAAAAGTGGATGCCTAATAAACTTAATACTTGATCAGCCCTATTACAATTTCTTCAAATAAATTTTTATTAGATAATATACAAAACATTTTTTAAATTTCATTTTTTGATTTTCCTAAGAAATTTTCAGTTTCTTCTTCTATTGCACCTTCCTTTTCCACATTTTCTTCTTTATTTTCCTCTTCTTGTACCTTTTCCTTTTCTCCATAAATTTTTAAAAATAAATTTCTGACAGGTCTAATTACAGAACAATCCAAAACAAAAGAAAATAAAAAAGAACAAACAAAAATTCCAATAAAAGAAAGCAAAGAAGATAAAGGGGTTGTGTGTACTGGACGATGTAATGAAGCAAATAAAGATAAAGCTATTGGCTCTGATAATAATAAAACAATCAAAACTAATTTGGATAATGGACGAAATACACGCCAACACAATAATTTTGCCAAAACTTTGAAAAAAAAGAAAAATTATTTTTTTTTTGAATATTCGGCATTTGCGGACATTTTTGGATTTTCGAAGCCTATTTGGGTAATGTTAAGGTTGTATATTGGTATATCTATATAGGTATAATATCTTTACAAAAGTCGGGCAAATTCTCAATATTTTCTAATCCTTTATGGTTCCGAAAATCTGATTCTTGTATTTGTAAAGTTAACAGAATACCACCTAAACTAACTTTGCCATATTCCAAAACAGACTAACAAATGAAGGGAAAACAACAACAAACAAAACTTACCACTTCCTTTTAAATTAGCTTCCAAAAACCCCAAAAAACAAAAAAGCAAAAACGACCAAAAAGGTCTGTGTATAGTCCCATAAATTAAAGAAATAATTGAATCATTAAATATCCAAAAAGGCGCCCACAATATAAACATCATTAAAAATAAAGTTGTTAATAAACCAATTAATGATAGAGCCTTTTTTAAGAAGAAAAATTTAATTTTAGTCGTTCCTCACTATAAGATAACCCAATATTCAATACAAAACTCATTTAAGATATTTTTTAAGTTAGTTTGTCACTGGGTGGTCTAAGCAATCCCTTTTATTTATCTTTATAAGATACAATATTTTAAGCCTCAAAGGGGGTATTTTATAGTGAGATTCGACATTCCTTTTCAAAAATATATTTAATAAAAATAATTTTAGTTAAAATATACTTTAACTAAATGTTGCCATTCATCCCATTTTTGCAGTAAAAATAAAGCAAATAGAAGGCCAATAATTGGAGAACTAGCTCTGGCAAATGGTGTAATCTTTAATTTAAAGGAACTAGCGAAGGTGCTCGCCCTTCGGGCGAGCTCCTCCGCTAGCCATTTCCTAAGTCATAACAAAACTCAAGTCAAATCAACTTATTAGTCATTCTTTGAAAACTTTCTCATGTCCTTTGACTTCCCTAATGGAAAACACATAAAATATCTCATTAATCTTAAAATAAAAAACATTTAAAACACATTTTAATAATCAACTTTTTCAACTATCAAATTCCTATGAAAAACACTTAAACTATCAAATCCATCTAAAACATTAATAAACATCTAAAACTTTATATTTCAATAAATTTTAAAACCATTAAAAACGTAAAACAAAAAAAAACAATCAAAAACACAAATATTTGGGAAGAATGTGTAAAAAAACTAACAAAACAAATGTTGAAATATTGTATGATTTGAAAATAATAGTAATATTATGTACAAATCTTACAATATTCCAGCATTCTTTTGCTAGTTTTGTAG